TAGTAATAAATAGTTTTTCTAGACTTTTTATTAGCTAGTTAATATTATTTCCTTTAGGTTTATTACTTTTAATAAGTTTTATATAATTAGCTATAAGCTAGGTTCTCTTTTTATTTATATTTATAATAGCTTTAAAAAAATATAATAGAAGAAATTAGTAAAAAATAATTATTTTCTAGCTTAGGAACTATATTATAGACTATTATATTTAAGTATTCTTATTTAAATCTAAATATATCTAAATTATTAGTAATATTAAAATAGTATTTCTTCTCTTTATATTAATAAAATATTACTATTTTCTTATATATCTTATTATATTTATAAGCTCGAAATTTATATTTTTAAGAATATAATCTCTTATTAAAATAAATAATTTTCTTATAAATTCTCGGTATTAAGTAATTTTATTTCTTTCTTTCCTCTTTAATAACTTCTTTAATATTCTATTAAATATATTAATATAAGACTTAGAAGAGATTTCTTTATTTTGGATTTATATAATAATTTAATTAAGAAAATCATAACTAATTTTAAATATTTCCTAATTATATTTTCGGAATTCTTTTAATAAGGCCTTAAAGAACTTAGTTTTCTAGTAATCTTCTAGATTATTAGTATAGTATTTTAATATAGCCTTAATCTAATTCTTATAAATAAAAGAAATATAATAAATAATTCTCTTTTTTTTAATATTATTAGAAATATAATAATTCTTATATATATTTATATATTATTTCAAGAATATAGAAATATTACTTTCCTAAAACTATAATACTTTAAGAGCTCTTATAAATAGCAGATTTAAATCTGGTATTAATATATATTTATTTTTAGTTATATTAATCTTAATAATTTCTTTTATAATTAATTATAAAGTTTTTATATCTGAGACTTTTATTAATAAAATTCCTAAAAAGCTAACTTTTTATTTAAATATTTTTTTTGATTTAAGAACCGGAATTTAAAAGAAACTAGTTAATAATAATAAATATAATCTAAGTTCGAGTTTTAGTATTAATAATAATAAAATAATAGCTTTTCTAATCTCATTTCTATTACTTATATCTTTTCTTTTATTTTATTAACTTAATACCTATAGTATTTTCTTTTATTTTTATTAAACTAAATATATCTAATAATATTATTAAAGGTAATAATAAAAATAATAAATATAATTTTGCTAATTTCTCTAACTTTTCTAAATTCTCTTTTTATTTTTATTTAATATTCTTTTTTTTCTCTAGAAGCTTTTTTAAATTATTTATATAATTTCTTATTTCTAATTTCTTTTTAATTCTTATTTCTAATTCCTATTTACTATTTTACTTAAAATTAAGAATATTTCCTTTTTTAGATATTTTTCCCGGATTTGAAAATAAACTCTTTTACTAAAACTAATATTATCTTTATTCCGGTTTTTACTATAACTAAAAATAATATATAAATTAATAATATAACTTTATTTCCAAATACTAAAGTCTATTTCTAACTAAGATCTAACTTATATTATTTTAATATAATATTTCTTATTTTATTTCCTTATTTCTTTTCTTTTTATAATTAGTCTTTATTTCTATTATTTCTATATATTATACTAATAATTATATCTAATAACTAACTTGTATTTAAGTTACTTAATATATTAGAAATTAATATAAAATACTAGAATTAATATTTATATATTCTTAATATTTTAGCCTTAGGCTTAAGGTATTATAATAGCCCTTTTCTTTCTAGATTTACTAAGCTAATAATCTGCTTTATAGATATTTCTTAGAACTTTATAAAAATATTATTTTAATTATAAAATTTTAATCTTTCTTATATTAGTTATTATAAAATATATAAAAGAAAAACTATAATAAAATAAAAACCTATATAAAGTATATTATAATATAAAACGTAATTTAATAATAAAATAATAAAATTAAATATATAAATAGTAAAATATAAATAATATATAGTATATAAAAGCTTAATTAATTAAATACTAAAAAGGAATTATTTTCTAGAATTATAGAAAAACTAGCTTTCTTATATAATTCCTATAAGTTATATATAAATAACTATAGTCTTTATTATATAACTAAAACCTTAAAACTACTAAAATAATATAATTTTTATAAAATATAGCTTACTATACTATATTAGTTTAAATCTATTACTAGTTATATATATATCTTTATTTTATTATAATTAAGTTAGTCTATAAAATACCTATAATATCCTTAATATATATTATAATATTATTATATTTCTTTATTAATAAATAGTATTTCTTTACTAACTTCTTATAAACCTATAATAAATGTTTTATTAGCTTTTATTTATAATAATTCGAACTAGATTAAATAAATAAATAGGAAATATTACTTATCTAATATATATAATAGTTTATTTTTCTTTTAATTTTCTTTTTAATTACTTATTTATATATAAGCCAGAAGATTTTCTAATATATTTCGAATATATTAGCTAATTAGATATTTATAAGACTCTTTTAATCTTTTTTTTAATATTAATTTAATATCTATTTAAAAAAGGCCTTAAGAATATAATAAGAAATAGCTTATATTACCTCGATAAAATTCTTTTATATATACTTATAATATTTATAAAGAGAATTAGATTAGCTATTTAATAATAAAAAATAATAAATAAGAAAAGAATAGAATATTTACTAATAGAAATTTCCCTTAATTATATTTAAGAAAAAAAGACTATTATTACTATAGTTCTTATTTTTATTCTTAAATTTATTAGAGTTATTTTCTTAGTTAAGGTAATATTTTAGTAAATAGATATTCTTTTTTCTAATAAGCTATTTCAGATCTAGTAAATCTGCCTTATTATCTCTATTAATATTAGTATTAATATCTATTAGCTCGGTTTTAATATTAGTCTTTTCTTATTTATTTCTTATATTAAAGTAGCTCTTAATATCTAATTTATTACTAGAGAAGAAAAAGAAAGAACTTGGTATTAGTTATTAATAATAATATATATTAATTATATTAATTAAAGAAGATAATAGTAAAGGCAATTAAAAGTAAAGAAATAAGACAGGAAATATAAAGAAGAAGCCTATTACCTAAATAATAATAGCTAGTAGAAAGAGAGAAGAGAGGTAAAGTAAGGGATAATAATAGTTAAGTATAAGAGGTTTAGAAGAAAAAAGATAGAAAAGAGAGAGAGAATAAATAAAGATATAAGATAACTATTATTTTAAGTTATTTAAGAAATAATAAATAGCGATTTTCTATTTCTTTTTTCAGAAAATATTAAATAAAGATAAAGAAGCAGTTCTTTAAATAATAACTTATAATAGATTAGTCAGAAGTTCCTATTACTATATTGCCTTAGCTATAAGATATATAAAGTACTAGAGTAATACGAGATTTTAGTAAATCGGCTATAGAAAATAGTAATAAAACTGGCCGAAAATAATAGCTAGTTTACTATTTAATTATTAAATAGAATAAATATTACTTTAAATTTATTAAATAACTTATTAGTAATTATTATTACTTTATTAAGAATATTTCTAGCTATTAATTTATAATGGCTTTTCTTTCTTATATATAAGTTATTATTTCTTATTTCTTAGCTTATTATTATTTTCGGGCTTTTAAGCTTTAGTTTAATTTTATAATTCTTTTAAGATTTAAATAAAACAAAATTCCTTATTATTATTTTATTAATAAATCTTTATATAAATATTAATTACTTGATTTTTACTAAAATAATATATTATTCTTTTTATTTTATAATTCTTAATATTTTTTATTCTAGTACTTTAATTAAATTATTAATTTATATTATTCTTTTTTATTTAAAGACTAATATTCTAGTTTTAATATCTCGAGAAACTAATTTCTAGAAATTCGAATTAATATCTTATATTTAATTTAAAGGCTTTAATAATTATATATAAGAATTCCTTATTTCTTATTTCTAGTATATAATTCTTAATTTATTAATTAAATATTATAGAAATATTATTAATTCAGGCTTAATTAATATTAATATATAATAATATTCTAGTTAATTATTATTATAATAAGATTTCTAATTTAAGACTAATATAATTACTTTATTTAATTAGAATCTATATTAATATAATTCAAGAAAGAAATAATAAGATTTAAAAGAAATATAAATAAAGAAATAAAGAAATGCTTTTATTAATTTATATTTCTTTATTAAAGAAATTTTGTAATATTACTTCAAATATAATATTTATATTTATAGCTATATCTATAATATCTTCTTTATTTGCTTTAACTTCTAATTAATAAATTAAAACCTTATAAGAAAAGATTACTTTTATAAAGAATTAGTTAAGTAATAACTTTAATTGAAATAATCTTATTTCGAATAACTTTCTTATTTTAGAACTTGGAATTATAATTTCTTTTATTTCTGCTTTTGCTTTTACTCTTGCTTTTATAACTAGTAAATTAATAAATTTAAATATATTAATAAATCTAATATTTTTATAAATATTTACTTTTACTTTACTTATTTAACTTTCTTTTAAAGTTTATATTAAAGAGAAAGCAAGAAGTAATTATATTAAGCAGTAATTATAATAAATCAAATCTTAATAATAGAGAGAAGAATTTACTAGGGGATAATAATTATAAGCCAGGAAATAGGCAATTAAGATTAGGGGTAATTGGGAGCAGTTCAAAATAGCGAGGAGAAAGTAATATTATTAGGGCATTTGACTATAATGCATGGGATTTGCTTATTTGGCTATAATTAGGTGTGTTTTCCATATAAATACGGCCCAAAAGAAAAAATCGCGATTCATAATTTTGATTTTGCGAGGAAAAATTTTTTTTTGTTACAGCAGCATCGCAAAATCAACACGTATTACGGCTTTCCGTACGCGTGGCGTTCTGCATGACCTCGCTTATCGCTGATTTGAAGGGGAGAAAATGCCCTCCAAAGATCCATTAATAGTCGGACTTGACGTCGCGCTAAAGGGGCCCTTCGACTATTACCGTTTTTCTCTCAAGATACAACACTAAATGGAGAGCCTCCCAGGTTTTGGTCTAACACGAGAGGCTACTGGCGAGCCATTCCCAACTTGGGCCTTGAATTGTTCTGCTCCAAATAATACCTTTCTGCCAGAGGCAAGTTGATATTCTCTAACACGTCAACCCGCTAATCATCGCCCAGGTTCTGCATCCATGCCTCGAGCAAGGCTGTCTTGCACCCCTCGAGCCTTGCTCAGCATTGCCTTGTCGATTGGCGAGCTTTAGGTCGAGAACCTCGTCTCTAAACTTTCCTGGATCATATTCTGGTCTGCCCTTAGTGCCAAGTGTACCGCTGGGTTCTCGGCCACCGAGATTTTCACCCTTAACCGGTCCGCCCTCTACCATCGATACCATACATGATTTATCGACGCCTTCTCCATCGATTAGTTCATCCGAGTTCCTTCCATCAGGCCAAAGAACCGTTGGTCCTGGAATGGAAAGCCCTGAAGCATTCTTTACAGCTCGGCTTGGAAAATCCGAAGAAAAGCGGGTGAAGCGACTAGTCGGCGTAGCTGAGGGCTTTTCTAAATGCAAAGAACGTCCCGATGGATTGGACAAATCTTTTTGGTCTAGCTGGCTGCCCATCTTCTGGTCTGAACCAGAAGTGGGTTCTGAAGCTGAATCCACACGAAAGACATTCGAGGCTGGATATACTGATAGGCTTCGTCGACTGAAGAAAGTCCGCCAGAAGATACGGAAGGGGATTTGGGAAGCTAGCCGTCTTTGGCTGGTTTGTGTTGCTCATGAAGTGGAATACATATCTCAGTGCGAGGGCATCGACGCATATACCTCTCGAGGAGTTGATCGGCGGTCTGCTGCAATAAAGATCGTCGAGAAGCACTTGGGAAAGGAGGGGGGTGATTTTCTTAAGAGATGCAGAAACATCGTCCATCTCATGAGAGAAGGAGGTCCAGCCGCATTGCTACTCGATAATGGGGGCAGACCGCCCAGTGTGTAAGTTGTCGTGTCGTGCTCCGTTGACATTGGCTAATATTGTATAAGTTGGGAAAGAGAGATGACGCTGAATGATATCACTGCTTTCTATGGGTACAAAAGGCAGAATCTTTCGCATAAACAAACCGAGTCGCATAACCCCGACGCCGCATGTGCAATTAAGAACTGTTTTTTGGCCTATGGGTGGTCCTTCCCAGAACTCTTACGCTCCAAGACTAAGGTGATGGCAATATTGACGCCCCGCCTTCGATCCAAAAGACTGCATGCCGACGACGGACCCAGGGACTCTGAGCCTGGAAATAAGAGACGCCGTGTTGATCGACCAGGGGCATTTACCTCATGTCCTGACAACGATTTCCAAGCAAGCTCGTTAGATCAGTTCCTATCGGGCAGCATTGACCGAGCAACTTCAAGCGGAAGCGACAACACCGTGGAGTCAATGAACATATCGAATTCCTCACACCTCATCTCCTTCGATGCGAGAAATGGGACACGGAATCTCACAGATCCTGCAATGATGGACATCCTTAATTTTGCTTTCAATAACTTAGACGAGCTCACAGATCCTGCAACGATGGACGACCTTAGTGCTGCCTTTAATAGTTCGCACGAGCTCACAAAACCTGCAGCAATGGGTAGCCTGGATTATACATTCGATAATTCAGACGGACTCGGCACCATCAATGGTCTAGCAGCAGACGAGCTTAGTTACGCCGCCGACCTTCTTCATAGTTGGCCTAACCCCGGTCATGAAACGGATGCATCCGTTGACGAGGTTCTTTGTAGGACCTTCACTGGATCAGACCCTTCTAGGCACATGTTTCTTCAAGGAGCAATCTCTGTAGCCCAGCTCCCGGACGACTTCACATACCAATCCATGCCCCATATCTCGAGTCCCACGAAAGCAAGCACACCTGGTTCTCTAGATCCACGGACGTAGTGAGCTGTAAGTATTATAGGGTGATATTTATCTAGTCGCTGCTGATATAGAACAGGATTCCTCGTCCGTTGCTCGCGCGAAATACAATAGGGGACGAGTCTCGAAAATACGCCACCGAACCGGACGGTATCTCATTTGGTCCACTGTCCGCGATCTCAGGCAAATTAAGATTGCCAAGCGCAATTATGCCGATGATACCAAAGCCTAGTGCTGAGCTGGGATACCTTAACGGCTTCTCAGGTAAAATGTCCCCATATACTATTGGACAAGCCCATATGGTTTTGCCCTTTGGGTTGCCACCGAGACTCTGGATGGGTGCAAGATCCGGAGACTAATAATGTTAGTCTAAGCTTTGGCTGTTGGATTCCAGATTTGCACATACATTCTCATAAATACGAACAACTTCCTGCGTTTGTACAGTCCACTCCAACTTTACCATGCTCGATTTACCCGCCTCCAGCGCACCTTCCTCCTTTATCCGGGCAACCTCCTTGTCCAGGCTTTCACAGGCAGCATTTGCGGTCGCTTTGGGGATAGCCTGGAGCTTTTTCACAATCACCACGTTGGACAGTCGCTCTTTTTGTTTCGAATAGACGATCACAACATCTTCGTGAAGGTTTTTAGCAGGAGGCTCCGATGGATGGGAAGGCGTGATGCGCTTCCCGCCGGCGCTACCGCTGACGAGATCTCTGACATCAGTCGTCTGAGATATTAGACTACACTGAGTTTGGTCTAAGTTTCCTGCCAACTGAGCATATGAGGGAAGCTCTGCTGGTTGTCTTGATGGAGCCGAGGCAGTATGATGTGTGGGCTGTGATGATGAGGACTCATTTGAGAGAGATGTATCCATGGTAACGGTATGGAATCTCAGCGTAGCCGCGAGAGTTAGTGTCTCTTTATTCAAGGGTGCGACGTACAATGAAGTACTTGAACTCACGATGTTGATCCAAGCGATGTTCTACGTTGCAACGACAAATTTCTTAGTGGGGTAGCTCGGTTGGAAGATCACGTGGCAATATTAGTTTTGCGTAAGGGCCCGTTTCGCACCCCACCAATATTCGAATACTGCCAATATCCGAACGCTAGCGTTCGGATATTACAAAAATTAGCGTTTCGCAAATTTTTTTTTTTTTGGAAACTAGCTTTGAACGCTGGTATTTGAATGCCAGTATTTGCCCCCATACTAATCTCAGTATATTCAGAACGACCTCTAGTAGGTCGTTCTGAAAATACTAGAAGTTGAAAGCTCGGCCTTAGGCCACCATGTACACCCTAAATACCCTAAATACCCTAATTTACAGTGGGCTCCATCGCATGCCCGCATTTAATAATTAATTATCTTCCTTTAGTTTATTTTGGGACAAGTTTAATAATGACTTCAGGGTATAAATTCTTTCTAAAGCCTTATATTTTGCGATTCTCGTAGAAATAATTTCGGATTAATTTATTTAGTAGTAAGCAATATGAGATGTAATTATTTTATTAATTACTTTTCCATTTAAAAATAAAATAAATTCAGGCTTCAAGACGCTATAATTATAGGGAGTAATCGCTAATTATTAGGGAACGAGAAAGTGGAAGATTAATGAGGCTGAAAACGCTAGCGGAGATGAAGCTGAAACCTCCGTAATTATTACGAATACTAAGTATCTACGGCATGCGGAACAGGTCCAAATTGTACAGATACTAGCGTTCAATATCGGGCGTTGAACGCTAGAGTTCAATATTACTAATATTCAGCTTTCAACTTCGTGAGCCCGTGCGAAACGGGCCCTAACATGACCCTCGTGAAGTTGAGCCAGGGTCTATCAATACATCATCCAACTACTGAATCCAACGCGCCATCGTTCCACTATCAAAGGCCTTTGCCTTCGACACGATCCCCGTCGACCCCAAATCCGCTGTCGCAAAGCTCCCATTTTCATGAAGCCGTTACTCGAGTGAAGGCATCACCCACCAACCGCCCAAGACACCATCCCGCTCAACTTGGATTTTGGAGACCTTAACGCCACAAGTTCGAAAAATTAATACGATACTCGCAATATTTCGAGTATTCTCTATAATTTGGAAAGTTTTTAGAATTTTCCAAAGACTTTGAAAAATCGAGAAAATTTTGGTGGGGGGTAGGCGTGGGCGGGAAGGGGGTTTGGGCGGTGTTGGTGGGTGATCCCTTCTACAGAGCAAATGAATTCTTCATCCTGAGAGCAAGCTTTGCAAGTACATTGTTGGCATATTTCACGTCTTCAGTCACCACATCGCCAGCTGCTAAGAGAATCTAACTCTGTCTATGGATGCCTGTAAGCTCCCTAGTATTGCAAATTTCTCACACCAAAGTCTACCATCAAATCCATAACGGGAGGAATTAAGTCGAATGAATCGGTCTCCCCTTCATCACCTGCTTGAAAACTTGCAACGCCAATTCCGGCTCTACTTTTAGTCAGCCCAGCACTTCCTCTTCTGACTCCCAACTTACGGTAATAAGACACGGAGTGCCCAGATTCAAAGACTCGCAGCCAGTTGAGCTGACCTTCTGTCTTATAAGTTCCAGAAACAACGCCATTGACGGTGTAATTCTTCACCTCCTTGTACTTGAAGACGTGGATGTCAGGGTACTCGACTGCTTCCGCGACGGCCAAGTTTCCCACCCAGTCACACACCATGTCGGCATCACCGGCCCAGATGAGTGTATTGACGCCACTCTTCACCACTTCTGAGAGCTCGGGGAGGAGAGAGCGTGCATCTGTGGGAAGGTCAGCCTCTGGTGGCTAGGAAGTTGAAGGTGGAGGTGGACGACATACCATCTCCAGTTGATATAAATTGTTCTTCAACTCTGTCAGAGCACAAGATGAAGCTACCCTTTGCCCCAATGGCTTCCATAATTGCGGGTTCCGAGAGCCATATGGCAAACGTCGCAGGTGGAGTAAACTTGGTAGAGTCTTTGCTGCTCTGTCGGATGTCGTAGGCGAAAATTGAAGAGTCTATGGCATCCAGAGCTAAGTCGTCAACACCTTTATTGCACCTGTTCGATCTCGAAGTCAGCACTGTCATATTTGAATAATCGATTTGCCTCAGCTCTTGAGACTATTAGGATTCAAGTCAGTTTCAAGACCTACTGTATGTTGGCTTCCATGCAAGCATCATCAAGGGCAGATCCAGCAGCACTGGTGCAATTCTTCAAAGCCGGAAGGCAAAGGTCATTATACCCCTCCACCATCGATTTATATATAGACTCGTTGATGAGCGGGTAATATGAGTTCTTGAAGTAGAACTCAACCCCCTGTCTTTCTTGAATTGTGGCATCGTACCATCCATTATTGATTCCCAGGGCCACCAAGTTGACCTTTTGACCAACAAGAGTGCCACGTGCAATTTCTTCGTTCTGCTGTTCGAAATAATGTGCGAATCCTGGAATTTGTTGGATCGAGATTGAAGTGAGGGACAAAGGACGCACCTGGACCATAATGACCGCCATATGACTCCGTGAAAATCCCGAAGTCGCGATTCTCATATTGAGGAAACTGAGCGAAGAAAGCTTGAACGAATTTCCAGACAAAAGGGGCAGCAGCTACAGTGGAGTTGACTTCGACGGTGGTATTGATGACCCCGCTTGGTTTGCAGTAGCCCTCGTCGTCGCATGTTACAGAGGAATTGGTTTGGTCTGACTGGTAAGAGAATCCGACACCGGCAGGCTGATCGATGTAAAGCATGTTCGCGTACTCGTTCCAACTGTAGGGGTTTGGTGAGGGCGTTGACGAGCCATTGTAGAATTGGCAAGGGCCATTCGCCTGCAAGCTTGTGAGCACTGAACTTGGATCTGAAATGAAGAGATGCTACCTGAAGCAATCCCATCATGGAGGAGCACCCTGGACCACCATTGAACCATGCAACGAGCGGAGCGTGTTCCGGACTGTGTCGGGCTTCGAAAAACCAGAAGAAGTAGCTGATATTCGCTGTGTAGTGTGGTCAACGAGGACTCCACGAATTTGATGGAATCGGAGAAGCTACTCACATCCGACAGAGAAGTAACCCGAGTACTGGTTTACTCCCGGAGTGGTTTCGCAGATCCCAGAATTTGTGACGAAGTCGAACTCTGAACCTGTAGCATTGTGCTTGACAATCGTGTGCTTAGCTCCGTGCCTTTTACCCAGTGATTTTCCCCGGCTCAATCTCGAACCAACCTCTCCGGAGATATGAGGTGCTCCGCAGATCATACTTATATGGGCAAGAATGCAGGCCGTGACCTCCAACGCGTTGAATCTCATAGTGGTGTTGGTATATGGAATCCGAAACGGAGCTTTTGGTATTTGTATATCTAGTATATTGAATTAGAAACCCGATTTGAACGCGCGGTCGAAATTGAGAAGTTATCGGGCTACTCGCTACTCGACCAGTATTGTATGAAGAATGAAGGAGAATTCTACTCTCCCTAGAGAGAATTATGCAAAGGGCATCGATGTGCGGTGTCGCTTAGTGAAGAATGAAGAAAGGAGGACCGATCTGGCACCGACTTGCCGACGCCATTGGATCAGCTCCAGCATGCACTTTCACAAACTTGGGGTACAAATTCTTGTAATCCCTTGCCTTGTCTTTTAAAAGGTTTTATCTGCTTGCCAGGCAAAAGTCTTTGAATTATCTTCGAGTGCTCACCAGAAGTGTGGAAACAGACTTGTCTAAATAGGCTTCCATGTAAGGGGATTGTTCCAGCGTCACCCTGGCAAAAATTCCTTGATATCAAGTCCAACTTACGTTATAGTTCATGAAATACGGACACAGTTTTCATGTTTCCGCAGTCATCTTCATGGGCATTGTCTGGGGAAAACTTCACCAGTAGTCCTCGGCATTCATGTACATGTACCCCCGGCTTGCGGCACTACCGTTGTTACACAAAGAGTGATATTATAGGACTAAGCATTTCTCTGAGCACCAGATGAATTACAATACAGACGCAAAATCTACTGAATATGCCAGAAAGAGCGATGCATGAAAGGAGAGCGACATGTGGAAGGAAGTTGCGTACTGGCCCTGTATTTAGTTAGGAGCCAGCCCACACTTCACCATCAAGGCTCTTGTTCCTTTCCCCACCCAGTTCAGCAAACTCGAATAACCAGCGAAACTCCAAGAAATCACGGGAAAATTAATTCAAAGTAAAGAAACCCGAAGACAATCCACAATCATAAATTCACTGTCAAGCAATTACAACATCAGTGACACACGCAGTGACCGCATCCCCGGGTTAATGAATCAGCCGACCTTCAAACCCGCCGCCTCAAGCAGCTCTCTATACTGCCCTCTGCGTCCTTTCCATCCCTCAAGACTCATCATACTCATACCCGCAATCGTCATGAATCTGGATGGTGTCTGCTCCGGAATGATGCACTCGTTGACCAGCAGTCGTGAGTAGCCTGGTTTCATGGCCTTCCGAATGTTTGCAAGGATCTCCAGGTTGCCATCAAATCCGTAGTCGTGGTGGATGACGAAACGGAGATAATATGCACGAGCACCTTGAGACTGTCAGCTTATATCTTAATTGATAAATGGGATTCGAGCACCAGGAGGGAGAAACTAACTTTCGGCTGGCTGCTCTTGATTGAACTTATGAACCTGGAATTCAATTCCGGGAATGTCTTCTCCTTCCATTTGAGCAAGATCTTGCACACCGACTCTTCCAGGCGCACCCTTCAGCAGTTTGGCCTGGTGACCAAACCCTCCCCTGGCATCAACAAACATAACGGCTTGTTCAGCGTTCCTCGAATCCGTCGATCATCCGCTTTTGAACGGGATACACGTCCGTGCACTGCTTGTGGCCCATAGTGAACGTACCTATGTAGAGTCTGGTAGCCTCTATGTGCGGGCTAGCAAAAAACGATTTTAAACACCGACTTTCCAGTGGCACAACTTGCCTTTGCCATGGCCGTGGCTTTGCCATACGTCGGGTTCCTTTATTTCAGATCTTTGAGATGTCGTGGTAGCTTCGTCTATCCTGGGCCAGGGAAGTCGAAGCACACTTTGATGGAGGCTGCATTTCGCGAGCTTGCGAAGGTTCGGCTCACCATTGTCGACACATATCCGATCGTGCCCACCTCTTTCACTGCTCCCCATGCTGCGAGGCAACGCATACTTCAACCTAAATATTTGTTAGCATGGATGGTTGTCTGCGGTGCCCGAACGTTACCAATGAGAACTGGATCTACACCTGTTGCAAAAGCCATCTTCCGCTGAATGCCGTCCCGCCTCGTCCACCAACAGTTGGAAAATGCCAAGCTCAACTGCAATCTTGATCGCGGAAGTTTCGATATGCTAAAGAAAGTTAGAGACCTGCACTTAGACATTTGATACTGAAGCAGTGGGAGGCAGGTAAGTGAAGACTATGTTCGTGGTCGTGGTCGTGAGAACACTCACTCGATGCCCGATCCTGGTGTTCGGATGGGCACTCACTTGGTAGTACACCCGCTCGATGACATCCTCTGGACCCTCCAAGGAGAGTACGAAGTCCTTGGCAGCTTCTAACAGCCCTTTCCTTCCCTCCAAAGCGTCTGGGGCCTTCGTGGTGATATCTGTGAGCTGTTATATCAACGACTAGACGGAACTCTGTGCCGAGGCTATTTTGTGCTTAGGCACAATATAAGGAAGGTGACTCTGTTTCTGCCTTTGGCCGAAGTTGAATGTATAAACTATTGCGAAATTCGTGATGGGAAATATCGCGACTCATGAAATATATATATACGCGTATGACGCGATGGCAAGAAGGGTCCACACCAAAGTTGGCTCACAGGAACGATACAGCTCGCTCATTGGCGGACGACACGACTGGCGGGCAGATCTGATTATGGGTCGTTGTTCGTTTCAGGAACGCGAATACTCGGAACAGACGGAGGTGATGATGAATTCACGCAGCAGCAGTCGTAAACGCATTGGCTTACCAATGGTACCCGCTGTACTCCCTATCTTACAACCTGCTTCGGGACTAGCTCAATCTGCTTGTTCGACTACAGTAGGGTTGGCTTACCCAACTCCGCGGAAAGATGCTTGATAATCCAGCAGAGAGCGTGTGTGAGAACTGTCTCATTTATACGAATCAATTGAAAAGACCAACTAGACAAAGAAACGGGAATTGACCAAGTGTGTTTCGGTGAGATTGAATATTTGATTTGTTGCGAGACGCCAGGTTGCTTGCTCCTGACTTCAGGAACGATGGCAGTTGGGGGTTCTACCGAAACGGCCATCCTGGACACAGTAGGAGGACAATGTGAGCGATACCGTGTTCTGCCAATCATGGAGAGTACCTCCACTATCTTATTGATTTGGACATGGCAACCTTAAGTTCTTGTTGTAAAAGCAGACACAGCCACCGTGCCCACAAGAGCTTGGACTGGCTTGACTGGACTGTGCTGGAAGGTGAAATTCCTTCCATATTCAGAGGTTGAGCTGGACTAGCCACCAATGATCCATGAAGAGGATCACCGTTGAACTCCAAACTCGGACAGCTAAGTCCATATCTCTCAGGTTGCTCTCCTAGTGCTCAGTTTAACCGGGAGAGCCCGACTAGAGGCGAAGGGCGAGCCCTGCCAGTAGGGTCCCAGGTTCCTAGGTCAGGCCGCACGCAGGTGCTCAGACCATACAAGTAATCTTCGAAAACACCGTACGGATGACTGCTCGAGTTGCAGTTGGCGCGCATGTATATTAGATCGTTGGTACGGAGGCCCTCAGAAGTCATCGTCGCTCTCGTCATCGTCTCTCGGCTTCAAATGCCTGCTCATATATGGCCCTACCTAGTGTTAGCTCAGAACAAAAACTCAAATTGCAGCACAAACCATCAAGCCAATATCCCAGTCTTTTGTAATAATCTCTTGTACCAACACCAGAGATGACACTAATCTTAGTACTTCGGTGCTCATCGCGGGCAATCCTCTCAGCTTCTTCCATCAGTAAAGTACCGTAGCCTTGATGCTGGAATTTTCTCGGATCACGAGCATGGACCGGCACAGCAGAACCATAGACGTGCAGCTCCCGCACGAGACTGGTGGGTTGGCCAACCAACTCGGGTCGGAAGGTGTACTTGGCAGAACATTTCCGTAGTCGAAGAAGACCGATGAGAATATCTTGTTTTGGGTCTTCGTAGGCTAAGAACGTTTCCCATCCACCGTTGGCAGTATAATCTCGACGGACCAACTCGACCTGAGAAGGTCGGATTTTGTTCTTTACCTCGTTGATTCCAACTTCTCGAGTGCGAACATCTCGGCAGGTAGTTCCGAAATCTTTCATCCTGCTCAGTGCCAGCTCTCGCAAGTTTCCATTTTCAACGCCAGAAGTCACTAATGGCATTGGAATGTCTCGCTGCACCCGATAGATACGAGTCCAAGGGGGGACTAAGGCCAATATCCGAGCGACGATGTCAATGAGTGCGTTTGGGGTGTAGTTCTTATACCGTCCAGTTCGCCACAGCTCGTACAGCCCCGTGCCTCGGATGACAAGGGTTGGATAAATCTTCAGTCCATCGGTTCGAAATGCTGGGTTTTCAAAGTATTCTCTGAATTGATCCAAATCTCTTTCCATTCCAACGTTTGGTAAGTCTGGCATCATATGGCTGACGACTTTGAATCCTGCATCTTTTGATAGACAAAATGTCTCCGCTACGGATGCGACTGTGTGGCCTCTGTTCGTATCTCTAGCAACGTCTTCGTACAGAGATTGGACTCCTATCTCCAGTCGAGTACAACCATAACGTAACATGGCGGAAAGATGGGGTTGCAAGCAGTAATCCGGTCGGGTTTCGATGGTGATTCCAACACATTTGATATTGCTCATCTCACCTGCTTGCACAGCTTCATCCACGTTATTTCCTTGGTATCCACTCAGTGCGTTGTGTAGCTGGGAGATGAACCCGTCTCGATAGCTTTCAGGCAATGACATAAAAGTCCCACCCATTATGATGTATTCAACCTTATCCACGCTGTGTCCCAGGGATTTAATTTGATCCACACGTCCTCTTGCCTGCTCGAAAGGATCGTATCGAGCTCGAATAGCTCGCATGGAGGTTGGCTCATAGCCAGTGTATGATTGTGTCGAGTATTCGAAATCACTGTCTGGTCCGCCAGGACAATAGACGCACTGAATTAGATTAGTAACATATTTCTTGGCGGGAGGGGGAGGGATGTCTCATCCGTGAGCCCCCCCCCCCCCTCTCTCTCTCTCTCTTCCCGACCAGTAAAACAGGGGGCTCCAGTATGGAATAAAGAACTCGGTTGCTTACGATATTGCCAGTGTAGGCTATGTGAGGACAACGGTGAGGCTTCAGACATGTGTTAGCATCGTGAGTTGGTACAAAGTGATATCAGACCCGGAAGCTGGGGAGAGATGTTTCCAGAGCAGACAGTTTCCAGGCTGGAATAATCTCACCTTACACATTACAGCAACCACGGCGATGCCTGACGCAGATCGAATTGGCTTCGCAATAAGCTTCGGTAAGATATATTTTTTCTTGGGTTGATGTTAGTCTGGTCATATAGAGATGTTAGGAGTCGAGCTCCAGGGATCATACATACGTAGTGCTCTGGAATTGCCGCGATGATGGCCGTCAGAGGGGGTATATTGCTCAGACGGTGCTTCTTCGAGAACTTGCTGCGAAGGCTGTTGAGATTCAAGTCTTTCTTGGGCTTCGTTGAGTCTTGGGAAGCTTCAAATTCTTGCACGAGAAAGCTTGAGATGTCTGAACAGCACCTCAAAAATCGTTCAGGCTCCGGAGCGAGGCTCGAGCTCGTGGGCTTCGTTTGCCTCTCTGCCAGTGTTATCGTTGTGGTGGCCATTATTATTGTTTCGTTGAATAATTATAGAAGTGAAAGCTGAGGAGGGGTTGTGACTTCGAATACCCCTTCGCAATAAAATTGAAGAGGTGCGGCCGCTTCGGCATATCCCGGGCGCTCCTGAAGTTGCCGAGCACGTTGAAGATTCAGCGAGAGCAAGTTCCGAGCTTCAGCAATCCAATTCCATCACCCAATTCCTCTTCCTTTCCTTCCTGACATCAATTGTCTTTGACAAGATGCAGGCTCTCAAGTTCTCAAGACTTGCTCGACCTGGTTTGCAGGCTGTGGTGCGAAGCTATTCCACCGCAACTGGCTCCTACAGTACGTGTCCATAAACCGAACATGATGGATGGATTCTGATAGGGGCTTTAGCTGCGACAGCTGAGAATTTACGCATTTCAAAGGATACGAAGGTGATATATCAAGGATTCACTGGCAAGCAAGGAACGTGAGTTGGGTTGATTCAGTTGAGTTTTGAGCTTTGTGCTGACCAGAATGGGTCAGATTCCATGCCCAACAAGCTATCGAGTACGGTACGTGTCCCTAAACTAAAACGACGAGATGGACGGGTTCTGATAGGGGGTATAGGTACGCAAGTTGTTGGAGGAACGAATCCTAAGAAGGCTGGACAAACACATCTTGGACTGCCAGTCTTTGCGACTGTTGCAGATGCGGTAAAGGAGGCGGGAGCTACGGCTTCAGCTATCTTCGTCCCGTACGGCAGCCCGGAGTGATACGCGGGGTTTGAAAGGTCATTTGGCTGATAAATTGGTAGCCCACCTCTTGCTGCAGCTGGTATTGAGGAAGCTATTGCTGCTGAGATTCCTTTGGTTGTTTGGTATGTTTTGCCCAAATTGCATGTGATTGGGCTTTTCTAACACTCTCATAGCATCACGGAGGGTATCCCACAACACGGTACGGCTTCTCCGATTCGAAACATGGACCCCCTACTGACGCTCTGTAGATATGGTCCGAATCACAGATATCCTGAAGACACAAGGAAAGACGAGATTGGTTGGCCCCAACTGCCCAGGCATTATTGCGCCAGGGCAATGTAAGATTGGCATAATGCCCGGATTCATCCATAAGCGCGGTCGCATTGGTATCGTCTCTCGATCCGGAACCTTGACCTACGAAGCTGTCAACCAGACTACGGTGGCAGGCCTAGGGCAATCTCTCGTTGTTGGTATTGGTGGCGATCCATTCTCTGGTACCAACTTCATCGATTGCTTGAAGGTCTTCTTAGAAGATGAGGAAACCGATGGCATAATCATGATTGGTGAAATTGGAGGCTCTGCTGAGGAGGATGCTGCCGAATTCTTGAAGGAGTACAATACCTCGAATAAGCCAGTTGTCAGCTTCATCGCTGGTATCTCTGCACCACCTGGACGACGAATGGGTCATGCTGGTAAGTGATGTGCGTCATATATTGTCAGACTCATACTGATCTTATAGGTGCCATTGTCAGCGGTGGTAAGGGAGGAGCCGATTCGAAGATTGCAGCACTCGAAGCTGCCGGTGTTATTGTTGAGCGAAGCCCAGCTCTCCTTGGGAAGACATTGCATGGGGAGTTTGTAAGACGTGACTTGATTTAAAGTCCTTGGTAAATTAGATTATGGGAAGGTCGCACATGAGCGTCCTTTGTCCAATACCTCTTTTTTCGTGTATAGCAAGCAATTGACTTGGTGATGAGTCTTGTTTCAGCGAGATACGCAAGGGTGCAAATATCCATGCTTGCGATACCTATGACGCCGAGTTTGGATGAAAGAACAAGAGACTTCAAGATAAAACTATAGGAAGCTTGTCTTGTTCTCCATTCCGAAAAAGTAGCGATTTTCCCGCCCCTGGCAGGCTGAACCCGTACATGCCGAAATGCGGAATAACGTTAAGCCGTCCACTGCTGGATGCGAAGCTTCCCCACGTTCACCCTCAACTACAACCTACTACGCCCTACGATCAAGATGCTGTCCGGCATATTGATATTCAATCAAAAGGGAGAGAACTTAATCTTCCGTGCTTTCCGAAACGACTGTCGGCCACGCCTTGCAGACGTGTGAGTAATCCAGACGGAGTCTCGCCCTTTTATTCGTGATCAGGGGCTGATATCCAGGAAAGGTTTCGAATACAAGTGATCTCGAATGCCCAAGTCAGATCTCCCATCCTTACTCTAGGATCCACGACCTTCAGCCATGTCAAGCACGAGAATATATACCTGGTAGCGATCACGAAGAGCAATGCCAATGCAGCGCTGGTTTTTGAGTTCCTATACCGTCTGGTTGCGCTGGGGAAGGGATACTTCGGGAAGTTCGATGAGGAGGCTGTGAAGAACAACTTTGTGCTTGTTTATGAGCTGCTAGATGGTAATTTGAGCTGTCTATCTTGTCCACGGGTGGGCGGAATGTGCTGATGGCTTTCTCCAGAAATCCTCGACTTCGGATACCCCCAAAACACCGAGACGGATACTCTGAAGATGTATATCACCACCGAGGGTGTCAAGTCCGAACGAACAATGGAGGACTCGGCGAAAATCACAATGCAAGCCACAGGCGCGCTCTCATGGCGGAAAGCAGACGTGAAATACCGGAAGAACGAGGCCTTTGTCGATGTCATCGAAGATGTGAACCTGCTCATGTCTGCAACTGGCACGGTCCTGCGAGCGGACGTCAATGGCCAGATCGTGATGCGCGCATACCTCTCCGGCACACCAGAATGCAAGTTCGGGCTCAATGATCGATTATTACTAGACGGGGACAGCCTCTCCTCTCTCCCATCCGGGAACCGCATGGGGACGAAAGCTACAAAAGCAGCAGCAGGGAGCGTCACATTGGAAGACTGCCAATTCCACCAATGCGTCAAGCTGGGCAAATTTGACACAGACAGAATCATCTCCTTCATCCCTCCCGACGGCGAGTTCGAATTGATGCGGTACCGAGCCACAGAGAACGTGAACCTGCCATTCAAAGTCCACGCTATCGTCAACGAGGTCGGGAAAACGAAGGTAGAATACAGCATCGCGATCCGCGCAAACTATGGCAGCAAGCTCTTCGCCACAAACGTAATCGTCAAGATCCCCACCCCTCTAAACACAGCACGTATCACGGAGCGCTGTACGCAAGGCAAGGCCAAGTACGAACCGAGTGAAAATGTCATTGTGTGGAAGATCCCAAGATTCACGGGCCAGAATGAGTTTGTGCTGAGCGCGGAGGCGACCTTGACGAGCATGACGAATCAGAAGGCGTGGTCGAGACCGCCGCTGAGCTTGAACTTTAGTCTGCTAATGTTTACGAGTTCCGGGTTATTAGTGAGGTATTTGAAGGTTTTTGAGAAGAGTAATTATTCGAGTGTTAAGTGGGTGAGGTATATGACGAGAGCGGGGTCGTATGAGATACGGTATGCTCCTTTCTTGCGATATGAGTGAGAGATGCTGATGAAGTTTAGGTTTTAGTTTTGGAGTGCATGCTGTGGGAAAAGGAGTTTAGGAACATCAGCACTGCATTGTGGGCGTCGGAGATATGAACATAGGGTACTGTACAGTACATAATATGATGAAGATTTTTCAGTAGACCCTCGTTTTTAGTGTACAGTACATACCTTTTAAGCCAAACGAGCAATCATCTCTCGAGTTGAGAGGAAAGCTTCGTATCCTTTAGTTCGTTTCTGAATTGTGCACACAACACTTTCGTCAGGTTTTTTCGATCTTTCTTTCGAAGTCGTAGTTGCATTTTCTAAGTCTCTATTTTTGCGGTTTCTTGGGGGGTGGCTGAGCTTCCAATCAATAGTCGGCGATGTTTCGTTTTGTGGTTCTGTGGGCTTGCGTGGCGTGTTTCGTTTCATTATTTCGTCGTGGATTCACAGCAACGCATAAGCACGAGAAAGATCCCCGCTGCCTGTCGACATCTATGATCTACCGCGTACCTTGATGGCGAAGTAATGATTTTATGACTCTGATGAGATTTGTGTTAAGCATGATTGGAGACTCGGTACCAATGTCCGATTTTGCAGCACCTTCGATAACCTACCTCATGCAACAATGTACGCAACCATGAGCCTAGTTGGGCCAGATCCAAATCTGGCTCCATCCTTAGTTCCTGAGATAAAAGGTTGAAAGAGCGTCGAGCCGAGTCAAGCCTCGAGCCTCGAGCAATTGAGGGAATGCGAGAATGGGTGGATCGCATTGCTTTCCTATGGGTATAATGCTCCGCACAGTCCAGGCTGGCGTCATGTACAGTCTAGTCACCTATCCAAGATCCTCCAAAGCAAGAAAACATATACCTGAATCTCCTTTCCTCTCTTCGCCACCGCTCCCCCACCATTTCCCCCCTTCCCCATTTACTTTTTACCTCCAGGCTCGCTCACCTCAGAACTTCAGGTGGAAAGCACTCCTTGCAATCTTGCTCCTCAATCTCTTCCCAAATATATACATAGGAATAGAGACACCGCTCACAGCCAGATTCATGATGGCGACAGTCGTGAACACCGATTTAGCACCGCTCGATTCAAACCACCCATTAACAAACTCACTCATAACCAGGCTCAGCGCCGCCTTCACAGAGTTCATCGTCACGAAAGCCGGTGCCGCATGGCTCGGATGGCAATCCATCACATAAGTAAACATCGCGCTCGTCGCAAACGGCACGCTGAACGTCTGAACCCCGAGGAACGCAATTGGGATGTAGATTGAAGTGCCAGCAGCGATGGAGTGCCCGAAGCTGATGTAGGCGACCGAGGAGAGGGAGGCTGCAACGAGCTTCAGGAGGAGGCGGAATTCGGGCTCATACACGCCATTGTTGAGGCGTGTGAGGGATTGCACGAGGTAGTCGGCTGTGTAGCCTGAGAGGAGGGTTCCAATGAGTCCTACGCCGAAGAGGGGGAGGTTGGTTAATCCGATCGCTGAGGAGCTGAGGTTGTACGGTGCAGCAGAGAAGATTGTGTCTTGAAGGAGAGCGATGAGTGTGAGTCCCGCTGCGTAGAAAGAGTACGTGAATGCTGCGTAGGTGACGACTGGGAAGGTGATGAGAGGCACGGGTTTCCACGCCGTGCGCCAGAATCCCGCTTTGGAGATGCGGCCTTGGAAGATCCGCAGTTTTTGGGTGTATGTCTTGGGCGGCTCGGGGAGAATGATTTCGTAGATGCGGAGGGAGGACTTGTCGAAGATTACTTCCTTGCGTTGGGGTGGGGAAAAGTAGACGGTTTCGGGGACGAAGAGGTACATAAGAGGCAGGATGAAGGCGTAGATGAGAGCACAAATGCCGAAGGTAAATTTGAAACCCAGGTTTCGGATTATGAAGCCGGCTATGAGTTGTCTTCATACCATGTTAACTTGTCGAGCAGATTAAGGTAAAGGAGGACAAACCCAAGCTTCACGCCACCCATAACGAACAAGCAGGGAGGAATAAGAATAGTAGTGGTCAGTGTCAGTTGTCGAGACCCACAAGCATACCATGGCTTTCCCAGTCCGGCGTGCCCGAGCATATCGTAAGAGGAATGGTCGGCGTTGGTAACGGCTCTCGCGACGGGGCGATTACACACTCTCAGTTTCATATTGTAGATCTTTGTTGATGGCGACAGTGGTAGTGAGGCTGCGAAAGAGGTGACGAGTCAGTCTGAACAATGTTATCTTAAGGTCTTGGCGGCAAGCATCTTTTGTTCGATGCCTCAACGTGTGCTACAAACAGCTCCACTGAAAGTTTCACAGACCAAACGGCAGTCCCAGCACTGACTAGAAACTTCCCCGATGAGTTGCCGATAATGGGTACTCCTTGCAAATGGACCCCACTATGAGGGTATCCACAATTGAAATCCGCTTGGAAAAGGGTAAGGGGATCTCATGGACGAATTGGAAGAAAGAGGCTGTCGTGCCGGAGTGGGTAAAGATCAGCAGGAGAACACTTTGCAGTATGTGTAGGGAGACAGGAGACGAATGCATGGGGAATGCCAGTGGTTCCGCAATACAGCTCCACATGCATGGGAATTTGTCTAAGGCAGGAAAAGCCGCACCAGAGTTGAGCCCCATGACTGGAAGTGCCTTAGTGGTCTGACTGGATGGGAGCACGAACACTGCCGTCTGCGTCTCCCTGCTGCTTAAGAAATAAATTTAACTGATGTGAATCAGAGTCGAAGTCAATCATCTTGGACACGGAGATTGGAGGACTTCCAAAGGCTATATGTTCAAATATGTTAAGGAACAGCGGTCTGCACTTGGCATCCCATCTGAGCTTTCGTTTGTCATTAGAATAGGATTTCATTATACTGTGGGATGTGAATCTATAGAGGAGCCGAAGGATGTTTTGACGGAAAAGGTTTCTGTGCATACACGACTTTGACATCATGATAGCAATGCACCCTTCGATCCCGTGCCGCATGCCGTACTTGAGCGCTAAAGAAGAAAGAAGCAATGTCAGTTGACCAGAGATCGGGAAGGATGAAACCAAGGTCGGAAAAAGGATAACGAACAGTAAGACGTGCACCTCAGTTGGAGTCCACTGAAAATCGCAACCCAAAAATTAGCCGAATTCTGTTCACGACGCTGGAGCTGTCCGTTTCATGAGGAAAGAATAGGGTGGGAAGACTTGCATTCAGAACCCTCGTCAAAGTCGCCATCGCATACCCCTCCAGTCCGATATCAAATCCGAGTAAAGCCCAGCGTCCCAACTCCCGTAACTTCGGGTCTGCGGCCCATCCTCCTATCGGTGTTTTGATCACAGTCTCGGTCACGTTTTCGAATCCGGAGGCCGCGATCATGGGCTTCATTGATTCTGATATTTGGAAGGTACAGCCGGTAAGGTCGCCGGCTTGTTCGAAGAGCTGTGGAAGGTTAGTGAGAATTAATAAGGATTGGGCTTGGGGAGTGGAAGGGAGGGGAGGAAGACAGAAACACGGACTTCTCTAAATATTACCAAGGGGCTGTCGGTTCCTACTGTCCCGTCGTCGGATCTAATCTGCAAATATGTCAGCCCCCACTAGAAGTATTGAAGGTGAAGAAGCTGCTTTCAGAAGATAGGAACGAGGCGACATGAGATGAGGGAGGCGCGTACATTAATTGATATTTCCACCTGCTCAATGTAGCCACCAGGTTTGAGATGTCTATCAAGGTTAGGTATTGGCTCGGCAATCGTTTGCTAGATGCTTACTTGTATACTTGCTTGTAAAGAGCTGGCCAGTCCTGAATCGACCCAAACAGACTTCTGATATGAATCAGGTCAAAATGGTCTGGAGGATATGTCCAATCATCCCGACAATCATCAATCAAAAACTCGCAGTTTTCCGGTCTACACTTCGTCTCAGTAGACTCTCAAAGGGACAGTTATTGTGAGAGAGACTTACACCATATTTGGTTGTATAGGAGAGAGATCTGTTCCAATCACTTGTGTGTTGGGAAACTCGTCAGCGAAATCTATAGCCCAGATTCCTGTTCCTGTTCCGATGTCTAGGACTCTCTGTGTTCAGGTCAGCAAGAGCAAGATTCTCCTTTGAGGTAGATAATAGACGGAGTCTATGAATGTCGTACCTGAATGTTTTTTTCTACAGGTGCTAGGAGCAGGCTGCCACCAAGGGCCAGGAGGAACTTGTGGTGTCTAGACTCGAATTAATAGGAAGTCTGAGTTTTGATAGTGCAGGAGCTCACGAAATGTCAAGATTGTCGTTCTGTCGATCATCATTGGGTTGCCTGCCTTCAAATTAGCAACTTTTCCAATATCCCTCGATTTCCATGCTCGCTCACCAGTAAGTTCCGTCTTTGTACGCATGATACTGCCGGCCATGTTCGATGCGGTACTCTGTTACACTCGACTCAATGGACTTTGTGTCATCGCTACTGTCTCAACGATAAGCAATGTGCCCCAGACAATCGCTTACAAAAGACCACAACGCACATTTCAAAGTCAGAACTATGTGGCGAGCTGTCGCCACGGCGCTGCTCACCGGTTAGCTCGGACTGAAGATTGGGGGAATGCTCAACATACCGCCTCGATAGCCTCATCGTCGTTGGCCATCGCGAGGTCGGCTGGTCGCGACGGCGATGCGCACGACTCACTTCGTTGTCTGTCGACGCAAATGTGGTTGCTCAGAAAATAACGGCAGCGAATGGCAGCCAGGTTGTCGGGTCTCCATCAGTCCCGTTCTTCTGGTCGTCGGGTCCTAAGTTGCCACTGAGACCAGTCCGCTCCCAGGTAGCCAGCGCATTGGGTATGATCCCCGCAGAGCCACAAATCGGAGAGCACGCACGCAATGCCCAGGGCACGCTTCACTCCCACAGGCCTGTCGTTGGACACACTTCACTTCATCGAGAGCATCACCGAAGGCCCCGCCCGCACTCATCTCCAGGAGCAGACATCCGGGAAAGCCACCACGGAGTGATTGGCCCGATGGTTCCCAGCACTGTGGATGAAACCCGATGCGCCGTTTGGGTGGTGCTCACTGAGACAGAAAAGGGCCCAGGGTCGCCGCCGCCTGCAGAGCTGCTGCAAAAGCGACTTCCGCCTGGCTTGGATATTGGAGGATTTTGGCAGACAGGTCATCTTGCTATTTGCTGGAGGAAGATGCTGGGGCAGTTGCAGCTCAAAGGGGCAGGACAACCGAGCAGCCCGGGAAAGTGGTCAGCAATCACCTCAGTGGCGCCATGGGCCGTAGCTCTCCCGCAGCAAAATTGCCCGCATTACGCGATAGAAATAGGAGGTGAGGATTGATATCGTATATGACGCTTGCAAGTGCTGTTTGTCTATTTCACATCTCATCATGCATACGACAAAGGCCACAGGCCACATTACAAGAAGGCCCTCTGCCGCATCTCATCTCCACTGCTGCGTCACAAGAACTGGACAGCGTGCTGCTCGAGGAGGTGGCTGAAGCCTCATCGCCTCGCAGGTGCGTTTGGAAAACCCTCCCTCAACAATGGTCGAATGCAGCTTATGAGACGAGCTGCATCGAAAACTTCCAGGCTGTTCGTCGTCAGTTTCACCCCTAACAGCCGCATTACTGTACGAGGCTACACACCATCAGATTCATCTCCATCTCGTGGCTGGGTTCTTGGCCAAGGACAAAGCCACGGCTAAGGCGGCTGCGCTCATTATCCCCCTTCCTAGTCCCTAATCAGTACAGACGCCTATATGCAGCTCGGAGATTCTCCCCGGCTCACCGCACAAGTGATGACAAGTGTATGCGCTGCAGTTGCGGCCCGAGTTCTTTCCTCCGTGCGAGTCCTTCCTTGCATCTCGCGTGCATCATGCCGATCATTTGTTTCCCGTGGTCATTCTGTCTTCCCTTTCCGATCGCGTCTCTCTTCCCGCTCTCCTCGTCACCGGTGCCCGAGTTGGGCAAAATGATGTCCTCCCAAGTTGCGAGGCAGATACGAATTGCAGTGTCCCATTCGTCGGCTTCGCAGAGCAAGGCTAGGTGCGCGATCCTGACTGTACGATCCGCGGTTGAGGATTCGTTAGCTTCTCGTCTGATTCTTTCCGTCTCTGCTGACAGCGCTGTTGCTTCATTTGATAGCTTTTTGAAGTCTTTGGCAGAAGAGCTCCGGGCCGTGCGACGTTTCCAAAGGCTAATGCCAATGTGCAGGAGAAGCACGATAATGGCGATCGCGGAAACAAGGACCGGGCTGACCAGCTTTGATATCGGTGTCATCATCTTGCGGGAGGCTGCTTAAACGAGTCCGGCGAAGTCGACTTTACGAATATGGAATAGATGTGTGAAAGTTGCAGTCGTTATTGTACCCATGTTGAGATGCTGTGTGTACTTGGCGAAGAATGCTGGTGGCGTTGAATGCCGTGCTTCGTTCGAATTTTTCGTGGTTGCTAGTAGCGACTGCAGGAATGCAAAAAGCCGTGATAAAGAATACCTGAGAAGTTTCTGTTTAGCTGTTGGTTATAATGGACCTGGACTGCGCAAGACTCCTGTGCGTGCTTCATCCAAAGTCCGTCTGACCAGAATTTGGCAGGTCAGTCACAATATGATTGTTTGGCAGATTTCGGACCCCTTGTTACCTTCGACATGAATATTAGCTTGGCTTTTGAAGTTCTGAAGTCGAAGGCACCAATGATCCTTCCCCAAATTAAGTGCATTTGGCTTTCTCACACGTAACCCACCCACGTGGTTATATCGTCTCATGTCAATTCCAGGACCTATTTCTCGAAACTTCGATGCGACTCTGTGAATCATGACTGTCGATTGTTTATCATTCTATAATTGGATATCCCGCAGCCATTTCCAACCTAAGCCAAAGGTGGGTCGTTCTGCCTTGTTACAGCGACCCACACGTGACCACCCCTTGCTCAAATTTCAGGCAACCTCGGCACTCCCCCTTCTCTCTACAGTCATAATACTCCAACAGAGTTATCGCCATACAGAATCAAGTACGGAGTAGTATCTTTTTGTTTCCTTTCATTCCATTTGTGGAACGAGGCGCAGCGATTGCCTTGAGCCTGAGCCTCGCATCCTCCTGACGCGATGATATAGTACCTCTCTGTTCTCCTGAATCCTTCAACTTGGACCCCAAATGATATTATTCGCTCCTAGCCCCCAACAGTTAGTTGTCCTTGAACCACGCCTCCTTCGTCATATATAATTACTCTAATTCTCCTCTCTCAATTCACCTTTCACACCAAGCTGCCGTCATGGCCAACAGACCACCTCACCAATCAGACAGAGACCTCATGCCCCCACCCCCTCGCTCGCGGCCCCCACCACTCTCCCACACCCTCGGCGGCACAACAAGACCAATCCTCCTCTCGGACACGGAATTAGAGTCTTCATCTGACGATGACGATGGCTCAGCCTCATCCACGCCGCATGTACGCGCCAGGGGCCTCCAAGATGCCACGCAGCGAATGCTCGATGATCTGAGATCTGTTGTGCAAGGCACAAACTACTGCTGTGGTGGAACCATCCCAACCGAAAATTTCACGACCTCGACATCGTCAGCAGAAACCGAGAGAAATACCGCGAGTTCAACTACGCTTCGCTTCGATACTCCTGATGGCCTTGTGGCGAGAATAAAGTTTCCAAATACTGCTGAAATCAAACCTCTTTCACGAGTTTGCTCACATCCCACTTTCTCAAGTGAAGGGAGGGGTGGCCTTGATGCGAGTCACTTCTCAACAGATTTTCATCCCCATGACTTCGGCATCAGTGATACGATTGCTCAGACACTTCTGCCTGGGGTCGAGAGATTAACAAAGGATGAGGGGACTAAGAAGGGGGAAGAACTTTGGGGTGTTAAAACTGAGTTGAGGGCATTGAATGTATGTTCACCAAATTTTACCTTTCCAATCTCTGTCCTGCAACTACTAATCTTCATTGGCAGATATACTACCCTTCCAGTTCCAGTTCCGCAATCAAAATCCAGGACACCACAAGCGAGAAGGGACGAGCCGAACCGCATTTTGGCACCCTAATCATCTGCCTCCCTTGTCCACACCAAGGCGGCCAGCTAACCCTCTCGCACAAATCCCGAACGCAAACCTCTGACTGGAGCTCTACCTCTCCTTCAATTCGATGGGTAGCCTTCCACAACCAAGCTGCACTATCAATTCAGCCCGTTACTGCTGGCCACCTAATCACGTTGACCTATAATCTCTTCATCTCCTCACCTATCCGCCTCCCTCTCCATCCCACCCTCCCTTTCGCAGATCCAACTCTCTACCCCCTCTACACAACCATCAAAACCATGCTCACAGACCCCTCGTTTCTACCAGAAGGAGGAACACTTGGTTTCTTCTGCACCAACAACTACGGCCACACCCGTCGTAATGCAGATAAAATGTTTCCGTATTGTTTGAAAGGGGTAGATGGCGTGCTATTTAGCGTCTGCAACGCACTCGGCCTAAAGACAACCGTGAAGCCGGTCTTAGGCGATGAAGCATGGGACGAACACTACGAGTACCTTGTACAAAGTTTCATGGAGGAAGATGGAAGAGAAGGATCTGTTCCTTCGCAACAAAATATTTCAAGGATTGGCAAGGACTTTGGGAGGATAAAGATGGTTGATGTGCGGATTGAGACTGGCGAGGATCCGACGGCTGTAAGTCTTTCTTTCCCTTCCCTTTGATGATCGCTTTAACTTCGTTCCTTTGCTGATGCAGCATTTCCAGGTGGTTAATAAATACTTCCCGTTCAATGACGTCGAGGGTGTGGAGTGGTTGAATGAGGCAAGGCATGAAGGGTGGGAGGTGCAGATGGTCAATTTGAGGAGGCCGAATGGGAAAGAGGGAGAGGAGGGAGAGGGAGGCGGCTTGATGTGGCATTATAGTTGTGCGGCGATTTTGGTTGGCGTTTCTGGGTGGGAGGTGAGGAAGGGAATGATGGCGGTGGTGGCGGGACGAGGGGAGGAGGAGGAGATGAGTGGATGAAGGGGCCCGATATTAAGATACCAGGTTAGCTTTTGGATTGTGTGCGAGGCCTAAATAAAAGAAAGGTCCCTTCAATAGCGAGTGCTGGGAAGGCCAGAGTCTGCAACGTCCATACTAAGTTACTTTTTATTGAAGATTTAGTTATACTGAACTTTCAGTACAACCACTCAAAATGTGATTCGTTTATAATTTGGAATGTACCAGATTTCTGAGCACAGCACTTCAAAAGATTATGACAACAAAGAGAAGTTTAGTAGCAAGAATTAGCTACTATAGACAAATGTACTTAAACTACTTGCTAACTATTTCGCATTATTATTAATTGTATAAGCTAGACAAGATCAGATCTCCAAGGAAATAAACGTGTCAGATGGCCGTTTGCAGTGTTAGCAAACAACCACAGCCATTACCTTTCAGTTTAATTAATATAATAAACCTAGTAATTTATTAAGTAGGCTATAATATCTTAATATAAGAAAATAATTACAATTTCTAAAAGATTGATTTTATGTATTTAATGAATTTAGATTCTTCCGCAATTTCGCATTTTCACAGTTTTCTCGTTTAGCAATTCTGATCAATTACCGCCTAAGGACCTGCCACATTCGCTAACTCCGTGCCAATATTTCGTCTGGGCGCTAAATTTTCCCAGTGTCTGCCCTTCGAGCAAGCTGTGGCACGATTATTGCTCTACACTGCGTTCTTCTGAAGTATGGAATCTAGGATGATATGGATAACAGTCTCAATTCAGCACCTATTTATAGTGTCAATAGTAAGCTCTCACCGCCTTTATGTGAGGGCTTTCCGGATTTAGTACGAAGTCGAGGAGCTGAGTCAGGAGAAGGGTTGTAGTCAGCGTCCTGCAGCAATTGCTGTCTCAGCACTGAGTCTCGCTACGCTGAGTGAGAACCAATTTAAACAACGTCATTCCTTGACCATAATCTAGTCGCTTCATCCAGTCTCCTTTCAAATCGCTGCAGATATCTTTCTAATATAATATAGACCCGCCGCCATCAATGTTTTGATTATTCTGTGCCATCCCGGGAGTCAGCCAACACGAGGTAGATTTTCCCAAGCAGCGGAGTACGAGTGAGCTGTGCCGGAGGCCTGGTACCAAAAGACAGGAAATGGCAGCGAAGAAGAAGCAAAAGATCCTCTTCTTTGTCAACAGCGACTATGGCCAGGCAAATATATTCCTAGCTACAGCATTTGCCATAATGCAGATAGCCCCAGACGTTGAGCTGCACATTGCATCCTTCCGTCCGTTACAAGATGCGGTCGAGAAGACTTCTAAGCAAGCACAGGAGGCGAGACAGAACGGAAAGGAATCAATCCAGCAACAGCCAAAAGAGAAAGGACCGGGAATTACCTTCCACCCAATCAAGGGCATTTCGCAATTCGAAGCATCCTTTCGTCCTGAAGTAGGTGTGCAAGAGGCTTATAACCTGACACCTGGTCTGATCAATTCCGCGCGAAACATCCTTATCATACCAGGGATTATGATGCCATGGGGACCGGATGAATTCATAGAGATCTACCGTAACTGTGAGCTGATCTTGGACAAAGTCCAGCCAGACATCGCAGTGGTAGATCCGCTATTCAGCCCTGGATTGACGCTGTGCCAGGACCATCGGCGTCGAAGGGGCTTAAAGTGGACGGTGTTGGCGCCGAATACCATTAAAGATTTTGCTATCCCACTGCAACCGCGCCTAGCGATGCTATGGAAATATCCCATGTGAGTTAAATTATTTCCTCAATAAGCCACCCTCTTTTGACTGAAGAGAGCCTCAGCTAATAACCCGTCAAGCGTCTGTTCTGCGCTGCCCTTCCCGCTCCCGCTGCATCAAATACCACACAACATTCTCCTCAACCTTGTTGCAGGCTATATGCTGATCACTGATACCCGTGTAAAGACCGTTTCATCTTATCTCCAGCAGGAGCTAGGTCAAGAAATCGGCCTTATAACCGCGAACGAACTTGGTGTCCTGAAAGCTGCCCCTCCTGGCCTCCGCATCATTTGTTCTAGTAGTCCAGAGCTCGACTATCCATTCACCGTCCTGCCAAATCATATTGTCCCATGTGGTCCAATTATACGTGCGGCGCAGAGCATTGGACACGTCGCTCCGGACTTGCAACGCTGGCTGTCGAGAGGACCTACAGTATACGTAAATCTAGGTACACACTTGACTGCAGATGCAACAGAAGCTGTCGAGATGGCTAGAGCATTTCACGATTTGTTTAATGACGCACTGGATACAAGATATGGCACAGAGCTACAGATTCTATGGAAGTTGAAGCGCAAGTCGAGCGGTATCAGCCAAGATGATGTCAATGCGGCCAAAGATCCAAACAACTTCACAGGGCCATGGAAGGGGATTCGTGATATATTGGGTCACAAGATGGATGAAGATCGAGTAAGGATAACGGACTGGATAGCCGCAGAGCCAAAATCGGTGCTGGAGTCCCGACACATCATTTGCTCGGTGAATCACGGTGGCGCGAGTTCATTCAATGAGGCCATTTGGTAAGTGGCGTACTCGAAATAGATGATGACAAGTGACCGTCATTGGTTGGGACGAGCCCTTGCTGATATTTCACTTCGCAGCGCCGGTGTTCCTCAAGTCCTTCTTCCTGCCTGGGCCGACTGCTATGACTTTGCGAACCGCGTCGAGCTCCTCCGCGTGGGGCGCTGGGCCAACAAGAAAGCAAAACCACGGTGGAGACATCCCGAACTCTCCACTGCCCTTCGGGAAGTCCTCATCGGCCCGCAAGCAGAAGAAATACGTAAGAATGCGAGGAGCCTTGCTGAGAGATTCCCAGAGAATGTAGGACGGGACAGAGCTGCAACTGAATTATTAGATGAGATGAATGGAGTGTAGGTTCGTCCGATTTCAGATCCCAGAAACAGTCTCATCCTTACTATTGTACATTGGGACCAGGGGAAGACCTTTTTCTTTTGCAAAATTGGTTCAGAATGAGAAATGAGTCTATAGCTAGGCCTTGAAAGGGGATCCGTCTTGACATAAACGCCTTCAATATCGCCTTTCAAACATATTCAATGGTCACCGAGCTGTATCGTTTGCCTGGAAATGTTCTTAGTAATGTTGATAGAAAGAAAATAAATGAATGGGCAGCTGCTAACTTACCCTTGTGCACTAGCTCGTACTTCGTAGATGCAGATTGATATGTTACCTCCACGCTGAAGCGCAGCACGTAGTAAAGCCTGTTGTCCTTTCCGGTTTTTATATCCAAGGCGTCCTTCGGCAATTCTCCAATTCCGACAGTCAGTTCGGCAAGCATCTCCACTTCTTCGTCTTGATATACGACTGCGGATCGGTTGGTCCGATCGCAGTAAACATATAGTGTGACATCTTCGGGTGGACCGTCTGCAACGAGGCTGGTCTGGTAAAAGTAAAACGGGTATGGCTTATCTTCGTTCACTGTGTCGCCCTGTTGAATACGATATTTCATTAGTCTTGAAATTTGAGGTGCACCAAGGAGTTCGTAGGTACTTTTTTGATGAACCAGTTCATAGCGGTCGTTCTCCAAGTCCCGTCATAAGCGTCAAAGTATCTGAGGTCCATTAGCTTGACATCGTGCTGGTTAAGACCGCAGTGGGTCACAAACTTTCGGCTCACGGAGTGTATCATCTCGTCGAAGATAACTGAAGCGCGTGTACCAAGATGCTTCCTGGCCATTCGAGACGTTAGGCGCACTTTTGAATGCTTGGGATCAGATTGTGCGAGTCCTTTCAAGACTGCACCTCGAACAACGGCACTCCATCCATATGGCGGCTGGATCACTTCGATATTCTTGCTCACGGCCTCTTTGATCCGTTCCCGAAGATACATGCTCGTGCCAAAGCCTCCTACCAGCAGGACTGCTTTTACCTCTCCGCTGGTTGTCCGAATCTGTTCAAGTACCAATTTCACGACTTGTCCTATCACAGGCTCAAGAATTTGTTTCACGTCTTCAGATTTCAGGACCAATTTTCCTCTTTTTACCGAGAGCGATTCGTTGTTGGCGAGGCCGGTCACGGGGACTTTCCAAGACTGGTCTTTACTGGTAGACGTGTATTGAATCTTGACCTAGTAGGATCTGGGTTAGTTCCCAACCAAAGGTGAGGGTAATCATGATTACCATCTGATCGAAATGCTCCATGGCTTCTTTTAGGACCTCTTCGTCCCACCCGTCTTGATTGCTGAGTCTGGCTTCAAGATACTCTCGGAATCTTCGATTCAAATATGTGCTTCCACATAGTCCGCCAGCGCCGGGAGCCGCTTCTTTCACCTCTAGGATAGGTTCAAGTTTGACGACGGTATACGAGATCAGATCAACTGTTCCCCCTCCAGCATCGCATACCACAAAAGTATCTCCTGGTTTAAGGTAGCGCCAATCTTGTCGTTGGAGGGCATAGGTTGCTGCGGCTTCCTACAATAATTATAAGTCGTAACCCGTACATGGCTTTTTAGTTTTCTTTTTGTCAACTCACAGGTTCTGATACCAACAAGATAGGTGCATCTTTTCCTAACCCTGCTTCTTCAGCTGCACTAAGTGTCTTCTCTTTGGCAATTTCACTCCATACCGCAGGAACAGTCAAGATGAATTGTAAGGGTGTTTCAGTTGCTTGGAGCTCGCCCAGGTGAAGTTGGAGCATATAAATGAGGTGTCTTTTGAGTGCAGACAGATAATCTGCAGTAAGTTGCTGAGCATTATGATCAACAGTTGAGAGGAGTCTATTTGTAAGAGGGTAGCGGTTGGCCAAGGCCTTTTCTTTTGGATCATATGTAGATTCGAGATCTCTGTCACAGACGTCAATCAAATCACTCCGATTTGAACAGGGAGTCATAACATACAATTTGAACCATTGGTGACAGGAAGTACCGTTTTCAACCTGATATCCCCATTTGAAATCGCCTGGAGCTTCTCCGTCATACAAAATCTGGGTTTGGACCTTTTCGCTGCTCTTGTCCTGAGGAGAACTGAGGCCTGGCCATTGCTGTATGAGGTTTATGTGGGCCTGGGGCATATGTCAACAACATGTCATCAGTAACATCCAATAGCACGGGTTCATACATCGTGGGTATTGGCCCATGCAATGCCAGAGAAGGTGGTTCCGAAGTCAATACCCACTATAATCTTCGTTCCCTGCGAGGCCAAGCTCTTCGCACCGGTCTTTAGATTCAAATCCCGCAGATTTTTATAAAGTTCGGTAGTGGACATGATTGCAATCTGCTAGAATCGAGAGTGTGAAAGGCGAGAAGAGCTGCAGCGAAATTTTGTCGTGATGACACGCACGCATGCGTGATAAAGCACTAAGTCATGGTTGGTTGCACGTTCTGCAACTCGATCAGCTTGCAGGTTTGGTTGCACTCTTCGCAGGTTTGACCGTTGGAACCACTCCGTTGGGATTGTACTATGACACATTGGGAAGCTCGTGCAGAAGGTTGAAGTAACCCCTCCCCCCCCGTATTACCAATACTCGCCGCCTTTGGTCGAGGTCTCTTTCTCCACCATAGACGTAAAATAAGTTCTAATCGTTTTCAAGACGGATTTAACCCAAGTCGAAGATGGTTTCCTTTCAATAAGTGAGGTACTCGAGTGTTTGGGTGGATTTCTCAATTCCATCAACGTTGAAGTCAAGCGCCCGGAAATGCGGGACAGAAGGCTTGGTTCCATATGGCCGCCCCTGACACAGTTCTCATCCCAGTAATCGCCGCGAAAAATACCGGATTTGACCCTTCCTCTCCCCCAGAACATGCATCATGCTTTGTAACACAATTCAAACCCAGTTGGAGACATCCCAACAAGCTCTGATTGGCGCTTATACGAGTTCCAACAAAGAAAATCCTTCCCGAGCAAGCAACCTCCCCAACGCAATCTTTTAGATTGTTTCATTCATCACCGGACGCTCACTGCCCAAGTTCTTGTTTGGGTTTTGATAGAAGGTCTCTCTGAGCATGATACAACTTGCCTTCCGGACAGTCGTTTGCGGTGGATGAGAAAGATCGGAGGATCTTGCATAGAAGGACAGAACACCATGGAACCCGATTTGGATTTCAAGGAGGAAACTGTAAGTTAAGATATTTTGGGAGTCAAGTTCAATTTCTGAATTTGTCAAAAGCCAGGACCAATAGCGGATCTTCAAACAGAGGGTTCCGAGTCGCAACGTCGAGTTCCCAAACAAGAAGAAGCAGCACAATCAATACCACCAGTGGCCGATCCGAACCGGAAAGCCCAAGAAGCACCAAGAACTACCTCGAAGCGTAGATCAAAGCCACACGCACCTTCTGGCGAGGCTAGACGTACTCAGGACGGGAATTCAGAAAGCTCCAGCGGTGCGCCGCAAACAATGCAGGCAGCAAACAAGGCCTCCCCCACTGCAGATAGAGTACAGAACAGCGTTGACAGAGAGTCACATTTCGAACCAAAAGGTACCATTACCGTACTCTGTAAAAGCATATCGCTGACCAGGCACAGACCCCCGACGGGCCTTGACAAACCCTACGAAAGGAAATGATCACACCCCGACCTTCCATACCGATCGTCACTTTAAACAACAATATGAAAAGCTCGAACAACATTGCCAACACCTGGAGTCAGAGCGAAAGGAACTCCTTCGTCTTGTAGACTCCCTGAAGGTCAACTTGGGAGAATCGGAGGCTCAGAGGGAAAGTCTACAACAACGACTTGAAGAAGCATCAAATACAATCTTTCGGCATCGACCACCAAGAGAAGAGTATACAGAGGATGAAATTGAAGAAGACTATGAGAGGCTGATCAAGGCGATTAAGAATTGGGTTAGCGTCAACTGCGAAGCCTTTCTGGACGATGACTTACATGGATATGGAGCACTTCTCCGCCATAGGCCACAACAAAGCGACCACCTTGAACCTTACGAAGGGATAATAGCGAATTTCCACTCTCAATTCTCGCAATGGACTGAACCGAAAGAACATGTCCTGGTGGCAGTCGTAATGCGGTATGTTTATGAACGGATTTTGACACAAGGCTTCTCTGTACTCCTAACTCCCGATGAACGGAGTACTCTTGCCAGTATTGAGAAGGGATTGCATGATCCGAGACTTGAAAAGGGTAAGAGACCTCGATGCGCACACGAACGAGTCGAAACTGAACGAAGCAGATTTGCCCACCGTTCGAGCCTGGAGGAATGACACTATAACAGCGGTTGACAGTCACGCAAGCTTTACAAAACGTGCCACTTCCATCGAAAGAGAGCTGACTTCAGATCTTCGCAATTGTCTTCGTGGAGCGCTGAGTGGCGAAAATGAAAATTCAATAAAGTGGTCATTGTGCAAGGAGGTGATCGTGCCCGCAATGGGGCTTGCCCACAAAGTATGCCTCCATATTCAGATTTCTCCCGATTTTACACCAACTATACTGACACAAGAAAGACTCAATCTGCATCGAGTATATGGGAATTCGGCTATTCTGACTACCTTGCTTCCAAACCAGGCGAATTCGGATCGAGGCTGCCAAACTTCCTCCCAAATATTCGGCATTTCCGATGCATCAACCTGTCAAAACGAGGCAAACTCTTGAAGCCAGACACTGATCTGACTACCAGAAAAGAACAAGAAAGCTTGTGTTACATGTTGGATATCTTTCCTGGTCTGTATTGCCAACGAGTGGCAGCCGGGAGTTCTCCGTTGTCTTCAACTATCAGTCAACCCATTCTCCTCGTCGCTTTTGCAACGGAAGGCGGTCTTGATCGTACGCAACAGAGTCACTCAGCACCTTTGAACCCTGAAACATCACCCCAGAATCGAAACGCATCAGCCACCCGTCCGGTTTCGACTGGTCGTAGCAGTGGTTTTATCCACTCACTGAAGAATTATGTCGGTCTCAAGCAGCAAAATTCTTAGAACGGAAGTCTTTCTTTAGTGAAAAATGTTGAGCTCAAACTCAATAACTTTGAGGCGGACAAAGAGATGGATTCGGATGGCAGAAGATTGGCCTTACGTTTGCACTGGGAGGATTCGTTTGCTCAATTACCGCAATCACCTTGTCGTCCCAGAGCGTGCTAAAGATAACGCTTGATGTAGACGATAATCGTGTCTAGTCAACTGGCACAAGACACAGCAGGAACTACCCTCGACCATCGTGCCTAAAGTTGAATGAAAGGAAGACTACTGTTCAATCCTTCGCCAAGAACCTCGGTGAGGATCTTTTGGTAGGCTGCAGCATAGTGGGGTAGCTGTTCGGGCCGCCACCCCCTGATTTGGGGGCTAGTTTCCAGCCCCAGCGGCCCAACAGCTTGTCAAACGGCAGCTAGAGCGCGCAAAGAGTCACCGCCGAAGGGAGCTGGAAGGCATCCGAGTCGCAAATATGTCAAGTACCTTGTAGGTACCTTTTAAAGGCTGTTTTGGTTGGCTCAACTGCCGCGATGCCGACCCGAAAGCCTGAGGCTGTGCACGGCAGCCTAGGTGGCTTCAGCCCAGTAGGAGTTCGGTACGCCTGTGTGACTCAGGGGTTGGAACGCTTCAGTGGAACCCACTAGGCATGAGAATCCACCGTCAATAAATATCTACAGCTCTCATTTCTTCAAGATAGCTTTAATCTAAGCCAGTCTTCTCCAGCTCTTTTCTACCAACTCGATCATTCGAGGTAAGCTTATCGTCGCGCGACTCGCAAATTCCCACTCCCCCAAGTCATCACGCGATTCTAGTTTGTCACCATGGCGGACACGGCTGCTATCAAGACCGCCATGGAGGCACTTGCAAGTCAATTCGACTTGAAGATTGTCGAAGAGGAGAAGAAGGAAGAGAAATCCGCAGGCAGCACTCCTGGCGCTGACACCCCAGCCACCGATGCCTCAGAGAAAGAGACCGACCCAGAACTGAAAGATGCCCCAGTCGGCTCAATCAACAAGATCAAAGACCTCTATCAAGGCCCCGAAGACAGTTCAGGACGGGCACCCTGGGTAGACAAATATCCCGAGGACGTCGAAGAAGCGGCCGAGACGGAAGAAACAGCAAAATACGCATTCATCGCTCGCAAGAAGAAATGTTTTACTGGCCGCAAGAAGTTCGACATCGATTCGATTATTGTGAATAGTCCCGCCGTGAAGAAAGTGCTGGAGAACGTGTTTGCCAAGTACCCTGGAGTTACATGTTCTCTTGATCGATTGGTTTTCGACGCCCCATTTCAACCATTCGTTCATCGATGGTCCGAATTCAAACTGGCAATTGAGAGTGAGAAGAATGAGAGCACCAAGACCCACCTCGAACTTCTTCATAAGCTTTTGAGGGAGGAACTCAAGGATACCATCAAAGCCCTGGAAGATTTCATCCTGAACGGTGTCACCACTTTCGATATTCTATGGGCCATTTTCCAGCCAAAATGCACAGTCTACTCTCGAACCGGAGGTCTTCCCAACTGCCAGTCTTTCTACAGTGGCTCTTATGGCGAAGGCCAATGCGGCAAATATTTCCAGCTAACCCTCGAACCAATTGGCTGGAATGGAACAGCATTCAAACGGGGCACCGAGTATGCAAATATCTATGACTTCCAGGGGACAAAGCCAATCAAAGACTTGAGTGCTTGCCCCCTGCATCTACATCCGGACAAGGAGCAGATAAAGAAGACTCTGGTCAAGCGTGGAAAGAAGTATGAGCAATTTGCAGGCTATCATTACAAGGCGTAAGTCCTCCCGATGGCCAATTTTGCTTGCTGCTCACATCTCTTTCAGATACGAAGGGATTGCTTTGTCGTGGAACGCCAAAGGTACCCAGATACCTGTGACAGTAAGTATCTCTCAAGTTATTTTTTAAGACCTGGTAGTAACACCTTCTCTCAGGTGACGGGACGCATCATCATTGATACCGAGTCATTTGATCGTAATAATCCAACCAAAAGCTCGTCCTACAATGACGATCTGCACACGCAAGATTTCAATGTCTCCCAGACCGTAGGGTTGGATTTCAAAACGATGGTTACTGTCATCCAGAATGACTATGAAGACGAAGGTGACGGACCGAAGATTAATCTTACTGACGATGGCCGTCTGATCTACAAATCAACGGTCCCTGGCTACTCACTGAAGCAGAAGAAGTGGAGTAAGTAAATCAGCGGTCCAATTATCACACCAATTCTAATCCCCACAGTGCTCTTCTTCGTCGACTTCATCAAGGAGATCGAGTGGAACGAGAACGCATTCAGCACACTCGTTCTCCCAGAAGACACCAAAGACCTCCTCATGTCCTTCGTAGAAAGCCAAGTCGAGAATAAGAACACCTTCGACGACGTGATCCAAGGCAAGGGCAAGGGCATAATCATGCTGCTCTCTGGCCCACCAGGTGTAGGCAAGACCTTAACAGCCGAGTCGGTCGCTGAAAGCATGCGCATCCCATTATACATGATGAGTGCAGGCGACCTAGGAATCCGACCCGACGAGGTCGAAGACGCATTGCAGAAAATCCTCGAGATGGTCGCAAAATGGGACGCCATCCTCCTGCTCGATGAATGCGACGTCTTCCTCGAAGCACGAACGAATTCTGACTTGGAGCGCAACAAGCTCGTATCCATCTTCTTGCGAACGCTAGAATACTACGAAGGTATCCTCTTCTTGACAACGAACAGAGTGGCGAACATGGATGCGGCATTCCAGTCCAGAATTCACGTTTCGATGGAATATCCTAATTTGACGACGGACGCCAGACGGCAAATCTGGGAAAACTTCCTCAAGAACTCGAAGCAGAAGAGTGAAGTGTCTGAGCAGGATCTGGATTACTTATCGACGATTGAGTTGAATGGACGGCAGATCAAGAATGTGCTCAAGACGAGCTTCTTGCTTTCCATGAGGAAGAAGACACCACTGAAGAGGGAGTTCATTGAGATTGTGTTGGCGATCGAAGGACGGAGACCTAGTGCTTGATTACGTTCTTCTAGTACAGAACTTTAGAGAGGACAATAAGTAACTAGGGAGTTCAATTCTTGGACAGGCTTTGATGTCGGTGGGTACAAATCTCTGGTTCGAGTCTGGAACATTGCTTCTTCCCGTGGTTGCTGCGAGGCGTTCCAGAAACCAGGGGCTCAAGATAGATGAGTGAAACTATTCCAAGCACAGCATAGTTAGCCTGTGCGCCAAGTTGCCTTCAGCCCAGTTGAAGATGATATTCTGAACTGGAATAATTGACCCACTGTCCCGTTTCTCGGCGATAATCTGTCGAGATTTCTTCAAGTGCAGCGAGATTCCCCTATTTTGATAAAAATATTCAAGTAGCTGTATGGACTTCTGCGTGTACATTGCAGTGATAAATGGATACCCCCTGCTTGTCTCGCTCAAGTTTCAACTGTGTAATTATAGATAATCTCACCCCTCACCCCTCACCCCTCACCCCTCACATCCTCCCTCTCTGCCAATATTTTCCTCCGCCCTTCTACTCATCCATTTTTAAGGCTCCAACCCATCTAGACCCCTCAACTACTCTCCATATAGTCAAGCGGCAACCCCACAAAAGCACACTGTTGCAACTCATTAAACCTCTCTTTCGCCCCTCTGCACGAGTTCGACCTAGGGCCGAGCCGTTAAAGAGTTCCAAAGAATGCGGAGACGCGGCCCGCAAGCCAAAAGAATGCTAAGCGCGTGGAGGTGGCACCTATTCGTTTTCCCACCTATGGCAAAAGCAAATGCGCAGGATGTGCCTTTCGACAAAAGTGCGGAGAAATATAGATGGGGGGAACGCGGGATACATGATTAGCACTCCTGAAGTATAGGCTGTTTAGAATGCGGAGCAGCATTTGACTCGTCTCCATCTTCAACGCTGGAATTGTTGCTTTGAATGTGCAATCAAACTCGATACAAGTCCTACAAAAATGTTGCCCGTTCTTAGAACGTACTGAGAGGACGGCTTCCCCGCCATTCGTCACATATGAAGGATGAGTTCTTGCCAACAGGCGCTACACAGCCATCAGTTCTCATCCGGAAAGCTAATTATCCGACTGTAGCTGAGCTCTGGAAGAGTCGATGGTCCAGCTCCAATCAAAGTGATGGATCCAAAATTGCGATCTCGAATGATGGAGCCGCCGATCCTGGAAAGAAGAGGCGACGAAGGGGAAGGCGAGGGATCTGGAGAGTCTGAAGTATCGCCAGCCAAGTCCTTTCTTCTTCGTCGACCAAATATAACTTGAACAGGTGCGCTGATCGGGCCAAATCGTTCATTATTTGTCGTTGCTTCAACTGCTTGGGAAAGGGTTCGAGGGAGATACAGGCCCACCATTCCGACAGGAATACTTAGTCCATGGACGACCTGTTGAAGTTATAGTGTATAAAACGAGTACAAGGTTGTCGACCTCAACTTACATTACTACAAATGGCCAAGAACCAAATGACCACTGTCACTACTTCTCCCAATTTCCGAGCATCATCTCGCTGAACACCATCGACCTTGATGGTATCCAGGAATTCCAGGGTAATGTAAAGGTAAAATATTGCTGATACCCCGATCGGGCCAAAGAACCCCATGAAGACCGCCTGCCGCCGCCCATCAATCTGGTGAATGTACTTACGTAGTACAAAGAGTATTGGAAGGCGTCTCAATAGGAGGATGAGAACCCCAAGCAGCACCAAACGATACATCGAAACAACAGAATTTGTCGCGAAGCTATCCCAGGGGCAAACGGCACCAAACCATATAAATATCGACAGATTGAGCAACATGTCTATGGTTGGCTGCAGGGAATCATCCAAGGTCTCAAGTCGGAACCAATCCTGCGTAATGGGCGACTTAGCAAGTGCTCCTTAGAAAATGCTTCAGGGAACCGGGGCAATCTCTCAAGAAACCTACATCCCACGTGAAAGTATTACCAACTACGAAGCAGGCCAAAACGTCGTCACTTCCAACTATGCCACAGGTGCCGACGGTGAAGAGGGCTAAGGCAATAGCAAATACCAAGAAGCTTTCTCGGTCAACGAACCTCTTCTCTTCTGCCCAATGTAGAAGTCCCTTTGCTAACCATCCAACCGCTGCACCATAGACAGCACTGAGCAGAATCGTATAGCCCCAAGTCTCACCGAACCAGAGCGTCAATATTGTGGTTGCACCATCCGCTTGATTGTTATACTTGATTAGGTACAACGCAAGAAACAGAAACGGATAGCCCAGACCGTCGTTTGCTCCTGACTCAGCAATAATGATGTTCTGCAAGGGTTTCGGTACATGTCGATCGGCAAACTTGCCTCTCACAATAGTGTTAGACAGAATCGGATCTGTTGGGGTGATGCATGCTGCAACGGCCAAAGCATGTAGGAATGGAAGATCGGGGACCACGGTCCACATGATCAGACTGCTGATCAGCCACATAGCGGTCATAGCAGGCCCAAGTAGCACAGCCAGAGATCTCCATTCTTTCTGCAAGTAGCGACTTGGAAGTTGGACTCCGGCAAGGACCAGTTGGACGCCCAAGACGAGACGGCTGAAGCTCAATGTGATGGCGTTGAGGTTGGCTTCGGACCCCGCGTATTCCAAGGGCCGGATGAGATTCGTGACATTCGGGGAGAAAGTTACTCCTGCCAATAGAGATATGACTGAGCAAACTGTCAGCAAAGGTTCCGTCGGGACGGAATAACAGCTCATGATTACTCACGCGCTTCGGAGAGATAGAACCTTTCTTTGAAGAGGTAGGAGACCAATCCGAACAGTGTGATGAAGCCTCCTAATATCGAGCACACGACATTGAAGTTTGTAATAGCCAGGACGGGCATCTTGTTTTCAGGACAAGTCGCCGGATCTGCACAGAATCGGAGGATGCGGTACCGATTTGTCGGATCGCCGATCGGGGAGAGGAACGTTGAGGGATTTCGGAGCCACAGGATGCATAGAAATAGGAACATCAAGTGTTGTGGCTTGAGAGTGCGGGATTTTGTTTTGGCAGGAAAGCGTCGATGGAGGAACAGGAGAGCAGAGTACTCGGGGAGGGGCGAGTCTAGATGGCTGCCATTTTCGTTTCCCTTATCGCAGCGACACCGGGAAAACTTTGTATATTAACGCAAGTCGAGGATAGCGCTCACATGGAAATGATAGAGTTCGTGATTGCTATCATGTGAGATGTCAACCCTGGTGGCTGGTCAGACGGGGTGGCCTCGCCACCCCGCTGGTCATGGGGAACACTTGCGGTGTGTCTGCCTGGAACAAGCTCCCACTTTTGGCGTGGCAATCATGCCACAAAACACATTAAAAGTGGAGGAATTCCCATATTGGGGTTTAAGATAGAGGCTGAGGCCAAGAGTGGTTGATGAAGTACAAGAGTGAAGGTCGGATCGAGGCGTGAAGTCGAGTTTGGCTTCGGCAAACGTTGGGCACGTGATGGGCTACCCGAATAGGGTTGTCCTCTCCCTATTACCCTCTTTCCCCTCTGCTTCTCTATATTACTAACCGTTCTGAACTAGATATTTCCTTTGTTTCTTCGAGTCGAATGACGTCAGACTTGAACAGAATTTATGGGGCCTTGCTCACCGCGTCTCAAATTGCGCAATTTTGGTGGAGCAGATCCGCCATGAGGGATTTTTGCCTACTCCAATCCAAATTCATTGACAGGTAGTAGATGTTTCTTATCTATGAAACGATATCTAATGTTTTGTGCTTCCTTCCTGACTGTTTCATAACCATAATAAGAGAGGATGTTGTCTTTCACAATAACCCCTACTTACACGGCCAGTCACGTGCACGAAGCCTTTGCCTTTCTCGTCATATGCTAGGAGGCCGTGATATTTTCAATATCTTTAAAACGAAGATGAAACCAACCATAAATATACTGGCGTTACAGTAAGACTCACTTTATTTCTCCTTCATCTGAAGAAACACTGCATTTCTTTCTCTCCTCCACCCAATACCAGAAGACTAAATATGAGATATGTTGTGCAACGCTTTTTATTACTCATTCATGAAATCGTTACGCTCCAAATAAGACGCCCTGCATCATTCGAATTCATCAACCCAAATACCTACAGTTTAACGAATCCATTTCCATCCCTCGCTTGAAGCTCAGGCTCATCAAATTCTTCCGACAGCCTCTTCATATGCGATCTCTCTGGCTGTTGCATCATCACACTTTGTCTACACTCATCTATCAGCCCTGAATTCGGGATTTCTTGCGAATACACAGTATGGCATACCTGGATCCAAGTATCATTGACAGCCTCCCGAAACTTTGCCTCTTCCATTTCCGTGGCATCGCCGCCAGCGTCGACCTTCGAGATACATAGGTCGGATCGAAAGTTTTCCTCCACTGCCTTTTCTGCTCCGCCTCTTTGATATTGTCTTTGCTAGCATTATAGACATATCTCGCTGCTATCATCATCTTGCCAGAGTGAAGAGATTGGGCAGTATTACGAATAGTATGAAATTAATAGAAAAACGTTTAGAGAAGAAGGATTGGGATTTTGAGGTAATAAAGATCAACAAACAGGAACCTTATCGAAACAACAAATGACAGGACCTATTATTATATTCTGGCAGCTACCACTCGGCATATTAGGTGATAGTCATGCGAAGTGCTGTTCTGAGAGGTCCGGTGTTGTAATGTTTACGAATTGTTTCAAGAATTACTCGAAACCAGCCAATGACCTTATTTTCCCTTGCGAGACTTGAGAAACGTGGGGACGCATGGACGTCAAAACTGCCAAAGCTCGGTCCAGAGGTTGGGTCCTTCGCATAGCTCTCGGACACCGAGCGAATCTCGCGCCTTGGGCCCTGTAGCCCCTTTCATATTTATAAGGGTTACTTTGAATGCGGGTTAAGCGAGTATTCTCCACAGGGGCTCGCATCGCTAAATCTCGGTAAGCGTCAGTGTTTACGGGCCTCCCTCGCCTCCTGACACTCCAGGCCGCCTTTGTGTTGCAAACAAATTATCCGAGGGAGCGAGTGTCCCTGACAAAACCAGGAGCCTCAGGGGAAACGCCACCTTGTGGAAAACATTCAACCCGACGATGGTAACTATGCCTTCATCCTGCGTTCGCAGTTGCAAAGATTCAAGTGGGCGATATTGGAGGCCACTGCCCTTTTCCCATCTTGTACTGTACTTTAGCCGTTGTCGCATATGAGCTGTCCACTACAAGCTAGGATTTACACAGAAATCGAACATTAAAGGGAAAAACGGGACAAGGGTTTAAGGCTGTAGTGCAATCTTCCCGAGATTTTCCTGCTTGCGGGGTAGCAGTAGATCTTTCTTGGACGCACTTGAAGGGCAAAGGATTCACTTTCTAAGTTCGCGCAAATATTCTCGAATATCTTGCCGTAAATAAAAGATATAGAATTTTTCCTTTTGGCTAAATTTTGTCCACTCCAAGGTCCAGCAACATGCTGTCTCCCTCTCGGGGTTCTCATTCTTGCGGTACGTATAGAACGATGCACCCCTCTCTCTCTCTTGCTTCCCTCCAGCATCAAACTGTCCTCTAAATTCCACCATGGCTGCAAAACTTCTCCTTCTCGCAAGGTTCTCCTTAACTTCAGCTCAGTCCGTTCCCAGCCCAGGAAACTTCCCAGCAACAGGCGACGACACCAATCTTCTGCATTGCTCTATCCTCCCTCTCCACTTACACCATCCAGTCCCCACCCAGCAACACCGGGGCGGAGCCTCCCAGAACCGCAAGCTTCATAACCTCAGGATCGGGGCCATACCCCGCACCAATGATCGCGGACTCGAGCCTTCCTAGCCACATAATTTGTGCCCCAAAAACCCCACCTGGTGGGAATCTGAGCATGCGGTTCATTGCGTGGGCCAATGGAGCGTGCCAAACTGATGGGAATTATTACAGGAACTTTTTGACAGAGTTTGTGAGTTGGGGGCATGTCATTTCTGCTGATAGAGCGCCATCTGCTGGTGCTGGGGGGTAGTCGAACGTGTAGGAGAGCAGAGACTCCATTATCTGAGCTTCTTCCGGAAGGGCCACAAACTACGCGAACATCGATACTGCCAAGATCGCCACCACAGGACACAGTTGTGGAGGATTGGAAGCCATGTCTACTGGGTATCACAACACAAGATTCATGCTGATGATGCTGTTTGATATTGCTATCTTTACAGACGATAAGAGGTATCTGTTGAAGGAGCTGAAATTGTTACATGGTTTGTTGGTGGGAGCGAGGCTATGGGGTTCTTGAATGTACCCCCTCCTCCCATTCTCTGTAGGGAAGGAGACTGATGTTTCCCACCTAGTGCGAGAAAGATTACGCCCTGTTGCCAACGGGCTTGCCGGCTTATTGGGCTAGTCTTGATACTGGACATCAAGGCACTTATTCAACGACTAATGGGGGGAAGTTTGGCAAAGCGGCCGTGGCGCATCTTCAGTGGCAGTTTAGCGGGAATACCACATCAAAGGCTATATGTCAAGATGCGAAGGCACCGGAAAGCTTGGTGGCGGATAATTGAAATGTGACATGCAAGAATTGGTTGTAGCCTTGCAGGAATAACTCAAAAAGACGAGGCTAGAAGACAAACAGAAACGAGCTCATAAAATGTGCTTAGCATACGAGAGGTTCAAATCAAAGATAACTCCGAAAGACCCACATCCAGCAAACGTTTAGATGTGAAAGACTTCGATGTTCAAGGCTGCTGAATAGTCAGATAGACCATGTAAGCAAATTTCAATACACTTCGACCTAGAAGATACATGTAGGAACAGAATTAGGAATTCTTGCACTCTTACACCGAGTTGGATCAACTGGGAATAATTAGATAAAAAGGAGAGAGGGATCATCTCCCATTATATATGGTCTGCCGGAGATTACTCATCGCTAAGATCGGTTCGTATGTACCCGGGCTGACGAGAGCCCGGAAGAAACATAGCCCGAACAGAATATAAATATCGGCCGCCAGCAGTTTCGAATGTTCTCCATCAATCTGAAGCCCTTCTTCATTGAAGTAAACTCATCATGACGACCACCATCGACCTCGCTGCCCTTCTCCAGGTTCCCATCCGAAAGCCCCTCGAAAAATCCCAAGTGAAACAAATCCTCGCTTCGGCCCCTTTCATCCCAATCCCACATGCTCTGAACCTGCGCACCATCTCAGCTCCCGCACTGCAACCGAACCTGGTCTTCCGTTCTGGCTCCCTGTCACACCTCCCTCCATCATCACTCATTCAGCTCAACGAAAAATACAACATCACCACCATCGTTGATCTTCGAAGCAGGAAAGAAAGAGAATCATATCCTAGTCCCGACATTCAAGGAATTGAAACGCTCTGGATACCAACCAGTGGGGATGGCCCTGTGGGTATTGGGGCCGCGCAGGCAAATGCAAAGCAAGTGCTTCACGGGCTTAGTCCTGCCGACTTTGCCGCGAATGACGGAGTCGATGGGTTTGTAAAAACGTATGGGAACATGCTGGATACGCACAAAGATGCCTTTAAGGTTGTTTTTGAAAGGTTGAAGGAGCCCCAAGGAGGGGTGTTGTTTCATTGCACCGGTTCGTCATCGAATCTTTTGTTCCCCCTATATTGATTGACCTTCAATTTGAATTTGCAAATAGTTAGACTTCTGCTTCTTCCGCATTGAACCAGCTTTTGATTCGGAGCTGATGGTCTATAGCTGGCAAAGATCGCACTGGCATCCTTGCAGCATTAATTCTTGGACTTATCAATACCCCTCCCGAAATTATCTCCCACGACTACGCGCTCACTCGAATCGGGATAGAGACTATGCGTGATCAACTACTAGGTGTCATGATTGAGCAGATGTCACAGCAAGGAATTGACAACCCATTCGAGGTACCTGGTTTTGAGGCGATATGTGGTGCCAAGGGTCCTACCATCCTCGCTGTCATGAAGTGGATGGATAAGAAGTGGAACATCGAAGACCAGGAGTGCAAGAACAATTTACTGTACCCGGGAGTCTATGGATACTTGACTCGAGAATTAGGGTTCTCGGGCGAGGATCTCGAAAAGATCAAGAAGAGTCTAGCTTTATAAAGATGTTCGTAGAAAATGGCTGTGCGAACCGGCAATTTCAGCCTCCACAGTTCTTTCTCTTCGTATCAAATGCTGCTGCCTAACAGCATCGCCCTGCTGCGGTGGGATAGTGAAGTCATCTGGTGCCCTAAAAGGATCGTTGCGTCCCCAGCCACCACCAAAGCGGCACAGTGCAGACCTAGTTTCCACCCGGAGCATCAGAATTATACTGACCTAGGGAAGCTCGTATAGGACCCCAGCACAAGAAAACTTAATAATAAATCTCGAAGTTACTGTGAAGTTGTCATGTTTGGGAGATAGATTCTGTCCAGAAATCCTTCAGAAAGTCTTTATCGGCGCCAACGCCTCAGTCAAAGAACTGTATTTTTTGTTCCATTCTGATCGGGCCGTTTGTCTCCACTGGACAGAAAGCCCCCTTCTGACCCCCATGCCTAATAAGAATGAACATGGAGAAAACTTCTTGGAGTTGGGCTTTGACTGGTATATCCTAGTGAGCATCATTCCAAAATTCTCTTATCATCCTAACCTAATTCAAACGCAGGAACACTGGAGCTCCGTCACAAACGAGTCGAAACCCCAACAGCACATCCGTCTTGGAATTGAATACGCCCGTCTAGGCCACCAAGGACGACGAGTAAGTGATTTACATTTCCACCACGTTGCCATCAAATCGGAACCTGATCTCCTCTTCCCCAGCGCTTCATCCGCTCAGCACACGCCCACTTCTTTTCCCCTCCCGTCGTCCTTCCCCCTCACATCTTCGCCGTCCCTTCAGATCTCCTCATGCCCCACGAGCGCCGCATAAATACCCACTACACACCCATCTGGATCCGTACCGACTACAATCCCGGAACAGACGTCATCCACCACTCCCTGCTAACCTCTATCCCCTCAAACAACATCTTGAAATATCTCGAAGAAGGAACGATCCTCAACAATTCTGAGCGTTACTCCTTCCTTGCTTCTCAGCCTCTTGAGTCTATCCTTGCATTCGTACCACTGCTTGTTGAATTCAACTCGGACCTGTACGTTCAACCTGATGAGCAGGTACCGTGGGAGAGTGAGGAGCTGCAAGTGCAGTTCATGGATAGAGAGGAGGACGGAGATAGCGAAGAGCAGAAGAAACACAAACTTATGGTTCATCAGCGTTCATTCTTTGTTGCGGATGAAGAGGCGATGAGGACGGGATATGTACTGTGGGTGCATCTCGATCAATTCGGGACTGTGGTCCAGAAGAATCGTGTCCAGCCTCTTTTGTTTGGAGCATTGGGAGCGCCGGATTTGAAACTGAGCTTGGGGGAGCTTGGGGTCGGGTATGAGGATGGGAGATTGAACGCTGGTACGTCTGATTCCCTTTGGGGTTAATTTTGATCGGAATGCGTATGCTGACGAAGGGATATCTAGTGCGAGACCAGTGGGGAAATCTCAGGCCGAGGTTAGTGAGACAACCGTCGAATGCTCAGATTCTTGACAATCTGCTTGCGTTGAAGACGGAGCAGAGGTTCATTGCTTGATCTGACTTAATGATTTGGCCGATCAATGGTGGCGTATGCACATCTCAGAAGGGAGATACGGTTAGAGTAAACATAAATATAATGGGGTGGCGTCGCGATCTTGCTTGCCCTCTGAGGTTTACAATCACTTGATTGCTTCGAAGGCGTCTGGAGAAAGAAGACGAATCTAGGTATGAAGGGGGACTTCGCTTCCGAGAATCGCCCCATATGTACGAAAGGGCATCATATTCCACATTTTCGGGTGACCTTGTCGTCTACTGTCGGGTGGCTTCCAATTGAGGTTCCAATACTTGACGGCCTTCGGACGTAATTAAGTACGTCTCGGAAAGCTCACATTATATTCTACTCCTGGCAGCAGGAAGTATCCTCAAAAGCCGAGTGGGCTGGCAGTACTCGTAATCATAAAAGAGAGGCTCGTAGATATATTACTCGACCATAGCTTGAAAATCTATATCTTGGTGTTTGACTGAAGACCAAAGTGCACAGTAAGACTAACTCTTGTGGAAGCGGCGAGGAAGCCAATTCTGACGTCGATCTCTCGAGTACTTTAGAAAGGAAGAAGTTCGTACGCAGTTTCATTGTCAGTGATGATATCATATGGCAAGGAGAGAAGCCGAATTTGTCTTGATCAAAAGAACTTGACTCCACAGGGCTGTAGCCTGTCCGTAGAAACTGGTGGGTGGTCACGGCAGATGATGCTGGTCAAAGACGATTTTGCTGAATAAGGACTTTCAAAAACGGGATGACCGCGTATGGCAAACCGAAGGGTGATGGCATTCACGAAAGAACAGGATGATGGATGAATAAGAGGCTCAAGACATGAGGCTGCGTGTAACGTTGAACGCAGGTACTGGCAAACGCTAAACTCGATTCGGCGGCCAATCGCTCCTTCCCTCCTCTTAAACCCATCCAAGCGAACCTTCCTCCCACATTCCCATTTGAAACCACCCATTTGTCATAAAAATCTTCACAACGCTAAGCCTGAGCTGACGTACCTCTGGATGAAGTATATTGTGGCTGATTCCGTACCTTTCTCGGCTGAGGTGAAATTCGTACGTGATATATAATGACATTAAACAACTTTGTACACATGAAACAGGTGGTGTGGTGGCAAGCATTCCCCCTTCCTCCTCCCCCAATCTCCCGGCCCATTAACCCCCCAAAATTTGTAACTACCAATGGAATGATGGCAGTAATGGCAGCACGTGAGATTGTGGTATAAGGTTCTCATTTCTCAGGCTACATCGCGTTTCGATCTGGGTTTGATTCCCAGCACCGCCAAGAGAATACTTCTTGGATTGAAGACCTGATGGTTTAGTTCCATTGAATTTGTCACGCAACGTTTGTTGCTCCCCCTGACCCCACAAAGTTTTGGGGGGGGGGGGAGGGAGAGGTTGTAAATAAACGCACAGAATCATCCCCACAGCTCTCACTAACTTTAGGCTATGACGCATAAGCAACTTGCTTGTTCTTGCGGTGTTTACTAGAGGGAACGGAAAGGGGAAAGCTGGGGAAGAAGAGAAAAATCGTCCCCGTCCATGTAATGCGTTTCTATTCCATAATATACACTAACAAGCACAACCCTTGAAACTCCCCAAATCACTGATATCAGAGTCACGCCTATAACTCCCGTCCTTCACGCGAATCCCACCAGACTTGGGTTTCGAATGCCCGCCCGCCCGCCATATTCCAGACTCCTATTTACTGTTGTATTGGAAAGCCCCAAATGCACCTCCTGCGCCGCCCGGGGTCATAGGACCCATTCCCCCGCCATTACTGTTGTGTCCCGGTGTGCTGACAAGACCTGCGTTCCCCGTATTCGGCGTGCTCGGTGCTCCGTTCGTGTAGCCGTTTTGGTTTGGCGTGGTGTTCTCTTGCAGAGTTTGGTTGTAGTGCGGGGGTGTAGAACGGATGTGCATGGGTGGTCCGCCTTCTGGTACGCCGAGACCCCATACCTTGCTTCTTTGCTCGTCGGGAATCTCACCGTTGAAGATTCGTTCCCGCATCTTGAAAAACACCTTTCCTGTCAGTAGAGAGTCGGATCCTGCTTGGTGCGCCAGTCCCTGTCTCTTGATCTTGAGACTATCCGCAAGAGCTTCGAGACCTCCACTGTTATTGAATTTGTTGAGAATATCGGTAGTCGCGGGATCGAGAGGTGTGACCTGGCCCATACTTTGGTGCTTGATCGCCTGTTTCATCAGGTATTTGACGTCGTAGATACTCGGGAAGAATTTCTTCATAATACTGTCGAATGCGACCTCATCATCGGGTAAAGGCAGGAGCACAAGGACCTTGGTGAGGTATCCGAAATCATAGCCACCGTGGAACGAGATCCAATACACATCTTCGTCACAAACGAGTCCGGAGCTGACCAGAAGCGCGCCAAATTGGAATGGGTCAATTCCTTCAATTTCGAGCCTTGCAAAGTCGACCGCTGCTTGCCTCAACGCCTCGATCGACATTTCCGAATACATATCCTCCTTTAGAGAGAATTTGAAGTTGAATTGCCATGTAGTCGGTATTTGAACCACCCCGCCAGCATATTTTCGAGTTTCGTCCTGGGTCGTGTCGAGTCCTAATTCTGCGGCTGACATTGATGCTGGAGGGCATTCTCCATCTTCGTTGAATATCGTGAGTCCTAGCTGTATAATCTTGAGCAGGTCGACATTGCACCGCAGACATTGGTAATGGTAATCGCTCTTGCCGTTAAAAGCACCCATCGGTCGTGCTACGAGGCCGGGAAACTCGGTGTCCTGCAATGGTATCAGCAATGTCGACCCGGTTAGCATTCACGGTTCATACCATAGCGATATAGGGATATTTTTCCACCAAGCATCTCAATACCGCGAATTCCTCTTGTACGTTCCCGGCCCAGACCTCTCGTATCCTGCTTTTATTCACAGCAGACCGCGATGACCCTGTCTCGCTCATGCTGCCATGGCCTTGTTGGTGAAGAGGTGCATTCGCGAAACCCATTTGCGCCGCTTGACTTGCCAGACCAGTTCCGCCTTGCATGCCCAGCCCAGAGCCACCGAACCCTCCAGAGAGACCTAACGAGTTCCCATTCACTGAGAACGCATTGCTCATGGAATTCGCATTCATGAAGTTGGGGTTGGCGGCCAGAGAAGGCGGAGGGAGCCCAGCAGTGTGTGCTTGCGAGTGTGAGGGATACTGCTGGTAGTGAGAGGCCAGATTATTGGGTGCGCCGCCGAAGCGCTGCATCGGTGGAGGCATTTTGATTCTCTGTGCTATGTATGCTAGTCCAGAAAAGTCGAGGGAGGTGTGCGGCTTTCATGGGCGCAGCGGGACGCGCGACTTGGGGAGCGGCTTGTTTGAGACCTGTTGGGTATGTATTGCCGTTTGGATATTGAAGAGGACCGAGAGATATGTTCTTGCCGTGCTGGTGGAGGAGTATCGGGTTCGATGTTCGTCTCTTTGTGGTTCTGAAGATGGCAGGGCTGGGTTTCTCCACGATACCGGGCGCTTACATAATACGCGCTAGCTCAGGAACTGAACTTCGGGTGATTGGCGAGGGACGTCAACCTTCTCCTCGAGTCCTCAGACACAGCCTCGTGGAGAATCATAACCTTTAAGATGCGTATCACAAGGTAAGTAGAGTCAATTGGAGGATTAGGAACTGTCTAGAATGTTGTTAACCTGAAATCACAGTATACGGAGAGCTCCTAAACCCAACCTTACTGGCTTCGACCCTAAAGCATTCGCAAGAGCGGCTGGACCTCCTGCAAACGACCCATGGGCGCGAGCGTGAGTTGGCAATATTCATCAGCTACGGCGGTATACAGAATAGCTTACTGACGGTTTGGAACAGGGAGGCATGGCGATACACGGGACCTTTCACACGATGGAATCGATTCAGAGGCAGCTTCCCAGGCTTAGGCATAGCGACTGTGGCATTTGCGGCGTATTGCGGGTACGAATACATGTTTCTGAATGATGATCACGGACATGGCGAGCGTCACGGAGAGTCACATCATTGAAGAAGAGAGTTTGGGGCACATTGTACATATGGGAATAGGATGATTCTGAGGTTCCGGATCTCCCAGGATCTGCGGAACTTCAGATGTGTTTCAGCATCTCTGCTCTTGATCTTTCGAATGTGTGGTTGCTGATTGGTACTATGGACAGTGAGCTTGGATACCATTCTTAGTGCGTGGTCAGTGGAAAGCCCCAGTCGGCAAGTGCTGATGGATAGCTGTCGGAATTGTGCATTCTACTTATAAGAATAATCTGGGAATGCGATTTTGGTCTTGAATCGGCTGTGGCTGCCTCTCGAATATCTTTCTATCCATGAAACAGCGTTCATCCAGGGAGCGCTGTGGGGATCGGCAAGGAGAGAGGTACGAGAGCCTATATCAACATCACGTGATCGCATATCCCCAAGTTGACTTTCAACCCAAACAAGTCTCCAGAGCGATGGTTCAATCCTAGGCCAAGTTTTTTTATTCTTCAAGTGTGGTAAGGATAACGGCTGCATAGTCACATCCCACCAACAGCGGGTTCCTCCCTGAGCAAGAGCCAAACGCCGTACGGTATCGGATGCAGCCATCCGCAATTAAACATGACGAAATGCAGATTAAGTGCTTTGAAAAACGAATGAGATGTAACCCGACCTCTCTATTTTCTGGCGATCGATGAAGCAACCTTTCTTTTGTCTGTGGACACCTCGAAAAAGGAGCTTTGTGGCTTGGGCCACTCACGACCACATCCTCGGATTGTGCAACAACGCCCCCGGTCCGATGTCTCCAATCATGCTTATGCACGAATGCGGGATATCCATGGGGTCTTTGCGGATAAGTCACAGTGTGGAGGAGAAGATGGCGGACCGAAAGCCGAATGATAACATTAGCCAATAGACGCCAGGGATAGTGAGGTGGGCTTGCTGATGCCTGGCCTGCAAGTGAGGCTCAACACTCAAGAAGAGAGGCTTCGATAGGTTCGGAAGCTCTTCAAAGTTGGCGAAATAGCGAGGGGTCGTTGAAACAATTCCAGCAATCTGATACCCCATCCTCTTGGCCAGATCTAGGCCCAACGGCCTGGCCAGGGCGGAAATTTGATCTGATAACGGCTTCTCCTGGCCCAACTTGATACCGGTACTATCACTCACCAGCTGCTCTAGGCCGCAAAAGCTCGAATGCTGTAACAGCTGAAAGTGGGCTGGAGAAGCGGCTTGGATGATACATGCACACCAGGTACAATGACTCGTGCCGGCGGTGCAGCATCAACTATCCACCCGCGCGCCTCCGCTTAAGGTCGTGATACATACACACCCGCCAAATTTGTTAGCGAATCCAGCCTGAAAATCAACTCCCCAATTAATTTCTTTAACAGCCAGCACACTTAGGTTCCCTTAAAAATAACATTAATTAATGCGCAGTCTATAGGATTACCCTCTATAAAGTTGCAAATATTTAATTGTCATTGTTATGGAGGTTAATATGGAAAACGTTGATTTTCGGCCCGGTTTTCGGTGTATCCACGACCAACGCGAGGCGCATTCCATCTCAAGCGTGCCCCGAGAACGCTTTCCGCACTCGATTCAGCTCCACACTTGCAGGGTTCTTCGCAATCGAAATGTTCTAGATTTCCATCCCAAGGCCAAGGATCACGTACGGCAAACACCCTCCTTTTGCTTTTGGGGGCGTCAGGCTTCTTCAGGGAGGGAGAAGAATATTTCTGCCAATGCCCCTGCGCATCAGCGGACGGTCGAAACCCTACGATTTCGCTCCCCGGCTGTCCTGTTGTCCAGCGCGATGAATCATGTCTTTAGAGGGCGCAGAGACAAGCCGGGATATAAGGGAGAGTCAGAGGGCGTTGGAGTTGAGAAAGTACGTAACTTTGTTGGTCTCGTTGTGCGGATACCTGCCCCACCGGACCTGACGACCAGCCTCAGATTCTTCGATCCCCAGCACTCCAATAATGCAGCATTGGACACCATTTTTAGTGACAGTTTGAATAATGATGGAGCTTTGGATGCGTATGCTGAATCAATTGTATGGCGTTTACGTGGCGTTCATGCCATGGTGAGGTATGTTGAAGCTTCCAAAACTTTCATCCGTTGCTAAAACACACGCCAGCTTGGTTGATCAAGGTGCGTTCTGTACATAAAACTTATGGTGATTCCCACTGAAGTCCCAAGGAACGCAATATTTCCTAGCTGGGGCCGTACGAACTGGCAAGGTTGATACCGATGAGGACGTAATTACCACGGGCGAGTGGTTTGGATGCCAGACTGTGCCTACTCCTGGGGGCCTCTGTGAGGTATGGACTACCGATCACACCCCCCAAATTCCAATGAGATTTCGACAATGAGCGTTTTGCGATTGATTATACTGTCCCTATGGGGTACTAACGCGAGATAGAACACTCTGGCACTTGATCTCAAAATAGAAGAGTATTTATGTTTCATCATAAATGACCTCAGCAAAGACGTCAGGTTCGCAGACCTCCCCGTCGTGGACGGCCAAATCGCATCTTACAGGTTCTATGCGGGAGTGCCCATCACCACCAGCCATGGTGTGAATATCGGATCTTTATTCTTCTTTGATGACAAAGCCCGCGATGGCTTACCCCAGAACCAAAGGCGATTCATGCATCTTCAGGCCAGAAACATCATGAAGCACCTGGAAACGAAGCGAGAAGCAGCCGAGCGACGTCGGGCAGCTCTAATGAGCAAGGGCATTGCAAGATTTCTCGAGAGGACCTCCCGGGATAGTTACCTGGGCAGTGATGGGGGCCACCTACGTGAGGATGAAGAGCCATGTGATAGCTTTGATGCCGGAGAGGACAGGCAAGTTCAGGAGGAGATCCAGAATGGGATGGGACTCGGCCATGGCAAGCCTTCAACAGATAAAGAGTCCGTGCTAGACAAAATCAAGACCGCGCTCGATCACGCTGCCGTTATCCTTCGAGAGAGTCTGGAGCTTACTGCGGGGGGTGTCGTCTTTCTTGCCCCCGCCATTGGGTACATTGAGAATGACAATATCAACGTTTACGGAGGCCCAGCTACAGATCTAGGAGCACAAATGGAACGAACGCATAGGGATAAAAAGGGTCGTCAAGGGTCGAATGAAAACCAGCTACGGCCAAATTTATCTCCGGGCACACAATCGGGCGGCCGTCATCTGTCCGTTGGGGCAATACGAAGCTCAACAGATAAGCACAAAGCTTCAAAGATTCTTGCGATGAGTTCTGGAAAGAGTTCTAGATCAGACTCCAACTCTGCAACTCTCGATTCCAAAACTCTGCAATCGCTGATCAAATCTTATCCACAAGGAAATGTCTGGTATATGGATGACGAGGGTTACTTTTCTTCCTTGGAGCAGATCAGCGAGTGGGATCAAAGAAACGGCATCAGTCCCTCTGGGAGAATACGATCGAATTTCCCGATCAATGTGACGAAGAGGCAAGCGGAGGCTGCAATATTATCTCGCATCTTTCCAGGTGCCAAACAGATAATTTTCTTGCCTCTATGGGATGCGGGCGGAGGTATGGAATCCTGACCTCCTGAAAACCCAATGACTAACAGTGTACGACTTCAGACCGGTACTATGCTGGCTGTTTTGTTTGGAGCGAATTAGCAGCACCCGTTTTCACCGTGGACTCCGAGCTTGCCTACCTTTCCGCGTTTACAAACTTCTTGATGGTCGAAATAAGTCGCCTTGATGCACTTACCTCGAACAAGATGAAGTCTGATTTCATTAGCAGCATCTCTCGTATGGAAAATGGTCCACAATCCGGAAGAGTATTCAGCTGATTGTCATAGATGAATTCAGAAGTCCTTTGCATGGTATCCTTGCTAGCGCTGAGTTTCTCCGCGAATCCGAACTCAATGCTTCTCAAATGGAGTTCATATCTACGATTCAAAATTGCAGTGGGACTCTTTTGGTACAATGACCTTCTCATAGATAAGTTGGGGGTGCTGATGAGTTTTAGGATACCATCAACCATGTGCTTGACTATAGCAAGATAAATTCTTTCGAGCGTGCAGGTCATCATCAGGGTACGCCCCCCCTCCCCCCCAATACCTACAATCACTCTTCAATACTTATTTGCCATTCAGATACCATCTCCAATGAACTTTATCAAGATACTAATGTCGCCTTGCTCTGCGAAGATATCGTCAATGGCATGATTGCAGCAAACGAATTTCGTGGCACTGGCTCTCCTGACCTTTCCCTTCCAATCTCCAGCGAATCTCAAAATGACCAGCGACCCCTGGGCCTTCACCATGCCCCACTTGAAGTGACTGTAGACATTGAAAAGCGGGACTGGGTTTTCAAAATTCAAGCAGGCAGGTCTTTAGGGAACCCTCTACGCTCCTTGGACTAATCTGGGCAGGGGCATTACGGAGAGTTGTGATGAACATTTTTGGCACAACGCACAGAAGTACACGGAATCCGGATACATCATGTTACGACTGAGAGTTACGGAATCTCGGGCAGATGAATGGGGGAAGACTTCCCACTGTCTCTCTTTGCATATCAGGGATACGGGCAAGGGAATGTCTTCGGAGTACATGGAGCGGAAATTGTACCATCCATTCGCTCAGGAGGATACATTTGCCACTGGCGTTGGACTAGGTCTTTCCATTGTGTAAGCCCTGTCTGGAAATTTCATGAAATGGTGGATGAGGCTAATTAGATTCAGATGGAGTATCGTCAACCAAATTGGCGGAAAGATCTCGATTCGAAGCGAACTTGGAAAAGGCACCGATGTCGAAGTTACCATACCAGTCGAGAAGTCGAAAAATGTTCAGCATAGTAATGGAACATTCAGCGACTCGACAAACGTCCCATCCGACGCAGAGGAATGCATCAGCAAGCTGCGACATCGAGCGGCTGGCAAATCCATATGCTTTTCGCGGGGGAGGGATACGAACACGTCATACCAAAAGGATATTTCCTGGTCTTGCATACAACTATATTGCACAGAATGGTTCGGGTTTGAGATCAAAGAAACGTCGGCGAATCTGATTATCACTGATCGAGAAGATTCAACCAGGTATAAAGATGGACAACGGGTACTGATCGTTCACGACGATATGGCCTGCTCTACTAAGCAAGATAATGTCCACACTCGACATGCCATCGGGAAAATCTGCAGTCCAATCGGCCCGTTCAAGCTTGCTCGATCTCTTCTCGCCCTCCTCGATCAAGACATAGCCTTGCCACAAAAAATACAGAGGTGTCTGAACCAAGCCCACGCCGGAACTCAAACACCTCTCGGATCTCCCGAAGAACGAACCATCATGAACGGGATCATATCAACAGATTACTGTTTCACGCCTCCACCTCTCAAAACAGTATCCACTTCGCCTACGACCGAACAGCCAAAACCTACCACCATGGCGCTCACAGCCTGGCATGTCCAACAACAGCCAGCAAGTAGCCAAAGTTTCGAAAGCATCGCCACTCTCTCGCTCGCCCAAGTTCCCGCATTACTCCCGTCCCCTACGTTTCCCGCTTTTCCTCAACCAGTAATGACGCTCACGCTCCCGAACCCCAAAGTCCTCACACCAACCCCGGATCCCGTTCCCAAACCAAGCTCCACATCAAAAGCTCTGCACATCCTAGCCGTGGACGACAACGCTCTCAACTTAAACCTTTTGCACCGATATCTGTTGAAAAGAGAAGGCGACATAATCGTGACAGCCAAGAATGGCGTCGAAGCCGTGGATGCCGTTAAGTCTCGCAAAAAAAGGTTCGATGTAATATTCATGGATATTTCGATGCCGGAGATGGATGGATTTGAAGCTACACGGTTTATTCGGGCTTTTGAGAACACGCGATCTTTACAGCTTGGTGAGGATGAAAAAGTGTCCATGGAGAAAGGAAAAGAGAAGAGAGCGTATATCGTTGCCCTGACGGGACTGGCTAGTCGCAGGGACAGGGATCTCGCGGAGGAGTGTGGATTTGATGATTTTCTGACAAAGCCGATTAGCTTTAAGAGGATTGGGGAGTTGTTGTGGGGATTGAGTGAGAAGGGCTCGTAGCGCCTGGGTAAGGAGGATTCGGGGAGAGGAGAGGGGGAGGGAGGAAAGGAAATGAAAGGAAACATGATGTTGAAGTGCAGAGTAAGTGCGCAGATGCCCATTGTTCCGGATGCTCCATTAGAAATGTATAATGATATATATAGACTCCACAACAATGATCTCTTGGGTGCCGGATAAGAATCACAATTTTGCCTTGGGGGGAGTAATCTCAATATCCCGAAAAGGCACTCCCAAAAAGGTCCACATGAAATGAAACCTGTCGCTCCCGAAGAACGGCTCTTCTTTCCCCTCCCCATTCTGCACCCACATCCACGGCGCCCCGAACGCGCCCTGGTCCAGCACTTTCTGCGTGTTAGCCAACAACTTGTCTTTCCATTCTTGCTCTTTCGTAGCAGAGACGATGTCTGAGATTTGGGGAGGGGCGAAGAGCCCGGTTGTTTCAAGGGTGTCGGTGAACGGGCCTGGGAGGGTGATGTTGACGTGCAGATTCCAAAGGGCGTGGAAGAGGGCGAGGAAGATTTGATCGAAGGTTGATTGCGGGTGGCGGGCTTTGACGTAACATAATGCTCTTTGGGGCTGGGATTCATTCATGCTCTGTTAACAGAGGGTTGCAAGATTGTGGGGAATGGAAAGGGATGAGTATGTACCAAAAGCGTGAGGGGAGGGAAGAAATCTGGTGGTGAGGCGTTCTCGAGATCGTGGTATTTTTTTGTTCGTTCGACGTCGAATTTGCCGTATTTGGCTTTTGCGGGGAGGGTCCAGGGGGGTTTGTTGCCTGGGGATTAACAGAAGGGTTAGTTGTGGGGTGAAGTGTCGTGGGGGCCGGGAGGGGTGGACGAACCGCTGCCTACGTTTACGCCGCCAAGGAAGATGGGATGAAATCTGTGAGAACTTAGAAGAGAGGCGAGATTGAGAGATTAAGGGATGGAGCTTACTCAACGGTTACCTCGTGGGAGGCCAGGAGATCTCTGTTCTTGAGGAGATATGAGAGCGCCATGTATGAATAGAAGGAGGCTTTCGAACTGGTTAGTTAAAGGTTCGGCGGTAGTTAGCAGCCGTGGGATCCAGAAGTTCTCCAAGCTTGGAAAGAAGGAAATGATTACTTACAGACATCCAAATAGCAATCTATATGCCCTCCCATGGCTGTGGTTGGTCGAAGAAGGCGGGGCGCCGAAGTGTGGGGGATGGGGGCGCCCCGACACGCTCACTAATCAGATCACGGCCTCAATTGCTGGGGAATCCGAGACAAAAGATCGTGGAACTTTAAGCTTGAAGTGATGAGTGATCAAGAAAGTTGGAGAAAGAGGAGGTTGTCATCGTGAAAAGTATGCTGGAAGTCACGAGATCTCATACTAAGCCGAGGTACAGGGCATCACCCTTGATCACTAAACCACAACGGCCGAACACAACCACGACAACCTCTCGAGCTCTATAAGAGCAGAATGGCACTGTACTCGGAGCTGCCTACCCATAGGACCGCATTAGACGGATATTCTTGAACTCAATCAACAATAATGGCCAGGAAAAACAAGATAGCATTGGTTGTTGGTGCCTCGCGCGGCATTGGCAGACAGGTTGCTATTGACCTAGCAAAGAATGGATACGCAGGTACGCATCCGATTTCAATTGAGCCAGGCAGCTCCTGACAGTGTCCTCCAGTTGTCGTTGCAGCGAAATCTACCTCAGACGCGTATGCCACGAAGCCATTCCCACCCGATCCGAACTCCCTGCAATCCACAATCAGCACAGTCGAGCGAGAGATCAGAGAAGCTGGCGGACAGGCAACTGCCATTACAGTGGATACGCGAGATCCAGGGAGCATCCAGAGGATGGTGGATCAAACCGTGAAAGTCTACGGCCACCTCGACGTCTTGATCTACAATCCAGGAGCTATCTGGTGGGCATCTGTAGAGAACACACCAACGAAGCGATATCAGCTCATGCAATCTGTCAATGCGCTCGGTCTGTACGCTTCAGTGCAATCCTCCCTGCCATACTTCAAAGCCAATGGCTGGAAAGGTCGGATAATCGTCGTTAGCCCACCGATATACTCGCGCTTCTTTCGAGGCAAAACTGCATACGCCATGGGGAAAGTTGGGATGAGCGTTCTGACCAAGGGTTTGGCGATGGATTGGGAGAGAGAGGGGAAGAAAAATATGGCGATAACTAGCATCTGGCCAGCATGTTCCATTGAATCTGCTGCGACGGGCCAGATTACTAGGACCGATCCGGATTCTGTCAAAGATCTGCGGAAGCCAACGATATATTCGGATGCTATTCTTGCGATGTTGGAGGCGCCTGTTGAGAGGGTCAATGGGCAGTTGGAACTTGATGAGGATTTTCTCAGGGGTTACAAGGGCGTTACGGATTTCTCGAAGTACTCTGTTGTCCCAGGGGCGGTGCCGAGAAGAATCATGCCGGCTGTGTTACCGGATCTTACGGTCGCTGAGCAGGCGGATGAGGGGAGGAGGACGGATAGTACGAAGTTGAGAGCGTCGAAGTTGTGAAAATATCTTGAATGCATATTTGTCCAGAAGATGTCGCAATTTCCCGGGGTAGCCTTTCTCATCCCGTGCTTCATCATAGTTAGGTTGCCAGCTGCCTGGTGTGATTCTCACGAAATAACTTTCCATGTCAAAGCCAGACACAGCGGTGACCCCTTGGAAAGTCTTGGAATAGGGGTAATTATAATAGCCCCTGAGTTAAGCGAGAGCTTAGAAATTTGTCAACCTTCAACGATCGTGTCTGCTGACACGAAGAGATTGTGGTTCCTAGGCATAAGCAACATGGGTGATATTACATCGCTCGCCTCAAATGTAAAGAGTAAGGCCGGGGTCGATCTGACTCTGGTGCCGTTGAGCGTGTGACTGGGCTTGGTCTGCTCGTGACTGGTACAATCTCATTCTGTCAACTTTTCATACGCGGGTATCCGGGGCAGAAATGGGAAGTGGTATAAACGCAAGCAAGGCTTGCCGCAAAATCATACAGTCGGTCCGACCCAAATTGTGAGGAGTTAGAGTTTCAAAGACAATCTTATCAAATCTACGGGGGATTGTAATTCTAGCAGTCACGCATAACGTAAGTAGTGCACCGTACCTCCTATGTACCAACGAGTCCGCCCCTTGAGACCCTTGCACGTCCTTGTAGTCGTCCGGCGGTTCTCACCTAATAATCCCGCCTAAGGAGCCTATTAGGTGAGTGATAGCGATACGCAAAGTACAGCGATACGCAAATTTTTTCGAAGATATACCATTATTCGCTCAAACCCGATGCATCACTGCCATAAATCATGTAAATTATAGTACATTTGCTCCTTTACCTTTCAATAGTCCTTTGGAAACGATACCATTATCTAGGTGGACGACCACGTCGACGAGCCATTGGACGGTCGTACGTGGCCCCAAACTGCTGCGCAGCCTTCGTCTCTTTAAGATAAGGGTTATCGTCCATCGTACGAGAGGCCTTAGCTACTCGCTCCTCGATCTCATGTAGTTTGGGTGGCATTTGGGGGGTGATACGTGAATGTGGGGGGAAATTTTGCGTATCGCTGTAATTTGCGTATTGCTATCCTTCACCTAATAGGCTCCTTGGGCGAGAGAAGCACCGAACGACTATCCGTTCTGCTACCGCCAGGGGTGCACCTCGCTTACGGTTCCTGCCCTAACTTTGAACCTGAAGAAATTGCAGAATAATAATAACAACTTTAGATGCTCCTACTAGGTGATAATTAACCTCGTCAACTAGAAATCTCTGAAGTTTTTCTTAGATTATATAAATGTTTCGCGGATTAATTTGAGTCGAAAGTATAGAACGGCTGATGTTCCCCTGTTTTTAGCGAGCTGCACACGTGGCTGCAGTGGAACAAGTAAACCTGGGGAAAAATAAGGAAAGCTTATATATGAAATATTAGAGTGTTATAAAAACTAGTAAATTCTCCTCACGAGTACTAATATTACTAATCCCTTTATAAATATATTACTTGCCTAGTTTACTTATAAAAGTATTATATATTAGAATTTAATAAGTTTTATTTAATAAGATTAAAATATTTTAATAATTAATTAATAAGAGAATTAGAAATAATTAAAGAATTAAAGTTCAAAATTAAGAACTAAATTAGTAATTCCATAATAGCTATTATCTTATAGTTGCTATAAACTAGTTTTAAACTACATTTTAGGCTAAGCTTAGCATTTTAGTAATTCCAGTTTTACTTACTTCTTTATTACTATACTTAGATTTTATAAGACAAGAAATAGAGATCCCTATACTTTATTCTAATACTCTAATACTCTAATACTGCTATTACAAATTCTATATATTAAACCCTATAACTACCTTAGTATTTTAATTAATTAACTAGACTATTTATAAATAAATTAACTAAGAATACATTTACGAATAAATAAGTTCATTTGTGAATAGATTTAGCCTGATTGCTAAACGGCAACTTTCGCTAGTAAACTAGCTTTTTCACGAATGGACCGATTCTTGGTTAAGCCAGAACACATTATTTAGTTTAATCAATTAAGGTTATAGTTAAGAACTTATTGTAAACATAAATAAAATAGCTTTGGGGTCGGACCGACTATATTTCCGAAGCCTTGTGAATGATCTCTATTGTACGAAAGTCGTGATGGTTAAATAACATCACAAGCCTGCCAGTCAATCACTCGTACCTCCTCTGTACATTCAGAACCTCTTAGCTTCGAAGCGCCATCCTATAAACTTGATTTACCACATCGAATTGTTTCCTCCTCGTTTGACAGTCTTCCAATTATCTACTGTTCATTTCAAGCAAATACCGTCCCTCCATATCTTGAACCCACCTCCTCCACAACATTCGATATTTTCCTTTGCAAATATGGAATATATCTCCCGCCCGCACGCTCGCGCGACTTATCAAGCATACAATGCGCTACGGAAATTTCGTAAAGGCCAAGAACAGATCCAGCTCAATGGAGAAGCTCTCGATATTGCAACAGTCGTTGCTGTGGCGAAATATGGATGCACACCTCACCTCGATCTCAATGATGATATTGTCCGAGCTATGAATGAGAGTGTTGATATGCTGAGCAATTACCTCGCGAAGGGCTATTTCGTCTATGGTGTCAATACAGGTTATGGTGGAAGCGCGGACACGAGAACCAATAACCATGCTGCTCTTCAGCTGTCTCTCATGCAACATACGCAGAGCGCAATCACGACTAGTGGCGACAAAGGAGACCCTTCATCTATCTTACAGGACATCGGCTCACACTCGATGCCACATTCTTGGGCGAAAGCTTCTATGCTGGTTAGGGAGAACCAGACCATGCGAGGACACAGTGCTGTCCGGGTTGAGGTCGTGCAGACTCTCAACGACCTGATTTCCAATGATATGGTCCCGCTGGTTCCTCTCCGGGGCTCAATCTCTGCTTCTGGGGATCTCATGCCGCTGTCATTCATTGCTGGAGCGCTGCAAGGATGTCCTGACATCTTCATCAGAAGAAAACAGGGGCAAGGCTACGAACTACTTCCTGCTGATCAATCTCTCGAGAAGGCTGGTATCACGCCAATTATACTTGGGCCGAAGGAAGGTCTCGGTTTGATAAATGGAACAGCACCTTCTGCAGCTGTGGCAAGCCTGGCTTTGTACGAGACTCACCAATTGGCGGTCCTTTCTCAATATTTAACCATCCTTGCGTCTGAGGTTCTGGGGGGCAATCTTGAATGGTTGCACCCTTTCATAGCTGACATTCGCCCTCACATTGGTCAGAAGGAAGCTGCTGCAAATATGCGTACTTTTGTGGCGGGTTCGAAGCTTGTCAGCGGTATCTATACCACTGAGAAGGATCGGTTCAAGGTCGGCCTGTGTCAAGATCGGTATGCAACACGAACCTCACAGCAGTGGATTGGCCCGCAACTGGAAGATCTCATGCTCGCTCACCAGCAAGTAACGGTTGAACTAAATTCCACTACTGACAATCCCTTGGTTGATGTTAGCGCCTCGGACGTACACTCAGGAGGCAATTTCCAGGCAGCTTCCATAACTTCTGCGATGGAGAAGACTCGACTCTCTCTGCAAATGCTAGGCAAGATGGTCTTTGCCCAATGCACAGAAATGATCAACCCGGCCCTGAACAACGGCTTGCCTGCAAACCTTGCCGCTGATGATCCCAGCCTCTCGTTCACAATGAAGGGTATTGATGCCAACATGGCGGCTTATATGTCCGAGCTTGCATATATTGCCAATCCGGTCAGTTCCCATGTCCAATCAGCCGAGCAGCACAACCAAGCAGTGAACTCGCTTGCATTAATCTCCGCTCGCTATACAATGGCAGCTGTCGATCTGGTCTCTCTGATGAGTGCTTGCATTATCTACGTGGGATGTCAAGGGCTCGATCTTCGCGTTATGCACAACACCTTCCTTGAATCTTTCCAACCGATTCTACAAGCAATCACCAGCGAGGTGATTGGACAATTTCTACCTCAGCAAAAAATTGACGCCCTCTGCCATGAGCTTCTCAAGAGCATATCCACTGTATGGGAAGCAACCACCTCTCTAGACGCGCACAAACGCTGCGAAAAAGCCGTCTCGGGTTGTATCTCCATCCTCACAGCCCCTCTGTGTGAATATCAAGGCTATAACGCGGGAGCAGAACAATGGTATACAATTCACCACTCGATGCATGAAAAGTAGTATCGCAGAGCTTGCTGACAATGTGCCAACAGCCCAGAAATAACAGAAAAACAACATCGAGGATCCACGTCCTCTATCACTACCCTCGAAACCTGGAGAAGTAGAGTGCTAGTCGCAATGAACGAGCACTACGTCTCTCACCGCACCCAATTCTTCGAAAAGCATACCACGGCGGAGGTGAGTTTTGGTGGAGACAGCTCTCTCTATTTTTGACGGTCTTATGATTTCCTCCGGAGACAATCTCCCAAACTATCTCAGAACAATTTGAATCGAGCACACACTAATTCTTTCACTACTCATAGTATCTCGGCCAGGCTTCGAAAAAAGTTTATTCTTTCGTGCGCGAGGATTTGGGGGTGCCATTCCATAGAGGATTGGTTGAACATCCTACGCCTGGTGATGTTGTGATTAACGGGAGACCGAAGAAGACTATTGGAAGCTGGGTAGGCATCATTTATGAGAGTTTGAGGGATGGGAGATTGTATGATAAGCTGATGGAGGCGCTGGCTGATGGGTTAAAAGATGGGGTTGTGAATGGTGATGGACAGCAGAATGGTGGGGTTGTGAATGGCGAAAGACAGCAGAATGGTGAGGTGGTGAATGGCAATGGACAGCAGAATGGTGAGATGTGAATGGCGCGGGAATAAGTTCCAATGGTCGTGTCTGAATGGGTACATCAGTGCAAAGTTGTTTGGTGGTTTTAGAAGGGTAGAAGGCGACTAGAAGGAAACGCCTGCGTTGCGACTGGAAACATACCCCCTTTAGTTTTGTTCCATAGTTTCTTCTTCCAACCATACCCCCAATGTCCAAATTTCCGGGGTGCATTGAGCATTTGCGAACTTTGGGTATAATGAGACTTCAGGAACATTGAACAACGATATTCCACGGATGTACAAAGAATTCTGGACCACTTGGTGAACCTACTGGCAGAATTCCTATTGGCGGTACTCTCTGATCAGTGAGCAAGAACAATAAAAGTTGCAACGTCTTTCAATATCTGAAACAACACAATGCAAAAGAATATACCCAAACCATAAAATCAAAAGCTGTGGCTGACACGCCGTTCGCCCTTAGCCCTTCTCACATGCGCTCCTCCTCCTAGGCATAATACCCTCTTCTCATCGCATAATCACTCAACAGCAAATAGCATTCCATCATAAGTCACTTTTAATGCTGAATTGCAAAAGTCAAATGGGAATTGGTTGCGTTAATTGAGCTTGGATTGCAGTACAAAATCAGGCTTTTATAATGCACTCCAAACCTCCCTGATTCTAGCGTCCTAGCCGCCTCGTTATTTAGTATTTAGCAGCTGATCGCTCCAAAGTCATTAGAGATAACGGGAAAATGTAAAACGACCCCCCCCCCCCCGGGCGTCGATTAGGGGTATCGACTGGAGGCTAAGATATTAACGACTTGTAATTAGCTACTTAGCCTCTTTCAAGGCCTTAAGTTGGATTTTTAATATAAATAGAAGCTGATATATAATTAGATTTATTATATAATTACATACTTCCTATTTTATAATAAAAATATTCCTGAAAATATAATTTATATATTAATTAATTAGGTTTTAGTTTTTAGCCCTATAAGGCCCTATAAAGTAAGAGCTTATAGGGCTCTCATATATAATTCTAAGGACTTATTTATCAAATTTATAAGCATTTTTAAGCTTATCTTTAGGTTATCAAATATTAGATTTTTAATTCCTTTAATTTAAAGAACTATTACTTATTTGTATTTTATAAAAAGATGGGTTTTAAATAGCCCTTAGTTAGCGCTATAAGAAAATAAAGAAGGTATTAAATTTTATTAATTCTTTATCAAGTAAATTAACTCCAAAATAATAGATCGATTTTTGGTATTCCTCTCTGAGCGCCTCTACTTTGGATCTGTGGCTAGTCTGGCCCCCAATCGATACCCTGGGAGGGGGGGTTTACATTTTCATGGGATAGCCGCATACGAATTGTACCACAACATCGGCAATAGCACAAATATACTTAGTATCAAATTTCCAGTTCAAGGTACGTGTATCCGGATGCCTCCACCGAATGTATTAGAGAGTGTACAGTCTGGGCTGCTCCGGATGTTGTCCCAGAAACCACGGCACATTCCAGATCCTTCCACTCCCCATCCCGACCAGTGTACACATAGAACGTGGGTGGTTGAGTGATTTTACAGGCTTTTAGGCTGAAAATACAATACCTCTAAAGACTTCGGAGCAATTTATATGCTCTCCCTTTTTTCTGTCAATCCTACGTACTTCCTATGTTTTTCTGGTTGTGGATGGCAACTCAGGGGCCTCCTCGCTTATCTTAGCGACCTCCCTGCTGCGGCGCAGTTTTCCTTGGGGAAGCGAGCGACCCCACCAGCCCCACCCTTTCAGCCACGGCTGAGGTCATTGCGGGGTCCAGCACACCTGCGCCCCTCGAAAACTGTCAAGTTTCATACAAGCCGACATCCTCATCCTCATGTTCCAAACATCAACGAGCTACGCAAAAAGGTAAGACATTGACCTTCAATCGTTGTTCAGGTAGGACATGCAACTTTCTCTACATCCTGGGGTGGCATGATACCATTGCATGAGCAGACGGAAGCGAGACATCCGGGCTCGGACCGAGCTACCTGGATAGTTGCATCATATGTTTCTATTCCTTCCCTCCCCTCTTTCCCCTCACTCTCTTTGCCTTCATGACCTCTGCCAAACTCACCATTCAACATACAGTATCTCAATCAACAATACGCATACAATACAATGGCATCACCACGGATACTTCTCCTTGGCGGCCACGGCAAGGTGTCCCTCCTCATGACTCCCAAGCTTCTCTCCCGCTCCTGGAACGTCACCTCCGTAATCCGAAACCCAGACCAAAAAGCCGATATCCTCGAAGCGGGTAAGAATGGACCTGGGAAGATTGATGTTTTGGTAGAGAGCTTGGAGGATGTGAAAAGCGATGCACAGGCAAAGGCTATCCTGGAGAAGACAAAGGCGGAGTGGGTTATTTGGAGCGCTGGTACATTTCAATTCCTGATCTACAAGATAGTGGTAGCTAATGATCACTGGTATATAGGAGCCGGAGGGAAAGGAGGCCCTTCGCGTACGAATGCAATTGATAGAGACGCATGCATCCACTTCATCCGTGCCTCCCTCTCTTCATCCACCATCACTAAATTTCTCATTATATCTGCTTTATCCTCTCGCAGAGATCGTGCAGCATGGTGGGATGACGAAAGCTGGGCCATGGCACGGAAATTCAACGAGGAGATTGCGCCCACATATTATAAGGCCAAGCTTGCGGCGGACGAGACACTCACAGTGCTTGGGGAACAAAAGAAGGGCTTCGGGTATATCATACTTAGGCCAGGGGGCTTGACGGATGATAAGGAGGTTGGGAAGATCAGCTTTGGCAGAACGAAAGCGAGGGGGATGGTGACGAGGGGAGATGTTGCGGAGGTGGCGGGTAAGTTGCTTGAGAAGGAGGGTGTGAGGGGTTGGTTTGATCTACTTGGTGGGGAGGAGGAGACGGACGCTGCGGTGAAGAGGGTGCTGAGCGAAGGGGTCAATAGTATGGAAGGGGAGGATTTGGAGGCTATGAAGAAGGACGTGACACCTTTGTGAGGTATTTTATGGCCATGAAAAGATTGTCATTTTGCATATTGACGAGTCGACTCTTGTGTGATGTATTTGGAGCATGGGTGGGTACTCTTTTATTAGATTAAAACATTGCAAGTGCACAGAATTGTCGGTGGAAATGAATTTCTCACTGAATCTGGAAATCAAACCCTGGATTTGACTTCTCCATATTCTGGAGCTTGACAATGTTTGTGAGGCCATTTGCGATAGGACCCCTCTTGCAATTGTTAACGATTCTTTCAGGGGGGGTAAGTTAAGCCACACTTCTCAGCAAATCAGGCAAGTGCCTTCTTTTAAGGTTTCAGTTCCTCAAGTCTCCCGGGGCTTTATATGGTATGCCGAGCAGCTGTCCAGTGAAGCTAAAACGAGTCTAGAATTTCGTGATTCACGTCAACAAAACTCACCATTTCCGCTTTTGGCTCTAGAGGCTTGTGTACCCTCCATTACATCATAGCAATAGAGGCAAAAATCGTCGTCATATCCTGTACCAAAGATGGCCTACCCAAAGATTTTGAATGAGTTCAGAGAGTTGGTATTCCTCGACAAGACCCGGTTGCAGGTTCCCCAGTTCCTGTCCTGAACCTCCTAGACTCCCTGTCAATACTTTAACGGAAGGCACCGCAGATTCACATCAACAAGTATGTTCGACCTAGCACCACATCCCTCTGCTCCTATAAAGAGAACGAAGAATTCCGAAAACTACAAACTCGCACCCGACCGTTGGCTACCACCACCTCTCGAAGGCGATCACAACATTTATCTAGTGGAGCTTACTGGAGATTGTGACCCTGCGAACGCCAAATCATGGTCCGTCTCACGCAAACTGAGGACTGCATCTGTACTCGGCTTCGACACTCTCGTTGCATCTTGGGGTTCATCGGTCTACTCATCCGCTGTTGAACCCGTCTCGCAAGAGTTTGGTGTCTCGAGCGTTGTTGCACTCCTCGGGCTGACATTATACATCTGTGGATTTGCAACCGGACCGTTGGCGTGGGCACCTTTGAGTGAGCTGTATGGGAGAAGGTGGCCTATCACAGGAGCATGCCTCATCTTCACCTGCTTCATGTTTGCATCTGCCACAGCGGAAGACTTTCAAACACTGATGCTTTCGCGGTTCTTCGCTGGAGTGTTTGCAAGTTGTCCGTTGGCAGTAGTGGGCGGTGCATTCAGTGATATGTTTGGCAACGAGACAAGAGGGATCGCCATCGCTGCATTCTCTGCTCTCGTCTTTCTTGGTCCTTTCATTTCCCCCATCGTCGGAGCTTTTATCACCCAAAGCTACCTGGGTGGGCGGTGGACCGAGTACATCACCGGGATTATGGGGGCTCTCGCTTTCGTCCTGGATATCATTCTGTTGGAAGAGACCTACCTGAAGACAGTTCTGCAGAAACGAGCAGCTCAGATTCGTAAGGAGACGGGCAACTTTGCAATCCACCATGTCAGCGAAGAAGAAGTGATCGATTTCAATGACCTGATGCACAGACACTTTCTCCTCCCACTTAATCTGCTATTTAGGGAACCGATTGTGTTCCTGATCACCATATACACAGCGTTCATCTACGGCATCCTATACCTGTTCCTAGAAGCCTACCCTGTAGTTTTCACCACATACCGCGGCATCCCCTCCGCGCTCGCAACCCTGCCATATATTGGCCTAATCATCGGTGTGTTGATCGGGTGCGGCATCGTCATCGCTTTTGAGCCCAGATACAATCGAAAGCTGAAAGCAAACAACAATCTCCCTGTCCCAGAACAACGACTTCTACCCATGATGGTGGGCGCAACATTGTTTCCAGTTGGACTGTTCTGGTTCGCATGGACGGGAAACTACCCGGCAATCCATTGGATTGTACCCACGCTCTCCGGTCTCTTGACAGGCGCAGGCATCATGACGATCTTCCTGCAAGCATTGAACTACCTCATTGATGCGTATCTCATAGTTGCCGCATCCGCCATTGCTGCAAACACCTTTCTAAGATCGTTCTTCGGAGCAGGGTTCCCACTGTTCGCAACGCAGATGTTCAATAATCTTGGTGTTGATTGGGCGGGAAGCTTGTTGGGATTTTTAGCGGTAGCTTTCTGGCCAATTCCGTTCTTGTTTTATATTTACGGGGAGAGATTAAGGAAGATGAGTAGTTATGCGCCGACGGATTTGGGGAAGAAGGGTGGACAGGGTAGTGAGGATGAGGAAGCGAAGAGTGAGTAATGGATGTTGGAGGGGGTTGAGGGGGTTGAGGGCACGTGTGATGATAATGTGGGCTGATTAATGCTTTGTCCATTGTTCATGGTTCTATCGGAGATGGGAGACCGAGCGAGTATGGAAGTTCTTTTCATTTTATGCTGCATTTGCTGGCGTCTTTGCGATTTTGATGTTCGATGAGGTATCGTTGTACTGTATAGATGTGATAGAACATGAAGATAGACCAGTAAAGCAAGAAGGGTTGCTGTAGACGCGGGTATTCCATGCGGAGTATTTATTCGAGATGCGTATAATAAGGCAGAGTGGAAAATGATGGACAAGACCGGGAAGGGCCCGGGGGAACTCGGCTACAAGCCCCTGCCAGAACGTAAGAAAGGAGCGACAGTGTACCTGAAAGTCTTCCCATCCCAACTTAACACCAAGTCGGAGTTCGTTTGCAGGAAGTAACGCTGGTGTGGGGATGAAGACGTGCGTTTGGAAGGAGGACGGGTGTTTGGAGATTACCTATTAGCAGCATTAGCCAATTATGACGAGCGGGATGCGAGCTCCTGCCAGCGAACGAATAGGGAAATCCTAGTGTGGTTGGCACGTTATGGACTGTACTCGTGGTATACAGTACAAGAAGCAAAGCCATGGAACGAACACATTGCGCACTACAATATGTTAGTGGGCAGTAATTGTGTGGTTCGTTCATAGCTGGGAAGCTTTTGAACGCTCCAATCAATCCTCAATCCCTGAAATGTTCGTGGCGTGTCTCTAAGCGAGAAGGATAGGGGTACACCACAGCGAACCGAGAATCACCACTTATCACTCGCCTCCTCCCAATTCCCCACAACACTAACGCTCTTGCACCCCTTCCCCACAAACGGATTAAATATATCCGCCACCATCTCGATTGCTTCTTATTAGTTGTTAGGAATTTTAGGATATTCTCGTAACAATTGTATGAATTAAGCAGCGTTTAGCTTGTAACTAGGCTTCAATATAAGGGTAAGGTTGATATAGAGTAAGATACTTAAAGAACATGAAGCGCGGCTAGTAGAGAGTTCACATGCCTCTATAGCCGAGCTAACCTAAAGGGGAGCATCACGTGTATGGCAAGCGGTGCTGTTCCAGAGATGCGAGGATGATGAGAATTGGAGAATGGCAGTGCTAATTGAGTCGATCGAAACATTTCTGAATCACATTATTCGAATATCACAGGGTTGGAGCTTAACCCCACAGATTGATAAAGAGTAGCAAGTTCTGTGGTGAGGAGATCTGTTGTTTCTTGGCGTACCACGCAAATTCATTGGCACAATGCTGGCCCTCCAACCGCTTAGATCTACACTCCTTTCCACTTTAAAGTCTTACGCTTTGGGGCTCGAAGTGTGCACCATTTAGTATCCGTTGTGGAGACTCCAAAGTACTGGACGGACTCCCGGCTGCTGCTTAAGTTCCAAGATAGTAGAAATGCAACACAAGGTACGCCTAGAAGGAAATGGACTTTGGAAGTGGCTTAAACCAGCCATAACGATGATCCTTTCTAGAGTCGAAAACCGGTCAAGACATATCTTAATCCATTCCAGCACCTCACCTGACCTCCACTGTATGGAACGAAGCCAAGTTCTTTAATAGACTTGCAATGTTCGAAAATAGTACGAAAATCGCCAGGCAGAATTCGATTTATGGTACTAGAGCCTTCTCTCTGTTAATACAACAGTAGCAATAGACGGTCGGAAATAGAGGCTCACTTACGAAGTGTGGAGTTTGTGGGTATTCTCGACGGCCTTCTTTTGCTTCTTTTCGGCGCTCGAGAAGTTTTCCGCACTGAATCGATACCAATTCTGTCTGTAAACGGCCGGATAGCTTCGTGGTAAAGTTCACTATCCCCTCAGGGTAAAGGCGGAATCATAGGAGACTTGTAGCTGCCAGACTTCCGCGGGGTGGTGCTACAAATTGAGGAGGTATAGACTTCGACGTATCGGAGAACGCATTTCTTGCTGGTGGTCTTGCGGATGGTGACGCCGCTCAGGGTGCAGTCTTCGATGATGTCCATATCGGAGTCTGCCATAGTATCTACCGGGAGGGATTCTTTGAGTCTCGAGTGATATTCGCGTTGAGGACACTAGATAGTGCATGTGGATGGGAAAGCATACGTACTGAGAAGTGTCCGAGTATGGTCGGGGTAGCTTGGGGAAAGATTGTTGAATATCCAATGATGAAGCGGTTCAATGATACAATTGAAAAACTCTGAGAAATTCATCCAATGGTTAAGAAGTGAATTCGTTGTAACTTGGTGCAGGAAATTTTGGAAAGGGGGAAAGGAGAAGTACTTTGCATTTAGCCAAGCTGCCAAAGCACGTGTTATGCCTGTGGAGGAGCAGAAAAATCGATGGCAACGCAGGTGTCTGCAAGTTTGGATTTGGATTTGAATTTGATGTAGGTAGTTGCAGTCACTTACACTCCACGCTTTTCTGGCTCGGAACCTCCAGAAACTTGCCCCGTTGCTCCCAAGCGCCAGTATACAACCTGGCCATGAGGGCTGCCACTCCCGCTCTACTCTACAATCCTCGACTTCTCCTGCGCTCTATTCATCATTCCACTTCAAGGTCTGCCCCTTAGGTGCTTCCCAGAACCAGACCTCCATTTCAGTACTGGGTACTCGAAATAGTTTTGTAGGGGCACCCAGATCCTGCTGTAGCGCAAGCACCCCTGAGATACGTTCTTGGCGGTTCACAGGTCGAGGAATATAGAGGTGTTTCGATGGTATCTTGATCTGCAGGGTTTCAATTGCTGAGAATTTTGAGAAGCAAGTCTTTACCCAAATCTTCAATTCTGGCGCGTTGCATGGAACAAGGCAAAGCTGCTTGACTGAAGTACAGTGCGTGAATGGTACCGGAAAAAATCCAGCATCGATGCGCACCTTCTAACGAGCGCTTCTCGGGTCGTTAGGTTGATTCATCGTTCCAGATAGACTGGGGTCACTTACTTGATGTAAAGCTTTTGGATACTTTGAAGAGCTTTCTTTGATACCAATTCAAAAGCAGGGAGGGTTTGAAGGTCTACTCGGAACCAATTCAGCCTGTAGAAGATTCTAATGGCCTCGGCATAGAGTTCTTCATCACCTCGGAGTGCAATCAAGAGAGCTGGAGTCTTCGATTTGCGAAAATCAATGCAGCGCCCAAAGATCATTGCCCTGACCTCGGGAGGAAACCTTCGGAATGCCAAGGCGACGAAGTCATCGCACAGTTATCCATAGCACAAACAACGATCTTCTTCGTCTCATGGAGCTTGGAGTCGACCAGAGAACAACCATCGATTGTACAGTTTGAGAGTTGTGCAGTGGCTAAGGTCGACTTAGAGACTGTACAATTCGAGAGTTGCAATTACTCAAAGTTGAGCCGGCAATGGTTGATCCATGGATCTCGACGCGATTTAGCGTGCAAGCTATAAATGCGGTCTTACGGATCGCGATATCCTGGATTGTGGAGTTCTTGATAGTGGGAAGTGTTGCCATTAGTGTCGCACTGTTTCTTGATGTATTACCGGCGTAGGTGTAGCCAAGAGGACTGGCGTAGAATTAGTGGAAGATGCAGAGATGGGATGTTCTAGCGGATCAAGAACAATTAAATAGTCGAAATGTTTAAGAGTTCGAATTTGCTGGCCAGCTTCATGACGAAGTGAATCTCAATCTCAACCGACGCTGGTCTAGTATATTGGAGATGTCTGGCTCCGTCGGCAGTGAATATCGAGCTCATAATTCTGTTGAACATCGATTCAATGTTGCAGATACTCTTGGGACTTGGAATGCGTTCTGTCCAAGTCCAGGGAATTTCGAATGAGGCATTTTCAGCGAATCGTGTGACACAAGAAACTCCAAACAAGGTAAGTTGCTTCGCAATGAATGAAGGAATTGGCACTGATTGGCACCGATTTACAATATCCCAAATCAAGTGATAGATATCTCAGAGAGAGGATTCAACCGTTGCAGAACTTTATGGACATTGAAAGAGACTTGACTTTGAACCTACCATAGATCGAAGGAATAACCAAAAGGGAGGATTTGAAATGGATGCCCCTTTTTTCATGCCCATGTTGAGTTACGCTTCTCCAGTTTTGGAACGCCTTCGGGTATAAATTGCAGTCTTCTTACATTTTCCCTCTTTTATCAGACTTTTTTAATTCCCCTCGCCAGAACGCCAAGTGTGCCTCCGATTTCCCTATCGATACGCCAATTTCCAATTACCTCTTCACTTTCTTCTTATCTGGCCCCTCTTCCTCTTCCTCATCGCTCAGTTCTGCATACTGCGTAACTGGTTGCGTATCCTTCCAGGCATTCGTAAACAAAGGATCCTTCTTCGCAAGATCCGCATACTTAAGCAGTGCTTCTCTGGGGTCCTCGTCTCGCATACTGCTGAGCGGTATACTCTGGTTAATATGTGCTTCGTCTGGCTGACTCTTCATAAACGGAGTCACCATAGGTATCTGCGGTCTCCGTGGATCGCGGGACCGGCCTGATGCTGTCAGTCCAACTGTTGGATGGCGAGCAGAGAACGACGAAGCGTTGGAGTTGGTGAGGACTCCGCCCGGTGTGACGATGCTATCTCCTGAAATGCCGACGGATTGATCAGTAGTGAAGTTTGGATCGTCGTCGACATGCCGTTTTTTGGGCGCGCGGGACATGACATCCACGGCTCCTCGGACGGACGTGTTTGGGTTGTAGAGGACATGAACTTCTGCATTTGCAGAGCCTGTGACGATTTGGTTGATCTTTGGATGCCACTGGACTGTGATAAGTGGTGATCCTGGTGTGACTGGAGTAACAAGCTCGGCTTTGAGATTTCCAGGATTCAAGATGTGGAGATGGCCAGATGCCGACCCTGTGACAATACTGGAGGAGGCAGGAGAATATTTGATGTTAGTCATGGCGTAATGGCCTGATGTCGAAGGGTGTGATACGGTGACAACTGGGGCCTTGAACTTCCGGGTATCCCAGAGTTTGATCAAGTCATCGCCACCTCGGGTCACAACCATTCGGCCATCCGAGCTGATGTCTAATCCTCCCGTCCACGTGTTTGGTTTATGCGCCTCTCTTATTTCTGCTGCTGGTCTTGCAAACGGTCCGTCCCCACTCCACATCACCAGACTTCCATCAAGAGCTGCAGCAATCAACATGTTGGGCCCTCCTTGTAATGGACTTCCCCAGGCAACCGCAGTCATTCTCGTCCTTCCCGCAGAGCCTGCAGCCCTCGATTTGTGGACGATGACTTCTTTCTGAGTTCTCTTGTGGTTGACGTCCCATATCCGTAGCGTGCTGTCGGTACCCGCCGTAACACACAAGTTCTTGTCCACAGGATTCCATGTGCCAGTTGTAACCTCAGAAATATGTCCCTTGGTGTTATTCATATCCCTCAGATACATATCGCCCTTCACAAACTCTGCTAGAACCTCTCCGTCTCTACTCATGATCTTTGCTTGTGGATGCGCCGAGACGCAGAGGAATGCCCCTCCTGATAACGGGTTGAATTCGACAAGATTGATAGGGTGGGTTTCTGAATTCGTTGAGGTTTTCGAGGCACTTGGATCTACGGATTTGAAGGCTCGTAGAGTGGTCGGGGTCATGGAAGCAAAGTCGTGCAGCTTCAGCGTACAATCCGTAGATCCAGTAACCAGTCTACCTCCAGAAGGATCCAGGGAAGCTGTTGTCACGGCACGCTCGTGTGTCTTCAGTACCAGCTCGTGCGAGACTGGGTACTCGTCGTCTTCGGACGCATTAGAGTCGTCTGAATCGTCATCATCATCTGAGCCGTAATCCTTGGATGCTGGCTCCTGCGCGACCCTCTGTTGGCCCTCCCCATCCTCTCCAGTAGCCTCTATCTTCGCTGGCGCCTTGTCGACCGGCCTCTTCGTCCTGCTTATTTGCGCCGCGACGTCTGCCTCTTTACTCTTCTTTCCAAACACTTGAGGCAAGAATGCTCTCATAGGATCATCCTCCGCCAGCTCAGGGCCATCCACCTCAAATTCCTCGTCGTCGCTCATATTGTCGAGTATCGAGGATTCTCATTCGCTGGTATTGTTTGAAGTTGGAAGCTGGAGTGGGGTGCAGGCTAGCGAATCTTGGACGAGGTGTCGATGAAATCATACTTTGACTCGCACTTTGCGCGACGACCACCAAATCACCCAACCACGACCACCAAGGATCTCAGCAACACGACAATATATCCTCATGTGTATATGAAGCAGCTGTCAATTACGTCTCCCTTGAGTTGGCCCGCGGGCCGCCAGAAGTGGGATGATATTGTTATTTACGACGACGACACGCTGATATGTATCTTTTGACCCCGGCAATCGATGCTGCGACCACATCAGTCTTCAGTGCGCCGACATTGGCAACCGCTGCGACATTATCGAATTCCGACTTCTTCATATTCGGCGACAAAGACTCACAGCTTCAGCGATGGAGCTCCTTGATCGGCATTGCCACTGCCATTGGAGGCAACATCCTGATATCCTTCGCCCTCAACATACAACGATACGCGCACATACGATTAAGCCAAGAACGGAGTTTAAGGAAGGAGAAGTCAAAACACATCGCTAAGAGTACACAAAATGGCTATGGGACGACTGGGTCGAATGGGCATCATGTCACAGAGTTGGAAGGCGAGCATCACGATCCTTTGCAAACCTCGTTTCATTCCACGAATACCCAATCAAGCGGATGCTCGGATGACGACCATAAACAAGATTCTACATACTTGAGGTCGCCATACTGGTGGGGAGGGATCGCATTGATGACAATTGGAGAGACGGGCAATTTTTTGGCATATGGCTTCGCCCCGGCATCGATAGTATCCCCGCTCGGCGTTGTGGCTTTGATATCGAACTGTGTGATTGCCCCCATCATGTTAAAAGAAAGTTTCCGGTTGCGAGACTTCTGGGGAGTGGTGGTAGCTGTGGCAGGAGCCGTTGTAGTTGTGCTCAGCGCAAAGCAACAAGAGAAGAAGCTTGGCCCACACGAGATCTGGGGGGCTATCACAAGAACGGAGTTTGAAGTGTATATGGCTATTACTGGGTTTCTAATTGGGGTGTTGGTATGGGCGAGCCCAAAGTACGGAAACAGGACAATCCTGATAGACCTTGGGCTCGTGGGTTTATTTGGTCAGTGTGGTCTTCCCGTGAGGTTGATCTTGCTAAATTCTATATAGGTGGATATACGGTTCTTTCAACAAAGGGTGTAGCTTCAATGCTTTCGTCAACGCTTTGGAGAGCCCTTACAACACCAGTCACCTACGCTCTCGTGGCCATTCTAGTGGGTACCGCTGTTATGCAAGTTAAATATGTCAACAAGGCGCTTGCGCGATTCAACTCGACCCAGGTCATTCCTGTACAATTTGTTATGTTTACTTTGTCTGTTATTATTGGAAGCGCTGTTCTATATCGTGACTTTGAGAAAGCCACAGCTGACAGCGTGGGAAAATTTATTGGCGGTTGTCTTTTGACATTTTTCGGGGTATTCCTTATTACCAGCGGTCGACCTCGACGAGATGAAGAGGATGAAGAGGATGGATCCGACGAGGAGGGCGAGGAAAGAATTGGTCTCATAGATCAAGAACCATCGGGCGAGGAACATCAAGCACATGAAGGAGCCAGGAAACGGTCAAGAGCAAACGTACATCAGAATGGCGACGGAGCCAACGACGAGGCCGCCAGCGATTCGCGGAGGTCTTCTCGTGTCAGTTTTGTGGACCCTTCACAACCCCGGACACCTCACAGATTTTCCGTCTCTTCATACCAACCCCCATCAGTCCGAGTTGTGCCTTCAGCTCCGCCCTCGGAAGTAGCTGCAGAGCAAACCCCTCTCCTCAGCAATCCATGGAAGAGCGATGAGCTTCTTCAAGCTACAAGACATTTTGGACTACCGAATACGACATCATCGGCTGTACTACCATCCGAAGCACAAACTTCCACAGAATCGCTGAAGCCTCTGTCAAATTTAGCAAGGACCTCATCCCAAGGCAATGTGCATACTCATCCAAACCATCAACAAGGACCTATACCACCACCAGCAGACGTCAGACCAGTGACTCCAGCAAGACACTCTATATCTCGAATGATGCCTGGCCCTTTCATCTCTCCACTATCCGGAGGCTTGAGCGTGGTCGTCGCAGATACAATGCGACGGGGCATCGAGTCTCCAAGCAAGCTCAAGCGCGCCCGTCTCGGTCTCCCAAGATCGAAATCTGGCTCCCATCGACTTGCCCAGTCACGTGATGGAAATGAAGATGGATCAGAAACACCGTCAGCCAAGAACGGCGACGAAGGACAGGAAATCAGGAAATCTTTAGATACAGACCCGAGCAAAACTTGGTCGAGAATGACCAGAGCGCGAAGTTTAAGTAATACTTTAGGAGATTATTTCCGGGGGAAGCGACAAAAAACTGATCAAAGGGATTCAGATGGTGATGAGGAGGCGGGTCCAAGCGGATCGTGATTCTTGGTGTACTTATTTGGAAAGCGGTTTTGCATGGAAGGAGGGGCGTTGGATTGAATTGATAAGATAGGTAGAGTTTGAATGCACAAATTTCCCTGGTTATCTTCTGCGTGGCTTGTTAGCATTCTTTGTTTGATGTGAATGTGTGAAGATTTGTCGAGTGATAGCAGCGTCGTCAAACACCATGGTACTTGTGAGCGGGTGACACTCGTCCGATGTTTGCATTAAACACGGTGCTCTGAATGGTCAGAAATTACTGGCTCGTTCAATATCGAGTCATCCCAGAAAGTTCAGGCAATTCGGGAAGTTTCTAAAGTCTCGATTGTTATTCGCGAAATACCATTTTCCACAACTTTAGTTCGAGACATATCAACGAGACACCAATATGCAATCATCCAAGATAACTTACGAAGGCCCCACCCAATATGAGATCCTGCATCTCATATCATGCTACAACACCGCGCACCATGACGTCGATCACATAAGGCCCGTTGGTTTCACCGACCTCGACACCGCGAAGGCCGAGTCCCTTGCCAGCCTTGATGCACAGAGCTGGTGGAGGAACCCTAATTTTGACTTCCAGCTTGATTCTTTCGTCAGGCTCGTTCAGGATATCAGGCAAGCGAGCACCCCGCAAGATTGGAATCGCATCGACTGGGAGAAAGTAGGTGCCGGTACGAGGCTATTGAATAAGCTCATCGAGTGGAAAATAAGTCATGGCTCCTTTACTGGCATTGTAGTCAATTTGGAGAGAAGGCACCCTGAAGAACAGGCGCAGAGAGTGGCTGCCCAAAGAGATGGTGAGAGGCGCGCACAGGAGGAGGCTGATAAGAGGAGCGTCGAGAGATGGGATCAAGCTGAGAGGCGAGTACGGGAGAGGGAGAGGGAGATGGCCACAGAGGAAAGGCGACAGGCGCAACAGGCGGCGGTCAAGAAAGATGCTGAGAAGCGGCTACGGAAGACGCAGAGCAATGCGGAACTGGGGAGAGAAAGGGCGAGAGAGATGGAGAAGGCTGCCGAGCTAAAGAGACAAGCTGTTATAGTTCAGGAAAAGAGAGAGGTACGTCAATCCAACCGGCCATTTGATCAGCAATACTGGGTATTCAAAGAACCCAACTGGAAAATAAGTGGAATAGATTGGGGAAAGAGGGGATTTTTTGCTAAGAATCGGATAAAGGACAATGGCCCCAAGTTGCCTGCCCGACAGCAGACTCCAGTGATTGCGGTGAGATCACCGACTCCGGGGCCGACAAAGCTGCAAAAATCAAATCCTAACATCCCTGATCCAACAAAGAATACAATGTATCAGCTACCGGTTCATATTACACCGAATGGCCAGGATCGACCGAAAAGCCCCAGTCAGCAGCCGGTACACGTGATTCAGACTCGACCAAAAAGTCCAGCTCATCACCATCACCAACACACGTCAGTTAATCAAAACCGAGCAAAGAGTCCAACTCATCATGGTCAACAAACGTCAGGTCACCATCACCAACACACACCAATTAACCAGAACAGACCAAAGAGTCCAGGTCACCAGCAGCCAGTCAAGATTCCGAATCAAACACGGGGCATAGTTTATCAACAGCCAGTCAGCTCAAACACGCCAGCGCACCAAAATCATCCTAAGAGCCCCGCTTCTCAGCAGCCTGTCAATATTCCAAATCCAACAAAGGGCACAGTATACCAGCAACCTGTCAGGCCAGACACACCTGGCAATTTAAACAAGGCAAAGAGTACCAGCAACCTCAAACAACCTGCTGCGAACCCAACGAACAATGACCCCACCAAAGACCCGGCCAACAAGGCAATGTATAACAAGAGGCCGAGGATTGCAACGGATATCAAGGATCTTAGGCGGCAGAAGGCTCATGATCAGGCGAGGGCGCTGGCGTCTGAGATTAGAAAGATGGATTGAACTCGGAGGTATACGTAGTGTTTAGTAGATGAATCAATCTTCCTATTGACACTTTTTCGGAGAGTTCAACCTAACCCTAATTCTAAATATTCTCAAGGTGGCTGGTCTGTTTTTCCTTTGTTTTTCGAGGGAAGATTCAATTCACCTGGAGGACTCCGCAGAGGAGAAGTTGGGCTTTTGGAGGATTGTATTACAGATCTTTAAACGAATCTCGAGTAGTGCGTAGTGTGAATTAACGTTGATACTCTGGAGTATTCCAGTCTGGAGTGCTATATCTTCATGTGTCTACACTTCATGACCATGTCACTCCTAAGAGACAACTTCCAACAAAATGGGAGCAGCTACAAAATCGACAAGCTTGGATGCTACGACTTGTACTAAAACAAGTGAGGTCAGGGATGCAAGGGCAGAAGACCGACAATCTCATGCACAAATCGTAAATGCCGCAAGGGAATTCCATTGTAGAAAAGAAAGTACTGCTAACATTCTTCATTTAACCGCCATGTGGAGGACTGCGAAGAGTGGCGCCACAACCACAGCGAACCATATCGCAAAGGGCTACATAACCTCAAAATCAAGCACAGGACTAGAGAATTCGACCAAATTACCCATGCGATGGCAAAAGATGGGCACTGAACTCAGAAATGGCAACCTATATTCAACTTGAAACAGCTTAAGGAATCGTTGAAGGCCAAAGGCTGTCAGTCCCATCCAAAGTTCTGAAGGAGCTGAACGAAATTGTGGCCATGGTGCCCACCCGGACATATCTATAGCGAACGAGAGCAGCAACGCAGTAATTGAACTAGTAAAGGCTGGTCGAAACAATCATTTTGGATGTATCGCTGTGTGAAGATAGCAGGAGGGTGGTTGACGATCGACTTGGCGAAGATTCAACTGTACTCCAAAGTGGCGAATCTTTAAAGAACAACGTGGGGCCGATAAGTCAGGATTGCCAAGCGGGTGGGAATAAGCCCGTCTGCCGCTTGCCAATTGTGACGATGCTTGTATAGAGAGATAGAAATATCTGGTTTCCAACCCTCTCATATGCCGTTCTGTGAATGAGAACTTGAAGCCAATGAAAATTATTCCATTCACGCCAGATACCGAAGTGCATCCACAAGTACACTCGAAGGTCTATATCAAGAGCTAATTTTCCTACCTAAGTGTCTTGCAATCTTGCATTTAAACCCCTTTTGAATCCTTCAAAGTTCGATTTAAACAAGCCTACTATTCAACCGTTGATATTAGAGATCATCCTCTAATCCCTGCTTATCATTGCCTACCTTGACCCGAGAAACAAAACACGCCATGGCTACTCCAGAGGGTGTTCAACAGAAGATAATAGCAGAGTTGATCTCTGAGCCCGACGAGAAGAAAACTCAAGCAAGACTTGCTCAAGCAAATGGCGACAAGTCCACTGTCAGGAGGCTATGGAAAGAGAGTTTTCCAGAACTTAACCTCCAGATTTCACACAATCAAAGATGGTCATACGAACCTTCAGAACAAGGAGAAAACTTAACTGTCAACGGAAGTCGGGAAGGGCGGCGTTCGCCTCCTACCAATCAACCCCAAGACCCTCAGGACAAACAAACTTTAGAGCGTGTAAAGGTGCTGTTGAATGAGTTGAACGCGCGTGGAGCGCAGTTGCTGAATCATAAGTGGAGAACAGAAGAAGCTTGCAGTGCCAAGGAAGAACAACTAGCTCATTACTATGCTCGCACTCTAGCGATCGTCGTGATGTTAACGAAGGAAGTAGTGGACGAGACTGATGACCAGTACAGGACTACAAGCACCAATGGAAACAGATCGTGCTCTGAGGGTTTTAATATTACAGAGGACTTAGAATCTGGAGACCCAACAGCTTTCAAAGGGGATCTTGATAGACGAGAGTTAGAGGTGGACTACGGTTGCTCGACTTCGGATCCCGATCTATTCGAAGGACTCGTCGATCACGCACGGCATACACCTTGGTGGCTTGGCGCCGAAGGCTACGAGGACCTGACAGTGCAGTGGTTCGAGCTTGATGAAGAAGGACGCGAAAAGATAGCAGCTATCGAGCGAGATATCGTAGAAGAGAGAGATCCACATACGACTCAGTGCAACACAAAACCCACGACGACTACGCATGACTCATGCTCTTGTGGCGATAAATGCTGGATGCTAGAAGCTCTCGAGAGGAGAGAACAAATGTACCCGAAAGACGGTCTAACGAGAGAAGAACAAAACGCGGAATACACCGAGATGGTTTACAACAACGAATACCAATGCATTACAGGCAAGGCACAAAACATTTTGAAGACTCTTGAAGAGGACAACTCTAGTCGCGGCAAGCACATTACCCGAAAGGAAGAGCAGTGCCTGAAAGAGATCTTGGCACTTGCGAAGGGAAAGGAAAGGGACGAAGAACCACGAGAGCGAGAGCGGGGATTGAGAACAGACGAACCATTTGATAGAAGAATTATTAGCTTGAGGAACTATTGCAAATGGGTCGGCAGCCGTCAACACTTCGAAGTTGATGCTGAAGTTCTTGAATTGACAAAGAGACTGCTGGCCGCCGTCGAAAGACAAAAAAACGAACAGCAGGCTTGTTCAGATTAGCAAGGCTACCTCAGGAAACGCAGTGGAATACATTACGTGTTATCGAGAACTCTTCACAAATAAACAAAGGGCTGAAGAAGGGTCAACAACTGAGAAACACCAAAAGCCGTGGGTGGTTATAGGCCATGTTGTCAGGAACAACGATGGCAGGATTATCTTGAAGAAGCAGAACCTTGGCTCTGAACACTTTGAGAGAAGCTCTAAGGGCACCTCGATCGGCACCGCCTTCCAGACGTTTACCAACGGACTGAAGGTGAGCAACCATGTGGTGAAACAGATCGATGGAAGCATTTCCTGCAGCACATGCCCAATGTACTTAACTGGAGACATTTAGGGACAGATGGAGAGGGGTGGTAGGAGGAATGCAGCCACGCTTAGCTACTAAGATCAATTAAATGCGATGAGGTTTCAAATAGCATTGTATCATTAAAGCAAACACAAGCAAATGAGATCGATGATAATGAAAGGAAACTCCCAGAAGGCAGGACCAATAGTCATCAAGTGACGCCCTTTTTAATTTCAATTGCGAAGTGAATCTCGTACTTCCTCACGACATTTCGGTGACATGAACATTCACCTGCCCATCCACCAAACAAAATGGAATTTGCAGCATATCTCCGCCTTCCCATAACCTCCAACCTCCAGCATCCCCTCTCCAAACCACAAACCATCATGGCAACACCAAACCCCAAACTCACCGAAGAGCTTTCCTCTCTCACCGACGAAGCGACAGAAGCAGTCGCCGATCTCTCATCACCAAGCACACCAGCCCACATCTCCGCCCCTCAAACACCACGCTGGCTCAGCCTCGCCTCATACGAAAGCATGCCAAAACAGTGGAAATGGGAGTCCGAGCTCGAAGCTGAGGTCGAGGATGCGCTTGTCTTCAGCGACGATGATAGTGAGGGACAGTCCGCATCAGGGGAGGAGCATGGGGTGGGAGAGTCCCTGGAAGAGTGGGGTCCAGAGTCTGTAGAGATAGATCCACTTGAAAGAACGACCTCGAGGATATTAGCCGTTTTGAGGTGCTACCTTTACAACCTTGAGCATGGGATGTTGATCACTGGATCCAAGGTCGACGAGAGAATTGAGGCAGCGCTGAAAATCTTGCTTGGAAAGGGACAAGTGGGAGCGAATTGTAGAACTCAAAAGCCGCAGGGACCAGATATGAGGGAGAGTTGGGAAATCAGCGACGAGGAGAGAGTGGTTCTCGAGATAGATTCATATGGCAAGGAGCTGAGCGGGGTGAAGGAAGGAGTTCCTGGGGATGTTGAAGGCGCAGTCAGGGAGATTTTGCAGTGGGCTAGGAAAAAGGGCACTGCGAATGGGAGGGAGGGTATGACATCTTCACAAGGCTCGTTGGGAATGATTGAGTGTTGAGGCATTGAGGGAGAGGGTTGCCTGGAAGTACGCAAACGACAGATAGAGAATAGAGAGATGCGTTTGAGAACATCAAGAACCTCACGCAGCGCGTGGCTGTCATTCGTAACTTTAAACACTTGATTTCGCGTGATTTAGTGGAGAGAATCACTGCCACTGACTGCTGTGAATCACTTCATCTCATCCTCCGTTTGGTCTATAAGAAGCCCAAGATTTACCGCAGCACCACAACTCCCTTCTCTCCTTGAACTACAATCATTACCTACAATATCTTTGAGCACCGGTTGTAAGGTCTCACTTGAGTACTTGCAAAGCAATCCTAAGAATACCACTTAAACAACGCTAAACCAAAGATCTCCCACCCTCTAAGAACTTAAAACAATTACCATGCACCCCATCGACGCAGCGCTCGCCGGCGAAGGGAAAGAAAACGACCCCGAACAGCGCGAGTATTACACCTCTCTCTACGAGCAGCTCCACTACTCTCTCAAACACTACATCTTGACCTGGTAAGCGTATCTCCATATTACCTTTTTCTTCCCCCCTTTCCCTCCTCAACCCTCTCTTCACCTCACCCCCATTCCTCCCCTCCTGAAAATCTCTGCAGCAAGAGCTCCTCATTCTTGGACCCCCCAAAGCTAAACCCTTAGCAGTCCCCCAGAATTTCTCAACCGTCGCATCGCCCTCTTCTTCATGCACCAATACAACGCCACTCTCCGCAGCTCGTCCAGCAGCGATGCCACGAGCACCGAGACTGCGAGCGGTTCCCGCGGCACCCCCTCTCCCTCCGCGGCTCAGCCTCAACCCCATTCCAAATCCACCTGCACCACTGGCCCTCCATCGGGATATCTCGCCCTCTCCAAACTCCAACCCCGCGATGAATCCTTCCTCCAAGCGCTCGCCAAGCTCGAGAAGTCCTCTCAAAGATCTAACTTCGTCGACGAAGCGGTCAAGAGTGCAGCAAAGAAATGTGTTTTCGCGACCGAGGAGCAGCAGGAAAAGATCGAGTATGTGTTGTTGGCTGCTGAGGAGCTGCAGCTTGCGGTGCACATGATAGGGCAGGCGAAGTTGGATGTTTTATTTAGGGAGCTGGAGGGTGATGAGAGTGGGGGAGAGGGGGTGGGAGAAGGATTGTTCGAGGAGTTTGCGGGACGAGAGTGTGAGGAGGGGGTAAGGGATACGATTTTGAGTTTAGTTGGGAAGGTGGAGAGTTTTGTCGGTGTGGTTGATGTTCCAGATTCTGCTTCGGAGGCAGATGAGGAGCAGGAGGAGAGAGAGGAGAGGTCTGAGCGTGGAGATGAAGCTCGTGCTGAGGATAGGGAAGACGAGGGGCCAAAGCTGGACTGGGCAAGAATGCTTGATCCCGAAAGAATATACGAGCACCAGATCTCCATCACGTTGCAGTTTCTCGACGGCGCTATCGTGATGGTTGCGCAGTTTTCGCAGCTAGAGCTTTTGGATATCCTTGACCAATGTCGAGACATTGTTCGTCAAGCCAAGGGCAAGGACACCTCTGACACGGAATCCCGTTTCGACTGGTCAAAAGCCAAGGAACACAGTCTCTATGAAAGTGGTGGACTTGGCGATGCTGTTGTTTCTGTTCTTCGTGGCTACCGCTACACTGCAAGCGATCGTGGAATTGATGAGAGAGTGTATGAGAAAGCGGTCCGGTGTATTGAGGTTGTGGAGGAGAGGATGAAAACAGAAGACTACACTCACCCTGAACATCACCTCAGAGATGAGTGGCGCAGTTACTACGCAGCCACCACCTCCTCTACCTCTGCCCTCTGTGAGCGACTTCTAGAATACGCAACAAACGTCTCAGACAATAAATGGGAATACGATGAGCGGGTCCCGGATGCCTTGGAAGTGCTCATAGAACAAGCGAAAGGAAAAGTTGATGTTGAGGAAGATGAAGATGAGAGTTTGGCATTGAGTCATTCTTTCGATTGGGGAGAGCCGGGAAAGATCTCTGTGCTGATAAGAGGGTACAGCAAGCTGTGCCACGATGAGGGGAAGGAGGTTGATGGAGAGGTGTTGCGCCTTGCACAGGAGATTATTAAGAGGGCAAACAGGGAGTACGAGAAGCACCATGCCGAGTGTGAGTGTAAGTACTGTGGACACCAATTGAAGGCGAACTTGGATGGCGGCGATTGTGGCAAGGATTGTGCTTGTTGTGGGCACCAACTGGATGACAACTTAAATGACCGTGATGGAGGTGGTCAGCCGCGTGTCATCTTGCGCACGTTTGATTCGTTGATCGATGTGCTAGGCGAAAGTGGTTCTGAAGCTGAAGAAGACACGGTCGTGGGTGGTGGTTCTAGGGCGCTCTCTCGAATTGACGAGGACCCAGAGGCTGAGGCTGCGAGTGAGAGTGAGGTCGAGATCTTCCATGGCGAAGGGCACTCAGTTATTGTGACCAAGGATGGCGAACAGAGATGTGAAAATTACACAGCCAAGGCGGAGTGATTAGAAGGTGGCATCTACCATGTGTTGTAATATCTAGACTTAGATTGCGAGACTTTTGCATGCAAGACTTTGTTCAAATTCTCAGATAATGGTTTGTGATTGTACTTTGACACAACATCTTGTTGTCATTCGAGTGGCACAATGAGCGTTCTCAGGGATATCGGTGTGAATAACCCAGCTTGGAGAGTTCATAAAACGGCCTTCTGTGCATCGAAGGAGCTTCCCTCCTCTACCACTCCAAATTGGACCACTTCGAAATTTGGAAAACTCAAACAAGATGCCAAGCGCCAGTAGCACCGAGAGTCAAAACTCACAAGGAATAGCAGATCTCCTTTCTGAGGCTCGGCACTTGATCACAAGAGAACGCACAACCGAGGACGATAATCTCCTGCAGATACAGCAGGTAATCGAGGCAGCGCAACGAGAACTACGCCGTCTGCGAATTCATGAAGAAGTTGAAACTATTCGCTCTAGGCAGGAGCCAGCAGAGATTGGAGTTGATGACACTGAGAGCAGGAGCAGTTCGACCGACGGCGGAGAAGGGTCACCGGACGATGGGAGTGGAGGGATTATCTCGGCGATGGCCGTTACAGGGCAGATAAATATCATCCGTCCTGGGCACGATCCAGAGTCTGGAGGTGAAACGAGGAATGGAGCCGTTCAGCCAAATGCTCCTCAAAATGAGCTTGACCTGTACCTCGGGCACACAACTGCTTGGGCAATGGCAGGCCTTGGGGAGGTATTGCAACAACTACCTGGACATGGAGATAATTGGGGAGCAGCGGAGCCCGGATTTGGGATGCCCCTAATTCTGAGGGAAAGTAACAGATCGGAGGAAAGGGTGCCAAATAACGATACGATAGAAAACGGTCTCAGGTCGAACAATGATGGAGTAAGACCCACAGACGAGCGGGATTTCGGTATGGAGGTGACGAGACGAGAAGTTGGGAATACTGTCGAGGATTCTCCCTCAACAGAAGGAGTTTCTGTCGATCGGCCAGGCAATTCCCTGATATACACGGACTTGAGTCGTCTACGCCGAGAACAGTCATTCATGAACTTCACAGACAGGCGTGTAGGACGCGCAACATCGTCCAACGCTCTAGATCCCGGGAACATCCTCGACCGACCGCCCGGAGACGGAGACTCGTGGGTTATAAGGCCAACTCCTGCTGCTCAGCAGACCGCGGTTGCAGAGAACGAGGAAGAGTCAAGTGAAATGTCCGAGGAAGACCTAGGTGAGCTTACGCCCCTTCCAAGTCCACCGCAACCTGCACCAGTGAGCCAGAACCGTGAGACCACATCCTTTAGCTCCACTGGGGCTACGGCTGGTACTGGAGGTGTACCGGAAAAAGCAAAAGAGAAACCGACGAAAGAACCAAGGTCGCCGTTTACAAAAGAGAGACGAGCGGGGTTAATGGCTGCGATGAGTGCAGATATTACAAGGTATTCGCAGGAAAGGGAATGGGCATTCTATCAAGACAACGGGTATTGCCTTTTACCAAGAACCAATTCTCCAGAGCCAATCCAGGACAATGCAGTTGCGGATCGAAGCACGAATAGGCAACCTGGGATTGACGGAGAACCGGAGCTTCGACGGAGGTTTCGTAGCTTGCAGGAGGCCCGACGTGCTCGTGAGGAAGCGCTTCGTGCTCGCTTTCCTCGCAGGGCCAACAATAGAGCAACACGGCCAGCTCAACTGCCCCAGCAAAGGCAGTCGAGGAATGTTCGTGACCTCACAGAAAGTTTCTTGCAACATATGCTAAGTCGACCTTGGGCTACTAGAACAGGGGAGCGAAGAGAGCGATTTGACGAACGATTCGTACGACCCGAAGTTGCGAGGTACAGATACTCTTTGTTGCTAGATGAGTCTACAGAACTTGAAGCCGCTCGAGTAGAGTTCAATCAGTCGATGGTTGAATTGACGGACCAAAGCGAAGGTGAACTTATGTGGCTTGGTGGTGGAGGCGCAGATATCACTCCGGTTAGAGGACAGCCGCCGATCCCAAGGTTGATGCTGCTTGCTGAGCGAGATGGCTTGGATATTAGAGAAGGCATCCTTATCATATGGCTTTGGACCAGGTGGTCGTCGAATATGTTCGCATGGGATCGAAGGGATGTCGAAGGTTTCCTTCCTCTGTCGGTTATGCTGTTCTGGGTTGCTCTTCGTCGGGGATGGGGCAGCTGGATTCCAAGCCGAGGGATGCTTGAAGAAGCAAGATCGATGTTGCTTCTACATACCAGGTTCAACCACTCGGTGGCTTTACCAAATATGCGAGAGGGATCATTCTCAATTCCTCGCCAAGAAAGGGCCAGATTCGTAGCATTGGTCGGTGGTGATATTGGTATTTCAAGGACTATCCGAATACTTGCCAACTGGACAGTATTTGTGGCTGCGGAGAACCTGGATTCAGCGCCGCCCCCTGCAGGATATTCATCCGCAGAGGAATTCAGGCTTGATAGGTTGGAAAGGCTCATAATAGAGGAAAGAGTGGTAAATGCTCGCCGAAGGGTGCGTGGTCCTATCGGGCCATGGACCGACGAGCAGATTGACGACGGAACCGAACCAGATGGTTGAAGCGGATAGGCGTGAGCTTGGTTTGAAGATTGGACCGAAGAGGGCGGTTTGGCTGGGAACCGACCAGAATTCTGAGAGAGGAAAGCCACAGTTGTCGAGCCGGGCGTCGGCCACAGGCAAAAAGTTCAATTGTAAGGGCGCAGATCCTACCAAACAGATAGTATTACAAGAACACCAAACTCCACTAATGCAGTACCCTTCCCTCAAGCCCAGGCCGCCCTTTATGCCTTCTTCTTCATCTTCTCCGTAATCTCCTTCAACAAGCCCACCAAATCCGCCTCATTCCCCTCCATCTCCAGGCCTCTACCAACCCAATCCTTAGCCTCCTCCATCCGTCCCATCTCCATCAAACACTTCCCCTTCCTCCACCACGCCTTGGCATTCCCCGCCTTCTTCGCCTCAACACTCGCCTCCGCATCCACAGCGCCCTCAACCCAATTCTGCAACGCCATGTGCGCCTGCGCTCGATTCGCATACAATCCCGCAACCTCATCTCTCACCAACCCACTTGGTTCCCACAACGGCCTGCTCAACGCCATTTGTAAACCTAAACCGTAATATCGGATAGCATCTTGGTGCTTGCCTTTGCGAAACTCGCCGTTGCCGGATTCTCGTAGCTTGGTGATTTGCGCGGAGCGTTTTTGATTTACTGGAACTGGGGGAGGCGGGACGGGGGATTCGAGGGTGAGGAGCGCTTTGTGCAGCTGGTTGAGGGTTACCAATTCTTCATTCAAAGCTCGCGAGGAGGAGGTTGTGGAGATGGCTTTGGAGGCGGGATCCATGCGGATTGGGAGCTGAGTGAAGGTTTCGAGTTCCTCCATGGTGGTGTCTGGGGGGTTGGATTCGGTTGAAGAGTTGTGGTTTGCTTGATTTTGATTCCTGAGAAGGTTTGCTGGGTCTTTCTTATATCATCCGAGTTATCTTCCTTGGAATCCCCAACAGTGGGAAATGTGTGGTTCTTGGAGTGTTTCCGTAGGGTGGTGGTGGCCTCTTCTCCTAGCCTTGGAAATAATTGAGGACAGCTTTCGTCGTGTTTGCTCCGTTTGACAAGGCTGAGATTCCACCTTTTAATCGCTAAGCTACTTCTGGCTGGGCTGTGCTCTTAGTCATTCTTTCACGTGATGTGCCAAGAACCCCCGCCCCTGCTTAGCTTTCACACTATTTGCCTGATCTCAGGCAACAAGCTCACGAAATGCCTCCAATTCGCTCAGGTGCCCAGCATAGCCTGACGCCGAATATCCTTCTCCCTTGCAATTTGACCATATGATTGTGTGATCTTCGCCGGCCAAGCTCACTGATCAGAAGCAATGCCTCAGTCCCTTGGCATTTTTAATCTTTACGAACACAGCCGTGTCGCGTGCCAGGACGACGTATATATTGACGACCATCCATGACTCTTCTACTGGTAAGTGAATCTCATCATCTCAAACTTTATATACGACAGTTTCACCACTGAACAACCAATTCCATCATCGCAACTACATCATCGACGACAACAAAAACCACCCAACAGCATGTGCGGCTTATTCTCGACAATCTTCTACGAGACGTATGAACTTTGGGACCTATTCTTGTATGGTCTGGGCGGTCTCATGGTAAAGCTGGGCTTGTAAGCTCTTCGAAGACAATACCTATCAAGCAGAGTCGAAGACGGAACGACTTCCGACCTGCCTCGATTATCCTCTCGCAGCCTCGCGGTCACCCGAGTATTCTCTTGACATATCAAGATTACACGATGCATCCCCAACTACTACGCTCTGCCATGACAGCATCAAAACGTCTACGCTACTGCCTCCTCCGAGACGTCGATGAATCAATCACAACGCCCTTCTCTTGAACACACGATTGGAGCAGAGATGCACATGAGGCGTAGCCTTCCACAAAGCTAAAGGTGCAGGCACTTTCAGACTTTTGGTGGAAACGCCTATTGTATTATCATATGGGCGTACAATATTCGGATCTTTGGAGTTACAGGTTAGAGGAATAGGCGTTAGGATGTTCGGACGATACCTTGGAGCACACGATTCTTGGGAAATGGATAAGGCTATTTAGTCCTCAGTCAGTCAGGTCTTGACCTGCAATACAAGACCCTTCACACACACACACACAGACAAATCCCTCCCCCTCCCCACCCCTTCATGCATTTCGTACCCGTATCCCAATTAGATCCTTTATACTACAAACACTGCCCTGAAGATCGGCTCGGGACTGCGAAGTTGTGGCCCGACGATCGCTCTAAACCTGCCATTATCCCAGTTACAACGACGTCAAGCTTCAGGATCGACGTCCTGAAAAGGTACGCCGGGTTTGCCCGTCCCAATCACGATTATTTACAGATCTTTCTCCTTTGGGTTTGAATGCGATTAGGCTCGTATTTGTGCCATTCGGGGAATACTCCGAGAGCTCTCAGTGATTGGGCGTTTGGGTTATGAATCACGTGGTAGCTGTCACACCTACTGTAGCTCCCATGGCTTCCCCCGCTACCCGCATTCCCTTCACAGTCATGAACCACTACCACCTTCTGAGCCATATCTTGAATATTGACCCTGCGCCCGAGGGCTTAAAGGAGTATCAGGAGGTGGGTATTTGCCGCGTTCCACCCATTATGGCGCTTTGGGATAGCTGCGGCCAGGCGTAGATGGTAAGATTACATCCTTCGTTCTCGAAGAAGGCGCGTCTCCACGTGTCGAAGGGCTGGCCTGGGCCGCAATTTCCGCAAACAGAGCGATGGGTCTTGGGCTCGGCCATGTCGTCGAGCAAGGGCTCAGGACCCTGAGCTTTATGGAAGAGGGAGGTTATGAATGAAGCCATGGGTGTTGCGGGGAGCTTGTGGAGTAACTCTTGATGGACGAGCGGATGGGGTGCAGTTTAAACGTGTTGGGGGCTCTGCTAGTATAACGGCAGATACCTAAGTTAAGCTCTGAAGGTCGGGAGGCCTGAAAGCGAGCCAACAGGTATCAGAGGCGAACCCGCTGGTAGTAAACAAGGGTCTGTTGGAAAGAAATCAAATCATGGTCGCGCCATTCTACATTGTTTTCTTGAGCAACACCTCGACTCAGGCATGGGCATATCTATTGAAGTAATAAAGTTGCATCTGACATGCATCAAAGCCTCTCGCATCAACCTTCCAAGGCTCAGCGGTCTCCTCTCGTCTAATATCGTTATCTCAAGGCTATTCTTCAGCATGCTCAAGCCAACGAAGACTTCATCAACCGCATCACCGCTCCGTCATCGCTGTCACTAGACTTTCGAGAATGGTATCACAAGCGGAAACAAATGCAAAGCTTCCTTGAACGTTTACCTAGATATCGTCTCCCTTTTTGCCGGGGGTATCGGCGATTTCTGGCCGAAAACCTGGATACAAGGATACCTTATGCACGGACGATATCCTTATATCGAGGTTTTGTAGATTTGCAACAAAATTTGCTACTTTCCAGGTCACGTTTTCGAAATCTGTGAGAAACGTTTAGGAGTGGTGGGTTTGGAGGAGGAGGGTTTGATAAAGAAGGTGCTGAGTTGTCCCTGAAAACGTGAAGGAAGGTGGGTGGCAAGATTGCCTTCCTTTTTGAAGCTGTCATGTGACTTTGACGTCTGTGCCGGTTTCTGGTCGAGGTGCAGCAGAAGAGCCGTAAGCTGTAGCCGGAGGAGGATGGGCTCTGCGCCTTCTTTGCGAATCAATATCGGTCGACCAAGGTTCGTGAGTATTAGCAGTTCCAGCAGCACCTTGAATAATCGGACTTTGGCGTCCGGTGATAAGCGTGACATCCTTAGATTGTGCGTGGTTGCAGCCAGCCTGCAAAAGGTAACGACCAGCTTCTACGGTTCACGCCAAAGTCGGTAACTCAATGGTAGTACCGCCTAGGCATGAGATGGAGTGGAAGGGGACTGTCAGGTACAGTGAGCGCTGGCGATCAAGTTTCAGTGATTTACCGTTTTTACCGTAAAAGTCACCTAATTCACTTCCGTGTTTGATAGTAAAGACGTCAATATAATAAAACACCCAATTAGTCCGGAATCAATTCGAGTGTTGTCTAGAATTTTGTCTCATTATATAGATTTTATAAGTTACGATTGTGGAGTAATCAAGGAGTAAATCTCAGGAAGCGGGTCAAAAATCGTGATTTTACACCAAAACTCGCTTATTTTCGCAACCCCCTTCCCCCTTTTTTCTCGTTAAACTTTCAGCATATTCCTTTTAATTTATTTCTGAAGATCCCAATAAGTCTGGCCACCCCTTTATATTCGATACCAATGTTTCCCCACGATTGCGAGATTGCCTTCTTCCTGCTGCTACATCGTGTTTCAGGTCTGCTTCTGCGAGATTTGGCCCTAAATCTTAGCCAAGGGGATCCATTGACCAAACGGGCGTCAATTCTAGGCTGAAAAGTTGAAGCCACGGTGGCGATTTCGTCCGCCATTTTTAGCCCTGACCGCATCTTCGCACAGCTTGTCTCAGTCAGCGAGAGGGAAATCGGCGGTCAATAGACGATCATTTGTCCAGCTAGTGCTCAGCCCTATTCCTAGACACGACACAGATGCGCTAGCCCCCGTTTGGCGATTCCAGTATTACCTGTTGAAGCGTTTGCTTGGAATGAGGACGTTGAATTGGCTTGTGGTGGGTCGATAAAGGAACACGAGAGAAGAGGAGAGCAGAAGATGACTCCGTACAGCTCAGATTACCTCCTCCGACTCTACGCTTATGCCTCACCTCAGCTTGATAATAAGGACAGCCGGTTTTACCGGGTCAAGTGCCGGCCAGGGCCTCCCGGAGAGTTTTCATTAGATGGGAACGACAAAGTGGTGCTTCGATCGCTGATTGAAAGGGTTTGAACTTCAACCCAAGCTCGTAGGTGAAGCAATGCTTCGGAGGTCAGGTCACCTGTTGAGGCCGATTCTGCTACAAATGTATAAGGTTCTATACTAATAACCCCCCAGAATAATAGCGAACAGTATGATCTCAACCCAGGTTGACCGCGGTACTTCAGTCTAGAAAGTTCTCAGTACGGTGGGTCTAAGTTTTCAGACCGTAGTCTGAAAACCTCCCCGACGCTGTAGTCTGGCAGTTCGATAAACTGCAGTTTAACCTAGTCTAGTGCGAGGAATACAGACTGAGCTCAGTTTAGTCTAGCGGAAATAAACTGCGGTCTGAAAATAGATATCCAAATGGCAGTCTCAGACTTCAGTCCTCACTATCCGCTACGCTGACACTTCTTCAAGTATCAAGCTCATCGACTATCATCACAGCTGACCATCAAGTGCACCCTGTAAAGTTTTATTTGTGAGCGTTTCCGTTTTCAATTTTCGAGGCTCTTGGCTATTTTCAAGCTCAGCTCAGCGTTGCCAAGAGGGGGGGGAGAGGTTCCACGCTTCTCGATGTCCACGCCCGAGCCACCTTTTGAACCCTCCTTTACCTGGGTGCCTACTGCCGGATGTCAGTGACATGCCATGTCGGGAACTCATCAGAATGAACCAAAACAAGAGCTTATAGAAGATTCCTCTTCGAAATGAAAGCCATCACCAAAGCCGAAGAGGAACGGCAACATTGCAAAGGGTCTGGTAAGCCAATATGTTGGGCTCTCAGGTGGATAAGTGCCTCCATTGACAGCTGCATTGGGATCATGGTAAGGTCCACTCGTCTGTTTTAGTATTTGAATTTCTTTCGAAAGACTCTCTCACTAAATCCCCTCCATACTGGCAAGCGTCTCGGACCTACAACCCCAACTCTATTTTACATTCCCTCACCCCTACCTCGGCACCTTAAAGTTAAGGGGGCACCCCTGGCATACCTGCTCTCCTTGGTTTCCGCGACGCTGACTCCTGTCATGCGTTTCAGCACCCGAAGAAATTTTTCGAGCCCGTCATTGTGTGTGCCCATTTTTCACTGCTATCAATCGCATTGTTGTTTCGATCCTGGGAAGTGTTCTGAAGAGAGTCGAAGAGTCATCTTCGCGGTAATCGTGAGCTCACAATTTCGTGTTCTGCAACGCCATTTTCGATGTCGTCTAGTCGGCATAAGCATAGGTCGATCAAACGAATTTGGGGTTCCGTCTATACTACCAGCTTCATAACTCGTGACTGAAGGTTCGAAACCTTACCTCTGCTGTTCTCTGACTGGACCCCTCGGAGGTTGGATCCAAACATGTCTGTCTATCACATAATTCGGAGATCGATCCAACTCCTCCCCAAGTTCATCTCCAGAGACCAGAATCCATTCAACGGCATATATATAATCCCCAATTGTTTCATCTGATGTTTAGCCACCACTACAATCATGTCCTCAATAACCTTCCACCTCTATATCCACCTCGTTCCCCTCATAGCCTCCGTCTTTTTCTATCTGGACCGGCATCATTCACTCCGAAACCCCCCTCACACCTCCACTCTTTCTATCTCTACCACTGACTATAAGTCTGCCGCAAAACTCTACTTGTACACTCCTTTCACCTCTAACCGCGTAACCTCCCAACACACAAACACAATCATTAACTTCCAAGGCTACGCCTGGACCTACAGCAGCATACGGAACGACCTCTGCATTGCGGATTTCGTAATCGGGCTAGATATACATCCATCTCCGTCTCGTACCGCCTCTTCCCTTCCCATCTTCCCCAAGCATAATTAGAAGAGTATTATACGGAATAGAGTATGGTGTCTGCAAGATTGCGTTATGCGGCTGGTTAGTAGGTGGACAGCTAGTTTTTACTATAGCAATGAAGATAACGGGACGGATGTAGTTAGCAGGGACACTATTTGTATACCCGTTGGTGGACTTCACGATTCCTAGGGCAGAGAAAGAGGCGAGATATCGGGTGGCGGAAGAGGAGGGCAGGACGTCGAAGAGTTGGAAGAAGATGGGTGATGTTTATGGTGAGGCGGCAGGGAAGAGAAGAGGCCGTGGATGGTTCCTAGACTATTCCCTTTTAGCTCTCTAATTTGTCTACTGTTGGGGGTTGAGAGAAAATGCAACGCGAAAAAAAAACAATAGCTTGGCATATAACTTCGGTGCCGGTCACATGATACAGCTCACGTGTCCCAACCACAACTCATTTAGCAATGTCCCCAAATGAGATTTTAAGTAGGCTAGAACTTTGTTTTTGCCCTTTAGACATTCCAATCCCCGAGTGAAGCGCAAAGCAGCAAGCCGGAAGTCAATAAGAAAAATCTTGATCGAAATTTGAGCTTTGTTGCACGTCTAGACCGGAGGGTAATCTCCTTCCGGAGGAATCTCTCCTTGCGGAGGCTGCTCCTGAAGATTTGTAGACGAACTTTGACTTCAATTTGAGCCCTGAGAAGGAGCACGTGATATGGGTAATGGCAACCTCGAGATCGAGCCACGCAGTGGACAGCTTGGTCGAATGAGAGGAGAGGGTGATATGTGATGGTTCGTGAATAAAGGAAGGCTTCTGGAATTAACGATGATGAACTGTTTTGCGCGTCGTGAACGAACGCCCTCGGGTTGTAGGAACAAATGTAGATAAATCTCTGCGACTTGTAGAGGATCAGGACTTTCAGGATCTCGAGAGTCAGCTCATGTATCCATGTGCGCAGTAGCTTTCCGAAGACGGGCAGAACATTGTGTTGGGGGGGGGGGGGGGGGGGGGGGGGGGGGGGGGGGGGGGGGGGGGGGGGGTGAAATGCAAGGAAGGATTTTGAAAATAATGGAGAAGGAAGATCGTGAGTTCACAACATCGAAGTCGCGATACAGGTATAGCAAAATCGCGCTAATCCAAGGTCACATGAGTCGCATCTTCTCAACCACGGATTCTCGGGACACCACTTCAATTGAATAATTGAATAACCAGAAATGTTATTAAAGGACATTCTTTTGATTTCAGCAGAGTTAGGACGAGTTGAGGAGAATAGCTCTGCATTCATGTGATCTAACCCGCTACCTTTTCTGGGAAAATTCTTCAAAAAATACACAACTTGTAGTTTTAATATTATCCATATCGCCCACAGTTATAATTTTAATAGGCTAGCGCATAGCGGCCCCCTCAAAGCAAGCAGTAACCGACATCCCTGCAATGCAAAAGTCCTATAATACAACTAATTAATTAATCGAATTACAAATGCTTGAATATAAAATAATTTAATTCTCTTTATATTACTTTGAACTCATAGTTAGCTTTTTATGATTCTATTCTATATATTTCGTTTCTAACAACTTTAGTAAAAGACTATTAATTGTATTTTAAGTATTATTTTACTCTATAACTTATTTCTTTACTTTATGTTTTCTTTAGCTCTGGTTATATAAAATAAAAGCAGTCTAATTAACAGATACCATTTCTTTTTTGTTTTGTTTAAAAAGGAGTAGAGTTTTGTAGAAGAGAATTGGGTAGTCTACTAGGCTTGCGAAGACGTTTAAATTCGAAAGTAATCGGACAAGGACTGTCTGCCTCTCCATTCAATTCGACAAGGTGATTTTGGATTGCCACAACCTTAGCGTATAGCTCTCGTAGAGGGTTCACGTTCCTCTACAGATTTGTTCATTCTACGAAATTATTCAATTCGCGCAGCTCCCTGCCTTCGACATCAAGCACACGACAGAGGCGAAACATCGCGCGGATATGCGGTTCAAGCTGTTTAATAATACCGTTGGTCATCACGCTATTGTAATGCCTGTTGAGAGATAACAGCGCTCGTCCTGACTCTGAACAGTAGCGCCTGAGGAAAACACGTTCTATAATTTGCCAATCATATTTTATGAAGTAGTTTGAATGTTTAAATCAGTTAAACATTAGATATTACACAAGCGACATAATAGAATGAAAGTACCACCTCGCATTCATTAAGGCCATGAAAGCAACACAATTCTTTGAAATTCGCTGAATAGCTAATCTGAAGATATGCGGTTGCCAAGGTGCATTATAGCTTATGCCGTCTTTTCCCTTTCACGGTATCCAAAGCCTGAAGAACCTCCCGTAGCCTATAAGAATCTGGATGATCAGGTCCGACAACTTTCTCATATCCTGCAAGAGCTTTTGAGTACATGATTTTAGCCTTTGCTAAATCGGTTTGATATTCGAAGAGAGAGCCGAGGCCCCAGATTGTGTTTAGTGCCGGGATATAAGTCATAATATCTTCTACACCTAACGCCTTCTCGTAGCCTTGTAGCGCCCGCTGGTACATCTGATTGGCCTCGGCAAGCTTGCCCTGCTTATGGTAGAGGTTCCCTAGGTTATTAACTGTACGAAGCGTCGATATATGCTCCGGACCTAGCGCCTTCTCCTTGCCTTGCAGCGCCTGCTGGTACATCTGCTCGGCCTCGGCGAGCTTGCCCTGCTTATGGTAGAGGTTCCCTAGGTTATTAACTGTACCAAGCATCGATGTGTGCTCTGGACCTAGTGCCTTCTCGTAGCCTTGCAGCGCCCGCTGGTATATCTGCTCGGCTTCGGCAAGCTTGCCCTGGTCAGCATAGAGGTTCCCTAGGTTATTGACTATCCCAAGCGTCAATGTATGCTCTGGACCTAGTGCCTTCTCGTAGCCTTGTAGCGCCCGCTGGTACATTTGCTCGGCCTCGGCAAGCTTGCCCTGGTCATTATAGAGGTAGCCCAAGTTATAATATACCCAGTCCATACCATTGTCTATAACCAAGCCATTTAGGATAATATAAGAACATCTGGCTGCGTGCTGGAGAAGCCGTCGCTGTGTTAGCCACGGCCGTATAGCTCGCTCGTCTGGAACATGCATTCCTACAAACTCCAGAGCTATCCTGGCTAAATCGTGATTCCACTCTTGGTTCAAGACGTGAACTGTCCACGAGTGAACACATCCATGAATGCTATACCCGCCTGATTCGATCCGTTCCAGCGAAGACTTGTCTACCTCCACTAGCCCGTGGTTAGACAATACCCGTACTGCGTCGTGGAAGCTTAATTCATCTTTAACAAGCTCTCGTATCCAGTCTGGATGCGTGGAATCGCCGTGTTGAAGAAGCTCGAACCAAAGATCCTGGTTATCAAAGTATGCCCACAGGCGAAGAAGCTTAGCCGAGAGCGCATTCTGTTGTTCGACGTGGTCAAATGAAAGCTGCCATGTAGAGTAAAGCATTCGGTTTTCGTACGAGTTTAGCTCAGGGCTTGTCTTCTGGAGTTTCGCCCATGACTCCTTATACAAGCGCAAATAGTCTGACAGACTTATCGCGACTTGATTAAGATATGCTCCAGCCGTAACTAGTGCAAGAGGAAGTCCGTCTAACTCCTTAGCGAGCTTTAAGGCATCGGGATCTAGTATCCATGTCAGAATTATAAACCTATATATAAAAAGCTCTTACCATCTATTAATCCTTCTCGTCTCGATGCGTCAGACAAAATCTTGAGACTGTCACAAATATTCTCTAATTTACGAATTCGAATAAGATGACCGATTTCGACTTGCGATGACCGCGTTATAATAATAATTGACCCTTGATATGATTCAGGGAGGAAGCGTCGGATATCTATAGCCGCGGGATCTGTATTTCTAGATAATTTGGGGTTGTCGTAATTATCGAATATTAATAGCCATCGCGTGTTATTAGGCAGACTCAGCCATGCCTTAACAGCATCTACCATATTATCGATGTTTGCATTTGTATCCATGTTACTAATCCGGCTGGCCGAGAGGTGTTCTCGTAATATTTGCCTGGCTGCCTTGGCAAAGCTCTGCTTTAGAGAATCCTCATCTTTGATATTCAGCCAGAATATTGCCGAGTAGCTATCCTTGTATCGCTTTGCATATGTAATACTAAGCTGTGTCTTGCCGATTCCGCCCAGACCATGAAGTACAACTGTTCGGCGGGAGCCGTCGCCACTAAGTTTCTTGTGTATTTCTGCGAGCTCCTCCTCCCTTGCCACAAAGTATTCAATATCGGATACATTCGAAAGGCTGAAGGCGACTGAGAAGTCCTCACGTTTTATCCCTAACCTAGTTAGCAGCTTCCTAATCATCAGATGCTGGTAATAGGAGAAGGACCTACCCTTTAAAGCCCTGTCGATCTCTTCTCGAAGTCGCCCTAATGCCTTCTCCCTTCCTTCACCGTAGATAAGCGGCATATTAACATCAAAAATACCTAGTAGCGAGTAGGCTATATCTTCTTTGCGAGTCGTCTCACGATTTTCTGACCACGATATCCGCTCCGCGACACTGAAGTCAGACAAAGAGCCTCCTCGTATGGCTTTGACTGGGATTCCCGTTATCTCGCAGATATGTCCTTCTAGGGATGCCTTATTGCCGAGTAGCTCCCCCTCTTCTGAGAAGAATTCAACTGAAGCGGGCGCAATAAGCTCTTGAAGGGTCCAGCCTCGAGTGAACCATCTGCTTTTCCGAAATGTCGATTGCCAATACGGTTGGTTAGACTTGTCATCAGCATCGCAAGCAGATTTTGAAACGTCTGGCAGATAGACATAGCATTTAGCTGCATTGCGATACCAGCAAAACATAGAGTTAATAGCCTCTTGGAGCTCGGTGCTATTCGATTTGTCGATACAACAGGTGTCCACTCAAAAATATCTCAAGCCGTCGCGTCTTGCCTGTTCTCCGCAAAACTGGATCTTGCGATACCCAGCCTTGTCCTTGCCGGTTCCATCTATCAGGTCTCTAAAGGCGACCTCCTCTGCTCCCCATGTATGCGAAAGTATTGCAAAGCGAGTCTCGTTGCCGAAGTCCTCAGTCAGGCTGAACTCGCCATTATTGTGTTCCAGAAGTCGCATCTTTCGAGCAGATTTGGGCGAGAAGGGGTTCTTAGTGAATATTGAGTCACAGAGTCGGCATGCATGCGACGTTGTTTGTTGAGTTGGAATGAAGGTTGGATCCGGGCTATGCTGATATGGACTCTGCCAAACGGCAGCCTTGCGGTGACAACGAATGCATGATAACATGCAGTCCAAAAATTTGACTAATCGCTTAGTAATAGTTCATTCCATCTTCAGCCACAGTATATTTCAATGCCTGAGGCTTTGATATTGAAAACTGCGAATAACTCGAGAAGTATTTCGTGCTTTCATGGATCGCCTAACTCTTCTGCTACTAAAACAAAAGTAAAATATTACAACTTAATTAGAATTCACTTGCTTAACTTAAGTAGAGTTTTAGGTTTCTAGAGCATTGCTAAAAGGTAAGCAAAATATGACGTAAAGAAATAAGTTACAAACAAATAATAAATCCAGATATAATTAATAATCCTTTGTATGAGTTCTTCCGAAATTAATTCCTAGATTAGAATTATACAAGATTAAATATAAGTTCAGGGCGTCGTGAATAGACTTATATTATTTTGCATTGAAAAATTATGCAATTCGGTCGGATTTCCAATTGTACTTAGGGTTAGCAGGGATCAAAAACTGCCAGCCTTGCACCAAAGCCTCTACGTCCGTCGTTTTTGTGATAACTTAATAAAAATTTGAAAGAAGCTAAAAGCTGCGCAATTATCGGGCGTACCCCCATATAAACTTTGTTTTTAAGATCCTGGGTTAAGTTGTGAAGTTAGTTCTATTGAAAATTCTAGATTTTTTTGTTAGGAGAAAAAAGGCGACCGTGTCGTTGATCCGTACCAACACATGCAAGCATCAGGTCGGCCCAGCAAAGCGAGGAATTGCCGACGGGTATACCAGGGTCCAATATTGGTGCGAGCATGGCCGCGCGATTAAGTCTCAGCCGATAAGATGTCCCCCAGCTCCTTGATCCTTGATAATGGGGCGTGTGAGAGAATTGGGTCAACATTACACAATATCCACGATATCGGAAAAGGCTGCACACCAGCCTTCTTCTTCGAGGCTGGCGACCCACGATGTCCACAACAAAAGGCCTTTGCATGTTTGAGAGGAAGAACATCTGTGGGCACAACGAGAACGCCTCGGAACAGCCTCGATCGTTCTTCGCAGGAACCTTTCTGACGTCGAGCTGCATAGGAAGCGCGATGCCACGATCTCCCAGGGATGCGAAGGATGGGGGGCTCCGCCGATGATGTCCCGCTGCAGGACAAGACCATTATTTTGGTTTCCCTCCTCCAGACGAGATGAGTTGAGTGAGGTTTGGCTACCAAGATGTCATGCTGGTTGAATTCAACCGAACCAAAAATTTTAGTCCCTGCGGCTCGAACAAGCACCCATCCCGCTTCTTGTTCCTGAGGATCTCCAAAGCCTATCTTTGACTCCCTTGTCTCGACTCTGATCTCTCCAATGGGAGTCTCCGCAAAGGCCCGTATGACGTTGCTGTTGGTCCACTTTTGAGTAACGCCACGCCGCCGTCGTTCTCGTCAAAATAAGACTCTGCCCGCAAACGAGAACAACGCCCAATGAGAGGACTTCATTATATTTTGTATCGACACTGCCGTCTGAAGGCAACCTCATCTTGCGGATAACATGTCGATCCCTTCAGATCTCAGGGTCCAGTGCCAGAGTCGTGTTGCTAACATGACTCCTTCTCCGACGCCGCAGGTGTTGAGTATCGGTAAGCAATGGCGAGTGGGCGTGAAATTATTCAGTCCTTCCAAGAAAATGAGATGTGGATATGGTATGAGGTAGTGGGGGATGAGAAATTGGGGCAGCTATATACATCTCGAACTCCCACTCTCTCTTTCATCTCTTATCTCGCTCTCATCCTTCCCCGTGTTCTCAGACGTTCTGCAAATTTCAATCACGCAACAGTGTTGCGATCCGTACTGGCTGGGCCAGAGATAGACATCCTTTAACATTTCTTAAGGCTGTCATCATGTCTTCTCCTCAACGAGCTGGAAGCGTCTCTACAGTACGGACCTATGCGGGTCTCAATGGCAGGCCACTCGGTCTGCTCATCTCTACCATTGCAACTACTGGATTTCTGCTTTTCGGATACGACCAGGGCGTCATGAGCGGCATCATCTCCGCTGACCCATTCAACAACTACTTCCCAAGCACGAAGAACAATTCAGTTTATCAAGGGTTTGTAACGGCTATCTACGAAATTGGATGCTTGATTGGGGCAATCTTCATCCTTTCGTTCGGTGACAAGACTGGTAGAAGGAGAGATGTATGTAAATCCTCTCAGAAGGGCGATTTCGGTTTACTGACAGCTATTAGATGATGCTTGGGGGGTTCATTATGATAACTGGTGTGATAATCCAAATTACTGCCGTCAAAGGACACAGAGCCACTGCCCAATTCATCATCGGTCGAACAATCACTGGGGTTGGAAACGGAATCAACACTTCGACCATCCCGACATACCAAGCAGAATGCAGTCGAACCGCAAACCGAGGACTTCTCATCTGTATCGAGGGAGGGGTTATCGCATTCGGTACCATGATTGCCTACTGGATTGACTACGGCGCGTCATATGGACCTGACAACCTAACTTGGCGATTTCCAATCGCTTTCCAAATTGTCTTCGGCATTATCCTCATCGCGGGAACGTGGTTTCTTCCGGAATCACCTCGATGGCTCCTCACGAAAGACCGCCACGAAGAGGGCATCAACGTTATCGCTGCCCTGTCAGGACTCGAGACTACCGACCCCGAGACGCAACTTCAGCACTCCTTGATCATCGACAGCATCAAAGCCAGCGGCCACTCTGGAGGCAAGACCCCTATGTCTGCACTCTTCACTGGTGGCAAGACTCAACACTTCCGCCGCATGCTCCTCGGATCCTCCTCACAATTCTTTCAACAGTTAGGAGGATGTAACGCTGTCATTTTATTATTTTCCCATCTTATTTCAAACCTCAATCGGCACCTCCCACAACCTTGCTTTGCTGCTCGGAGGCGTAAACATGATCGTCTACGCCATATTTGCGACCGTCAGTTGGTTCATCATCGAGCGAGCCGGCCGCCGCAAGCTCTTCCTCGTAGGAACAGTCGGTCAATGCCTCTCCATGGTCCTCGTCTTCGCCTGCCTGATCCCCAACGGGGGCAAAGGACCATCCGCCAAGGGGGCTGGCGTGGGCCTTTTCACATACATCGCTTTCTTCGGCGCAACATGGCTGCCTCTCCCATGGCTCTACCCCGCCGAAATCAACCCTCTCCGCACCCGTGCAAAAGCCAACGCCGTCTCCACTTGCTCCAACTGGCTGTTCAACTTCCTAATCGTCATGGTTACACCAGTCATGATCGCCAACATTCATTGGGGCACGTAGCTCTTCTTCGCTATCGTCAACGCTTGTTTCCTCCCTATCATCTACTTCTTCTACCCGGAGACTAAGAAGCGCTCTCTTGAGGAAATCGATCTCATATTTGCGAAGGGGTATCTGGAGAAGATTTCTTATGTCCAGGCAAGCTTTGATATGCCGTTCTTGAGTGATAGGGAGGTTGAGGCGATGGCTAGGGAGTATGGGTTTGCGGATAGCGATGAGGAGGAGAAAGTTGGTGCGAAGTTAGAAGGAAATAGGGAGGATGGTGAAGGGAAGAAGAGTAGAGATGAGGAGAAGCCGAGAGAGACAATGGGGAGTGGGAGTGCGAGGAGTGATAGTGATCGGACACTGCAGATGCATGATGAGCAGGAGGGAGGCTTCAAGAATGATTAGATGAGTCGTTCGCTCATCAAAAGTTGACCATATGAAGTTGCTGCAGACTACGGCAGTCTTCACTCCAAGATCGATGAAGACGATGTGGTGCCCGTGCATCGCACTTCGGGGTGGCGACATGACATCAACCTGATGTCTCGCTGCTTCGGTGGAGGAATGGAGGGATGTCCATCTCTCAAACTTTGGCATTGCGGTCACAGATTTATGAGACATCGACATAAATATAGAGGATAGAGAGATACCACAATAGATTGCATTGCATTTTATCCTTTTCCTTCTCCTTCGCCCTCAAGGCACTAGATATGTGGAATAAAACTTCACAAGTAAACGCACCAGACGTTGTTTCAGAGGATGAGTGGCCTTCAACCAGTGTGTCAAAGGATTATTCAAGTTATTCGAGTTATTCATGAATAATTCATGAATAACTTGAATAAAATAAGAGTAACGAATATCTTAAATAATTTGAGTAAAATAGAATAATTATTCATGAATAACATGAATAACCATGAATAACCACGTGAAAGTCACGTGAAAGTCAATTAATTATAGTAAATTGACATATATTTAAATTTAAAAAAAGAAACTGAGGTATTTATTAAGCAGCCTTATATAAGCTAAGCTAATACTTATATAAGGCTACTTAAATACAGATTTTCTATAATATATAAACTAATTATCGCTAAGGTTCGATCCGCTTACCAAGCGCCACTACCACCTGATTGGGTAGCGAGGTGGCGCTAGGTGGCGCTAGGTGCGGGCCCTCCCGGAAGCCCTACCCGATTAGGCTAGCTCAATCACGTGCAGAGATCACGTGCGTCATTTAAATTATTCATGATTATTCATGAATAACTTGAATAATATATGAATAAAATAAGAGTAACGGGTTTTTAGCTTGAATAAAATAAGAGTAACGGCCGTTATTCTATTCTACTCTATTCATTTGACACACTGCCTTCAACTATAGTCTATTTCATTAACGTCATAAACATCAAAGTTTCATTATCCTCGCCTCCATCTCATAAGGATACGAGAAAGAATGAGAACAAGGTGCAATTGGGTCGCTTGGGCACTCGCAAATTTAAGACACCAAGGATGTATATTCAGAAAATAGCTCCAGCGAGGTCATAGTAAACGATGCGTATTGTAAGGATTCTACATTTTCTGTGTGTGCCCTAAGACTATAGCCAAGCTACGGTAATATAGTAAGGTGTTGTGGCTGTGTGGGTAGTCTTGAGTCCTTTGGCAGAAATCTGTATCCTCCGAAGCCAATTTTAATCCTGAATGTCCCAGCAACTAGAATCTGATCCTGTTGCCCCATGGGCCTTGCACGCCTTCCTCCACTCGCAGTTATTCAATTGTACCTGCACATTGGTCGGGCTTGTACACTGGAAATATCCGATGGTAGGACCGGGACCCATATTTGCCTCCTTATATTGATTACAAATAGTTCGTGTAACAGCATCGTTTTGTACTCCGTCGGCATTAACACAATGGCAGTAAAGGTAGTTGGCACATGCAGAGGCGGAAGCTACTTCTAGAGCAAGAAGTAGAAATGACACCGCCTTCATATCGGATAGATTTAACAGCAATTCTAAGAATTCATCAATATATTAAAAATTATTTTAAAGACATATATGCTTACTAGTAGTAAATAGTTCTTAGTTATGAGTTCTTATAAGGGAGCCAGAGAATATTATATTATTTGAATAAAACAAAGTTCAAGACAGCTTTATAAAGAACTAGAAGAGCTATTATACTAATTACTATATATCCTTTTATTCTCTGCAAGGGGATTACTTACTTTTATATTTATTACTAGGGTTTGATGTCGCAAGTGCAGAATGCGCTCTCTGAGGAGCATAAATCAGGTACTCCCAGAGAGCTTATATAGAAGTGAGATATTAATTCCCTACGCCGCGTTTTGTTGCCATCTATAGTCGGTCCGATCCAAGAGCGACAAAATGAAAAGAAAGTCTACCAAAATACTAAATAATATAAATTGTACTAATCGGAATTATTATATATCTTATAGTAATTAATTTCATATTCTTCGATTTTTAATATCTTTAATATTGCGAGAGTTATAAAGCACATAGTTATTTTAATACGAGCTTATATAGAAATTTTCGCGTTTTATATAAGTAAAGAATTATACCTCATATAGTATATAAAGTAGTATATAATTAAAATTAGACTTTTTATATATTATATTTTTACTAGTAATAACTCTTAATATTTAAGCTATTATTATATATTCTAAGCTTATAAAAGCTTATAGGGCCTTATAAGGCTTTATAAGTCCAGGTTTAATATACTATTTACTCAAGTACACGTGACTTTCCTAGAATATTTTCGCGTTTTATATAGTCAAAAATCAAAAAAGTAAAAAATGTCCGTATACTTTAAAACCCGATTACTAATTAAGTACGGGTCGCATTAAAAATCTAATTAATAGATCTTATTTGCTTGGTTCTTCTCTATAATTACATTACTTGGTATTAATTAATCGGAAGTGCAGTTAAAAAGTTGCTATGGACCTAAAATAATAATTATTTTGTCGCTTTTGGATCGGACCGATTGTATAGTCGATGTGAGGGGGGAAATTCGCTTAAGCCTCAGGCTGAGGCTTAAGCACGCATTTCGCTTAAGTATCGCGCTAAGGAGTATTTAGGCTCTCGCTCCCAAGCTTATGCGAGCTTCACGCTTCTCTTAATAGAAAATACCATAGTTGTAGAAATCTCTCTGTTGTTACGTGGCGAGTGTTTTTACCCGGTAGATTGATTGACCTGGTACATGGTTCACTTCTGCCTATTTGTCCTCTGGATCTCATCGGTCCGATCCAAGAGTAACAAAAGACAGAAAATCGAACGAATTCCACTTGAAAAGCCCAAAAACAGCACCAGCGGCCGTATAAGTAGGTGCAAATGCAAAGAGTAAAAGCCAGATTTTCTCACTTCAAAAGATTATACTGTGATCTTGGGAGGTCCCGCCTCCCCTCCCGGGGTAACAAAGCTGCGCAAGAGAAGTGTTCTTTTAAAAGAGGATTTAGTTTGAAGAGCAGAGTGTTTATTCTTGGAGGAATGCCCTCCAAAGCACCCCCACCCCCAAGGAAAGGAGGAAATAGAAGAAGATAAGAGGAGTGTTTATTCTTAGGGGGAGACCTCTAAACCCCCGTTAAGGAAAAGAGGAAGTAGAAGGCAAAAGGAGTCATTAATCTTGGGTGGAGACCCCCTCTATTAAGCCTCTGGCAGCTAGCCAAATATTTCATCAGGTCATGTAATAGTCCATTTTGCCCCAAACCCATGGAAGGAAAGGAGGAAGTGGAAAAAAGAAAAAGGAGCCTTTAAGCTTGGGGGGACCCCTCAAGCCTCTGCGAGGTTTTTTTAAATTTACAAATCATGTAATAGGAGATTTCTCCTGTTACGGAAACTTTTTGCCACACCAGCCCACCTCTCGTAACTAAACCCAGCTTTCGAGAAGTCTAAATCTTGCTTTTAATAATACTAATATAACACCCTACTCAGCTTCTCCTTCCCGATAGGGCCATTCCACCGGGTTATCTTCGTACTAAAGATAGGTCCATTTGTCTTCCCTAGTAAGGGGTGGACTACCTCCCGCAATATCGGCCATATATGCCTTATTATCGATCTGCTTTAGTATGGGAGCATATAATTAATTTATATAAATATCGGAGGGTTTTAAATTCGACGAAGTGGCAAGAGAAGGTTTCAATAACGTTAATAGGAATCCCGATGGTGTTCATGAAATTGGTTACCACTTCGCAGCTCATAACCCTCTATGTAATTTACCAGTGGCAAAGAATGTTCGGCATTGCTCTAGAAGCTAGGATGTGCCTGCAGCAATCCTTGTTTGTACTCGTGAGCCTATGCTTACTGCGAGGGCAGGTGCTACGAGAGCCTGCACTCCTTGGAGATGGAGAGCCTGTAATTAATGTGGTATGGGGTATTATTTTACTTCATCGCCAGGAGTTATCGCTTGAATTGCCGATAGTGAGTACGATACTACGAACTGTCTGGAGACACGTCGTTCTTAGACCAAATGAATATTTCTCAGTTCGTGAAGACCACCCTGTTGACATTTGCGTTATCACGAAAGAATGTTTATATCTATGTGGGATCTCATATTGAGGGTAGGCATTGAGATGTACTACTGGTGCATGACTCAGGAGAGAAAGTAATTGAATATATGGCCGCGGATTGCCTGTGTAATTGTAAAGTCCCTATCGCAAACAGGTAAACAAATATTGATTCGTGCACCTAAGTTGGAGTATTTGAATTTTGAGACTGATTTCAGAGCCTCAGCAGATCAACATCAAACTTCCGCTGCACGTGGCGGGGGCAACCCGGTCACGGCGTAAGTATCGAAACCCGGGTTCTTCTCTCCCTCTTGATTCAGGCCCCACGCGTGCGAACTATTATCATGCACTGTGGTTCTACGCATGTCCCTGGGAAATCGTCCAGTCATCTTCCCGGCCCTATGCATAACAGCAGTGTTATCCCAAATAACAAAGTCGCCCACATTCCTCCACTGAACGCTCATTTGATATTTCTCCTGCGTTGCATGGTCCATGAGCTGCTTCAAAAGTTGACTCGACTCTTCGGCCGACAATCCCTCGATATGATGCGCATGCGCAGCTACATAGAGATTCATGCGGCCAGATGTTTCATGTTGTTGGATGAGGTAGTGCTTGCTCATCTTGAACGATGTGGGGTCAACGTCTTTGAAAAACTCTGGAGCAGCGATCTTGCGCGAGTGGTGTAAAGAGTGAGCTACAACATAATTTTTCTTTATGAGAGTTTCCTTGAGATCTTCAGGAAGATCCGCGAAGGCGGCACGGGTGTCAGTGAAATCGGTGTTGCCGCCAGCTTCTGGAGGCGGAAGGACGACTGCTCGAAGAATCGAGTAGGATGCCCGTCGTGGATTGAAAGATGAATCGACATGGAAAAGCCCATTTCCCTTCTGAAATCAGTTTCTTCACTCCAAGGTCATTTACTTATGAATACATACCTTATTATATTGAGCTCTAGCGCTGTCAGGTTCGTGTACGTTGCCATTGTCATCAATATTTCCAGCATCAAAAAGCTCAAGATGCTGGTAGCGGAGTTTGCGACCGGGTGTGAGATAAGGTCTGATGTCGTCGAGCTCTCCAAAGCGGCGTGAGAACTCTACATGACCAGTGTCGTCCAGTCCAGTTCTACGAAAGACGCACACTCCGTACTTTTCAAACAATTAGCAACTCCCAGAAAACCACAAGCAGTGTACTTACCTTGGCCATTGCCTTCAAGATCTCCTCAAAGGCATCATCCGGTATGTTTTGAGAGAAGTCAAGTCCTGATACTTCAGCTCCAAATGTGGGGTGTAACTCCTTGATACTGAGAGTTTTGAATTTGTAGCCCTGAGCTGGTGCCATGTTTGAAAGTAATAGAGAATTTATATGAGAACCTCGGATCGTTTTTTGGCCTTACTCGGGGTTGATATCTGGATTAACGCGCCTTTGCAATGCTCGAAATATATTCAAGAGTTGATGGAATTCCACCCTCACACTTGCCGAGCTCGTTTGCCGAAGTCGATCCTAAATGGATAGCATCAAGAGAGCATCACAAGAATTACAGGCTGTTTTTTTTTTGTGATCTTCTCCACAGCTGCCAAAATGGCACAGACCGGAATCCCGGCACCGGGGAGGAATCAAGCCACCCCACTGCTGCAACAAACCTGGGGCCCCGCAATCACTCCAAGACAGGCAAGGTTACGACCCAACAACTACTTCAGGGCGTGCACGCCCTGTTTGACGGACCGGACCTCGCACAATAGAGCCCAACGTTCCTCCCCGAAAGATTGATTGAAATCGACCTCAGACATACGGATGTTTACTTCCTACCCGTTTCACCCCTGACTTAGCAGTCAGCGGCTTTCGCAAGAGTTGTTGTTAAGGGTCTAATTGGATTTCATGAGAAAATTCGATTTATTCAGCTGTCGCGTTTTGTCAGCTCGGCAAGTCGAGTCTGCACAATTGCCGAATCCTTTGGCCGTGTTAAGATATATCTGGAGGCTGGTAAGTCACAGCACGGAAGTCATCTGAACTAAACCGCCTTCACGTATTTTGAGATCTTCAAACTTCCAAATCATGGCTACCTCAGCAGCAAGCATCCCAGATGATACCAAGGTTGATTCAGTAAATCAAATCTCCCAAGCTACCATCATCGAGCATGATGAACAGCGCCCCCCTATCGTCAATGCCAATTCATATCTTGACGACGAACACGTCAACTTGGGATGGAGATCGTGGATGGTTGTTTTTGTGACTTGCTTTGCGTCAGTATTGGCTCCAACTGCCTCCGCACTTTGGGTTCTAACCTCCCTTGAACAATAGGAACGGAGCACAGGTGTTTGTTGTCACTGCCGCTGGGTCAGTAATTGCATTCATCGTTCGTGACCTTGGAGATGCTGCAATTGCGGGATGGATCATCCAGGTATGAAGCCAGAAGTCGCTGCTCTACTCGCGGTTTATAGCGGAAAATAACAACCCCGCAGGGACCTCTGCTAATGCAAAGTGCATTGTCCCCTGTTGTTGGGCGGCTGTCAGATGTTCTGGACCGCAAGTATATCGCTGCTCTCACGCCACTCATCGCATTTGCTGGTGCAGTCGTATCTGCCCGAGCGAATTCAATGAATATGCTCATCGGTGGTGGTATACTCATCGGAGTAAACCTGTCTACGGTGTCGATCGTTCATTCCATTCCGTCAGAAATCCTGCCAATGAAATATCGACCCCTGGCAAACGGCTTTGGGTACGTGGCAGGTGCAATAGGAGGCCTGTAAGTATATACCTCTATTTCTTTAATACTCAGAAAAGCAACAATTTCCATTAGTGCGCGCTGACAACCGAATATAGAGTCGGTGTTCTTGGAGCCGGCGGCGTCACGAATGCCAATGCAGGTGGCTGGCGCACAATCTTCTGGATGCAAGCAGCATTCTACCTCGCCTCCTCGTTAGGCCTTTTACTTTTCTACTGGCCGCCGCGAAGATCAGATTACCCAAAAATGACTCTATCACAATATATCTGGGTTTGCGATCCCATCGGTTCTATCCTTTTTATGGCTGGTGCTCTCCTGACTCTTCTGGGTTTTGATTGGTCGGGAGGTGCCTACCATTGGTCTAACCCTCATGTTGCCGCCCCACTTGGTATTGGTCTTAGTCTTCTGGTGATGTTCTGTCTTTATGGTAAGTTGGCGATCACTTGGACTGTTTGTTAAAGTCGCTGATGCCTGAACTACAGAATGGAAGGGCAGGAACGATGGTTTGGTAGCTCACGTCTTCTTTCAGGGAGGACCGAACTTTGCTCTTTCAATTTTCACTTTCTCTGTTGAAGGGTAAGCTGAAAAAATGTCAGGAGACCATATGAAAATGCTTCTCACAGAACACTAGGTGGATATTTTACAGCGCTGTGAATAGCGTCACTCCTCAAGTGGTGCTAAACCTAGGATTCGAGAGTACTGCCTGGAATGTCTCAAAGAGACAGCTATATTACAACGTTACCACTCTACTATCCTCAATTCCAATAATGTAAGCTAAACGGCTGTTCAAAATTGTTGAGGGAGCTAATGAAGCCTAGATGGTACGCAACAAAATACAAAGATCTGAAAAGTCCGTTGCTACTAACGCTGGTAATATTTCTCGTTGTGTAAGTTATTGTGAGCTCAGCATGTTAAGGTTCGATGTCGCTAACGAGATGCGCCGAAGCGTCATATGTTACACCTGTATCTCCCCTTCAATGGAGAAGGCACAGATCGGCTTTAATGTTCTCAGTAAGCCATGTCATAACTAAACTCTCGCCATCCATTAACCATTGAATTAGGTGGCATCGGGCAATCAGGACCACTTTCGCTTCTTGTGGCACTCATACAATTTACCGCTCCCCATGCATACCTATCAACGGCCACTGGCCTCGCATTCTCTGCCCGTGCAATTGGAGGAGCATTCGGCTCTGCCGTGCTCTCTGCCATCATTAACGGCAAGCTAGCCTCGACATATGTACCGAGCATTTCTTCCACAGCTCATGATCATGGGCTTCCTGAGTCATCAGTGCCGCTGTTGATCTCGGCTTTGAAGTCTGGAAAGCAAAGTTCACTCAACGCAGTTCCTGGAATCAATCCCAGCATTCTCGCAGCTGTTACGAAAACAAGTCACACTTTATATGCACATGCATATCGACTGGGCTATGCATCCATCATTCCGTTTGTGGTGTTGGCGATTGTTGCTTCTGCATGTTTGAAGGGGGTGAAGGATCTCATGACAGAACACGTTGAGGCTACTGTTGAGAAGATTCCGAACGAGAAAGTTGCCGAGGCTTAAAATATATTAAAGTCCCCATAACGACTTTCAGGGTACCGTGGCTCACACCCTTCCCTTCAATTTACCTGTAGCAAAGAATGTTCTAAATCTCTCCAAGATCTATGATATTCAGGAAGCTATTATTCCCCATTTAATGTGATTAGATGGAGCTTTTTGTTTGTTTGATGCTTGATTACTTTGGTGCCATGGGCACGATGTGCAATACCACCTGGTCGAAGATGTTCATTTCAATGTCATAATATTCTGCACTAAGTTTGCGATGCACAGCGAGTCAGCGACTCAGTAAATTGAAGCGCTTATCTGGGATAATTTGAAACATGTAAAGATGAATACAAAATCTTCGGAACCAATGATGAAAAATTCATCCTGGAAATACAATTAGCAGATGATCAAGTGTTTAACCAGCATACCAACAGTTGAAGCCACATCAGTATTCTGCTCTGGGCGGTCGTCGATATTTGTAGGTTCTCCATCGAATCCTGTCTTGTAGACATACAACCCCAAAGGGGTTGGGTAAGTACAGTACATGCAGTAGCTTTAATCTCCAGTGATATTTGTTCACGTATGATCGTGAGTTGGGAAAAGCAGAAAGTAGGAGCGACTCGCTTATATAAGCGCCAATGTCTGCACCTTACTCTCGAAGGACTCTTGCTCCTTTCCTTCTATTATGGGCCTCAATTTCTCATAGAATCGGCCATCCAGTGTATGCAGTGTGTCGAAAAAATAATTAAGGTAATTGATTATAATTTGATTATCGACTCCCAAAAATTTTTTTTATTAGACTAATCATAATTCAATATCTTTAATTATTTCTAATTATCACGTGAGAGTCACATGAAAGTTATATAAATAATAAGTTCTCTTCTTTTTCTTTAAATAATATACTATTAAAGCGTAAAGAAAGTAAAGGTGAGTTGATTTCCTAAGAAGAGAGAAGGAGAGCAAGGTAATATATATATGCGAACTATTTGCTCTGGATGTTATATAACCGCACCACGTGACTAAGAGAGCCGAAACCCCCCTACCATAGTACTTATTTACAAAGATAAGTAAAGAGAGCAAAGGCGGCATACTAGCTATTAAGCCTATTATAGTAAGGCGACAACTAAATTAGGCTAGAATAAACATTATTTTTGCGCCATAACGCTTGCGTTATCTTTATACTTACGTGCGATACCGCGTGACCATATAATTAATTATAATTTGATTACTACGATTCTGACTTAATTTGATTTGATTACTGGCCAACAATTATAATTAATTAAATTATTTGACACACATTATGGTCTGCAAGTTTTGTTACTGGGAAGAAGTAATCACTATCGGACGTGACGCATGTAGGGGTGTTGCCGAGGGCAAGATCCGGTTTGGAGATTTCTGAAGGAGAAATTCCTTTAGATCCGGTCGTTGCTGCCAAGTATGTCAGGAGAAGTTAGATCGTTGGAAGCCGAATATGCAGATAATGTTATGCATGAGATGGGTTTGGGATGTTTTTCTCTAATGTACTGTACAATCAATTTTGAGGTTCGAATGATTACCTAATGCCCTCTCCGGTGTTCAAGATATACGCCGGCGCAGTATTAAATGAACCAATTTGATACACAAAGAGTTCAGTCTATGAAAGTCGGCTCAGTTTGAAACATGAGACCGAGCTGGACAGCAAGCTTACTCGACCTCAGAGAAGCAACCCTCCGACGGCTATCGCAACAGTTCCTGTTAGAGCAAACATCACCCATTGTACGCCTCCTCCGGTAGGAACGCCAGCACTCTTGCTGCTCGGGCTGGGAGTCGAACTCGACGTTGTTGCCGCCTTCACCGGCCCAAGCACACCACCCTGTACATTCGCAGGAGCAACCGAGCTTGCTACCTTGCCAGCAGCGAGTTGGTACTGAGCAAGTGTCATCGAACCGTCCGCACTGTCGTAAAAACATTAGCATGCTTCCTCCATCCCGGCAAAAACAGCGACGACTTACGGAGGGTTGATAACGCCAGACATGCCAGCCTGGCAATGTGTCGGAATGACACAGTAGAACCAAATCGGATTCGTGTCATTTATTTTTATAGTGAAGACGTTGGTGTTTTCTCCAGAAGAGGTCGTGATGTCTCCGCTGAAGAATCCAGTTCCATTCGCAGGTGGCGTGCAAGGAGTCGCAAAATCGCCTTGCGCAACGGAGTGGAGAGGTGGGAAGAAGTGGAATTCGATCGTTTCGCCAACGGCTGCAGTGATGCTGCTAGGGGAGTAGGCAAGATTGCCGTTTCCTGCTTCAACTGTATGGACACCAGGGGTTGCGGTTCCTGTTGATGAAGGAGCAGCGCCGGAAGACTTCGTTGGTGAGGAAGGGGGATTGCCGTATTGTGCAAAAATACAAGGGAGTACCGAAAGGAGAAAGGTTATTGAGAAATGCATATTGAAGTCTGGCGGATGCAAAGGCAGAGATTGTTTTCTGGTCCGAATAGGTCGATTTGAGGCCGTGAAGTGTTTAGAGGTACGTTGAGTGGAATAAGGTGCAGCTTATATATCAATCCAGAGCTTGATTTCTTGACCCGAGATGGGGTTCCAATCTTAAAGTATACAAATAGAAATCTTTCGTAGTGTTGCGGATACCAAACAGCGGTACCTTAAAGAAGGATAGAAGTCCTCTATATCTCCAGATCTACAAGTACCTTAATCACCATTATCTCCTTTGAGAATGGTAAAACAAAAGCACCTAGTGCATAATGTGAGTTGTCCTTCACAAATCAGAGAAGATCGTGGCGGCCGCCCTAAGATTGAGCCAATGATACACAGGATTGTAACCAGAAATGTGTAACCAGAAATGTGCTTCGCATCAACGACATCCCTGCGGAACGATGATACACGACGGAGCTTATTCGACAACGATGCCCCTCAGTTGGCCATGGCTTCGGAATATGAAATAGATATTTGGAATAAAGCTTCGTGATGTGCTGTGATTCGATGAAGATTTGGAATTCTGACGCTCCGTGGAGGCTGTGCAAGATAGGGCTTACCGTCACAAAAGATTAGGGGCACGGACCAAGTAAACAACCTTAAGCGAGCGGAGGTTTCTACCCCTTTTCCACCTTCACTTCAAACCCCTTTCTACGAACTTTCATCCTTGCAAGACCGCCTTCACTCCCGCATTCACTATGAGCTCGGGGACACGTGGCGTTGGCCAATTAGAGCCAAGCCCAAAGCCTTGTTGCACATCGCAATTTGGATTTATAGCGGGCGTGGCCCTAAATTACCCATAAATATAGGCGTTGATGTGCTAAAAAGTGGAGGTTTAAGGGCTTCGGCACTAGTGCTTAGGGCCTAAGGAGCCTGGAATTTTCGTGGCGGTGGGTTGGATCATTTACAAAGTTTAGCAGGGGAATCTTTGTTTGAGGAGAGATTAACAAAAAATTGCATCCTCTGGATATTGCGCACTGGTGCAGTGGCAGTGGCACTGCATCTTCTTCTTTCGATGTAAGATTAGCTTAGCAGCATTTCACTGGAGATGAAACCTTCTGGGAGCTCTTATCTTCGTCCCTCTGATCACCCAATCCACGTATACTGCTCAGTGCTTCGCCTGCGTTTCGAACTAGAACTGGGGCTGGAAAGCTCTGCTCTCTACACATTCTCCAATGCATCTTCCCACAGTGCTTTTCTCCCCTATGTTGGTGAGAAGGCGGGCTTCCCAATGGACTCTGCTACAAGCATCAAAGCGGACTCCGTAAAGTAAACAAACATGTGAACCCGATGGCTGTCCACTCAATAGCTCCAGCGTATGCTGTCACATCAAGATCAAGGAAAATAAATGCAGTTATAAAGGCGTGAATATGAGAAAAGATGTGATTGTGTAGAACCGCGCAACAGCGCGCCAACAAGCGCTGTCAACCCACCCAAACCCGGTTACCATTTTCCAGCGCCAATAAGTAACTATAGAAGCGGCGAACAAGGTGGCAACGAGGTCGAGGATTAAAAAAGCAACAATAAAGCATTGTATTTCTGAGTCTTAGCTTCGGAAAAGCCATGGTCGACCCGAGGAGCGACAGGTGCATCGGAGACATTTGAAAATGTGATAGAGGCTCCAAGTGTGGATACGGCCCCGGTTTTATTCAAGAATGCGACAAAAGAATTAGCTCTTTCTTCGCATGGGTGCTGAATAGTGGGAGTAGGTCGAGAAACTGCCTAAAAATTCTGCCGATCAACTAGATATTGTACATTAGACAAGTTTTCACCCGTAGCTTGTCTTCCCGGGTTCAATGTAGATTCTGGGGCAAAACGGGCGGCTTCAATTGTAGCTTCTTTGGCCAAGTGCTTCCCTGAGGCCGGAGTATGAGACAGGGAATTGACAGCAGCTTCTTCGTATGGGTACTCTGCCGCGCATATAGCGTGAGACATAAGTGACTTGTAGCTTTACCTTTAAATTTCGCCAAATCCGGCGACTATTTATATTTCATACAATTTAAACAGTGGGGAAAGGTTAACCACCGCAGCAGACGTGAGGAACATAAGAAAAATAATTTCACGAGCTGATGGGCAGAGGGGTTCTCAGATGTCTCAGCGTTTGATTGGTTCTTCTTGTTCTCGCTGCTTCTTACTCTGCTGAACCTTGACCTCGACTTCAGAACTTCAGAACCTAAGAGACCAAAACTCGGCTTTCTAGTTCATCTTTCAGGCCGTGACGGTGACAATTTTGCTGTGTGGCCAGAGTGGTGATTCTGCCCAGGCAGATTCCTGGGATCAGTGAGGAGAACGCAAATCCGAGACACTCGTCATTCCATGAGGTTCATGGAGATTCGGGCGAGTGGATCTTTGCGATATTCTCTCGTCTATGTCTACATTTGGTCTCGATTTCTTGACGCATTACATTCAAGAATGGTATCCTGTCTTACCCTACTTCATGATTCACCCTCCTTGCAACAGCGTCATTCTTCTGGCCTATATCTTCATTGAATCCATGGTACCCCACCGATCTCAGCGACCCATTGTATTCAAGAATTCAGCCCTGTTGCGGCGTGCTTCCTCATTTATCCTGGCGGCGACCGCTTCACTCATTGCCTGCTTCTGTTGTTTACACAACATTAAATTCCAAACTAGCACTTCCCCATCTCCCGCCTCCCACGTCCACTCAACACCCATATGGCCAGCGACGTACTGCTTAGTTTTGTAACGAGACTTCTTGCTCTCTATGCCGAATTGAGTATCCCCCTCACCAACTACATGCTCGATATGGGCGTTTATTTGTACGAAAGCCGGAACCGTGAGGACCAGTGACAACTTCCTGATGCCGAGGCGTCTCGTCCAGTTTCTGCCCACATGATAGAACTTGTTGATTGGGAGATTGCCGCCGTAGCTCATGCTGAAATCGAGGCGTATCTCAAGGATGTTGAACGAGTGCGCTAACTCTTCCGGAAATGGGTCGGTCTTGAACTCCCAGGCACTGCAACCCGGTCAGTTGAGCGTGTTACATGTGTTGGGCTACTTACTTGATCTCCAGCTTCCGGATGCTTTGAAATGCGGCTGGACTCATCGCCCTACGGCTCAGATGGTTTGCTTGGTGCAGTGTGAAGGTGCAAGTCTCCCATAAGACACCAATAGCTTCACGATACAAGACCCGATCTCCCCGTAATGCAGCAACCACATTCGGTATCTTTCCATCCCATTTAATAGCCTTCGAAAGTATCATAATCCGAACCTCTGGAGGAATGCGGTGAAAAGAGGGAGTTGGGCGGACCTCGCATTTGCTTCGAAGGGAGTTGATGAACTTGCTTTCGACGACCTTGGAGTTCTTGATGCGAGAGTCTTTCAAATAGCAATCGAGAACGTCGGAATTGACCAATACACAGCCTTTCAGTACCGAGTCTGTGACAGTTGAGTTTGCGATTATGCAGTGCTCGATTGCTACATCCTTGAAGACACAATAACTGAAGACGGAGTTTTGGAGAATTTTGTTGTGGAACATGGTATTTGAAATGGCCGGGTTCTGCAGCAATCCAGAGTATGGGACGACGAGGTTATCTGTCTGATTCTCTATGTGCCTCTGCACAACTGGATGAACCGCCGAGGATACCATAGTGGAACGCCGTCGATGGCTGAATCAGTTGAATGCCTCGAGGAAATGGAAAGGGGTTGTCGAAGATAGAAGATCGGAGTAGTTGATTCCTACGGTCGCAACAACCCCTTAAAATATGCAAGTCAATAACGACATATACTATTTTTGGAAAGAGATCTTCTCAGGGGAGACTCACGAGGTGGTCAAAAAGGCGAAGCGGCTTCTCCTTCAACACCTACAAAAGAAGTGGCTGAAAGCGAATGGTACAGCTGGTTTGAGGTTTTTCAAATTTTTGTTTTCCTTCAATGTTTCCTCTGAACTCCGAGCGGGGAACGCTAGTAAAGGAATATAAGCAAAAGTAAATCCGACACAGCGTTGTCCGATATCAATAACTCTCACGTGAGTGTAAATAAACTTCCAAAGATGAAGCGAAACACCTCGATCTCAACCAGACACCCCTTCCACTAGATTCTTGACGACATTGTCCACCTTCCTCTTAAGGAGTTATCCCCACGGTAAATCTTTCTACACTAGAGTTTTATATCTTAGAAGCTGACGCCTCAAGAAGATGACTGGAGACACCCCCAACGACACGGCTGGTCCACCATCCAAAGCTCTCAGCAGCAAGAGACCACTCCCCTGGTCGGAGAACCCTGTGATCAAACGTCTCAAGGCAGGAGAAGAAGTCAAGACCTACGATGAGTGTACGATCGAGAACATCTCAATCCGAGTAGCCATGATCCGCAACAGATGCATCCTCCGAAACGTCTCTCTCGAAAGCTCATTCTGCAACAACAGCCAGCTCTTCAACTCGACCATTCAAAGCACCACCCTACATCGCAGCATTCTATTCGACTGTACCTGGAATGAGACGATTGCAACGAAGCACTGCCAAATCATCGACAAGCCCCTCGCGTTCCGACGGTTCCCTGCTGAGATTAGAGCTCTGATCTTCGAGGGTGCCGTTGAGTACAACTCCGAGAAGGTCGATTGTCAAGGGTTTTCTAGCATGCCTCCGCTTGTCGTAGCACTTCGAGGGGATCCCCTGCTCTACCGTGAGGCTTTGGCCCAGTTCTACAAGAATAATGAGTTCACATACTTCGGGCCATTTGGGCTTCGTGCACCGCAGGTTGCCGTTGAGAGAATTCAGAGCTTGTCAATCTAGTAAGCCTTATCTATCCCCTCTCATATTACCATCTGAAAACACTGACAAGAAGCAGTACCAAGATCGCCGCAGCAAACTTGTCGACGGAACTGAGGAGACTCAAAAGCCTTCGGAGGCTGCACATCAAAGTGTTCAACAACTCATCTCTGCTCTTCAGAGAGCTCCGCTGGTGGATCAACGACCTCGGGACCATCAACAAACTCTCCATCGAGGTTCCAGATGACGATGTAGAGAGCCAAATCATGCTTGGGAGGATCAGCAAATCGTTGGGTTTTAGCAGCAAGTTCACGTTTGCGTGTCAGGGTCGAGTTGCCGATAAGGCTTGGGGATTTCGCTGTATCGCGTTTCCTGAATACGGTTGGCAGAAAAGCATCGGTGTCGCTGAATCTATGGCGAACAGATTCTATGTGTGGGGCACCTTTTATGTAAGGCATATTTGGCAGGCAGAGAAGGGGAACACTTTGTGCTGGACTGTTGTGGATGATGGAGAGAATATAAACAAGGATGCTGCGAATGCAGTGAGCGTCAAGAATATTCTGAAGACTCTGAAATTGGTGAAGTAGTATAGCGACCAGAGTGTACAGAACTTGGCTGGAAGGATTAACTTGAGGATGAGATGTTTATACAGAGGGCGAGGGAGAGATGATTGTACCGAGTGACTGAAGGTCATGATGGCTTAATAGATGCTCGATATGATAAGCCAATGAGAACCGTGATAGTTCAACCGTCAAAGTAACAAACAGCCGCGAACGCCAAACGAGCTGCACTTGCTCCATATGAGGGTACACAATTGAACTAGGCTATGAATTCCAACGAGTGAATACCCACGAGAGGCGCGGAAGAGCTCATCTAGTATGAACCCGCTCACCTCGTGCCCTTGCCCCACCTATACTCAAACAGCAATTGCTATCTCTATAAGTGGAATTTGAGCCCCGCCAGCCCGTGCAGCGGTGACGATTCTGACCGCATCGCAGGAACTCCACCTAACCTCCTCCCCGCCCTCCTTTACCACACCCATCTCTTCACCTCCAGCTCCAAACAATCAACAACACCATGGCAAACCGTTGCCACAATACCCTCCTCCGCCGCCTCGAAAACGGCGAAGAAGCCCCAACCTACTCCTCCGTAATCCTGTCCCCTAGCGCCAACCCCAACCCCAACTCCCCATAATCCCCGGACCACCATCTTCTCCGTCTTCCGCGCCTCCAGCACACTCACCAACCTCGCCCTCTCCCACTGCACCTTCAACGATGTGCTTCTAAAGTCTTGCACCATCCGCGCCGGCATATTACACTATTATATTCTCTTCGATTGCGACATCGGGAATTCGGTCGTTAAGCATTGTCAATTTGTCAAGCCACCGCTTGCTCTCCGCCGTTTTGCGCCAGAGATCCGAGCCATCATCTTTGAGCACGTAATTGAGAATGATGGCACTTTGAACTCCAGAACTTTTAGCAAGATCCCAGCGTTGGTGAAGTCACTGCGTGGGGACCAGGTACTGTACAAGGGGGCTGTTCATGCTTTGTACAAGAAGGGATTTGTTCCGTTGAGCTTCATTGATAGGATGAAGCCGGTTGATATCTAGGTACTAACCAAGGTTTCGATGAACTACAAGTGAGAGGCGTTTTTCCGTTTCCAAAAGGGCTTTGATGATATGACATTAGCTTTCCCTCCTTGATCTGGCTCTCTCGAAGACTCCTTGAGCATGGTGGGGCTGTGCAAGAAGTACAGCTTCCTTGGCTTGAAGGACTGGAGTCAACATGTCGGTACAATTATGCCGCTTTGTGGATCGAGCGCTTCGGAACTGTCAAGAAAGTTTCTATTGTGTATCATCGAATTTGTCACTGTTGGTTGACCAACGGTAGGCATCAGACTATTCTAAACTAGCACGTATTGTTTCTGCACGAGCTGGGCAGAAAAGTGAGCGCAGACCTCGTGAAAACAGTGATTCATAAGGGATGCTATGCAATTCGAGTATTGGAAGCAGGGAGCGGTATTGCATTGAGCAGGGTAGTTAAGGAGGAATAGGAGAAGCTGGGGAACTTTCGGGATAGCATTGCAGCAGACTCCTCCACGAGGATAGAATTTGAGGAGATTAGGAGGAAAGAACAGAAAACACACATAGACTTCGGCAGTCTTCAATGAAATGCCCCTTTAGTCAGTAGCACCAGCACGGAGAAATCAAGAAGCATCAAAACAATCAAGCAGTGAAATGCAAGCACGAAATAAAACATGTGCACTTGGTCACAGTATCACACCAAATCCCAAAGCAGGCAGAAACATTACTTTGGTATTACTCCCTTCAACTCCCTCACCTCCCGCCATCCCTCTCCCCCCAATCAACCCACCGTCTCACAACCTCGTCCACAGCCTTAACCTCATCCTTGCTAGCATCAACCTCAAACCACTCTCTATGCTCCCTTCCACAAACATTACACTTCCCACTCCCCTGCGCCCTCTTCGCATTCAACTCAATATGTATCAATCTCTCCACCTTATGCGCGTTTGGAACCTTCCTCGGCGTTCTCGGAATCTCATTAATACTCGTATCTGAGAGGGTAGTTGGATGGTAAGGATAGTAGCGGATCAAAGAGAGGTTGTACCCGCATTGTCGAGTCCATTGGTTGAGTCGCCGTTGCACATTTTGCGCTCTGCCGATTTTAAGCAGGATTGTCTTCTTGTCTTGGGCATTTGGGCCCGTGGAAGCGAAGGTGTTGAGGACATCTGAGGTTCTTCGTTGGCCGGGAATTGGTCGGGAAGGGGGAGCGAGGAGGGAAGATGCAGTCTCGGAAGGTGGAGGAGCGGGGACGGATTCGGGAGTTAGCCAGAACATGTAGATGTAGCCTTCATCATCCGCACCTGAGACAGGTTTTGCTAATTCGGCGAGCAGCAAGGCAGTGACTTGTGGGGATGCAGACGTTGGTATGAGAGAGAGGAACTCTCCCGTTCGTGATGAAGGGTCTCGAGTGATTGAAGGTCGTTGGGAAGAAAGCTTCTGTTGTACGGCTGTAGGTAGCTTCGAGCGCTGCTCAGCAGGTATCGTTGCAGTCGTCCGCCTCGAGGGTTTGTGGTTGACCGGTCTTGGTGCCCTTTTGCTTTCATCTGCCACACCTACGCAGCAAAACAACCCAAGATCACTCTGCGGCTTTGGTCGAGGCCCCGGTCGCTCTGGCCGCTGGGAAACATGATCAACCCTCTGCGAGTGTTTCTCTGGATCCTTCACAGGGACTGGTTTTCGACGCTGCCTCCTTTCTTTCTTCTGTTCAACCTCAAGAAGACCCAATCGATCCACCAGTGTATCAATGCTTGTTCGCTCTCGAACTGTGGCAGATTGAAGCCCTCGCGGTAAGGCAGTAACGTGAACATCAGCTTGGACCTTGTGTTGCCAGCAAAACGCTTCTGGGTTCGGTGTGCTTGGTGCGCTCGAGGTTCGTCGTGGGCTTGGGCTCGGCGAAGATTGAGGTGATTTCGAAATTGCTCGACGACACGGTCGACCATTCGAAGTGAGACCTCTGCATGTTGCAGCGGGGTTCTTGCTATCTGATCGAGGAAGGAGGGACTCGGGAGTGTGAGGTATGTAAGGCATACCTGCTCTGTTAATTAAAGAGGAAAGTAATGCACAAACCTGAGAAGGAGTAATATACTCATCCACTGTCATAAGAAACTTAAAACGTGGCTACGTTGAAGTGAATCCATCGTGGCCAGTGATTCATGGTGAGACGCGCAAAGGGGGCTGGGAGTTTTGGTGTTGTGGCTGGGGAATTAACATGAGGCAGAATCGAGGAATGGAATCACGTGACTTGTGCGCAATTCTGCCTCCTGAAGTAAGGGGGAGGAAGAGGACCTCGAAGAAGGTAGGCAAGAGAAGTTTGATGATTTCTCAACTGACGATTCCTCAATTGATTTGTTAATTTCCTGGCTCGGGCTCATTAAAACGCAAGTAGACAGCAGTGACTAAAGAAACAGAAGATATTTGTCTGGCATTTGAAAGCACTCAATTGGCAAGAGCGAACTCAGAAAAATTCAAGAAACAAATTGGAACGTCATTCATCTATATGATTTAACTCTATCTCGTGTCTGCTTCTAATCATCGCCCTCTAACAGCCATCACAGTCTCGCTTTTTTCCTTGATGCAGCAACCTCAGCCTGCACTTTCGCCCGCCTCCCTCTATCATACGCCTCCAAATCGAGTCCATCCAGAGAAATACCCAACGGCCGCTCACCTCCCCAAATTTCTCAGAAGCCTGATTCGAAATCCACCAGTCCCTCGTAATGGGCTTATAAAAGTTCGCCCGGGAACATTGTGGTATACTTTTATCTTGCACCATGATAATCTTCTTCATGGCTTCTCCATCAAGAAAAGTCCGACGTTTGTGATCAAAGGACCGAGGAGTGAATGATTCGGCCCCAGCATGGACGACCCCACGAGTACCGGCTGCAGCATGAAGCAGAATCAAGTTCGAGGCCCAATCTATGGGAATCTCGTCAAAGAGGTTGGTTCCTGATGTTTGGCTTTCGGGTACGTGAATGATACCCGTGCTTGGGTTCAAGGTGAGGAGCTTGAAACATTGTTCAATAGGTGTGGCACTCATGGGTCCATAGAGTGGGAAAGGCCGAGACACAGCTGAGCCAATGCAGCTTTGGCGGACGATAATGATGGGATGATTGGGATATCGAGAGGAGAGGAAACGCTTTGTGAGGTGCTTCGCGTATCTAAGGGAAGTGGGAGGCATGCAGAGATGTCCCGGTGGCCGTGATTTCCCTCAATTTTTCCTCGGGGTCGCCGAGAGGGTATATTTTCTCTTCTATGGTGCCATCTGGTTTATTTGAATTGCTATAGCCGGTGGAGACTTGGACGAATTGGCGCAGATTGATAAAGCTTGATGCCATTCAGGCAAGTTCTAGCATCGACATGCAGTTGTCAATTGCTTGTCGAACGGACGGGGAGAACGAGGTGTTTGCAGCCTGCAAGACACAATCAGAATTCTATGCACAAAACTCCTTCAGATATCCAAGATAAGGCAATACATTATACGAACTGAATGTATCACGATGGTTGTCTGCGCAGCGATTTCAGCAAGGAAGTCAGGAGCGATGGCAAAATCTAGCTTCAAATATATCCAACAAGTTTCACTCGGCCAGAATTCAAAATCGAATCGATATGGTTCGGCGTTGTTTTGTTCCATGTCTTCCGTGTTTTGGATTCTGACCGGCAGAGAATATAAACCTTCTTCGTTGACAGCTACGAGGCTGGCTTAAATAGAAGGCAGCCTCCAAGGCCGCCCGTAGCACCAGTGAGAAAGACAGTTTGGTCATTGAAGAAGGATACGTAATTTTGAAGCCCCGAAGAACTCTCCATTACACTTGCCTTATGGCGGGAGAAAGAAAAGGCAGAAATGCACATTGAAGACGTGGCTGGGGGGTACTTTTTAAATGTACCTTTTGGGCGCGGCCTTGCCACTGGAAAACCTTGGCTACATAATCTTCGATGAGGTATCAATGTACCTTAATACATGGCTTGCTACGGCGCTGTACATTTGACTCCGGTCTGGGGCAGTTGAGGGCGACCCGTTGATTGGCGATCTCCGGAAGTTATCTGGGCTTTTGGAAGAAGTTTATCGAAGTTTATCTTGAAGATGAGTTTGGGGCTTGGTGTGTGCAATTGGTTTGGCGTTCAGCCACATCAAAATTGGCAGCTGGGCTTCTAGCTGCATGCTCTTGGAGGTCGATGCGCATTTGTGGAATTCGACGAGCTGATGAAGATTTGATTGGCTTTGGAGCAGTGCCCTCAACAAAAAAACGTGGATCGTGGCATCGCCAATCGGTTGAGAAGAGGGGCGACGTCACAAAGCGGCGCGGCCGTTACTGAAAATCCAGCCCCGTGAGGACATAAGGCTGATGGCTTGATTCGAGATGTTCGAATGTCTCAGAGGCACAGGGCGCTCTCACTCGAGAAGATGGGGAAATGCGAATACTCCACCACCATGGACCGTTCCTCCTGGAGAGATAAAAGTTGACCTCAAAACTCAGATGGGAAGACAAGGCATATTACATGAAGTATTCCAGCTCCCAGACGGGATGCCAACCCACGAAACGTGGGCGATACAGCTGCGAGAGGGTCTTCGGTTGCACTTGCATCGAGCCAAGCAAGATGCGCTGAGAGGCCTTGGTTCGAGAATTGCGTCAAGAAACGAATGTTACCGGAGCGTTGATGAGAAGAGTTGAGGTCTTCCCGCAGTTCTTGCGAAGTGTAAAGATGGATGGCAAACGGATCTGGCAGACCTTGGCAGGCGCTTGTCAAGGCCGCTGCTGGGAATTCCCCAATCGTGCATGCGGCAACCACAGAAGCAGTCGCATTTGAGCCCGCAACAGTCCAGACATAAATGTTGATGACCAGGCATAAAAAGGAAGCAAATCCCCGGGCCGTCAAATTGAACTTGACTTTGGATTAAAGACGGAAGTTTCCTGGGCGCTACAGAAGATAAAGGGTCTGATATCGAAGCATCAGGTCAGCATCAAATGCTTCGTGCATCTCCATCCCTTGCTACTATCCAATTCGATCCCTGGTGGCTCAGCCAGCCCTATGTCCCACCACGCTAATTTACGAGCTTCAGAGCCACCCTCCTCTGATTCGTCCGATTGTGATTTGACTTTGACGTAATCAGCAGAACGGCCGTCCATCCAAGGCGAGTGGGAAGCTCGGCGTGTCGACGGCGAGGACGGTTCGATGTGTATCCGGAGCTTGCGGCGACATCCTTCGAAGATGACGAGTTGCGCGTCGCGATGCGATCAAAGCAATTAATAATTCATCGGCGAATTACCGACTCTTCGGGTGACGGTGAGGCCGTTGCTAGGGTCGCTTGGGGATGAAGAGGCCTCGTGGCGGCCAAGCCTCCACTGTGACCAGCGGAACAATGCGTCTTGATGCTCACGTCAGACAGATCATTGGCGCAATCTGTACAGGGCGTCCCTCTTCCCCAAATGCAGTCCGCTCCCAGCCCGTCTAGCCGTCCCCTCCATCTTCCCTCAACATCGCACAAACCATCACGAAGGCATCGCAATCACCATGGCGAAAACCATCTTCACGACTATTACGCCCTTGCCAGCAGGCGTCTCGAGGGAGACAGTCCTGGAAACCCTCCATTCGCACATCGAGATGATCGACCTCAACCCGACGCACACCGAGAGGCATCGCATCAATCCGCCACCAGAGGCCACTCCGGAAGAGTATCATTGCACATGGTATCAGATCACCGACAAGATATCGTACCTTCCCGGCATCAAGGGCAGTGTCTCGTTCAAGACATGCTTCCACGACCTCGCAAACGGAATGCAGAACCATGTGTATGCGCCCATGGGCTTGGATATCAAGGAGAAGTGGACACTTGGTGGAAACCTGCCGGGAGAGCCAGTCCAGCCTGCGGAGATCGGTATTGGTGCGCCGATCCAGGGCCTGTATTTGAGGGAGGATATTGAAATCAAGTGCAACTTCATGGTGACTCGGTTCGTGAAGAAGCAGTTGAAGGATGCGCTGGCGACCTTGGTTGCGAGGTTGGTGGTGAAGACGCAGTTGCAGGAGGCAGGGCACAGAAATCAGTTGTTGCAACAAGGCTACGAGTACTCTCCACAGTCGCCGCACTTCTCTCTCTCAGCTCCGCTTTCGCCTCCGTTGAGCGCAGGATTGGATATGCAGTTCCCTCGACACAACTTCAAGCAGCAGCAAAACCGATTCTCGACTCAGACTGCCGTCAGTGAAATGGATGGAAGTCAGAAGTCGCCGGGGTTGGGTCGTCAATCGAGCCAGGCAGCGCATTCTCAGGGGATTGTGGAGTTGCCCACATGAAGAGGGGAGTGGCGGATATGGCAGCTGGATGATACCCTTTTTATGACCGGTTGGAGGAGTTTGGGTTTGGAGTTCTAGGTGGTTTTGGATACGTGGAATGATAATGAAAAGTTTGAATGAAGATTTGTAGGAATGCAACTGAAATCAAATTCGGAAGGCACATGACGTGACTAGCCTCTTTCAACGTCATTTACTCCCCTCCTCCACGTACATTTAATAATCAAGCCAAGAGAAGTAAAAGAAGTGTAGAAAAATAACCATAAACCCGGGTCGGATTTTGGCAGCTCTGCATGTGTTAAAAAGAGGCATTGCCAATGTCCATCAACGGCGGTCTCCTGGGCTGAGACTGGAGCAACAAATCCGTTTTAGGAGCTAAAGATAGAAATTCTGGAGCCTTGGATCTGTGTAAAGAAGTGGCTAATACTCTGAATAAAGGCTTGATTGCTCCCGGGTACCGAAGTTAGGTTAAAGGTGCTTATCAACTTCTTTATTTCAACCACCGAGCAACAGTTTGAAGCAAAATTTATGCTGCGGAGGTTTGCTGACAAGTTAACTTTCGAATAAATGGCTACTAGGTAGTTGAGCCGTTAGGCTCAACCTCCCGGTAGCAAAAAATGCAGCTTCACAGCTCATTTCTGTGTCTGGGAGTGGACCGGGCAAAATTCTCGAGAGTCCTTGCATTCCAAATTTCAAGTCCCATTACTCAAAAATAAGGTTCCCAGGGCCCGATTACCTCACACGGGCCCTTTGTCAGTGCTGTGGGTCGCAAAACCTCGCTAACTGCCCATCCTCATCACCACTACGCATCGACAAAAAAACCAAAAAAATGTAATTTGATGGGATCAATTGATTGAATTGAACAATCTTCTTGGACTCGCGGGGAATCGAACCCTGGATGGATAATTAGCTGATGTTTAGTGGTTCTTGGTGTTTGCTATGCTTACCCGGACCACTCCCATGCTAAGGGAGTATTATACCACTAAACCACAAGCCCTGAATTGGATTGTTGAAGTGAATATGCTTATTTTAATATATGAGGACCTGAAGGAAAACTCCGATATCGGTTAGTGGCCCGTCTCCGCCACCGCACTCCCCGAACTTCGGACCCAGATTTACAACCACCACAGCATTATCTTTGAAAATTAGCAGTTGGAATAGCTACTTCATTCGAATTATTTACTGAATTAGCCCACAAACCAGTTTTTTTCTTCTCGGTACTGTGGTGAGGATTTTACCCCTAGTCACGTGGCTCTGTCATGTGACCTTCGGACGTCCACAGTCCGCTTATAATACCCTCTCTCCTTAGTTCTTAGAAATCAACCAACCTTCACTCACTAATTTCACGTCTCACTCGTACGCTGTGATCCCACGCTGTGGAAGTCCATTCAACTCTATATACTTGTGTTATATCCCCATCAGAGTGCTGCCCAATGTAAAAGTGTGAAGGGTAGTGAAATTTGGGGCGCTACCTCGGGTTAAGCGACCGCCACTCCAGCCACCCCCTTTTTATCGAGAACTCCAAATATGATAACCCACCAACAAGATCCATAAACTCAAGTCGAACAAAACTGTTTCGTGTCTCAATATAGCGGAGGTAAGTAGACTTGCGCATGAATAGGTTATTCGACGCAAGGGCTGCAGTGTGCAATCGTCCTGAAAAATAAAAGCGAACTCGGCCCTGCTTCTTCTCGCCCATCTTCTGAAACTCGTTCGTTCGGCTTCATTTCCCTCCAGTCATAGGTTCACTCTCTTTAAGTAAAGTCACATGAGAGCTTCCATTGGCGTTCCGAGCGGCGAGGCTGCTTCTGAAAGATCGAACAAGAAACGCTATTGCATCTGAAAGCATACCAAGACTTAACAGAGTTTTCGCATTGCAAATTATCCCTCAGACTTTTATTTAAATGTTCCAAAATTGATACCGTCATTCTCAAAGCGCTGTGTTGCGAGACATTGCTGAACCAACGGTTCTGCTTACGAGTATATGCTTGCAATCCCACTTCATCTTTTACATGGGCCCGAAATACTGGCATTGCAGGTTCCACCGTCATAGTACTTTGGAAGTTTATTCAAATGAGAAAGTACTACAATATCAGGAACAAGGTGACGAGTGTCCTATCTCTTTATCAATACTGGAAATTTTAATCATATGAAAAAGAGCTTGGAATTCTAGAACATCAGAGAACACTTGCAGTTAAATTTTCGAATACTCCGGGTACATTGATAATTCTCCTAAATGAAACTCAGGTTTTATTTTAGAAAGGGTGGCATTCAATCAGGAATATTGTGGGTGACCCGAGAAAAGATGGTACAATAATCCGCATCACATCTGCGAAGTCCCAAGACTCATTGGGACACCCAATCTCATATTCACATGTATAGATTTATGGCCCAATTCTTAGTTGAAGTTTCTATGCTCTAAGTATCTGAGTTTAGCAGAGCATATATCTGGATCACTGTGCTTCGTTATGACCCAGATTCCCCAGAATATTGGCCACTTCTAACATGGTTTTCATTTACCTCGAGAGTAAAAACGGCGAATGAAACAGTTGAATGTCCTACAAGTATTGGGGTGATTTGGTGATATTCTTCCTGGGAGCCTGTCGGAAGATTATGGATTTTGCAACTGCTGACTTTTTGCCTTCAGATTTGCGAGGTCACCCCCACAGAAGGTTCTAAGCATCTCAAAATGCTGATGTAAAGGTTAGATTTCATGATTGTATCCACAACATCTGGAATATTTATACCCTGAGGTTTATATTCATCGGATTGAGTGGCGTACACTAGCTTTTGGATCTTCTTATATCAGCACCATCAAAACCAATCCTCCCTTAAAATTCAAATTACTCAGGAGTAATAGCGTACATTGGCATTTAAATCTCCTCACTATACTAGCAATGTGTAGGATAATCACTTCTAGATACCAAATTATTCAGGTCAAGTCAGGTATATAATGTGATGCTGAATTGTTCACATCACGCGTGGCACATTCAGGAGTTCGGCATTAGATCTCTTTGGTTGTTCAGATCAATTTCCAATCTCAATTTGTTGACGTTTTAATTCACACTTGGGCGTAAATTCACTGGACTGGCTCTGTTACTCTATACTGTCAAACCTCAAAAACAGTAACCCTAAACCCGAGACGAGGGAACCCAGCCATCTTTAACTAGGTATACCATTCCGCCTTGTGCTTTTCCAGAACGTCCGGGTTGAGCAATATTGGAGAGGGAGGGCGGAGGAGGGGGCTTGAATGCGCGGAAGCAGCTTTAAGCAGAAGGGACGAGGAAATTCCGGACGGCGTAAAAACTCTAGGGACATTGTATAGAACGACCCGAGAGAAAATTGAACTAGGCTGGGAGGCTTTTGAATCATCTACAACTTGTGGGACGTTCTCGTCGGAATCTCTCGTGAGCAGATTGTACAATGGGCGCGGGAGCTATTTACCATGAAATAAATAATAGAGGCCGTAAGCGTCGTACATTAGGATAGACCCCTCCGCTAATCCACATGAAACAAAATAAGTGCGGCAGCATCTATCTTCTCGGATAGACCAATGGTCAGGTTCGGCTTTCCTCGCTAACGTGATGATCAACATCATCTCATGCCACAACCCAGCGTAGTACACTCATGACTTAAGAGAATGAAACAAATGAATTGCTAAGAAACGCGAAAAGTACAAGTATTTAGATCACCAGGATGCATCAGGATGCCGTGAGCCCCTGTCAACCACCACTGGTTCGCCCACTACCGTTTTCATACAGGTTACTATCATCACCTGAAGCACGTTGTGTCGAGCTTGAAGAGCCGCTCTGGGTGCTGTTGGTGCCAGTCGAATTTTGAGTAGAATTTGTACGGGAATTCATGTTCTGGTATAACTCGCGAGCTGTTTGATGATCTCTTTCTTGTATGGCTTTCCGATGTGCAGCTTGCTCTAATGAATTATGTCAGGCAGAGTCCAACCATGTGGGAGGTTTAGGGTTATTTACCATCATTAGGTTTTTTCTTGAAGGAAGGAAACGCTATCCCATGCTTATGCTGCTGAACTACAATACCTCTCTTCTCAATCGTGGGAAAGCCCACAAGGATGTCGAAAGAATTGTTCTTTACCACTCGAAAACTGTCTGTATAAAACCTTAAGGACCGAGGATATTGCAGCTCTAGTGTTACCATTTGTGTAGGCGTGCATTCACCTTCGAGCATCGCGTACGTGACGATATCTGCGGGGGGCAGTTGGAGGATATTGAAACCATGGTTTTGTGCAACCCTGCTTGATATAAAATTGGAATCTGCACAAGTGTCGAAACGCGCCACAAACTCTAAAGGCCCGCCAGCAGGATTGTGCCGGTTTCGAACAAAAACGGAGTTTTGGCGAAGCTCAGAGACGGACTTCGATGAACGTAGGGCAATTTCATATTCCTTGTCTTCAGAAATCGATCCGCTGCCATCTGACTCTAATTCATTGGTCTCCACATTCGCCCTTGGTCTCCGTTTGCCGAGGACGAATTGTTGCGTACTTTGTTGTGTAGTGGCTAAATCTTTGGTCTGAGCATTGGCTCGAAAGAGCGGTCGTTCTATAGTGATAGCTGGTGGTAATACAATTCCCTCTGTTGAGGATCGCGCTTTGAAGTCCGGCTTTCTTGTGATAACAAGGAGCGACCTATTTGTTTGGTCTCCATTGATATCAGTGAGACCTTTGACAGGTGTTAGTAAAGGCTCTTCCAAGCTAGACTTTAGAGATGAAACTTACCCAATGCATCATTAGGTCGTCTTTCCTCCAAGTCTTTTTTTGATCCGGTCCCCAATTTCCCCTCTATTTCACATACAGATGATGAATCTGGCGCCCTGAAAGTGGGTACAGGTTTTGAGTTCTTTCCAGAGAGAGAGCTGGAAGTTACTGGTCCAGAAACTTGAGAGCTCTTTTTACCCTCCCTGCTCGAGGTGCAGTCGCGTTGACCATTGGGTTCACTTTCCCCTCTCTGATGCTTTTCCCGATTCGCTGTCTCTGCCATTGGGGCAGTGGAGGATTTGGCAAACGTGGGTTGACCAATCGCTGATGTCTGAGGAAGATAATTTGATTCGTTGTGGATTTGTGCCAGGCCTGAAGGGTTTAGGAATTGGGTGTGGTGAGAAGGTGAAAGTGGCCAATGGATGTTCCGAGCTACTGAAGCAAACTGAAAAAGTGGCCAATGGGTGGTTAATGAAGAATGGACATCAAGCCGTTTCGGTCACCCCTGCGTTGTTCATGTGGGCAGGCTATGCTATTGGAGCCCACAATTCTACTCGGTCAGTTATGGTGTGATTGAACGAGAGGTGCATGTTTGGGGCTTCGCTGTAATATGAGTGGGCTGTAAGCGTCACACTGCCATTGGACATGATTTGTTGAACAAGGGCGCCTGTTGTAGAGCCTGGAGAGAAGCCTTACTTGAACTTTGTCTGAAATACCCGTTTATTACTCGATCACTTTCTTAATTGAAGATCCCACGTCTCCGTGTCTTCTGGAAGAATTCATATCATGGCCACCGGCTACACTAAGCTAGCTCAGTTTATTGCTGACCAACAATATGCTATCATCAGAAAGTTTCAGCACCTCGCAGCTCGCGACCTCCTCTATCTTCAGGCAGAGCTTGTCCAGCTTGAAATCGAGTACAGCGACGCTGCCCAACTAGACCGCGAGTGTGACGACGAGAGGAAGTTTTATGATCGAGAATGGTGGCATCTCAGCAACTCTAAACGTCGTGGATTCAAAGGAGAGCAGTGGGACTTGGCTTTAAAAATTAGAGCAAAACTCCGTGAATACTGTAAGGGCTCGAGTCGGAATCCAATATATTAATGCATGTCGGCTCACTAGCGCTTCTGTTATTTAAATTTCAAAATACTACCTGTGATGCTAACTCACACTCCCTTTTGCAGACCAGTCAGCAGAGCAGTATAGCCGCGTTACAGCGGTGCCACGACCAAAAAAATCAGACCTTGACCTTCTACGCACATGGATACTCAGCCCCGACCTTGGTGGTGGCTGTAGACTTCTAGGGAAGGATCTTTCGGGCGCTGATAGGCTCTCAGTCTACGAAGATGTCTATCAAGATGACCTCATGCATCTTATTGGCAACCGTGGTGAGAATGATATCCTCACTCGGCTACTATCGGGGCCGGTTCTGAAGGCGTTCCACTACTTCGTCGGGCGGTTTTTAAAGGTCGGTGGAATATAACTTGATTTGTTGTCGAAGCTGACGGCTCCATAGAAGCCCAAGCCTCTCGATGAAGAAAGCCCCGCAACGCAGCCCTGTGGCCCAAGTGGCTTGCACCATTACTCTGACCAGCATGTGCTGACTGTTGTGGATGCCATTGGTACCGTGGTATCCTCACTGGCCCCTTTGGTCGCTGTAATAAGTCTGTCATTCGTCACACGTATGCAGGCAAGACTTGGACTTGTCTGTTTGTTTACTGTCATATTCTCAGCAACTTTGGCGGTTGCAACCAAAGCTAGGCGGATTGAGATATTTGCTGCTACAGCTGCGTAAGTCTCTCGGATCTTTAGCCTAGTGAATGAGATACTCAATCGCTGATGTACATTATTAGCTTCGCGAGTGTTCTGGTTGTCTTTGTAGGGAGCACCAACTTGACAAGGGTGTGAGACATAGTTCACAGAATCGGCTGGAGTAACAGGATGCTTGGTATGAGGATGCACCATAATTTTCTTTTGACAATTTGGGAATACGTCGACCGCTGCTACTTCGAATTCTCTCATTAGCCGGGACCTGTAAGATCTGCAAGCCCAAGGGCGTAGATAACCTCCTGCTGCGCCACCACCACCACCAATAACTTGCCATGGTATTCTCAAACTAGTCAACTTAGAGACAAGATGGTATGTGAACGAATACCCAACATGACGAGCTGGCTGGACAGCACCGTAGAGACACAATTCAACACGAAACCCGAGTCGTCGGGTCCGCCCCTAATCAAGCTCGATCAGGCGGCCTTCCTATTAATCCACCGTACAGATTCTGGCGCTCCTGCTGCCATCTAAAGTTACACAAGTGTTCAAAGAGACCAAATCCAAGTAACTTGCATGCAAGACTTGGCTGACATGTGGAGGAACAGCACAACTCCTACGCAGACTCAGGACGTTCGTAGGCTGAGAACGGGACTTTCTTTTGAACTTCGGATCGGGTAACGGATAAACTTGTGATAAAATAGAGTACGATATTCTTGGTTACTCCCTGGACGACGGTCCTGTTAGATTGGGCTTCTGGCGCATAAGAAGGCCATGAGGCAAGTTGATTTGAAGAACATGGCTGTTGGCGGAGGCAAAGCTTCGTTGCGGTTGACGCCTTGCAGGTTCCTGGATTGGATTTGGAAAAGGTGAAAAATAAGAGAAGGCAGATGATGGTTTGCTTACATAATATTACCCTAAGTGTACTTTCAGGGGAAAATTAAAACGACCCCCTCCCCCCCCCGGATGTCGATTAGGGGTGTCAATGACTTGTAATTGGCTACTTAGGCTCTTTAAAAATCTTAAATTAGATTTTTTAATATAAGCATAAGCTAGCATATTATAACTCTTGCATTGCAATTACATGCTTCTTAACTTATAATAAAAAGATTTCTTAAAATAGTGTTTTAATTTAGGGGAGTTTATATACTAATTAATTAAGTTCTAGTTTTTGAGCCTGATAAGGCCCTATAAATTATAAGCTTATAGGACTTATTTGCTAAATTTCTAGGCTTTTTTACGCTATCTTTAGGCTTTAAAATATATGTTTTTTTTAAACTTCTTTAATTTAAAGAATAGTTACTAATCTAAATTTTATAAAAAGTTCACATTTAAATAGCCCTTAATTAGTGCTATAAGGATATGAAACAAGTATTAGATTATGTTAATTCCTTAAAAAAATTAAAAAAATTAAATCAAAGAAAAATTCAGAGTTTTGGTATTCCTGTCCGAGCGCCTCTGCTTTGGGTTGGTGGCTAGTTTGCTCCCAATTGACACCCCTAATCGACACCCGGGGGAAGGGAGGGGAGTTGTTTTAGTTTTCCCTTGGCTTGGAGAAGGACATTTTTCTTTGAAATTGGATTGATCACGTGAATCTGAAATTCTGCCCCGCCAAAACCCCGCCATCACAAAACCGGTCATCAAACAACTACGTGTCGACGTGTCGACCACGAATATAAGAATTCGTTACGCCTTCCATGGCTGGAACTCTGAGCAGCAATATCATGGAGAACGACACAAAGACCCGTATGTGTCAATCCCTCCCCAAAGAGATCCATGCTAACATCTGCAGCGCCTTCCTCCACCTCTGACAAAACTTCCTTCGCATACATCTCTGCCAGGGACCGATGGCCTATCATTCTGGTAGGAGACACCTCCTCCAAAAAGGACAAAGCTGATGAGTCAGACTGGAGCGATTGATGATGTACACAAGGCAGTCTCGGAGACAACAGAAGCCGCCAAACGTGAGGAGGGAAAACGGATTGTTGAGGATCTTGCGAAACTCAAATATGAGCTCCAGCATGACCGGAAGATAACGTAGGAATTCTTCTCCAAACTCAGGCAAAGTTGACCGATCAGCCCGCTCCCAGATGATGGTCAACCAGATATTGCGGGTTACAACAAGGAACTGGAGCAATTGGGAAATCCCTCCTGGTTCAATGTTCCGTGGCTCTACGCAGAATGCTACCTCTATCGGTATATATCGCTATCCCATTCGGGATGTTGCTGATCAGTCCCTACAGACGAGTAGCAACCTCCTTCTCCCTCTCCAAAGAATGGAAATCCTACGATATATTCGCCCGCCAAAAGATGTCGACCTTCCGATCCTCTCGCCCCGCAGTCCTCGAACTCGCCGCCAGATACCACGAACTCATAACACAGATGGGAAAGAAGGATACCAAGGCGGAAGCAGAAGTTGACGAGGCGGAGAAGATATTGTTCATGGAGATGTGCGAGATATGCCTCTGGGGAAATGCTACAGATTTGTCGCTCCTAACATCTCTTACATACGAGGATATTCAAAAGCTACAGGGCTCAGAGGCTCGGAAGGCTTCGGAGAAAAATATCATTATCAATGATTTGGAGGCTGCATATGATGTCTTGAAAAAGGCGAAGAAAGAGGGGAAGAAAGAGAGGAGGGTCGATATCGTTCTGGATAATGCTGGATTCGAGTTATACGTCGACTTGATTTTAGCTGGCTTCCTCCTTTCTGCTGGCCTTGCAACTAACATCATTCTTCACCCGAAGTCGATCCCCTGGTTTGTCTCCGACGTCCTCCCTGGTGACTTTGCTGCTCTTCTCAACGCGTTGGTCTCTCCTCAAGCATTCTACTCGACACCTTCAGAAGATGAGAAAAATGCTGGCAAGGCCCCAGAACCGCTTTCCCAGGCGGAGATCGACGAACTATCCTTCTTGTTCCGGGAATGGTCGGGCTTTTATGCCGAAGGACAACTGTTGCTTCGACCAAATGGCTTCTGGACCGAAGGAGGCAGCTACTGGAGATTGCCTACTTCAGATCCTAGGCTCCATGAAGACCTGAAGGAGAGCCAGCTGGTCATCTTCAAGGGCGATCTCAACTACCGGAAGTTGACTGGCGATGTAAGTTTCCCATGTTTATAAGTTCGCAATGCTTAGATTCGCAGGCAATGTGGGATCCTACCACACCATTCACGAAGGCCATCGGTCCTCTAGGCCCCGGCTCCGGTATCAATATTCTTGCATTGCGAACGTGCAAAGCTGATGTTGTTGTTGGTCTCAAGCCTGGACTAGACGAGGAGCTTCGAGCCATGGAAGGAGGCGGTGGTGATACTGGAGCGCGAAAATGGGCATGGAATGGAAAGTGGGCAGTTGTGTCCTTTTCTTCGGGGAAATAAAGAAAACAGTGAGTGAAGGTTGCTTGCACATAGAAGACTGATGATAGAATAGACATATTTGCGATCCTTACATTTTTACTTCGGGCTATCTCAATTTCTAAATTCAGGCATTGCTAGTTCCTATTTCCATTTACCATCTCCCCGATGTAGCTCAACGTCCTCCTTTCCTAAATATTTACCAATACCTTCCTCGCCTCCAACTACCCCGCATTTCATCTTCCTTCTCTCCTTTACACGGTAGCAGTGCTAGTACTTGATCCCGTCGTAAAAGTTTCAGTATCCGATCCCGATGTCTCAGTTGAAGTCTCTGTCAAGTTTCCGGAGTTCGAATCCGGGCCGTGTGGTGCCGCTGTTCCCGCTCCTGGGGGGTTGTTGCTTGTTGCGTTGGCACCGGCAGTTATAACAACCGGGGTTGCAAAGCGAACTTGTGGTCGATCTGAAGCTTGAGGTTGAGGTTGGGATCGAGTTTGCAGTTGTGGCTGTGTTTGGGATTGCGATTGAGAAGGAGGTGGAGGTGAAGCAAAGACCGGTGTAAGAACAGGAGCCGGACTTAGAGCAGAAAACATGGCAGAGACAGCTGCTGGTATCGGAACGGGCGCCGCTCCTCCCACTACCAAGATCAGCACACGAAGCGGAATGGCCTTATCCCACTTTGCACAGCGTCAGACTATGATACATGACAGGGGAGCAGTTTTCTCTTGACAACGAAAATATGGAATTGGAAAGGGGAACTTACTTCCAGGCGGCGGCGGTCCAGGATCTGCGCCATGAGCCGTATTGAATCCTATCTTCGCCGGGAACGGATTAGTCTGCGCTCCCCATCCAGGTGGCAGCGGTCCTGGATCAGCCCCATGAATGGTATTAAATCCTTGCTTGTTCGCTGGGATTCGGTTGGTGGCGGGAGCTGCTGGATCCTTTTTGTAATGGGCCACATACTCATAGCAATTTTTGCTCTTCATCCATTCCCAGCCACCTGTGGTGATCCAACCCTTTGGGACATCGAGAGGCGCGCCTGCGGATCCGGGGCCGGGAGTTTGTTGTGGGAGGGTGGGGACTGGTGGTGGAGGAGGTGGGGTGGGGATGATTTGTGCTGGTTGGGGTGCTGGAATGAGTATGGTCTGGGCGGGATTGACGATGACTGGTGCAGGTGAAAGTGCGGGAGTGTAAACAACGGGGGTGGCGGGGGTGATGGTGTATGTTTGTCGAGCAGGGTGGGCGAGGAAGATGCGTGAGCAGTCCTCACAGGGGCCGTTGATGTAGCCTCTTATCATCTTGACCTTCCCATGGGGTGCCCAGGAGAGGTGGCATTTCTTTTCCACGCCAATACATTTTGTGTGTTTATCATTGCAGTTGTACTTGTAATGTGTTTCCTGACACATTTTGTTTGGTTTTGGACGGTATGTTCCTTATTTGAAGATTGGCGGATGAGAGTTTGTTGATGAGTTGGAGGAGGGTGACAAGAGGAAGTGCTTGGAGGTGGAAAATATAGGAGAGGCAAAGGATGTGTGAATCATTTTGCACAGCTTGATTTGGAAATGTTGGCTGATGTCTTGAGTGAGTTTTCGCGTCACTCACTGGGGGATTGGATGAGTTTGTGAATCATTCGGAGCCTTTCAACATGCTTTAGAATACAGCGCTCTTTTTCTCAGCAAGCCATCACGTTTGCTCTCTCTCGTTCAAACAGTCAACTAGTTGTTGTCTTGCAAGGGCACACTCTCGGTCTCTATTATCACCACAGAACAGCAGGCAGTCTCTCTAGCAAGATTATCCCATTTCCTCAATTAGGAAGTGGACACAGAATATCAAGCCATCTTGCTGCAATATCTCCCCCTTACCTAAACTGGAAATTGGAAACAATGATTCACAGAACATCAGGCCGCTATGCGGGTGACGCCACCTCCTTTCCCAAGCTGGAAATGTACTGAGGCTTAGAGTCCCTGCAGTGTCACATCACCAAAAACCCGACCTTAGAACCCAACCCCTACTTTCTGGAGAGTAATCAACATGCTTGCTCTCTCTCGTTCAATAGTCCAACTGGAATTTGGATATACCCTTAAGAACACAATCTCACACCTTCATCTCTACCCTTTGCCCAGGAACCACTCTGAATTGCTTTCGTACTTCAATGCAAACTCTTCTTCTACATATTTGACAAAACCAGTTAACACCCTCCTTACCCTTAATAGTTTCCCGATGGTGAATTGTATTTGCTATTGTTTGCCACCACGCTTTGTCATTTTGTCAAGCTTTTTCTGTCCATTTTATTAGGGATAATCAGGTGACATGAAGAGGAAGTTATTCTCTTCCAAGCCACGCCGATGTCCAAGGTCCTCTCTTTAAAATGTCACTGAGGTTCAAATTATTTATAATTGCCAATGCAGGCTTGGGCGCCAAAGGCTGTCGCAACACATTTTTCGAATTGAAACTACTAGTAATCTGCATACGCGTCCTAATTCTTCCCTCGATCCGTCTCGCCATCCCCAGCAGGGATATTTGTTACCCCCAACACGCCAAGACTCTGTCTACATTGACTGAGAAAGATTCCATTGAATATATTAAAGGCAGTTGGTCCTCGAGCCGACCTGAGATACTCTATCCCTCTTTTTCCTATCCCAAGATATCTCTAAAAGTCTTGGCCGAGCTGGCCACTGCAGTGAACAGAGTAAAAGCTCCAATAAGAAGGGCAATAAGCTGCCCACTGTCGGTGATATGCGTGTCAGGGAACGTGATATTATTCATCTTGATTGTCATTTCAACGTGGACGATTGCAATAGCACATAAAACGGAAGACAGAGTGCCATATACATAGGAACAGAAGGGATGCTTTTCTTCTTTGAAATCGTCTTCCCACGACACGAACCAGTAGAAGAGAGCCGTAAGCCCATCCCAACACAACCGATACCGGCGCCGACTCCCAATGACCATGCTGCTTTGACGAAAATCATCCAACCGTGAGCGTAGGCGTTAATCGGAACGAAGAGAACGCTTTCACAGTGCAACCTGCCTGCCGACCATTGTACCAGCCCCTGAAGATTATCCATGGACATGCGAAGTAGTTCGCCGAAAGGACCATCGTCACAGTGAAAAGAGATCCGCCTGTTCTCTTAAATGCTGCCATGGAAGTTGGCAAATTGAAGACGAGGAGAAGAAAGGTCAAGAAGAGTATTGGCCAATCAATCGTCACGAGAGAATTGTGATCGAGGTTTCGAAGTGTGTTGATGTAGACAGCAAAGGCGGTTACTGCGGATGCCGGCCGCATCATGTCTCCGTACGAAGGGGCCAAGAACTGAAAAATAAGGATCGATGACCATTGCAGATAGAATCCAAGTCAAACACCAGGGCCATACACATCTGGGTCGCCAATTATATCGCACTCTGTGGTTTGAATTGTGGCTGCGAGGGTTGATTGGGACAACAAAGCCAAGATGAGAAGGCTCGTTGCCGTAAATTATTGTTTCGTAGGAGGCATAGTTGAAAAGAAGAGTTTCGGCTCGTGTTACAGTATTTTCTGGAGGCCACAAGAGAACTCGATGGGTCTCCTCCGTATGCTCGCCATAACTTATACTCTCTCCCCTTCTGCCTCGCTTGAGAGAGGTACGGAATTGACAGCAGCCACAATATTGGGGTGCTTTCTTGGCAGGCTGGAAAAGAGCAACGAGCCGTGTGTGGCGCGGTATGGGATTCGGAATTTTGTCTCAATAGGGGACACACGTGCATTGATACTGAACTTCCCACTCTTCCAGACTCTCCCACAGCCAAGCTGAGGACTACAGTAGCTGCGGCTGTGTAACGCAAATGCAAGCCACACAATTAATGGAACCTGATTTTGGAAGTGATTTTCAGGGAAAGGGGTTTGGCAGCTGAAACTTCGTTGAAGTCTCGGATCATCAGAACGGTGAATGCGCAAGCTAAAAAATATATATTACTGGGTTTCTGCCGTATTCATGAGCAGATCTGCAGACGACGGAGACGGCGAAGAAGACGAATAAAGGGCAAGATCAAAACAAGCTGCCTCCAGGCGCTTCTTGCCCAGGAGTAAGCCAGGCTGCCCCACAACAGGGAGTTCTGTGAATTCAATTGAAATCTTGTGTACATTGAAAGAATAAGAGGCAGATAGTCTCATAGAGAAGAGGGTTTGTGGTCTTTTGCCCCGCAATACGACCCCCTCTCCCCCTCTTCTCAAGCGAAGTCAGCAAAGGGGCAATCTCCGCGAACAAATCACGAGTAGCGCAAGAAAGTCCCCTAAGTCCCAATCCTCAACCCAGAGGTTTAATCAAACGCCCTAGTATCAAATCTTCAATCTTCCCCAGTGATCGCCCTCACTCCTGACTTCACTCTTCACCCAGCAAACCTCTCTGTTTCCCGTACGTAAAGTGTGTTTGGGGGAGATGAAGGCACCCAAGGAGCACACGTCGACTGCTCGTTGACCCAACGCGAACACACCAACGACCTGATACCGTCCTTATAATCGCCAATCAACTGTGCAATGCTTGCAGCAGCAGTGGTAAAAGCATGTTGTATGTTGCAATTGGTCGCGGTGAAGACGCAGCAGATGTCTGCCGGATTGGTATTCGATTCCATAGAGTTCAGCTGCTGGGTCCAGACTGCTGGCAGGTTGACGCACTCCCCGTAAGGCCCGTACGTTTTGAGTTCCGAGCCCTTAAAGTTGGAGCCTGTGAAGAAGGATGCAAGGTAGCTGGAGGGGACGTCAGTTGGCGTGATTTGTAAAATTTTCAAGAGGGTGCAAAAGCTTACGGATCGTTGTAATCAGTGGTTGGGCAATAGTCGCAGACGCAGTGGTAATTCCCGTTTGAGTATACCCAGGAACATTCGTCTAGTGACAAGCACTGAGCATATCCAAGTAGCCATGGGCTTTGAGGAATAGCTAAAATAGGGGAAGCAGTCGTCAAAATAGTGGCAAGAGCAAATTTGAGATACATCTTGAGGAGTTGGAAGTTGTGGGGGACGTTGTTGGTGTATAAATGGAATCGATTCTTCGTGAGATGCCGTGTGCTTTATGTACTTCCAGAAGCTCCAGATGGTTTGTTCTGGATGACTTAGTTCCTTGCTAGTCAAAGCGACGCCTAGGAATACCGTTCTACTTTCGATAGTCTGTATTCCTAAATTTTGCGAACACATGCGTGGGCTGTCTTTCAATTTGTGACGCGAAAATACAAAGGGAGCACAAAATACCGGCGGCAGCGGTTGCCGTTATGAAGAGCTTCCCCCTTTTTTGAGACACTGTAGCAGCATTGTAACAATGGTCTGTCTTGTTTGGTGGCCACCGAGCCGTAAATTGTCTCATCTCACGTACAACGCCGCATGGGTAGATCCCGAGATACAACCTAATAGCGTATGCTTTGGGTATGTGTACAAGCATAGAGTTGCGCATGGCCGGAAAGATACTGAAGGAATCAATAATTTGCAGAACGAGTCCACATGAATGCCTGCAATGCTCCACTAGTTCAACGGTTTGGGGAAAGGAGCTCAAATTCAAAGATATATGTGGAGATATATAGCAGAGACATGGCGAGCGAGCGTCACCTGAGGGCAATTCAATTCTATGGACGGGATCCATTCCGAGCAGATACTCAGATCAAGAGTATGTAAAATCAGACTTCCAAGGTGTTCGAGTAAGACTAACACGGATTTGGATACCGAGTGGGTTAAACGGCGACTTCCGAAGTTCCAGGACGGACGGTCCATCATGGAGTAATTCAAAAGCGTACGTTGTATGATCTCAAAAAAAATTGTTCTTCTTTCGATTTTGTGGGAAGGAGAGAGGTGCTGGTGCGGATTCGTTAAAAGTGAGGAGGCAGCAGGGGGAGGGAGGGGTTGTGAGATTTACCGAGCGTACAGTATTTCTCAGCACTCGTCCGACCCTGCCCTTCGCTGTTCACTCACTCGAGATTTGGGGAATTAGGGAACTGACCCCCCCTCTTTGGGTCGATTCCAGGGTTGATGCTGACTAATCTAGGCGGTGAACACTAAGAATCTCTACCCTCACGGTTTCTCGCGCTCCTCTACTCTAAACTTAAGAAAAACCTGTACTTACTCTCAATAATTTATAGTCTCTTAGAAGCTTATAACTCTTTCTTTTTATTTAGAAATTGTTTTTCCTTTCTTCCTAAGAGAGAGCGCGATTATTTTAAGAGTTATTAGGGTTACAGGTTTTTAGTAATTACTTAATCTATTAGTCGCTAAATTACTAGCAATCTTTCTCTTAGAACTTATTATATTTTTAGCGCCTTACCCCTAAAACTTAACTTAATAGCCGATTCGTCCTCTTTTATAAAGGAGGACAAACCGATTATTACTTAAATAACTTTATAAAAAAACTCCTAAAGAATATTATTAAAGAGGGTAGTTCCCAAAATTTTAAAAAAGCGTACTATTATTCAATTAAAAAATGGAATAATTTAATATAGAGTGGTTCCGCCGTTTACTTAGCATCGACCCTGGGATGGAACCAGAGGGGGGTCATTTTCCCAACGAGTAACCCCGAGGACCTCAGCCCAAGCACACTTCTCCTCGAACCCTCGATTAAGCCCCCCCCCGAGAAACGGTCTAGAATCGTGTCGGCCTCCTTGTGCGAATCAGGTCTGCCTTGCATGGAAGCTGGAGTCATCACGCTCCTGATTCGAACCTGCACTGACAGACCGGCATCTGCTTTATGATACTTTCGCTTGGGTGCATCAACGTTACCAGAGCCAGGGCTGCCGTAGGAAGTCCCTGCAAAGTCTGTCGGCGGGCGGGATGGGATCTGGGGAAGCCCTGAGGAAGTGTCAGGTCAGAAGCGCAAGAGTTGGAAACTTCAAGATCATGGCGAGTCATGTCAAAATACTTCTGCTCTCAGCGTTCCTGGCTTAAATATTTCCCCTTACGTTCAAGCTGTATCAGCAAGGAGTAATTAGCTCTCCCTTACCGCTGTCGTGGGCTTTGTTTGACCGTGAGAAGTTATTGCATTCAGAAACTCCTCCTGGATAATGAGGAGTTTGGGTGTGGGACTCCCCGGCTTGCTTCGAAGTGCTCCAAAGACCGGATCCCACGGCTGGTTTGGCCAAAGCACCCTCTTTTTCTCGCGCTGACATTCCAGTATCCAAACTTGAAGCTTATGGCGAAGAGACTTTATTGGCTCATTGACCTCCCTTCTAATTCTTCACGGCCAAGAGCAGAATAATCCATGCCTCGGTCCGCTCCCACGTTCGACTGACCCCCGAATGCCCCACTACCCCGCGGGCGGCTCGACCAGGGGGGGTCGGCGGAATCATGCCTCCATCCAACCAATCCCCTCCCCTCTTCTCCAATTCGGGCGTTACTCGGCGCAACCAAGCACAAGCCCAAAATTCCTATCCGCTGATTTTGGTTCGTGACCCCCTGAAATCTGGCATCTGATGCTGGAGCTCTTGCGATTACCGAGCCCTTAGCGCAAGGAACGCAAAACTTTAAGTCTAGTTCATCTCATGATCAACATATTGCCAGATGCACCGCTGCGGCGATGGGTAAAGCTACCCTTGTCTAGGGCTTCTAGAAGAACGCGGCGCCCTTGGTCTGGAACTTGCAGGAGTTCCTTGTCTACGTTCTCTTCGCATTCGTGGAATTTAAGGCCCTTGGACATCATAATCTGATGATCCGCATCTGAGATATGATGGGCTGTCCTCGAGCTTAGAAAGTGAAGGAGTCCTTTCTACTTGTAGAAGCGACTCCGATCAAACTGACTTGCAGGCGTCCGTTACTTGCTTCTTTGCATCGGCGGTAGCAATGCGACGTTACTGCGCAGTACTAAGTGCCTCCCCATTGTCCGAAAGTCCGTTGAGACTCACACTCAGAAGTTGGCCGAAGGGCGATCCAATGAGGGCCCGTTTCGTACGGACGCACCTCTTTTGATTGCTGGCGTTCGCCAACAACCAAATACTAGCGTTCAATACTCAAAACATTATAAAATAATATTTCAAATAGTAATAAATAAATGAGATAATATATAAAAGTAAGAGAGAGAAAGTAACTATATAATAAATAAAGTTTATAAATTTAGTTTAACTAAAAGTTAGTTTGAATTTCATATAATTAGGGTCTTATTATATATATAATATATTTAATATTTGGAAAGATTTGTTTAAGCTTATAAGGCCTGATTAATATTATTATATTAATAATAAAGCAAGTGAGATGCCCCGATCTCCCCCTAAAGTATAGGCTCACGTGACCTTGGCGAGCAAATATATTCGCGTTTTATATAGTAAAAAATCAAAAAAGTAAAAAGGGTCCGTGCACTTTAAACCTCCAATACTAATTAACCACGAATCTTATCAAGAATCTGATTAATAGACAATTTTTGCCTGGTTCTATTCTATAATCATATCACTTAGTATACATTAAATGGGGTTGTGGTTAAAAGGTTATTATGGGCGTAAAGGGCGACCGTTTTGTCACTTTTGGGTCGGACCGACTGTAGTTACCAGTCATCAAGGAGTATGTTCTTCTTTCGGCACAAAGATGGCGACCACCTCACCTGAGCAGAGTTGTTAGCCCAACAGGTCTCTAACTATGACTAAAACGTATCCGGTCCTTGAGAGTTGCTTCGACTTTTATATAATGTACCAGTTTCTCCAGTTAAACTCCCAGCAGGAACATGATCGCCTCTCCTTACTTTTGAACTTCATCTTTATATATTGCTATTGTCTATAACTCCAACAGCCTTGTACATACTTTTTACTCCTTATTGCTCAGCCTTCTCAAACAACATGCCTTCCAAACGTATTCTCAGTCTCAATCTGCTCGGCTACCTATGCAGTGCATCCGCCTTAGCAACAAACTTGGCCGGGACTTTCTCTGCCTACGCCGCAGCAACTTACAATCTGGTCGATACCTACAACAGCGGAAACTTTTTCTCATCCTTCAGCTTCTACACGGGCTCGGATCCCACTCATGGCTATGTATCCTATCAATCTCAATCCGCCGCTTCTAGCCAAGGTCTCATCAACACGAACAACGGTCAAGTTTATCTCGGCGTTGACCATACCACCGTGAATCCCTCTGCAGGCCGGGCCTCCGTTCGAATTAGCAGCAACAAAGCCTATACTCACGGCCTCTTCATTGCCGACATCGCCCATATGCCGGGTTCCATTTGTGGCGTCTGGCCCGCCTTTTGGCTCTTTGGCCCAAACTGGCCCAACAGCGGCGAGATAGATGTCATCGAGGGCGTCAACCTCGCTGGCACAGACCAGATCACCTTGCACACAAAAGCAGGCTGCTCCATCAATACTGCTGGCTCACAATCCGGCACTACTTTGGTTAACTCCAACTGCAACCAGGACAATGGCAATACCGGATGTGGCGTCACGACTACGACTGCAAATGCCTACGGCAATAATTTCAACAACATCGGAGGGGGTGTTTATGCCATGCAATGGGAAAGCTCCGGAATCTACGTTTGGTTCTTCCCGCGAGGTAGTATTCCCGCTGATATCACGAGCGGGAGCCCAGTGACTGGAAACTGGGGCCTGCCAATCGTAGCGTTCAATGGAGGGAGTTCGTGTAATATTGACTCGTTCTTCTCGAATGAGAATATTGTGTTCGATACGACGTTTTGCGGTGATGTATGAACCTCGTTCCAAGTTTCAGGATGGTTGTGGGTGAAGTGAAGTTAGTGCTGACCAGAGACTGAACAGTGGGCTGGAAGTGTTTGGGGAAGCAGCTCCTGCGCCAGTTTGGCCAGCTCGTGTAACTCGTACGTGGGGGCAAATCCAGGGGCTTTTGCTCCAGCTTATTGGACGATCAATTCTGTGAAGGTCTATCAGCAGTGAGGTGAAGCTGTTTGTAAGCCGTCGCCGGGAGGTTGTGGATTCGATTCATATACCTATTTTGTGACGAGGTGCAAATGGCGTCTATCATATTGAAACATGATGTTAGAACGAGCATGAGGAATGGAAGATAATGAAACGCTTGTAAATTGACACTTGAAGGTGAATCTTGACTTGTCTATATTGAACCCTATCTGGAAAGTACAATTTGTGCTTACTATTAAGAACGTCGGTATCTAAAACGAGAGCATGAACGAGGGTAACTTACTTTAACTGAATCAAAATTCAGAAGCGTTTGCCTCTCCCGGAGGCACGCCCAAGATTGGAAACTCCTACGGAGCCGGTCGTTATGGAGTTCCAGCTGCACCCTAATTGCTCTGAGAATGGCCCCAAGACAGTCGAACAAGAGAATTACCAATGGGTTGGCCCTGCATCTGGTTTATTGTCATTTTTGCTGCATGTCGTAGCACAAACTGGACGTAATTACATCCCTTTCCAGGAGGTATCTTGACATATGTAATCTTCCCAACGCCCTGGAAGAGAGATCGAAGTGTATCCTCGGTGGCATAGCTCACCAAACCTCTAATGAAGACGGTAGCATTGTTGGGGTCAATAAACTGGTTCATGGGCTGCGGTGCCCCGCAATATTCCAGCGCCGGAGGAGCACCAGTACCGACTGTATCTGAGTAGAATGCTGAAAACATAACTCCGCCCGTTCGCTCATCTTCGTCGCACCTAGTCCTGATTTGGTTTTGGGGGGGCATAACAGTAGAAAGCCTCATTGGTCAATTTCCACAACATACACCTTGTATTCCGACGAGGGCGCGTTGTTGGTCGCTCTCGTCGCTAAAGCGGACAAACCCATAACCGTGAGAGTTGCCAGTGACAGGATCAGTCATCATCTTTGCATATTTGCAAGATGTAAATCTGGATTGGAAAAGCGACACATGGAAATATTCGTTGACCTCAGGCCCAAGGTCACCAACTAAAATCGAATACTCCGAGCCACGAATGTCTCTAAGAAATAGTCAGCAGCTTTACCGAGGACAAAGAAACTTTTCAATGATTCAGATACGTCCCTTACAAGAGAAGGCACCACCCGACGCCCAGCTGAGCTTGAAGAGACCAGAGCTGTTCGAAATCCTGGCAACATTGACTTTGAAAGCCCTTGCAGCAGGCACGGGGGGTATGAAGTCAACAAAACCGGCGCCGGCGTTTCTGATCAAGAGGTCAGTAATGAGCAGGCACGATATAGAAGCCAGTCTGTAGCATGAAACCGCTCACTTTGTCCAAGATAGCAGTCTGTTAGTTGTCCGGTTTTGCATGGTCGGCGTAGTAAACATTCTTAAGACCATCTTGCAATTCCCTCCAACACTTTTGAAGTCAAGTATCTTTTGGTTAACCACGACATGACAATCCCGATCTGGAATATTCCAAACTTCCGTTTGAAAGTAATAGACATCCTTAAACACTCTTTCAAGGTTTTTGATTTCTCCTGATACGGGGAGCTTCGGATCTTCGTCTTCTTACTTAATCATAAACACATAAACACATTTGTACCAGGAGGTGGCCATGTTTGGAATAGAAGAGCCGCTGCACATTGTAGAGCTTCCCCGAATTTCTGGAATACAAGGTGGTGTTGCCACCGATCGATCTCGTGAGCTCTAGGTGGAGGGCGAGTAGTAGGAATAAAAAATGTATCCGTCTCAGACGACTGAGTGGTACTTATGGGGTCCATAAAATCCTCAACCGTTGGCTTCAAGACCTCGTTCATTGCAGCCGAAGAAACTATCTGATGCCAAACAGCATCTGCTTAGCCATAGACCAAGTTCTGGGGCCTCCACGGCATTGTCATGAGTGAAAACTACCCTAGTGGTCGTGAAATTCCGAAGAACGAACGACTCTTTAAAGCAGATGAAACATTTATGGAGCGAGGAAACTGTGCCAGCCTTGTGGATCAACCTATTCCTGTACGGAAAGCTGACAGCATCGGTTGATTGTATTGAATAGGCGATTGCTAGAAACATCCAATTGACTCCACCGAGAAAATCAACGGAACCGAGGACAATCAAGGGGTTAGCAAGAAGCTGGGTTTCACCTACCGCCGACGTCACCTGCGGAAGCGGCGCAATACACAGCTACAGTGAGGCTGTTGGATGGGAATACTCCTGCGGCCCGGCCCATGCTTGAAAACCAAGCTTAATGTCGACAATCAACCGAGGAGCCGAGCGTGTGATTTGACCACGTATTCAGACACGCCTGCCCAGCTACGAAGCAGGCGAAGCACCCCGTTTGCTGGCTGTTAACCAAAGCCGGGAGTGTATCTCAGTACGAGGACGTACTTTCAGTCCCTAGAATCAATTTGGCTCGAGAGCTCCAAATGAGAACTTTGGATAGAGCACAAGAGTATATCTTCAATGGCGTTCGGGGGGCTGGGCCAATGATTTGACAAAGAGAAAGAAGGAAAAATCGTGATCGGAGGTACGAGATGACTTAAGGCTCCGATACCCCTGCTTTTCTCGCTAAGCTTCGCCAGTGGGTGTTATCACGTGCTCCATGGTCCACAGAAAAGGGGACTCGGGACTTGTAGATCCTCCATACGGCACCGACGACCCGAGATTCTCATAGACATGTTGAGAATGTATGATGGAGGTGAATAATTTGGTGGGAAAGGGTCGGAGTATCGTACGTGACGGTGGGTTTGATGGTGGAGAATCAGGATGTATATAAACGACGTCCTTTCCCTTCTTCGGCTGTCAACAATAGACACACCAGTTCCCATCTTCCAATCATTTCATAATCGCTTCTTCGCCATGAGCAATCTCCTCGTCGTTATCGGCATCACAGGCCAACAAGGCGGCTCCGTAGCATCCCTCTTCTCCCAAGAACCAGGCTGGAAAGTCCGAGGCATTACTCGCAACCAATCCTCCCATTCAGCACTCGCCTGGACCTCCAAAGGCGTAGAAATGGTCCAAGCAGACCTCAATGACCCCTCTGCCCTCCCCGCTGCCTTCGCCGGTGCCGCCGCCCTCTTCGTGACAACTGATTTCTGGGGGCCATTCTACAACCCTCAAACTCTTTCACTTCTCAAAGAACACCAAACCCTCGGCGAATACTGCTCTGATATCGAATTGCAGCAAGGAAAGAATGTCTTCGATGCTGCTTCTCAAATCCCGACTCTGGAACGGATTGTTGTTTCAAGCTTGGTTGATGCAGAAACGTTGAGTGGCGGGAGGTTTAAGGGAGTGTATCACTGGGGAGGTAAAGCGATGGCGTTGAAGTATTTGAGGGAGTCGCATCCGGAGTTGGCGGGTAAGCTGAGTACGGTTGTTATGGGAAATTATATGGGGAATTGGCTTCGGGACTTGAAGCTGAGGAAGGTGTGTATCCCTCGTTCCCTCCTTCTTTTGGTGGATGTGTGTTGATTTCGCGACAGACGGATGCCGGGTATCGACTAGCCCTAGTAGGCTCCGGTACTACACCACTTCCACATATCGATGTCGAGAGAGACACCGGGTATCTTGTTCGTGCGCTGTTGGAGTGTTCTCCTGGTAAGACGGTACTGGGCGCCGGAGAGATGATCTCGTGGTGTGAGATGTTGAGGGTCTGGTGTGAGTGTAATGAGGTGCCGCTTGCAGGTTTTGATCAGCTTTCGATTGATCAGTTTGAGAGGTTCGTTCCTGTGCCGGGCCTTGGGAGGGAACTGGGTGAGATGTTTGCTTTTATGGACGAGTTTGAGTATGCGGGTGGTGATGCCAATGTTGTACTTCCTTCCGAGGTAGGTTATCTGCTTGTTTGCTCGGAATATACTAATTGAACAAAGCTTGGAGTTCCTTGTCCTGTTGCCGGTTGGAAAGACTGGGTCAAGAAGCAAGACTGGTCGAAGATTCTTAGCGGGTGAATAGAATTCAGTGGAGAAGAGTGGTCGAGGAGACAGTTTCATACAATAAAAGCCTTTCCAGGGTATTTTTTCGATCCAAGTGGAGATTTCTGCTGCTCATTCATCGCCACCGAACGGGTAGTTGAATTTCAACAACCCATTCAGCCCTCCAACCCAGCCGTCATCATCCTCCCTCCCAGAGATGGTACCTCTCATCACACAAGGAACTCCACCAATCCATTCGCTACCCTTCACAATATCTTCTCCGTTAACCCTAATTTCCATCCCCACACTAATCCCATGGCTTCTTCGTCTCCCATCAATGCTGACTTCCAACTCTCGGCCTCTGTTCTTCTCGCTAAGTCTCAGCGTGATCGGCGTATTAGCTGGTAAAACCAGCGTCCTAAACGACAAGCTCCTTGGGCAAATAGGAGTCACCAGTAGGCTGCTGACAAGCGGATGAACAATGTTCCCCCCCGCACTCAGACTGTAAGCCGTACTTCCAGTAGGCGTAGCAATGATCATCCCATCCGCCACAGCTTCCGTCAAAAACCGTCCTCCAACAAACACTTCAATGATCGCAAGATGTGCCTCCTTTCCTCGATGAATCACAACCTCGTTCATAGCATGCACATCCCCAGCAGCGCTCTCCGCAGTATTATCACCAATAACCCGATGCCCTTCTGCATCGAAAACTCCAACCTTTAATCGATTCCGCAGCAGAACTTTTGAGCTCCTCGTAGGTCCCATCGACTTTCCTCGGATACTTGACCAACCAGTCACAATATCCCCGGTCTCATCAACCATTGTCTTGACATGTGGATGTTTCTGGTCTTGAAATAACGGTGACCCAGCCCCCGCTCCCGACATGTAGACCTCTCGAAATGCTCTCTTGTATTCTGCAAACTTCCATTCTCCCAAGAAACCCAATGTTCCCATGCTAAATGACAAGACTGGAGGGACGTGAAGAGTGGTGCTGAAGAGGGATGCTGCTCGCAGAATTGTGCCATCACCGCCGAGGGTTGTAGTCATGTCAACTTTTCTAGGAAGGGCACCGGCTGAGCTGGTTGTATAGACAGGAAAGGAGAACTGCTTGTGCATTTGCGCCGCGACTTTCGGTTCGAAGATGAGGGAGACATTGTCGTAATTGGAATGAATATGCTTAGCATATTCAATCAAGGACTCGGTAACATGTGGAGCTCTATCCTTTTTGATTATGAGGATGTTTCGAGGAGGAGAGGGCCATTGTAATGATAGGAGGTCGCTCGTCTGACTTTCTATCAAACATTTAGTGAAGCACTCTCCTCACCGGAAAAACTTACCTGGATACCTAGGAACAATTCTATCCGGCAGACTCTCTATATCTATGATTTCCCTCCTCGTTGCTGAGCTACTAAATCCTCTTCTCCAAACTCCCCCAACTCTCGGCAATCCCCTCACGATCATCGCGGTTGGTGTGTTCAGGAGAAGGCAAATGTCCGTCTTTAGCCGGGCAAGAAATATGGAGGATGCAGCTCGTGGATTTCATCATAGATATTTTCCGTTGCATCTGATCTGCACGAAGCTATTCAACTTCATATTCAATTGAAGGTTAAAGAAGTTGGAACATGAACGTGCTGCCAAGACAAGCTCTTGGTCGCAGCACGCGATGTTGCTTCTTAAAGCCTCCGATAACCGATAAGCTGGTGAGCTAGCCTTTCCAGGCCTACCTCCATATTTTGGACCTCGACATCATGCACAGGTCAACAGCTTCAATGCTCCCTCACGACAATATGAATGCTAGAAGATGACAGTGATGTTGGCTTCTTGTGTCTATTCACTGTAGCCTTGAGTGGCTTGAGATATTCTGCCTCGCGAGACAGCAGCAAGGATACGCGGCCGCCGCTGGTAGGCACACGACAGTCTGACTGCCTTAAGAAGTCCCTGGCGTTCCGGAGTCAGCTTCCTCAGCGTCCCGACCATAAAGACGGCTTTGACCTCCCGCAGAGCTTCAACTATTATGGACACCGAACTTAGGCAGAGGGTAAAAAGCTCCCCGGTGCCGGGCATTGAGCTCGCGGAAGAAGAGCCAAAGGGACATCCGGGAGGAGAAATCAAGCATGGAGCAGCTGTGCAGATTGTTCGGTTCCTGCTGTTTATTACGTACTTCCAGGGGTGTTGTTGCTCGTACGTATGCCGCAGACCTATTCCGGAGCTGTACTGACTTCTCTAGAATCGTTGCAACTCAGTTCATAGGTGCTCCGCTGTACTGGTTTAACAGTGACCTTTACTATGCATATATGGCCCTGACCAAGCAATCCTTCGGCATATTTGTTACGACCCTAACACAATGGTGGGCTCCGACGCCGGTGCGGGTTAGCGGGGATGCTTCGGTGGCGGGGCAAATAAAGCAAACTGAGGATGGGAGGGTGGAGCTTAATTTTCCAGGCAGGGTAGTCTTGATAGGAAATCACCAGGTACGGACAAACACTGCTGTGGGTTGGCAGCATGCTAACATAATATGCCTAGATATACTCCGACTGGCTTTACTTCTGGTGGGCCGCCTACACGAACAACCCCCAAATGCACGGCCACATCTACATCATCCTAAAAGAATCCTTAAGCTACGTCCCTGTAATCGGGTGGGGGATGAGGTTTTACGGATTTGTGTTCATGTCTCGAAAGATGGCGACAGATCAACCAAGATTGGCACACAGGTTGCAGAAATTGAGGACAGTGCATGCAGGACCGATGTCTGGAACTTCCGGACTCGATCCGATGTGGCTTTTACTGTTCCCTGAGGGAACGAATTTAAGTGCCAACACGAGGAAAAAGAGTGCGGCATGGGCGGAGAAGCAGGGAATTAAGGACTTCGAGCATGTGCTTCTACCCAGAAGCACCGGGACTTTCTTCTGCTTGAATGAGCTGAAGGGAACAGTGGATTATGTCTATGATTGTACCGTGGCATATGGAGGCATTCCGTAAGTGCCCCACGTTGGCCTTATGATTGATGTTGATTTGAGCAGGAGAGGAGAATACGGCCAAGACTTATACAGCCTTCGAGGCATGTACCTTCAAGGCCGACCGCCACCATCAGTCAACATGTATTGGCGTCGTTTTACAGTCGCCGATATGCCACTGGATGATCACGAAAAATTCGAGCTATGGTTGAGAGAGCGTTGGCACGAAAAGGACCTCTTACTCGAGCATTTCGTCGAACACGGCAGCTTCCCAACTGACAAAGCCGCCGTAAATGGCGCTTCAAGCGGAGCAGCAAAAGGCGAAGTCGTGGAGACTGAAGTCAAGCTCGGCCACTGGTACGAAGTGTTCAATATCTTCATAATGTTGGCTATCTTTGCTTTATTAGCAAATATGTTGGCCAGGGTCTGGAATAAAGCTCTTTGGGGAAGGAGTTCTGTCTTCTAGCATGGGAAGAGGTTTTGGCATCCATTATACAAGTTTTGATTTGGTGCAGGCGACTGGCGATTGGGTAGATACCATAACATGAGAGACGAATCTTCTTGGTGCTACGGGCGAGGTTTCGGTAGGTGGATTATGAGATCCTCATTTTGGTATTACAGGCCAGTCACTTTCAGGTGGAATATGGGATCCGGAATGGGCATCTGATCCATACTCTTCTCCCTTACCGATTACCATTCATGTCGAAGTTTTCAAGAGTTCTGAGGTTCATTGCTCCCCCTGAGGCTCTACCAGCAGCATCAAGTGATGGTGCTCAGTAAGCCATCAGATGGCCCGAAGACCTCGTGTCTCTTGGTATGGCTATGTGGATTTGCTCCTTCGCGCAGGCACGAATGAGAGTCCAATCCTCAGCCTTACGCGGTGCCATGGCTGCCAGCCTTGCCAGCCAAGCTGAAAGTTCAAGTACAAAACGATATCTACCGTTTCACGCCTTATCAACTCCGTCTTCCATTCGCAATAACTAAGACAACAATACGTGTCGATGCAGCTGATCATACAGGATCAGTGACTCTTCTCCCCAGCAATGGACATATAACACTAGGCTACCTGGTTAGTAGTCTATGAACACTGAGGACGAGAGCAAGTAGATGAGGAAATTGAGAGATAAGTTGGAGAAGACAAAGGGGCATGAGGAAATTTTGATGGAGTCGATCATTAAGAATGTGCCGGCGGAAGAGGAAGTTGAAAGGTAAATTGAGGAAAAACCGTTGCAGCGAGAGTATGTTGAAAGGATCTCCTTGAGGGTGGCAGAGATGTAGTTGAAGCAGAGTTGCTCAAAGTCAAGCCTCGCCCCTCCACTTCAGTATTTTAGGTGCTTAAATATCGCGAAAGCGCAATGCTTGATGACAGCTACAGTATTTCGGAGGTATATCACTTTTGGTCACTGTCGATTCGAATTAATAATTAGTTGTTCATTTTATCGATTCAAATGAAGCTGGAGGAAATAGGGGGGTTCTCGCTAATTTGCAGAAGGCCCGACAGGGTATAACCTCGCCGGCTTTCTCTATTTTGCTACAGACGACTCTGGACCTGCAGAAAAGCATTGTTCTACTAAATTGAATGTAGCAGAGTTCCTTTTACTACCTCAATGATATGCAAGCCATTTCCACACTCTACTTCTGGAAAACCGTCGAATCGTGTTGGTTAGGTAAGGGAGGTGACAATACTTGGTTGATATCTGTGGTTAAGCACCCTAACCAGTGGGGCTGTCCTTCTAACATCGAAGGACTTGTGTTCGATTCTAAACTAGGCATTTGTCGAATGGACTGCTGAATGTAATTGATTGAAGAGATGTCGGCTGAACGATGTGCCCTTAAATACACTAGGAACTTTGAACGCACCAAAAAGCGTATTCGGTACCAAATGTAGCGACATTGAAGCTTGCGGATAGTATGAGAGACGAAGAATATGATTGTCAACAGGCACGGACTTGCCCATAGCTGCCCCATAGCCATCACGCCCGACTACTTTAGTTCTTGCATAGTCAGAGGTTGTTGGTAATACTGGATACCGCTTCCGGGTGGTGGCACAGCAGTATTGTTGAATTGGCTGATGCTGCTGTTGCGCTGCTACAAAGCTCCAAGACGGTGTTTGCTCGGTTATCCACAAGCCGCCGCCCTTCCGACAGCCGATGACAAAGAGAAGCACCAACATGACGAACGTGACCCACGCATCCAAAATAGGCCAAAGTACCTCCGTATATATGGGAATCGAGTAAAATCCCTTCGGGAGTAGCCAAGTCGCGTCGTATGCCGGCACCCAGGTATTACGAAGCAGGTTGAGGATACCAATGACAAGATATAAGACCGCGCTCTAGAAGGTGAGAAGTTATACGTTAGCTCTTTAAGCACTGGGTTGACAAAGGAAGGAGGTCAAGGATCAGATTACATTTCTAACCCGGGTCGTTTCACGACAAACGATTAAAACGTAAATGGTGAACGGAGCCACTGCTACGGAAGCAATCCACAGGATGATGTCGAACGCCGCTGTTAGCTGTATAATTAAGTAAGGTTCATCAAGGAAATCTTGGCTTGAGCTAAAATCCGAGTTGATGGCGTTATATAGTCTGTGCGTCAGGCTTCTGTTTTCCCAAAATGCCCGGCGATCACGGCGAAGAGGACTTACGCATAGGCCAGCAATCAAGCCACGAATGGTGTTGTGGCCCGTTGGGTAGCGGTTCGAGACATAGATAAAACTTAATCCAAGGGCGACGATGCAGTAGAGGAGGAAGATGTTCCCGAGATCTTCGAACAGGCTATTCACGTCATATATTCGGATTTGAATCTGGTCCACGGTCCACAGTCCAAAAGGTGTTGTCGAAGATGTTATGGTCTCTACGGTCCAGCAGGCCGAAGCCCAAGTAGTCTTCCTCACTATTATTGTCAGTAGCGCCAGATATCTTAAATACTTGTACGCGCTCTATAGGCTACTAGAAAACTGCTTCCGTAATACTATCGTATATTATAGAGAGGGGGGATGCCTTGAGGAACTCAAAATTAATTTTGTCCGTATTAAGGATGACTCAAGTTCGATTGCCAAACTAATGGCCTATACACTTTGTAATAGGCCCACTAAGGGAAGTTATTTGAGAACTCTAACCCTTCCGGGCCCTCACTATTTCCAGGATTTTGAGCTAGCTATAGATCGAGGTTACTCATCAAGATTCCGAGGATAAAAAGTTACTGCATGGTAATTGCCTACTCAGGAAGGGACGCCAATACATCAAGAGCCATGCCAACCGGGTGTTCTTGCAGCGGCAGAGGCTATACGGGAAATCTTAACTTTCAAAATATTGGGAAATGGTTACTCAAATGCATGATAGAATACAAGGGCTGCAAAATGAATTTGATTGACACTAAAGCAATTACAACGCTCGCGAGCCAGGCGCTAGGGTCTCATTTCGGCGTTGACTAAAGTATCCCAGCTTGTTTTGGAGTGGACCTCATCCTCAAGCAGCTTCTCACATCTCAGAAGGGCTGATTAAAAGCACGTGCAGTCGAATTTTGAATCTCGAGTCGTTACCACTGTGCGTTCTGTATTCCGCATTCATTTTCTAAAGGAAAGCATCCTATCGTGAGTAACTGTTCTTGATCAAATCCGCTGCCTAGCTTGAAGTCAGCCAATACGCAGTGCATAGTGTCTAGGACCTACCTTCTCAGCAATTCCATACAAAGTAGCTTGCAAGTGAGCAGCTGGAAGCATGGGTACGATGCTTGCATCCACAATCCTTAAGCCCTCTACGCCATATACCCTGAGTTCGGGATCAACTACCCCACCCAGTTCTTGCGGTAACATAGAAGCCGTCCCAGCATGATGATGTTCAGTATCCACACCGGCTCTCACAAACTCTTCAATTTGTTGATTTGTCGTCACTGAAGCTCCCGGATATGTTTCGATCACGTTGATTGTCTGCATGGCATTGGTTTTCCTGATCGCCCGCGCATATTCGAAACCTGCGACAAAAAGGGCAAGATCAAGGGGATTGCTCAGATAACGTGGGTCAATGACTGGACTATCGAAGGGAGAAGTACTTTTAATGGAGACAGTGCCGCGGCTGAAGGGTTGGTGCAGAGCTGGAATTATTGCTGTGTCAGCGAAGATGAATTCCAAATATGCCGTCGATGGTGATGTGATATCTTTTTCGAGAAGAGCGAATTGAGTTTCGTAACCTGCTCGCACTGTAGCTGGGGTATTTGATGACAGGTATTGCGACTTTGATTGAGCTACGGCAGCTGAGAGTAGTGCAGTCTTATTCGAGAATGTTCCGACCGGGAGGAAGGCGAAAAAGTTGCCTCCGAGAGTGGTGTACGGCCCTTCCTTTTTTGATTCGTACAATGCAAGCTGTTCTGAGGTCCATGTTTGATTGCTGAAGTTTCCGATGTTAGGTGTGATATTCACTATCACAACCGGATCAGCAACAGGTCCATCAAGCATCAAGAGTCACTTGCCTATCTGGCCAGTATACAGCAGTATATGGTCATGGTAATTCGATCCAACACCTGGAAGGTCAACGACTGTTTCAATTCCTAAGCTCGAAAGATGTATTTTGTCGCCGATGCCAGAGAGCTGGAGTAATTGGGGCGTGTGCAAAGTCCCAGCTGACAGAACGACTTCCTTCAAAACTTGGACAGTGCTCCTCGCAGCATTTTCTTCAGCTGAAAACTCTACGCCCTTGACCTTTCCGGAATCTATTATGATTCTTGTGACTCTGTTGCCAATCAAGAGATGCAAGTTGGGCCTGCTTGGGTCATAAAATCCCTGAGCAGTGGATCGAGTTTCATTCTTTGGATTTACCGACTGAGTGAACCAATATGCGCCGGCAGCATTTCCTCCCATCGCATCTTCGATGTTTGGTACATGCAGTTCTTTCATCGAATTAATGTAGTTTCCTTTTAATCTTTGTCAAATGTGTCACAACATCTAGAGCAAGGACTCACTTGTTGAGGGCCAAACAAAAGGCGCAAAGCTTGATTGCACATGTCCATGTTCACCATGGTAAGCGGGATCATACTCGATGTCCCAGCCTTCCTCTTCCACCTTCGAATCAGGAGGCGTGAAATTCTCGGCTTTCTTGAAATACGGCAACAAATTCTCGAAGTCCCATCCGGGATTCCCAAGGGCCACCCAACGGTCATAGTCTGCTTTAGACCCGCGGTTGAAGACCATTCCATTCAAAACCGTTCCACCACCGATGACCTTCCCCGCTGGGGTTTGAATTGAACGATTGCCAAGCTCTGGTTGAGGAATGCCGGTCATGTTCCAGTCATACTTCGTTCCTCTAGGCCCATTGCCCAAAGCGGGAACATTGGCACTTGACAAGAGGGGGATTGTGATCCAATCTTCATTCTCGGTGCTAAGTGGAATCAATTCTGATTGCTCTTGTAGATTAGTGCAATACATAACTTACAACCCGCCAGCTTCAATGATGAGAACTGTCGTTTCTTGAGTAGTCAGGCACTATTCGTCAAGTGTGTGTTGAAACACTTACCAGGATTCTCAGAAAGTCGATTTGCTACAACAAGCCCACTCAGCCCTCCTCCAACGACGACATAGTCATAACTTTGTTCAACCTCTGAAGCACGGTTCAAGATCCTCCCTGGGAAGGTTTGGTGGGCATTCACAAGACCCAGCAGGGTGAACAAACTGAAGAATATACTCTTCCCACTTGCCATGGTTTACTTAGTTGTTGATATCTCAAAAGTAAAGATGGATTCGTATAGTAGGCATTATATTTGCGGACATGCGGCGAGCTTATTAAGATACTTGGAGCTGCAGCAATCTGAGGTGGTACAGCAGCATCTCAGCTCCAGTACCCTCAGCAGGGTGGGCTCCGATAGGCTCGATAAACGGTTGATCTATTATTAAAAGCCTGATTTAGACTTGTCGGAAGCTGGGTTTTAGTTACGCGCGGTGGGCTGGTGTGGCAAAACACATACGTGACTGCGAAGAAGCGCAATTACATGACTTGCAAGATTAAAAAACTTAAAGAAAGCTAAGAGGGGGGGGTCTTCCCCCAAGATTAAAGACTCCTCTTGCCTTCTTCTACTTCCTCCTTTCCTTGGGGGGCTTTGGGGGCTTTCCTCCCAAAATAAACACTTTGCTCTTCAAACTAAGCCCTCATTTAAAAGAAAACTTTCTCTTGCGCATCTTTGTTCCCCGGGGGGTCTCTTAAAGTGGGAAAATCTGGGGGAGGGGGGACCTCTTAGTTCACAATATAATCTCTTAAAGTGGGAAAATCTGGCTTTTACTCTTTGCATTTGCACTTGCTTATGCGGCCCCTTGTAGTAAATTGCGGAGCTGAAAATTGGCTCACGTGCAACTGCACGAGCGGGGTTCGAATTGGGCTCCTTGGAAATCCTTGCACCATTGTCTAATTATAGCTGGGATAGCAGTAACTGTAGCCGAGGAATCGGAACAGGTCCCCGCTTGCTCTCGCCTGGGCTCACCCATGCTCACCCATACTCACTCGTTCTCACCTGAGGCCCACCCTCGCCTCCACTGCACTCACCTTAGCTCACCCAGTAATGCCGATAAAGCAGCCTTGCTCACCTTTCCGAACCGTTACAGAGTTTTTCCATATTAGGATTGACGTGTAATAACCATCTGTTCTGACACAACCAATGTTTAGTTCGTCCATTAAAAGGATTTTGCCTTCATCAGCGAATGAAGATTGAGCCCGTTTTGGTCCACTTACGTTCCAATAGGCGGGCTTTCGCAGCGGCTGTAATTGCAAATGTCCTTGAGTATCTTTTGACCAATTCAGTACCCACGAGGGCAGGCTACCCATGTTCTATCCAGCATTATTGACTTCTAACACGATATCAAGGAATCCCGATTCTAAATAACCTGCTTTGCAAAGTGGGTGTACACCGTCGCAACGTGTTCTGAGTAGTTGATCTCAACGGTCCGGATTTTCCTCCTCGCCAGCTATACCCAAGAGGCCGTATGTCAGGTCGCTTGGGTCGGAAGCTTCCTTCGACCAATGTTTGCACACGGTCTCGAACAATCCAAGGCATCCTTTCTGGAAATCTTCTCTGGTGGCGTCGATCAATAATGGACCCAAAGACTGTCGTTTTCCTCCAGGCCAAGCCATACAAAGACGTGATGCGCTACAGCAGGATTCTTCCGTTCACTCATTCGTCGTTACTGCCTGCATATAGGCACAGCTTCACAACAGTACTAGTTATTCTGGCCCTCAGAGTGCTCGTACTACTTCTTCACTGCTAGTTGGCGCGCCTGTCGCTGAGTTCTGCCCTTGTCTTTATCGCGCTGGTAACGCAGCCTGAACTTGAGCCTTTTGCGCTCGCGTTGTTGATTACCCTTGGCAGCATTCTTCTTTCGTAAGTAGACGTTTCTCTGCGCTCTCTCCTTTGCCTTCTGCTCTTCGGTTGCCTTTGCTCTCCTTTTGTCCAAGCCGCAACCGTCTTTTTGTTAATCGCCTGTCACGGCCTGGACAAGCTGTGGAAGTGGAATGTGGTGTGTTTGTGTAAATATATGTATGAATAAATGGTGCCCTAAAGGCGGTGAAGAAGCTATATATATGCCTGTGCGCAGCACGTGACATCGCCTGCCTCTGCTCCTTGGTTAGAGACGCTCTCTTCTCACGCTTCCGCTTTCTGATCAGCGCCTTGAAACCTGGGGTCCAGGTGGCTCGATACTGTCTTTCCTTCGCTCGACGGGCCTCAATTTGATCTTCTGTTGCTGCTGGAAACCCAACGGCGTGTCTCTCCTCGGTGCCACAAGTAGCACGCCGCTTTAGGGACGAACGTCGGCCTTTGCACCGATCCATCCTCATATCTTCGTCTTCAATCCCGATACTTGGGATCCAGAACTCGCGCCAAGATCGAGGCGGGGGATCTTTACTCGCAACCCAGTAATCTTGAAGAGCCTGGAGCGCCTGTCCTTCTCGTTTGAGCCAATTCTCTTCCTTTACCCATCCTCCATCATGAAGCGGCCATTGTAGATTTCCTCCCTTGTAATACGTGAAAAGGGGGCAGTTGCTTAAGGCTTCTCCTGGACGTGTGTCGAAGAGTCCTATGAAAACACTCTCGCACACTAAAAGCGCGCCTTCCGTATTGTGCGCTCCTCGAGGCATTTTGATGCTAGCGGTAGGTACAGGGACATCAGAAGCTTGAAATTAGTGCGCGAGCCTTCGACTGCTACCTCCTTTGCCATAATACCGTGCGACTCGCGGCCCAACAGAATTTTCTTTCCTTCCAGCAACTTGTTGAACCGATATAGACAAAATTGTCGTTCCGATTCCGAGTGATGATCATGTACACGGTTCCATAGTTCTCTTTCTCGATAGACGGTAGCGACATCAATGTGTCGATCTTGAGGGAACTTTACTTGTATTTCCATATGTGCTAACAACAAGATCCACGAGAGGGAAGGAGAACTCCCCACTTTCGAGCTTCCCATAAACGCTTTCTACAGGGTGCTTGTTGAGAAATGCGCGCATCCCTCCAGATAACGAGAGATTCTCGACTAAACGGCTGGCTTGTTGAATCCATAGTTGCCTAAACCTTGCACGATGCCTGCTGGCAAAAACAGATAGAGACATCCTCAAATGAAATAGAGGGGTAATGCAAAGCTTTGTGTGCTCCCGTATTGCGCACAGCAGCAATGCTGTACACGGGTCAAGAATATCAAAATGTGAGACGAGTTCCACGGTTCATTTGGTCACCAGTGACTCCTGATCAGTCGATTATTCAGCAAAGAGAAAGCTTGCTAGCGCTGAATTCCTGCATGCGCTATCCTTGATTAGGCTAAAAGAAAGGTTGGAGCACGTGAGCGAAATCCGCCCTGACTCGGCTGAAATTCCCGCACAGGAAATTAAAAAGTTTCAGTCAGCCTTTGACCCAGGATTTATCGAGCTCCCGACACACTTCTAATATTCCAAGTTCCCAGAATGGCACAATTGCCAGATCCCACTATAGATCTCGACTGGTCCGGGTATGTCGGTTCGATTCAATGGCACTTCGGCGAGGTCGCAAAGCAGCATCCCGATCGACTCTGTGTGACGGAGACGAAGTCGTCAGAAGCTCCGGAGAGAACATTTACCTACAAGCAGATCTACGAAGCATCCAATGTTTTGGCGCACTATCTCCACGATGCAGGCGTCGGCAGTGGAGACGTTGTTATGATTTGGGCGCATCGCTCAGTGGACTTGGTTGTCGGTATGATGGGCGTATTGGTATGTTTGCCCTTTATAATCTCTATCCTTCTACCCCTGCCGATTGATGTGCTAACTTTCTCTCCACTAGGCTTCTTCGGCGACACTGAGTATTCTCGACCCAGCCTATCCACCAGCGAGACAGAAGATCTATCTTGAGGTCGCCCAGCCCCGTGCTCTCGTCAATATTGCAAGGGCAATGGATGAAGCAGGACCTCTGGCCCCACTTGTGCGAAAGTATATTGACGAAGAGCTAGAACTCAAGGCTGAAGTTCCTTCGTTACGGATTGGTGATAACGGTATCCTGTCCGGAGAGCAATTTGGCAGTAAAGATATCTTTGCCCAGGCCAGAACGAAGGCTTCTTCACCGCCCAATACACAAGTTGGCCCCGATAGTGCGCCTACACTCTCATTTACTTCCGGCAGCGAAGGAAGGCCCAAAGGTGTGCTAGGTCGCCATTTCAGTATAACCAAGTACATTAGCTGGATGGCGGAGAGGTTCCAGCTCAATTCAAAGAGCCGATTTACTCTTTTGTCCGGTATTGCGCATGATCCGGTCCAACGAGATATCTTTACACCTCTTTTTCTGGGAGCGCAATTGCTAGTTCCTTCGAAGGAAGACATTCAGCATGAGAAGCTTGCAGAATGGATGCGTGAGCATAAACCGACGGTTACACATCTAACGCCTGCCATGGGTCAGATTCTTGTCGGTGGAGCAACAGCGGAATTTCCATCTCTGGAGATGGCTTTCTTTGTCGGTGATGTTCTCACAAGCAGAGATTGCAGGGCTTTGCGGGATCTCGCGGTCAATGCTAATATAGTCAACATGTATGGCACGACGGAAACGCAGCGAGCAGTGAGCTTCTTTGAAATACCGAGCCGCGCGAAGAATCCCAACTTCTTGGATAAGTTGAAAGATACTATCCCAGCTGGGAAAGGGATGAAGAATGTACAGCTTCTTATTGTGAATCGGGAAGATCGAACCCAGCTATGTACGGTTGGAGAACTTGGAGAGATTTACGTCCGTGCCGCAGGTCTTGCCGAGGGTTACAAGGGAGATGATAAATTGAACGAGCAGAAATTCCTTATGAATTGGTTCGTGGACAATAAGGCCTGGGTGGAAGCCGACAACAAGAACAATAGGGATGAACCGTGGAGAAAGTACTATAAGGGACCACGAGATAGGCTTTATCGGACAGGTGACCTAGGCAGGTACCTAGAGTCTGGTGACGTGGAGTGCACAGGACGCGTGGACGACCAAGTCAAGATTCGTGGCTTCCGAATCGAGCTTGATGATATCGACAGCAACTTACGCCAGAACCCTTTGATCAGAGACTGCAAGACACTCGTTCGGAGAGACAGAAACGAGGAACCGAAACTCGTCAGCTACATTGTTCCAGAGATGAAAAGATGGCCCCAGTGGCTCAAAGATCGGGGCCTGGAGGATGTCGCAGATGAAGGAACGGACATTGGTCCCACAAAGGTCTATTTCAAGAGGTTCAGGCGGATGCAGACAGAGGCACGGGACCACCTGAAATTCCGTTTACCTACCTATGCAGTGCCGACCATTTTCATTGCTCTCAACAAGCTACCGCTTAATCCGAATGGCAAGATTGACAAGCCAAATCTCCCCTTTCCAGATATCGTGGAACAGACAGAAGAGACATCAGACGAGGACTTAAAGAGATGGGAGTCACTGACAGACACCGAGCGAACAGTTGCAACCAAATGGGCCGGTTTCATACCCGGGCTTAACGCAAAGACTATCACACCACGGAATGATTTCTTCGATCTTGGCGGACACAGTCTCTTGGCCCAGCAGATGCTACTAGATATACGCAGAGAGTTTGGAGCAAATGTATCCATAAACACACTCTACGAGAATCCAAGTCTAGCTGGTTTCAGTGCGCGGATTGACAGGCTACTTGGACTAACAAATGGAGTCAACGAGGATGGTGGTGCAGTAAAGGAGGATCCTTTATACTCTCAATCCCTGGACGAGCTTCTCAAACGGCTACCGACCATCTATCGAACAGCGGACCCAGCGGCGATTCGTGTATCAGCTAAGCCGACGATATTTCTCACCGGAGCGACTGGATTCTTGGGCGCCTATATTATCAAAGATATACTGGATCGAACTGGCCATGCCATTAGACTTATTGCTCATGTGCGAAGCGCTAGGGATTCAAAGGCTGCTCTCGATCGACTACGGCGTTCACTAGTCGGGTACGGCCTATGGCAAGACGAGTGGTTGACGCGATTGAGCTGCGTTGTTGGTGATCTATCCAAGCCACATCTTGGCATTGAGCATCACATCTGGCAGACTTTATCTCAAGAAGTTGACGTGGTGATTCACAATGGTGCTACAGTCCACTGGGTCAAGACATATCAGGATATGATGGCCTCAAATGTCGTCTCCACCATTGACGCTATGGAGCTCTGCAACGAAGGAAAGCCCAAGCTCTTTGCATTCATCAGTTCTACAAGTGTACTCGATACTGACCACTACGTGAAACTCTCAGAGCGACAAATCAGTACTGGCCAAAACGCCATTTCTGAAGAGGATGACATGCTAGGCAGTCGAACTGGTCTTACCACAGGCTACGGCCAAACGAAATGGGTGTCTGAGAAGCTTGTTCGTGCTGCTGGAAAGAGAGGTCTTCTGGGCTCTGTGATTCGACCTGGGTATATTCTAGGCGACTCAGACACGGGTGTCTGCAATACCGATGATTTCTTGATCCGTATGCTGAAAGGCTGCATTCAACTGTCGGCCCGGCCACGCATCATAAACACCGTCAACTCTGTTCCGGTTAATCATGTTGCTCGTGTGGTCGTAGGTGCTGCTCTCAATCCTCTTCCAGGTGGCGTACACGTCGTCCACGTCACTGGCCACCCGCGCTTACGCATGAATGAGTATCTGTCGCTTCTCGAGTACTACGGTTACAATGTTCCAGAGGTTAGTTACGACTCTTGGAAGGACCAACTGGAAAGACACGTCTCAGCAGGTGGCCAAGAGAAAGATCAAGAACAACACGCGCTAATGCCACTCTATCACTTCTGCGTCACCGACCTGCCAGCTACGACTCGAGCTCCAGAGCTTGATGATAGGAATGCTGTCAAGATTCTGAAAGCAGACGCCGAGAACTGGACAGGGATCGACGAGAGTGCGGGCTACGGTATCAGTAGAGAGAATGTGGGCAGATATTTAAGATACCTGACCGAGATCAAGTTCGTGAGCTTGCCCTCAGGCAAAGGAAGGCCGATCCCCGGGGGCAAAATGAGTGCAATGCAGATGCAGGCACTTGGAGCTCTGGGTGGTCGAGGCGGCGCAACGACATAGAGTAGAATAAATCTCGTGAGCGCCATGCAAATCTAACTAACCTCCTAGAACGTCCATCACTCGCCATCAGCCAAGCGGCCGTGAGGGCAGATTACGGTTGCAGTTTATGACGGAGCTTAGCTCGCCTCTCTGTATCATAATAGGAATCTAGACAATGCCTACTAGCTGTCGTAACCCGTTCAGGGCGACTGTAATTTGTTACCTGATTATATTTCTTGATTGAATTGCCCTTCCAGTCCCAACCCAGCTTCACGACATGATACCTGCATCGGGACAATATAGAAGTTGCTTTAGATTTAGGAGGCGTGAATACTATTTTAATTAGGTGGAGCCTATATTGATTACCTGGTGTCTTTAGTGGTTTCTGTAATCGCTCGCCAGTAGTTAACATTCTGAAAAGCACAACTAGGGTAGACGTGGATGAGTAGGAGGTAAGGATGGATGAGCGCGAGGTGAGGGGGAAAGTAAGAGACGGAGAGGAGGGGGGAAGTAAAGAGGCCACACGTCAAGTACGCTACGGCTTGCAGGGCCCGCAAAAGGGGATTAAGATTCATGTAAGATAACCGGATATACAACAAATAATCCGAAATGAGTAGCCGATATTTCGATATTAATCATGCTATTCTACTACCAGAATCTTGACAGTTAGACTCACATGATATACACAGCCTTTATTCAAGTCGGCCCAGCTTTGGCTCCGGCCTTCCCACCTTTCCTTACACATTACTACTAGGGCGCAGGGAGAACGGGTGCGTGAATGCAGTCGATTTAGGATTAGTAGTGTCGATTTAGCTACCCCCTAAAGCATAGAATGAAACCCCTTAGAAAACAGATGTCAAAACCTCAAGTTTCCAAGGGGTTTTATTTGGTATCAATCGACTTATAAGCAAATTGCATCGACACCGACGAGCGAAGCCCACAAGTCGCAAGTATTTTCCTCTGGCATTTCAATAGCGGTTCGCTTCAACTCTTTTGATTCATTAATATTAAGACATCGTATTCGATCTTTATCTTTATCTCCCTACAAATTCACTATCGCCCCGACAATATTCCTCTTCACTCTTGATATATCACACAGAAGAGCTGGATTAGAAGCTAGAGTCTAAAAGATAGCAAATTTGCTAAAGAGTGCGCGATGCATTCCTTGCAAGTGGACGTGTTTATCAAGGAAATTGGGTATTGTAATTTATATTGCATATTTTGAGCATGACTCCCAAATATCCAATTTGAATTTCACCTCATTGCGACTCTATGACTGTTGCTGCTATCTAAAACGGAAGGCCTTCTTCAAGGGAACCAAAATGCATCCACATATCATCCCAGGCGACAAGATTCTCCCACATGCCCGCACTATACTTTTCAAGAAGCCTGAAAGCTGCACGATGGCGATTTTCTAGCGCTAACTCCCGCGCCCTGTTATATTGCCCGATGCCGGTTCCGGTAATCTGTGCACCGGCACTCAGAAGAAGTTGCAGCATGTCGATACGGCCATGCTCCGCTGCACCTTCAAGCGCAGTTCTACCGCCAATTCTTGCTGACGGAGCATTAACGTCTGCTCCTCGTTGTATAAGGAGCTGCGCTATTCCGATATATCCACCTATAGCAGCGAATTGAAGTGCAGTTGCGCCGTAACGGCCGAACGGCGGCATGTTGATGTCGGCACCACTGTCCAAGAGTATATTCACGATATCTAACCTCCCTTTCTTGACTGCAAGTTGTAAAGGAGTATGCTTAACGCCGAATCTAAGGTTGGAGTTTGCATCAGCTCCAGCTGCCATTAGTAGCTTTACTAGCCCCAAGTTACCCTCATGTATAGCCGCTAAGAGTGCTGTGTGAGGATCACTTGCAACGATGCTATTAGGATCTGCGCCACATTGCAAGAGTAATCTCACAATCCCTGAGTCTTCACTCTTGTCTGATATGATTGCGAACCCCAGGGCAGACTGCCCTGTTTCGAGGTATGGACCTTCTGAGGTTTTGGGGGAAGGATACTTCGACCCTACATGGTCCCCCACCTTTCTGTTGAAAATTGCGTTTGCGTCTATCCCTTTTGCAAGCAAATGTTTGATCATTGCAGCATCCCTCAATTTGATGGCATGTTGCAGAGCACCACACCCGTAGCCTCTTGAGTATCGTTTGCACCGATGCAAACGCGCTTCAAGAAGTGTTTGCACCAACTCGACGCTACCAGTGATCCCAGCAGCGAGCGACCCTTCGTCTGAATCGGCACCAAGCTCAAGAAGATATCGGACCATCGGTAGGTCATTATTCCGAGATGCAGCCAGGAGTGCTGTTTGTCCAGATAATACAGCTTCAGATGCATTGACATTAGCCCCGGCATCGATCAGCAATTTGATAGCCTCCTTGTTTTTCTTCTCCACAGCAACGAAGAGTGCGGTTCTGTTACCATTTTGCTCTAGAGCGTCGACCTCAGCCCCTGCATTGATAATGTCTTGAATTAGCGGATAATATCCCCAGTCGACTACCGCAGGCAAAACAGTTGTTATAGGCCTAGTTGCAAAATAGTTTCCATCTCCAAAATTATATATTCCAGATCGGTCGTTCACTGCGGCACCGGCAACCAAAAGCTGCTTTGCCAGGTTCGAATCTTTCTTGATTATTGCTTCTAAAAGTGGACTCTCGTCTAGATCGCGGTGTGTGCTATTGACATCTGCGCCTGCCCCGAGAAGCAGTTGCACAATATCATTCCGATGATTATTTATAGCAGTCCATAGCCCACTATCGAGTGATTCAAGAGACAGGGATCGGTATCCCGATTTTTCGTCTAGAAGGAAGCGAAGAACAGGAGTATTCCCTGCTTTGATTACTTGCCGAATGGCAACCTTGAGCTTATAGTTTTGGACGAGTTGGGCTCCAGATGCACGTAACTCCTGAATCAGAGCCATTTCCCCGCACTCGATGCTCTTAGTCAAGGCAGCAGTTTTGCACCTTTCTTTAATTCTCTTGTCTGTGTTCTCTAGGAGGAAAAACACCATCGTAGAATTGTCCCCAACCGCACATTCAATGGCTGACTCTGTGACTTGGCCTCCGGAATTAAGCAACAGTTTCACGACATTAATATCGCAACAACGTACAGCTTCAACGAATGACTGTTCATCGACCCGAGCTCCATTGCCCAAAAGCAATTGAATTAATTCAATGCTTTCCCTACGCATTGCGGCTCCCAATGGTGTTTCAACTTCCCCGTAGATTGTGGGCCTTGTGGCTACTCCATTTGGATCTGCTCCAGCCAGGAGCAAAATATGAACCACGCTGATGACGTCTCGGTTTGGGATATCACTTCCGCACTTTATAGCTGTTATGAGCGGAGCTGAAGTGGGACCACCATCGCGTACAACGATATTCACATCGGCGCCCGCAGAAACAAGAAGGGCGACAACTTCAACGTGTCCCCACTCAGCGGCACTGACAAGAGGAGATATCCTTAAGCTAGGGTTGATGACAGCACCAGCATTAAGCAGGATTTGCACAAGCTCGGGGTCTACAAGTGCCTTGAGTTTGTTATCTTCGTCTCTGCACTTCAGGGCAAACAATAGTACCAATTCGGCATCTCCGTTTCCCACTGAGTGATTAACCTTCGCTCCTCCACCTATTAATGCCTTGACTAGCTTCAGGCTTTGCATGCCACACGCATGAAGAAGTGGCGTAAAAGTGCCCCGCTCAGTACGGCACACTTGTTCGTTAGGATTGATACCCAACTTCATCATTTTGTTGATGGTGCGAACATCCTCAGCGTCGAGAGCAAGCCGAAACAGATGCTCGGCGAGGGCCTCGACTGTAGGTCCACCAATTGACAAAATATATTCCATCAGGCCGGCGTTCAAGTGGTGTTTTACCCATTGATAGACTTTCGTACTGACATCTGTAGTCGGCCCGAAGACGTTATTTGAGGCCAGGTACATGGATAGCTTTAGAAAGTGCAGGTCTGAAGACGATTGTCGGTGCGATATTGCCATATCTACGGCTGTCGGGCTGCTGAAAAAGATATTCTCAGGCAAGAGAGCTTTGGAAATATTACTTAAAGGTCCCGTCACCTTCCTACCATCCATATCTGTCAACTCTCCGAGGACGCTGAATTGACATTCCTGAGAGAGAGCTACTGAATTAGACCCGTCGTTCTCGGTGATGAATGAGAAGGGATTCCCTTTAGAACGAATGTCAGCAGGGCTCTTACGTCTGTGGTTAAGATCCATCACACTAAAACTGTAATGTCGGACAGAAGAAATATTCCTTTGTGAATCTAGCATCAAGGAACTCACGTACCTGCGTGGCTGAATCTAGAAATAAATTGATGGAAAGGAAGGCAATCCATTAATACCGGGTTGATATTTATTGGTCGGTGAACGTTGAGTATTGACATGGATGTGGTGAACTTTGGTGATGGCGTACGAATAATGAAGCCTTCAGGAGTTGGCGGCGATGGGTCTGTTTCTTGTCGTGAGAAGCCAAAATTGACACATGCGTGGAGTTACCTACCTGGCGGATGAATTTGAACTGAGGTAGACATGGACCCATAGCGCAGAGTCTCTTTCCTGAGTTTTTTTGGATTGATCGGTTTTCCATTCAGGACTATCTCACTCTCCTTATGCTTATTTTTCCTTTCTGCTAATTTGCGAGCTACTATCTTCCATTCGCCTGCGGTGCGATTCTTTCGAAAGTGCCACTTCTTAAACTGAAGCTCATATTGTGATTTACTTCTCAGATTTAGCGTCGATGCCGAGGATTACAAAACAACCATGAACACTTACGTTGCGTTGAATTGATGCTTGGTTGCCATTTCGTGCATGACCTCCGTGAGACTCAAATCCTGCTCCAGATATAATGTGCGAAGTGTGCCCTCGAACGTGCCCCAGACAATCTCAGCCGCCTGGTCCATTGTAGATGAGAGGGGCGTGATATAATGATATGGAGAAGAGATGAATCGTGATGGTTTCTGCACTTAAGGAATATTCGGCGCCCCAAGGTCTGAGGCTGCGTACTGACAGTTCGGGCGTGCAAGGCCAATTCGAGGTGTCTCACGTGATTCCAGCCTGGACTGGGTAGAGTTATATCGTGCACTGTAGAGCGCTTGGGAAGATACAAAGCAAGCCGACTGATGGCAGAGAAAGGTGCGATCTAAGTCAAAATCGACGAGCGTGGATTGAAAATGAAGGAGGAAGGGGCGAGTCGAGCCTCGCGCGGGCAAGACCAGATTTTGGATTCAACCTGCCCAAGGGGGGGGCGCAGCCGCGGGATTGATTGGCGACATCCATGGTCCTCAATTGGTCAGATCTAAAGCTTGTGGTGGAATCCAAAATCTGGTGAGCCACAGGCCGCACCATGCGGCGCCAGCCTATTCAATCCCCTGTTTCAGAGCTGGTTGGATTGTCCAGAATCTGATCCAACCTCAAGCCAACCACACCGAGTAATCAGAGATGGCACTCAAAAGGTGCAGATTGCGGCGGAAGATATTTGAAACGGCTGTGAACGCTGCCCAATACTGGCGGAAGAGCAGGTGGACGGCCCGAACGGAAGTTGGACCATCAAGATTGTCACATGATTCTTCCTCTCTGAATTGCACACCGGCTGAGGCTTCTAGGGATCCGCTCCTTTTTCTCATCCATTAGTTTACAGAAAATAGACATTGTAAGATTCTACGCTGAACCGTCCCACCTTTCCTTAGCCTCTCCCTCTACTCCTGTTTGGTCAGATTTTGGATCGTCCCGGCACAGCTGCCTGGTAAGCTTGTGCCTTGAAGGGTAGGAACTATTCAAGTGTCAGAGGCTCACTTCAAATTTGAAATAGAGTCTTTCTTTCCTCCTATTGTGTGTCATTTGGTTGGTGGCAGAAACAATCGCCTTAAAAATTAAAATGGTGTGTGATTTGTAATTCTTACTGGTTAAGTGTGGGCGGTAGAGAAGAGGTTTTATTGCCCTATTGTGTGTCATTTGGTTGGTTGCAGAAACAATCGCCTTAAAAATTAAAATGGTGTGTGATTTGTAATTCTTACTGGTTGAGTGCGGGTGGTAGAGAAGAGGTTTTATTGGTCCTCAGAAATCGAGTTGGATGCATATGCACCTCTTTTGGCAAGCCTGCAGAAGGCAGAGGTGTGATAACAAATGGGATGGGTAATAGCCGTGTGGCTATCCTTTTGGATCAATGGATGTAGTGACCCGAGATGGTTTGAATCATTCTTTGCTGCGGGCTCTCTTCTCAAGCTTAGCCTCTGGACAGAATCTGGTGAGGATAGGATTCTGATGCGGGTATGATTTTGGTTCGGGGCGTAATTCTGAGCCTGGCCATTTTTGGTCCGAAGACAAGTATTTAGAGTAGTTGAGCCCAGCCCTCCTCTTCCCTTCTTTTCTCTCATGTTTCACCCTAAATTTTCTTGAGTCCTGAACTCAGAGTTTTTGATCACGTGCTTATACTTTACGACTTTTGTCTCAAGCATATCTCATCATGACCCACAACCAAACTTTCTCCACGCAAGAAACACGTGGACCTAACTTCGCGTATGTGGATGGCTATAAGCATTGTTCGCCGTTTCTTCAATCGATCTGCCGCTTATCCCTTTTTCGTTCTTCGCGAGCAGAGCATAAGCAAGTCCCCAGTTCGCATAATTACAAGCTAATAACTTTCTATTGGCAGATCCTGTAGTACAAAAGACGAGCACGAAGTATCCTCAAATCCAAAACTCGATGCCAAAGCGCTGTTGACCCAGCGGCTCGAAGACTTCTTCGCAAACGAGAATCTCAAATCCAGTTCGCCTGCTTCCTGGGGACAAACAAGCATCTCGTCAGCGACAAAGAACATGCAGGCACAGCTCCAGGCTTTTGACCAAGCTTTTGATAGGAAGGGCAAACCTGTGCCCTACAATAAGCAGGAATATGTCGAGAATTCAGGGAAACGATGAGACTGGTTCTTCGCTGGTGAGTCAAGGGCGAGATCGAGGCTTACATCAAAGTTTTCCAAACTGATGTTATCGTTTCAAGGAAGATTGCAAAGGCACACGGATGGTGACAAGTTCAGACCACTAAGGGCATTGGGAAGAGGTGGGGTAGTTGAGGCTGTTCTTGAAGGTGGATAAGGATATAGTTTATCAAAGTCTTCAATTTTAACACTTATAAAACGGAAGCTGTGATTCGGAGAGATTGTTAACACTTCCGGCTCTTCTTTTTGCAAGTTTGAACTTCTCTCCCAATTTATTCAAACATATTGTCGTATTAGAATATATCTTAACTTCTCCACGCAGGTCTATGTCGGCAAGCTGGTGAAGTGAGCAGAATAGGCTCTGTACAAATGCGGCTAGGAAATTATAGCAACGACGCAGAGCACTGAGATCCAGAGGACAAATAGGCAGAAATGAACCATGTACCAGGTCAACCAATCGACTGGGTAAAAACACACTTCACGCAACAACAGAGAGATTTCTAGAACTGTGATATTTTCTAGAACAAAAGCGTGATGCTTGTACTATCCCCCCCCTTGAATACTTACAGTGGGTCCTTTAGTAACGCCACCCTGAAACCTCGTTTATAACCCCTAACTAGGAAATATCAGGTGCTCTCCAGAATCGCTATTGGCCATACACCCTTGAGTTGGTCAGTGCAGGAGTGGTGTTATCCCAGGACCCACTGTAAGTATTCAAGGGGGGGGATAGTAGAAGCTTGGGAGCAAGGCACGCAAGGCTAAATACTCCTTAGCGCGATAATTAAGCGAAATGCTTGCCGAGGCTTAAGCTAATTTTCCCCTTCACAGCACAGCACTAAAATAGGGCTCGAATTATGGGGGCGTGCTTACTGAGACGGCTCTCCCAGGGGTGTCGATTGGGGCAGGGGTGTTGATAAACTTATAATTGGATACCTAAGCTCTTTAAAAATCTGAAGTTATATTTTTTAATATAAGCATAAGCTAGCATATTATAACCTTAGTATTATAATAACGTGCTTCCTAACTTATAATAAAAAGATCCCTTAAAAAAGAATTTTAATTTAAGGGAGTTTATATACTAATTAATTAGGTTCCAGTTTTTGAACCCTATAAGGCCCTATAAATTAGGGGCTCATAGGGCTCTTACATTTGGTTTTAGGGAGTTATTCGCTAAATTTCTAGGCTTTTTTAAGCTTACCTTTAGGCTATAAAATACGAAAGTTTTAACTTCTTTAATTTAAAAAGCTATTACTAATCCAAATTTTATAAAAAGTTCATATTTAAATAGCGCTTAATTAGCGCTATAATGAAATAAAACATGTATTAAATTATATTAATTCCTTATAAAATTGAATTAAATTAAAGAAAAAGCCAGAGTTTTGGTGTTCCTGTCCGAGCGCCTCTACTTTAGGTTAGTCCTGCCCCTAATCGACACCCAAGGGGGTGGGGGGGGCGTCGTTTTACATTTTCCCCAATCCACTGTTCCTTTATTCTCCAACCACTTCCCCAGTCGTTCATATTTCAAACCATTACCACAATGCCGCCAAACCTCCTCCATTTCCTCCTACCACTAACCCCCTACCCCCTCCTCGCCTGCGCCGCCCCACTCAACCCTATTCTCCAACCACGCATCCCCATCACAACGTCCCCCTTAGACCCCTCAACCGACGAATGGTCCTCCACCCTCTCTTCCATCTCCCCCCTAATCCTCCTAATCGGCGAACGCACCACCAAGCAGGTCCTCCGCAACATCCGTTCCCCCTCGCAAGCCTTTTCTCTCGCTTCCGCTCCTCTCGGCTTATTATCTATCGTCACGTGCCTGATACGTTTCTGCGGGGTTAAAGAACTAAGATCTTGGATCGGATATGAACTTGAGGCCAGGAATGTGGTGGGGTTGGAGGTGTGTAGGGTTAATTGTGGGGGCGTGAGCGCGCATTTGAGTGGTGGGTGGGTTGTTAGGACGGCGGGAGGAGAGCCGGTGACTAGGTTGGTGGGAGTTGCAATTTTAGAGGGGAGGGAGAGAGGGGTGGAGCGAAGTGCGTTGGAGAGGGTTAGAGCTTGTGAGGCGTTTGAGGGGGAGAGGTGTAGGAGGGGTGTTCCGGATGGAGTTGTGGGTGTGGAGTGGGTGATGCATATCACGAGTAAGGAGGTGGGAAGGGAGACCGTAGAAGCTGTTTTGAAGACTGTAGCCGAGGCCGTTGGAGTTTCCGATGAGGCATTTGAGTTTCGACAGGCTTTGAAGGCTGCGTTCCTCTACGAAGTGGAGAAGGAAGAGATGGCCGCCGTAACCAACTTTTCAAGCCCGATTGAGGATACGATCCAAGCTCTGCACCAAAGAAGCGAATGGACTCTAGTTCCCAAAGGCAATCCCAAAAAGGGCAGTCAAAGGGATTCCGTCGAAATTTCGGTCCTTGAGGTGGCGCCTACTATCTCTAAGGAAGACGAAAAGATCGCCGCGCCATTCTGGAACTTCACCTTCATGAGCACCTTCGATGCGGTCTCTGAATTCACGACAAGCACTCCCGTCTCAAGCAGATCTTCAATCACAATTGGTTTACTCTCCCTGGTGGGTATTCTAACAATACATGTTGTGGAGCTTTGGAGCCTTTCCTGGACAATATCAACTGGCTGGATTCTCGTGATGATTGGGTACATTGGCATCGTCTTCAGTGTCACTTGTGCAGCCATCCTCATTCATCGCTCATGTGTGTGCATCAAACTTGATACTGGCAAACCGCAGACCCCTACTCGCTGGAATGAAGGGATGGTCGTCTCAGTCAAGAATACAGACTCAATGGACACCACTGGCAGCAATTTTGTCTCGAGCTCCTCGCACCATCAAAATCTCGAAGCTGTGTGGATCAAACCATCCACCCAACATGAACGGATTGTTGCATCTGGTGTCGCCGTAATTCTTGTGCTGGCTTTCATCAGTCACTACTTAGGTCTTCGAGCCATGAAATGGTGGGCAAGCGTTGGTGAGCTCGGCATTTGCTTGTTAGCTTCTTTCGCAAGGTCAGTTTCAAATAACCGGCAAAGTAGGTTCAAGGTTATGGAAGGAGTCAAAGTCGATAAACGATGCATGTCAACCGGAGTGATTCGCACACAGACTTCAAGGCTAGTCACTAATCAGCCGAGAGAGACGAGTCGCATACTTGACACGAGAGCATACTCGCCACGAAGCTACAGCCAGCCTCCAACCACTGGGGAAAGGGTGGCCTTCCAAACAGCAAAGCTCATGCTCAAGGACTCTCAACTCCGCGGACATCTCAAAAAGCTCACAGGAATGTCCTTGAATATTTCCCACTCGGGACAAAGCCCTACTCAACGCGCCATTCTGGCCTCCTTCTCTGGCGGCATCCTCTTATCTGAAGGCATCGGCTTCCCCAACGCGTACCTTTGCATCGCATTTCAAGCCTCGCCTTCAGATCTTGCATCCCCGACAGCTCTGCTTGCTCGAGCAATCATGCGACAGCCTGAATGGGTGCTTACGCACTCAGAATTCGGAAAAGGCATTCCACTTGGAAATGTGTATATCTTCAGTATTCAATCAATGATGGATTGGTGGACGTTGAGTGAGGATCGGAATGATATGGGTGATATTCAGAAAAATCTGCACTGGCCGATGTTTTTGGTTAATGTTGCTTTCTTTCTGGAAGTGTTGGAAATGGATGATGTGGAAATGATTGGCAAGGTGGAGGAGGCGAGTGGGGAGGATGAGAGTGAGAGAAAGACTGCTGAGGGTGTTGTTGAGTTTCTGAACACAGCTTTTGAGGCGATATAGCTGTCCTTCCCGACATTCTCTCCTCGCCAACACCGCTCGCCGACTCCTCCGCTCTCTCTTTCAATCTCCAAGAACGCCGAAACTCCGGTTGCTACTGCGGCTCCCGCACATCCTCTGGCCTCTCGATCTCCGGAGATTGTGTCAGAAACGAATTATATAACTGTACGGAGCAATTCAGCATGAGGAGGTGGCGATGAGTTGTTTGGTTTGTGATCGCAGTGCCAGGATGGTTATGATTCTTGTTTATTGCGATTACCGGGGCTGGGGCCTATTGGGCTGGGGAGATAGGTGGAATTATGAGGGCGATGATAAAGTTGGGTGATGATACAGAAGAACCAAAGCGCCATATACGATCGAATATATGACCATCTAGAAGGAGATCTATCTTGCAATCTATTTTGAATTACATTATCCAGCTGAGCATTTTGATCCAGACCAAAGCTATACTGAAGTCTTTCTCAGCCACGCCTCGCTCTATGTCCCAGGCTATCTCCGACTCCTTGATTCGCTAAAAGCTTTGGCGTTGTTCAAGCTTCATAACGTAATGCTAAAGATATTATCGGTCTTGCGAAGTGTGCATATTTTGAGGAAGGTGCTGGCGGAGGGCTGGATGTATCATGTGGAGACCAAGTCATGGACCTTGCGGCTCAATGTTTTCCATCTTCTTACTTTAGATTGTAATGCTTTTCTGTAATAAAATAAATAAATAGAGAACACTTAATGCTTGGAGTATCTCCCGTTACCCACGTTCTATATCCAGAGGCAACCAAACCGATTCCAGTACATTTGGCTCCTCGGAACCGTTCAAAACATCATATCGCCTCTCCTATGTGCAAAGGTGCAACTCTGTTGGTATGTATAATGTTATATTTGTTTACCTTCTACTGTTGAAACTAACTGTTAAGTCTGTTAACATAAAGGTCTAACCAAACCCATGAAGTAGGCATTGAAATATAAATCCGTTGTCGCGGAAGTCGCGGCTTTGAGAGGCGGCCCAACTGTGCCTTGCAAAGAACTCTCCTGGAAAGTAGTTAGTTTGTCATTGCGTAGATCTAATATTTTAAGCAGAGGGACAAGAGCATACGATTATCATCATCTAGTAGCTTCATTCTCATCTCACTCCCCAACTTCGCCAAAGCAGTGCCTTCCACATCCTCACCGCTAACTGTCTGCAAGAAATACACCATCGTCGCTCCCCTCAATAAATGGCCTAATTCGGAGGTGAGGGATTCGACCAAATGCAGGCATCGTTGGAACTGCTCTTCGACTCCCTCGAATGCAGTCAGGTACTTCTCATAAGCATCCATCATCAAAGCCAATGAAATATACGCAATGAACAGCCTCTCTGTCTCGCTGACACTGTGATTCTGACCGAAAATTAGGGTTTGCAGATCGGCAAGGAGGTCGTGTTCAATTTCCCGGGCTCTCTCTAGGCAGAGAAGTGAGAGCTGGCAGCTTATTGCCGCGGGGCAAGTTGATATGCCATCGTAATGGTCGTCTGCAAAGTTGAGATATCTGGAGGCGGTAGAGCGTTTTGGAGATTCACCGCTGTGTGGTCGGTTGTGTCGTTGGGAATTGTGATGGTTAAGGGGTTTGGAAGAAGGCGATGCCGACTTATGTCTCTCGACCGCACTTTCTGCAGTATTTCCAGTAGCGAAGATATGACTTGTCCAAACCAGGGTTAATGCCGCAAACGTAAACGCAGCATTTATGAATTTGTGCTAGAAATCGTAAGCCGAAAGGCGAGGAAGACTAGAAATGCGGGCGGAGCAACTTACATTTGCAAAGACCTCCTGTCCCTGCAAGCTAAGAGTCGACAGAAGCGTTCTTCCTGGTCTGTCCTTGTTCTGCTCCAGTTTCCATCTCAGACTCGCTCTAGCCCACATCTCGAGTCTGCCACACTCAACATAATGTGTGTAAGGAATGGCGTAAGGTCGTGTACGGACAGTCCGAGGAGGAAGTAATCCGATCATATCAATAAAGACTCTGGAGGATATGTAGGGTTGAAATTGTTCCGAGGGTCTGAATTCACGCACGCGAAGTTCAAGGTTGGGGCTTTCGTGTGCTCGAGACACTTTGATGAAGATGGTGACGGTGTCTGCGTACCAAGACGACACCATCGTATCTAGATAGGCGTAGCTTCTCCGACCGAGATGGTCGCCTAAGTTAACCGTAAGCTCGACAGAGATGATTAGTGTTAGGAAGTATATGACCTCACCTGGGAGAAGCAGTTTTTTGTCCAGGAAGTTGACGCGAAAATCAGGTTGTTTCTTGTACCTCATACCTATCGCAATTTTGCTGCAAGATAAACACGCTTGACTGATTCCCTATACCACATGAGTTATGTGTAATCTTTGATCGAATGGTGGCCGACCTTGCTGCGGACGAGAGTGCATCTCGAACAACTTTGACCAGCTAATGCATTGTATCCACTCTCTAATCGACGTGGATTGGTCCTTGGCAGGATTGAGAGTTCCAAGAGTTTAAAGCTCGAGAGCATCCGATCCATCGCATCTTCTTGTCTCGCAAGCTTTTGCATTGCCTGATCTTCGAATAAAACGCGGGTATTTTGGGAATTGGACGTATGTTGAGATACTTCCCTCACTGCAGCTTGCAGTCGCAAAGAACACGACCTAAATAAAAGTCGGGGTTACATTCAGAATACCAGATTTCGCTAGATATTTGGGATTACTCACGTAGAAATGCTGTTTAGTAAGGTACTCAGTGTCGGCTTCAGGTCCTTCAATTCCTCCTGCAACTTAGCAATGTGGCTCGCCCGCCTCGTCCATTGCAATTTCTTCGCTCTCATTATCCCCTTCCCTCCATCTTGTGTCGCGCCCTGCAAAGCATCGTTCAAATCCCCCAACCTCCCCTTCGCCCTCTCCAAAAGCAAAGCTAAATCAGATCGCTGTTGTTCTGGTATCTCAGCCTGGTATTGATCGACCAAGATGTTGACTTGCTGAACAAGCATCCGGAAATCAGATAGATCTTCAAGCACGGTTTGTAGTGCTTTGTCTGCGCTTTTCAGACTCGCGGTTTTCTCCGCTACAGCTGCTACTGCTGTGAGGAGCGTGAGACCGCTCGCGATTATTGAGAGGGGGTCCATGGCGCATGAAACCCAGTTACTCTCGCAGGGTCATCATAGGGATAGCATATTGTGCTTGCAATATTGAGATGGAATTCGACGTAACTAGAATGTAACGGATGATAACAGGGGAAAGTTTGAGTTTGTACATCTGAGCCTTACCGTCCATGGAGGCTGCTGAAAAGCCCGGAGGTTCTGGCTGTTGCCTGCAGAGGTGGCGTGCGTGCAGAGTGGCTGATGGATGAATTGGATTTTGTTTTAGCACCTGTACTCGGTGACAGTATTTGGCATCAAGGGAGTGTAGGCAATGCGATTGTCACACGTATTGACGTCCATTCACTGAGATCTTTCATTTGTCAGTGTCATTCATTTGGATGTCTCATTTGTACTAGCAACGTACATAAATTTGGAGCCCAAACCAGAGTGGGAGTGTTGGAATACGGTGTGCTGCTTTGACCGCCTTGGCACTCTCTTAATGTGAGTTACGGGACTCTATCACATGACGATTTAAACATCTGTCTCCTTTATTGCCTACCTACTACTTGTAGATGCATATAAGCATCAGTAGTTATAGTCTTTTGGCCCAGCTAGCAGCACAGTAGCAAGCTTAATCTACATTGTACGTTATAGTTTCCTCTTATATAATATTTGTAATAAATTATATAATTATACTAGTTAAATATAATATTTGAATATAATAATAGCCTTAATTATTATTTTATATAATTATTATTAAAAGAATATAAGCAAGCTTACTTTATTTACTATAGCAAATCTTTTAATTTAAATTCTAACTGTGACGGCGGGATCGAGGCAATGGCCAGGGCTCAAAGATCCAAGAATCTCATGTATTGAAAATACTAAGCTAAGGAGAAGAAGGAGAGAGAGAGAGAGAAGGAAAGGGGATAAAAGGAGGGAAATACTAGCTAAAACCACTGAAACGCCGGCTAGCTAGGTGAAACCAGTCATGTGACAGCCACCCCCCTTTGGCCCCAGCCAGCGCCGTCACACTAACTTCGAGATAAAATAATTCCTTTGATACTTTATTATAAGGCCTTTTAAGACTTATTATTATAATCAGTTTTTTATTTTGTTTAATTTACTTAATTTTTCGAGATTATAATAAATAAGTTTATTAAGAGTTATATAATTTAAGCAAAGATCTAACTTGTAAAATGAAACCCTTCAGAAAACCGAAGTCTAAGTTATGCGGTATTCTGTTTAGCATCGATTGATATATATGCAAAACGAAACCCCTCACAAAATAGAGGTCAAAACCTCAAGTTTCTGAGGTGTTTTGTTTGGTATCAATTGGCTTATTATAAGCAAACCGCATCGATCCAGATCAACAATGCTTCATTCTCGAGCTGAAGCTGATTTAAAGCGTGCCACAGATTCTCTTTGACTTTAAAGTCCTTGCTGTTAATCATGATTGAGTGAACCGGGTCTGATGCATCGCCCCATGTATAGGACAACGCCCTGTATGAAGGAGCTCAGAGACTCTGATGTGGAGTAACTCGCAAGTAATCGTGTAGCCGATGTCGTGGGACGAATCCTCTCGGCTTAGGAGCTTGAGCAAACGTATTTCAGGTTCAGAGGCGCTCAGATGGTGGTACTGAAATGGCTCTGCGCGGAGGAATACATCGCCCTGGATTGGCGAATCTCCAGCTTCCGCCGACGGTGGTAGCTCTCAGGACTCGTGGCATCGCTCAATACTGTCAACCAAGAAATAGGACCATGACAGCAAGACTTCGAAAAAGATGGGCTACAGCCTTATATGTGCCCTATTAGGTGACAGGTTTGATCATCTGTGTTCTATGTGAGGCTGTGTTGCATCCTACTTGCCTTGGCCAGGAATATGCGGGCGGTTCGGCGTCCTTCACGTGGTCGACTCAACTTTCCGAGCTCTATCAGAGCTGGGTTCTCTGAACTATTCCTGATTCCTGATGAAGTTCAACATTACCAGTGGTCAGCTAATCGGTCAAATGGTAGGACCCTACCAAAATAGATATTCACAGCGGAAAGCAACGATTAGTGAGAGCTGACTCTATACTTAGTGTCCTCCGAACACTTAAAAAAATACCGGACAACCACTGAATTCGTGAAGAAACAGACTTCCCGAAATTACTAAAACGCTTTCGTATATATAGTTACAGTATACTAAAAGGTTCTGAATATCGGGAAGGGGTCAAATTTTTGAAGTGTTAGTGTCATCGCCTAATTCTCGTCTTACCCCCTCAAAAAGGGGCCATTCAGCGCAAGTGAGCCTTGGTCTGCCTCGTAATCGGTTTTTCATTGAAAACATAGTACTGAGGAGGAGAAATATAGAGAAGAATGCCTCGTGCTCATTTTCATGTTTTTCCACCTTGTTCGTATTTCTCAAAGGCCAGAGTATACTTCGTACATGCCCCCGTAGTGAGAGGGGTGTCAGGTGTCTGAGCTTATCTATCTAAGGATCCCCACTTCAAGGAATGCTTCGGGATGCTTTCTAAAACATCACTGGTCTTTGCAAGCATCTACTCAACTACCGCTGAAGACCCAATTCTATTGCTGTATGCTGATGCTGAACGTGCTCACCTCCCGTCACCTTTGGTTAAACCCCAATCTTGAAAGCCACTCTCACAACTTCTTCATGCCCTCAAATGGCGCCCCAATGAAGTACCGTTTCCCCAAATCGATTCCGGCGGCAGTTGCCAGTTACTTGCTGAAGACTTACACGACTTAGAAGGAACAATGCAACCTCCTTCTGTTGGTTTCCCATCCCCCACCCAGACGGCTTGCCTAGACAGCATTACAATTGCCTTCACCAAGAAACCATTGAATTACACTCCAGCCCCACGGGCACTTGGTTTTCAGATGAGTCTTTATTCACAGTTTAAACCGGGATCTCTTCAAGACCCGGACTGCAGGAGATATGTGCTGGGCTCGGGATCTTCTGAAGGTTGACATACCCAATGCCCGAATCTTGACATTCGGCTGCGGCGCTCAGGTGGTTCACTTCTGGAATCAACCTTCACAAACTCGCATCGCATTCTTGGGAACTCCTCATGCTGGCTCTCCACTCGCAGCCTGGTTGGAGACGGGCAGAATATTTCTGGAATATGATGGCCTGGCTTCAAACAAAGAGCTGGCGAGGAACTTAGATATCAACTCGGAGATTCCCGTCAGCCTTGGAAGAGATTTCCCAACATTCTTGGCAAGCCGCTTTCGAGACGGCGAGGAGATCAAGATCATGTGCTTCTTCGAAGGAATGGAAATTAAGGGAGCACGAAAGGCGAGTGATATGCGATCCACATGGTCTCAGTGCTAAAATTGAAATGCATTCAGATCGTAACGGAGGAGTCCGCTTGCCTTTCTGGGAAGCCGCATCCATCGCTCTATGCGGATCACTCTGAAATGTGCAAGTACGAGGACAGCGACGGCGAGAATTACAAAAAGGTAATGGGTGTGTTGGGAGTGTGGGTAAGGGAATGTGCATCTCCAAAAGACAAGAACGAAAAGGAAGCTGCACGTAAGGTACTTCTTCTATTATTCAGCATAGGAATCCCGTCCCCGGAGTTGATATGGTGACACGGTAATAGAGCACAATCAACAATGTATCAGCAAACCTTTCTGGAACAAATTATGGACTGGGCGTTGCACAGGTAAATGGACCGGTCAACATATCGGGCTGGGTGAGACCCCAAATTTGACTTCAATGTGCAGTTCGCTGACATGGAAGACACAGACACATAATATTGACAGCAAATGCAAAGAGTAACATGCCACGAGAAGGGTGGGTGCACGTTTTATTGCAATAATAAGGCTGGACGCAAAAACAGGTAATACAAGCAAGTGGCTTCTGGTCTTGTGGAGGCTGAAACCACATATGTATAACATGGCATATCGCGTCTCTGTTTTCACTGAGTGACTTCACCAATCGTTGTTCGTTGCGGAGGAACCGCTGCCGAGGAAATTATATCCAATTCTCATCTGCAGACTTTGTTATTCATGTGCCGTAGAAGTACACATCTCACGTCTCCCCCACGCGCCCACGTCACAAATCCCCAAACCTCTCCTTCCCCCTCTGCACAAACCTCAACGGCACTCTATCGCCCGGCAACATCTGCACGGTAATTATCTGCTCGCTCCTCCGAATAATCATCTCCGCCTTCTCCACCGCCTTCGCATACACCTTCCTCTTCTCCTCCCTCCCCATCCCTTCAACCTCCTCATCACTCGCCCACTCACTTACATCCAGCTCCACACTATATCTATGAAATAGCGCAGAAAGAACCGCCGTTCCCTCAACCTGCGCGAATCTCTTCCCTGGACATGCTCTTGCACCTTCAGAAAAAGGGATGTAACTCCCTTTCACAGGTTTAACAAGACTCGTCGAGCCAGAAGTCTCGAATGAAGCCTTTTCCAATCCATCAGCACCAGTGACTTCCTTTCCGACGCCCTCCTCCTTTTTGTCTATGATTGTGGTGGAGCTCTGGGTGGATTGGGAAGACAACCACCGCTCAGGCAAAAACTCATTCGGTTTCTCAGGCCAGTACCGTGGATTCCTGTGCGTGCCCACGATATTCAAATGAACGAACGTCCGATCCGGCACCATGAACTGTCGGCCATCTATCGTCACTACTTGATCGCCCTTCGTCCCCTTCGGCACATTCAGAATCGCGGGGATGAGGCGCAACTCCTCGTGGATCACGGCTCCAGGCATGGTGTTAAAGAGGCGGGGCATGTCGTCGTAGTAGCTCCATTCTGAGATGGGCTTGGAGCCGACGATGCTGTCGATGTCGGCTTGTAAGTGGCGTTGTTTTGAGAGGTGGATGGCGAGGAAGACGATGCTGTAGTGGATGCTGTTTGCTGTTGTCTCGTGCCCCGCAAAAAGGAAGATGAAGGCGTTTCCGAGAATTTCCTTTTTGGTAAGTGTTGTACTTGGTGCATCACCAGTCTTGGAATCGGTGGCGGAGGATTCATAGTTGGCCTTTATCATTGGTCCTGGATTTTATTAGTATGGTGAAAAGGGAAATTGGTGAACCCGTACCCATCAGATCCATTGTCCCTTCCTCAGATTCTCCAAGATCGATTTGTTGCTTCTTGAGGTCGAAAAGCTCTTCAAAGTACATTTTACATTCGTTGAATGCCTTGTATGTTGTTTGGTGGACCTTGAGTGGAGACGATTCTATGTAACGCTATCAGCACTTTACCCCAAGACTTTGCTCTGAACATACTCAACACCGACGGGCTGAACAGCACAAACCACAAAAGGTGCTTCAACAATGAGATCAAGGCATCTTTAAACGACAAGGTATGTTCGCCCGTCAGCTTAAATTTGCTGAAAGCCTGCAACCCCTTCTGGTCCAAAATCTCCTCCGTCTGATTTGGCCAGACCTGCGGGACCCCAAAGCCCGCCGCACAGATAACATGCAGACTCAGAGTCGCCGCGTCTTCAGGCGTATTCACAACCCTCAATTCCGCCGTCGTGTTCGTTCCCTGCGTGGCCCACAGACCGATCATGCCCTCCGTCTGCCTCAGCGACTCCTCAAACACAAGCCGATTACTCTTCTCCGAGAAGCTCGGCCCTACAATCTTCCTGTGTCGGCGCCACTCCTGCCCTTCTTGTGTGAGTATGGATTTCCCGAATATGTCAACGAGGTCGTACCCCTCGGTCGGTTTCGTGAACTCGGTGCGGCGCGCGGTGATCTGCGTTGCGAGCTCGGCGTTCGAGGTCTTCATGTAAAGCTTCAGCGGGTTGACGAGCAGAAATGTATCCCCCAATTTCTCCTCTAATTTTCGCAGTACCCGCCATGAGCCTTGGAGGTGGATGATCCTGTTCTCGTGAGCTTGTTTCATGGAGGGGTGGCATTGGGATGACGTACTGGAGCCATGACCACTCTCTGGCATAGGGTATCCTGCTGAGTGGTATCCCGATAATTTCTCCTAGACCAATCCAGACGAATCCCGTCGGAGGGAAGACTGCGTTGAGTCAGTATGGTGCGCGGCTCCCCAAGCTTCTCCCAAGCGCAACGCGCAATGCGCAGGCACAGAACACAGGATACACTCCAAAGAGGGCAACTTACGCCCAATAACATACGGCAGGCCTGACTTCTTCGCGCGCTCCAGATTGAGCAGGAAATTCCGCACCACCTTCAGCGTCAAGTACGCTGTTACCCCCAAGATCGCAAGAGCCAGAACGCCAACCATCGTCGCAATCCAAGATCTCAATCCCTATCCCCGCTATTCCAACTCTGCGATGTGAAAGCTGTATATAAAGAAATCGGTCTCCAAAAATTATTAGGAAAAATCTGTCTTATATTAAATTTATGAAGAGAAGAGAGGAGAGGAGAGGAAAAGGAAAGAACATAGCGACTCCACGATGTTGGTCAGCCCCACCAGGGGAAGCTTGGCTGGAATGTCTCGGGCGAGGCTGACAATAGGCGTTACAGATTGGCGCACATCCGCTAACAAAGTCGAAGCGCGGCTTGCTATTGGCGGGACAGCGCTGTGAAGGCTTCTGAGGCGTGATTCGGAACGCGGAGGAGCCGAGTGAAGTCAGACAACGGAGAACAGAGCGGCAGAACATCAGACTGGTGGCGTTTTGGTGAGTTGTCGGAATCTGGTATGACTCCAAACGTGAATTGAATGGTGGCCGATGCGGTGGAAAGTTCGGACGAAAATTAACCTTAGGAATTTGGGAGGCTGAAATATTTGTGGGAAAAAAAAAGTCGTGACGTCAATGAAGCCTGACGTTTCACTTGTACTTCGTACGTTTTACAAGTATCTGGCCTCAACTCAGAACAACAAATAATCCGTACCCTTCAAATCGAGTTGAGATTGGTACTTCATAGCAGCCGTTAAACCCCATTTGTGAATTCTCTCTTCCAACTCAAATCAATCCCAGACTCCGTAAGAAATCACGACAAATCGTAAATATCCCAGGTCAGCCCTACTTTCAAACCTACAACTCATCCTGCCTCTCAATCCCCTTGTTCCTCTCAAACTCAATGGCAGCTAGCCTAGCCTTATGCCGACAATGCTCGTCCACCACCGTCTCCTCAACCACAACATCACTCCTCACGCCCACATCCTGCCAATTCCACCCCGTAGCCACATGCACCAACCTCAGCGTCTGGAGAAACATGCCCCACCAGCCCTTCCCAAACTCGTCTTCACAAAGCTCAACCCTCACCTCCATCGGACGCGCCCATCCCATGGTGGATTCCTGTTCCCCAACCACCACTCCCCTCCCATACTTCTGCACAGAATAAGCAATCATTTCAGCATGCAGCATCGTCCGATTGTTCGTCAACACATAAACCGGTTTCCTGCCCCCAAAAATCGTGCACCCAATTGCCCTCATCTCCTCAACCTTCACCGTCTCCGTGAAGTTCTGCGTCTTACCGTCGCGATCGACTGACTTTGTTAAGGGACGTTGCTCATCGAATATATAGGAAAGTATAAAAGCGGCAGTATCGGCGAAGAGCCCAAAGCAGTTCCGCAAATCGAGGATCAAGACGTCAGCTTCTGCCACGCTGTTCATTTTCGCCCTCGCAGCGTCGCGGACACCGCGCTCTTCGAGCCCGAAGAGCTGGGCGATGGGCAGTGTGGCGATAGTCTTGCCTGGTAACGCAGCGGTGTCGAACGAGACATTGCCAAACCCATACCCGGTTGCCTCAAAATACTCATCTTTATCGGGGGAAAAATCCTCCTCGGCCCCCTCTTCTTCGTTATCACGAAACAGATCTGGCTCGCCGAAATTGATGTAAACACCATCGGCACCCTCGCTGCTGGTATTTCTGATATCGGCGGTTAAACGCATGTGGAATGCATTGCTGTCTACGAAGGTATCGTAGTTGCCGTCTCTGAGATTGCGTTCCAGGATGGCGATCTTCGCTTTCCCTTCTTCGGCGTTGATGTGTTGTTCCCGCAACACCTTCACGATGTTCTGGATGAGCTTCGTCCTGAGTTCCGGCGTCAAGGGCTGCAAGCCTTTCTCGTACCGTTCTCTCTTCGGGTCGTCCAGCGGAATCATCTTCAGCGGCGTCGGAACCGGGAACAAGTCAAGCTTCGTGATCGGCTGTCCCGGTTTCGAATCATCAATAGCCATGCTAGCCTGGAAGTACCGGAAGGCAGGGTGTGTGAACTCACTCTTGTCCTGCAGCAGGACAGTAATTGCCGTATCATCGTCTGGGCTGGACTCGAGATCCACGAGCTCGAAGCCGCCGGTCCAGTTCGCCATTCGGGCAAGTTGGGTAGGAGAGAGGATCCCTTTGGCCAAGCTCATGTCGTCTTCCTGGGTGGCGTTGTGCTCGGGGAAGCTGGTGCTGTAGAAATCGAGGATGGTGGCTTCGTCACCGGTGTTGAAGGCGGAGAGCCAGGAGGAGAATTTGGTGGAGATGGAGTTGTTGGAGGGGAGGGAGATAGCGGCTTGTTTGGTAATAGAGCGGGCTTGGGTTCCTGAGAGGAGGCCCAGGACCGCGAGTGCTGACCTGGTTATGTCCTTCATCGTGAGGTCGGAGCCTTGCTCAAAGGGTAAGTGTGTGATATGTTGTCGATGCTTGTAACTATCCAAAGATGAACTTCATCTAGGTCGATGATAGACTGATAGTAATTAATGATTGTGGAAAGGGAGATGCTAAAATATGACGAGGGGAGGAGGAGGAGGAGGTGCTGCCTAGCAGGCAGTCAGCGACTGCGCCACCGGTACTATCCCCCCTTGAATACTCGCAGTGGGCTTTTTAGTAATGCCACCCTGAAACTTCATTTATAACCCCCAACTAGGAAACATCAGGTGCTTTCCAGAAACGCTATTGGCTATACACCCTTGAATGGCCAGTGCTTGGGTGGTGTTATTATTTAGGGGCTCAGTAGTAATAAACTATGGTTAAATTCCAATGCACCAGATGGGGACAGCCCAATGAGAAGCCTAGAACTTCCACAATAAGGCCTTCTTTTCAGCACACTTCAAAACCAACATCTTATTAGGTCCGCAATTAGGAAGCTCCTAGACATACATGAGGTGATACTCTGCGACCCCAACTTTGAGCCTGCAGTCCAAAGCATGCTTTTCGAGTCGGCATACGATGACGACCGATTCCAGTCTTGAAGCAATATCCCACCGCATCACTCAAATAGGGGAATGCACTTGTTCAGATCTCTCAGCCTCATCGGCTTTCCGCCCGTGATAATGGTTCGAGGGTGTCCACTTGGAGACTCAGAGGTCTGGAGCCCATCACGACGCCGAGAGGACCCCAACGTCATTGTCAATCACACTCGTCGGTGAAGTCACTTATCCTGCCAGGGCCTGGATCATAGAAGACTGTTCCTTCATGACGGGCGCTGGCATGTTGATCGAGGGGGTTGAAAGAATTTCTGCCCTTCCTTTTGGCGCCAAACTAGTGGGGTTTCAGCGGCTGGCTACCTCGGTTGCAGCGCCACATCCACTCTCAAAATTCCCGCCCAGAAACGCATGTTCCATTACTTCTCCTCCACGAACTTTCAGGGGGGGAAATGTATATGATTCAATTCGCATGTCGACCATTATATTTCTGAAATCTCATTTTGTCAAAAGCGTTGTACGTGGAACTTTGCTTACTTCAAGAATGCGAGCACGACTATGATCGTGGCTTCCTTGTGAATATCTGAATGGTCGTCTTCTTCGTTGGTTAATGAGAGTTCACGCCCTTTTTTGAAAGTCACGCTGTCTCTCAATTCTTTTCCTTTTAAATTCTGCTTCCTGTTCTCGTCTTCCTATGGAAAGTCAATTTTCACGTTGAGAGTGTGGTTGGACGATGTTGCCAAAAGAGCAATACAATTTCCAAATTCCCTCTGTACCATAACCGATATACCATATCACTCGACTTACACCGCTGGCTGATTCCTCTACGAAGTTGAACCACTGTCTATTGCAGTTAGTCTCATCTTAATAGGATGAAATTCAGGCAGCCGCACGTGACTGTGTGTGATGTTCAAAAAAGGGGTTCGCTTAAGAAGAGCAGCCTAGCGGGCTGCCACTACTTTTAGTTCAGCTCCAAGCCATAGTTCGGATTGCCACGTTGCGATCCAGTCATGACCGAATTGACATCTGGCAATAAGAGATCCTGCGCGTCGTGCTGATCATAGTGTCTCAAAAGCCAAATCTGTGCTCTGTACGTTTCGCTCTGCAATCAACAGCAACTGTCATCTTCTTTCCAAGACAAACTTAACACTATTGTCTCGTCTAGTCAAAAATCACTTCACAACTTCGTTAGTGAGAAGTACTCGCAAACGACAAACCCTAGTGGATAGAGAGCCAAACCTGGATTTCGTCAGCCCAACATGGGCCCCAACATCGAACAGCTAACCGACGAGCGCGATACCTACGAAGCACAACGCGACTACTACCGCGACCACTGCTCCAACTTGCAAACCCAGCTCACCGCTTGTCAAAAACAATTAGAGTCCAAATTCCAGACCGCGCAATGCAACATCGACCCCTCCATCTTCAACGGCGAGAGTCTTGTGCGCTTGCGGGAATGGAGGGAATGTCTGGACTTTGCGATTGGGGAGGTGGAGGAGCAGCAAAACGGGAAGGTAGTTGACGGTGAGAGGGAGAGTAAAGGAGATGAGGACGGGAACGAGGGAACGGAGGAAGAGGGGAAGAAAGGAGAGGGAAAGAGAAGTAGAAAGGCGTTTGAGACGGAACTGCCGTTTAGCCCGAGTAATCTGGCGGGGTTTTGACGAGGAATCACCAGTTGACGTAAGGGCGGACTCAATACCCGGAGGCGCGACCGAAGAGTGTTTAGGTCTTGTAGCACAGAAAGTTCTTTGGCCATAGTTCTCCCCAATCGGTCTGAGTACAAGCTGGTGCTCAGTGAGTTTGAGTGCGAGTCCCTTGGGCTTTACGAGAAGATTTCTAGCAGTGCAGTAGAATTCAATTATTGACTTAAATTGTGTTCTACCAGTCTGAAGTGTAAATGAGGACGTTTAAGGTGGAGTCGTCCATGGGTAGCTTCATGGGGAAAAAAACAAACTATAACTTGCAGCCGATGAAGCAACATCTTAGCCCTGCCAAATCAGCCGAGTATGGCAAGTCGGAGTAAAATGAGGTATAAACACAATACCCCCATCCATGGTGATGCACTCCTTGCATATGGGGGATCGCTCGTCCCGGATGGCACTAAAATTACAATGCTCGCCTAATTTTGACCAGCTTGGTTCGTAATATATCACATCCTTTAAGTTATATTCCGGATGTCATAGATATGTAGTTGCATGAGTATATGAGAAGGAAAGATTTCCTTTCTCCTGAACTTTTCAACTCCGACACTTCATCCAAATATCGCTCAGACAGAGCATCTGGAAATCGTCGACAGTCTAGCAATAAACAACCCACCCAACAATAAGAAAGCTGCGAACATCCATCAATGAGCAACCAAGAAAATGAAAATCGTTCCACGAAGTGACTTCCAAACGGGAACTATCCGGGCAAGAACTCTTTGTTTCCTTCACACCGCGGAAAGATTTCTATCCTACTCTCGCGCTAAACAAGAAAAGCGGCACTGAACTTCAAATGTCGTAAGTCGCAGTTGGACATTTATCTGAACTAGGGAGTTTCAGATTTTCTATACTTCGTAATCTCGAAGATAGCAGAAGAGGGATACTTTGAATATCCTATAACTTGATGGGGCATTTACATGGAAAGTGTCAAAAATAACACAGCTTCAGTTGCAGCTTTTATTGTCTACTGTAAGCCACTAAAGAATGTAGGGAAATTTGGACTTATTAGAGCGAGTCAATTCAATCAGCTCGAAGTATTTGATACCAGTCACAAATGTGCTCGTTGATGGATACTTCGGTCCTCACTGGAGGCATCTGTCCCGTCAGAGTAAATCATGATTCTCAAAGAAAGCGGCACGGTGTTTATGATCAGCACCCCACTCGCGCATTTGTCGGTTGCAGTCGTCAAGCTGTGACTTGACTGCTCGTCCAGCTTGTTTGGGACCTGCTCTCAACACGACAGCACAAATCAGAGTGCTCGTGCCCAGCCACATGTAAGAGGAAATGGCAAAGAGCAGATCCACGCCGCCACACGGCGAAAAGACGGATCTTCTCCCAAAGCACAACACATCTTGGCAACCGAAACCAAAAGTTATATTCGAGCCGAGGAGGCTTACGCAATGGGAGCTCGTAAAACGTAAAGCTACCCCAGGCTGCCCCCTGTCCGCAAGTTACCAGAAACACACCGTGGACAGCTTGAAACCCTGCTCAAAATGTTCCAAAAACACCCTTGCCATATAAATGGAATCTTCCACATGAGGTAACATCGGTGATGAGTAATCGAACGCTTTGGCGTGTCATTATCCAGGAGGACCAGGATGGCCCTCGGTAGATGGATAACGACCCCAAGCCCCCAAAATTGGACGCCACAGCGTTGCAATGGGGAATGTGGACGGTCAAAATCCAGGCGGAAGCGCCGAGCAGAGAAGAGAAACTGTGCCGCATTGTCAGGAACTGGGCGGCTGACCAAATGGGGTGTGCTCGAGCCTGCACTCTGAAGACGTTTAAAAGCAGCAGCTGAACATCCGAAGAAGGAATTCAAGCATGGGAAATTTCCGGCGGAGATTTCCCACTTGGCGGGGGGCATGCAGCCCTTTTCTTGGAAAGCTTTCCCTTAATCATCCCTTTCTGTTAAGTTTCAAGTACTTTCAGGTACAGGAACAATAGTTTTGGCCTTTCTTTGCTTGCAGTCCGAGGGACCCGGCAAACTATGTAGCACTTGCAGTAGCGACTGGTACGAAGACCGCATTCGGGTTGCCTGGTTGTCACGCGTAATGATGGGAATGGGAATTACACTCTTTGCCGCCTCAACAAAGATCTCCATCCCTGAGGAACCTTGCATATTGCAATCAATAACGCAATAATCTCCATTCGATAAGATAGTGATTGGAGATTTAGTTGGTCAAGTGAGCGTCCGAAACGAGCCCTGCATATTTGATGACCTAGCCATACGATGTAATCCCACCGTCACACCGCCCCAGGGGGTCTGTCGAATTTTGTCGATCAAATGTTGGCGGCGCCCTTCTACCCCGGCGGGGTACAGGATGTCAGGATCAAGCCCAGCAGTTGGCAGTTGATTCCACGGCCCGACTGCCGAAAATTGCGGCCCCTGTTAGGGCACTGCAGGGCATGGAAGACATGTTACACAAGCTACTGCAGAAGTGGCCTGATTCCCAGTCGTTTCAGCAGCCCGTGGCCATTGACCTCCACCTCGACTCCGACTCTTCGGGTTCGAGTTTGTCACAGCCAGCAAGGCATCCGCTCCTGATCTGCAGTCCATCCATTCTTCCTGAACCATGGCAGTGAGGACCCCCACACGAACCACGCACGCTCTTTGATCTGATCCGATTCTGACATTGCTTTGTATAGGCCTCGTTCAGCACCCTCGAGCCCAGCATAAGAGCCATTATATATCTTAAGCTGCTTAACGTCTGCCCGTTATGGATCTCACCAGTCTGGGTAAGCAAGCTCTGCCTATTTATCAGGTCAGCTTCAATGACAGACGACTTTCCAAGTGCGACTGCGACTCCAGACGGCAATGCCCTGCCCTTGAAAAGCCTCAGTGTCCAGAAACGGCCTTATCTGGATGCAAGACTTCCTTGATTCAGTTCCGATTTTGCCCCCGCGTCCCAATTCAATCACCACACTGACCCAAAGCGAGCAGACCATAACCTATTTCCACCAGGAACGCCCCATCCCGCTCCTGAAATGGCAAGGGCTGTTCCTCGTGTGCCGTGAAATCTCCCTCGAGGCGCGGGCAGTGTTGTACGGCAGCAACAAGTTCCTGCTCGAGTCGTCAGACTCGATCAAGGAGATCCAGGACTGGTTGGTTGAGATCGGGTCTGCCAATCGGGGATGTCTCCGCACCTTGTCCATTGATCTCTGCCGTCCCATTGATACACAAGGCCATCACTCAACTCTGGATTACAGGTTCTACCAGATCAATATGCCGTGTGACTCCGACCAAACACCCGAAGAACTTCGTGAAGAGCTGACAAGGATGGAGAAGCTCATCAAGGCAGATGTCATCTCCGTTCTCCAACCGCTCTCCGGAGCTGGCAATAAGAATCTCAACGATTTGACGCTGTATATTCCAGGCGACGATCAAGGACGGCAGATGCTGTATCGGTATGACAATGACTTTTATTTCCGTGGTGACCTACTTGAGGATGATGATATGAGAAAGGCGATTTTGGATATTGGACCGCTGGAATTGCTTTCTATTGGCAGGACGGAGAGCCAAGAATTGGCCGTGGGGGTGGCGAGGGCGATGGGTGTCAAAACGTTGAGAGTGAGATGGGTGAGGGCTCATTTTGAGAGGGAAGAGGCAGAGCCGAGATGGAACTCTGGGGGATGGGTTCAGGATGAGGATATGCTTGGTGCGAAGATAGAATTGGGTGCTGAGTTGAACGCTTTGACTTTGTCTTAGGGAAGATAGTATCTGAAGCTTGGATCTTGCAATCACGACTAGACTCTCAGCATCATGAAGGCTGGCTGGAACCACGTGAATTAACGCTTGACGCACAACACGAGGTTATCTACAGAAATACATGAGAAGAAAACAAATGCAGAACACACCGAAAATACGAGTATAGATAATATTTAAGTGTGTGACCCGCCTCGTATATACTTCCAAGATCCTTCAGCTTCTCCTCCCCGGCTGACAGTCAACACAATCCTCATAATCCCATAACTCATCACAATCTTTTCTCAACCTACCTCACACATCCTCGCCATCCCAAACCCCAGATATCCAACATCCACATTACCACACAGAATCAGACGTAGAAAGCCCACCGAGGTCGCCAAACACCGCGCCTGCCTCCTTCCTTTTTCCCACCCAACCCATTTATAGGCCATTGCAGTAAGATGAATGAATTGAAGAAAAAACGCACACATGATTCGTGCCCACTCGATAATCATATCTCGTTCCACATCAACGTAAAACATAATTGGATGACCGCCGTGATCGATCTCACTGACAAAAATAACAAGAGGGGCTCGCTCAGTCGCAGGCAGCACGCTAAATGATTACGAGGGACGATTGAAAGGAAGTACGGAGGTAAATAAGAGAAATTCTTTCCTTTTAAACAGACAGAGACAGTTGCCGTTGAAGATTGTGCAAGATGGCTCGCAGATGTGAAGACGCGCGCTGAAGAACTCGAAGGTCAATGACCGCAATGCTGGTATCCTCGCAGAGTAGATGCGGAAAAGATTGATATCTCCCCACCAAGCTGAACGCTGCAGCGATGCCGCCGAATGCATTGAAAATAGATGTTTGGTGCGATGTTGAAGGAGGATATTTGCACAGTGGTCGTGGTGAATAGGGGTACAGGCTAAAAATATTCTTCCGACTTGCATTCGCTAAAACAAACGGCGCCAAACGACGACGACCTCGACTCAAAGCCACCAGCAGGAGTTTGTCAGCTTGGGTGAATGTGCTGCTGCTGCTGCTGGTCTTTCAGGTCCGTTTCATGGTGTCCGAAATTGCCGCCATCTTGCAAGAAGTCCTGGAAGCTGTGGTGCTGTGCTATGTGGTGCGGATGTCCTATGCTCCCAGTCCGGAGCTGACTACCAAGCGCAGGTGACGAGTCGTACGCTCTGCCAACTGGCAATCCATCAAAAGGGTGCTGCACACTGATCGGCGGAGGAGGAAGCATGGTCTGTTGCGGATTGGGGAGAGGCAGCGGGTTGTACGGACTACTCGAAGGGGGGAGAGAGGTCTGCGGAGACGTCACGTAATAGTTGTTGGACGAAGCGTTGCTGGCCATGTTGGGTGGCCAGAACATTTGAGGAGTGTGGAAGTTGGATTGGGAGACGAACTGGCCATGGCCACGCGCTGTGTCTTGCAGATTCGGACTTCGCGGTTGCTGGAAGTTGACTCCCAAGCCGCCACGTGAAAAGAAAGACGACGGATCGTTGAAGTGGTCGTCCATTGACCTGACTGGGAGGATACTGCGCATCCCAAGACCACTCGAATCAGGCTCTGACTGAAGATGTCGGTTGTGACTACCCGTGAGGGGCGAAACCATGCTGTCTGGTGTCGGCAAGTTGCTCGAAGAGTGGAGAGGCATCTCATGCTCGTCATCCTCGGGCTTGAAAGATGGTTGTTCGTCGCCTCCATCATCGGACCCGTCACCATCGCAACCGCCAGACCTTTCTCCATACATGACAGGAATCACGGTGGTCCCGTCTATCGAATGTCAGCTTCAGATTTCGGAATTCCAATTGAATCGAGAGATGAAGCTCACCGATTTCGCCATTTTTATACCGCTCTTCCGCCTTAGCAATTTTGAAGATCTCCTTCAGAAATGGCCTCTTTTGAGCATTTTCAGGATGATCTTTGTCATTGAACCAGTTGGATATTGCTTCCATTGTCACCTCCTCCAACTTTTTCACATCGAGCTCGAGTTTCTGGACCGTGGGGTGTTGCTTCTCGGAGGGCTCTATAATCATTCGGAGAATGTGGACCAAGAGACGAATTCGTTCTGGGCAAAATTAGCGTGCTATTCTCGCCTGTGGAAGCCATCCCCTACCTGGCTTCAAGAGATGATCGGGTTCCCTGTGTCGAACCCTGACATTGTCGTCGCCTGCAGTTGGCGGCCACCAGGGTGGAGCCTTATCATCCCCTTTCGTGTAGGGGTGGTGGGTTTGTTTCTTGGGTTCCACCAACTTCACAAACGCCTTCCCCATAACTTTGCAGGACGACTGCTGCATGTCCTTGAATCGACAAGCGTAAAATTTCTCAACTTCGGCGGAGTCTCCGATCATCAGTTGCTGAGTCTTCTGAACTGGAACTGGCATTGGCGTGTCATCGTTTGAGTTTTCCCTCCAGGCAGGGTAACGAGCTCTCTTTTTGCCTCTCGACCCCGAAGAAACCTCTTCATCAGAATCATCGGACCTGGTTTTTCGATAACGAGTCCGACCTTCTGACGATCCACTACCTTTCCGTCCTTGATCACTTTCTATATCGATCTCATTGAACATACTCTCCGGGCCATATCCTGGAAGCCGTCGAGTTAGTTGTGTTCCTAACGTAAAGAATGAGACATGAGGTACCAGAACTAGAATATGCGTCCTCTGTTGCCCTCCGAACGGCACGGCGAAAATGTGAGTAGAACTCTCCTGTGAAGAACCTTTGACGGTAAGGTGCCAAAGAAGGCGATGAAAAAGTCCTCTCTTCTCCATTCTCAAGGATAACGACAAGGCCGAACTCCTTGACAGGAATGCGACAACACTCTCTCAAAGCCGTTTCGATAGTCTTGAATCAGTTAGCACCGAGATCTTAAAGTTGATGGATGAACAGACCAAATGTGTTGGATGGACAGATGAGGTTGGGTTAGCAAATCGATTTTCTTGCTGGGAAGTGTCAAGATAAGGTGGTCTCTCATTCCGTATCCAGCCGCTCTCCCTTGGAAAGGAGAGTTCTCCTTGTGGGGTTGGACGTTGCACCATCTTGAAGAAATGGGAAAGGGTTGGACTGTGGAGGTACCTCTAAGTGGTGGAAGGGCGGTGTGGTGTACAAGTCGAGTTGTCGTATTGAGATCATATATAAAGAGGAATGAGTTTTATGAATTGGGAAGGCGCGGTAGTTGGTAGTTGTAAGAGGTCCCGACCGTGTGGAGCGGATGCAGCGGGGCCTGGGCGATAGATAGGCGGGAGGAGGTGTTAGTTGGGCTGATCCATACAAGCATCCTAGCAGTGCAGGATCTCGGGGACAGTGGCTGAGATACCCTGGCGCAAAAGAGGGAAGAAGCTCGAGACAGAGACGAGAAGAGAGTCGGCCAACGAACTGGGATGCAAGGTGTTGCTTTCGGAGATAGCAAGCTGAACGCAGCTGAGGGGCTCGTGGAGGATGTCTTGTAATAAGGCCGTTGAGGTCGTACAGACAAGGCCAGGAGATCAACTTATAGTGGAGAGTTATCGATTGAGGCTTGGGAGGCATGAGACCAGAGGATGCCGACCGAAAGTCCAACTATTCTTCCCGAGACGGCGCCCGTGTGGACCGATTGGACCGGATGCCTGCTCTGAGCACGGGTGTGAGAAACGAGGATATGGGACTCAGAAAAGGTTGAGCTCGAAAAGCGGGTGGTGCCGGTGCGCAGCCTTTTGGCTTGGGCTGGGGTTGTGGAATGCTTTTTGACTTGAATGTTTTGTGTTTGATTGCCTTACCCCTCCAAAATCACACGCTCCCGAGCAGGGACGGGTGTAAGACATCCGCCGCTATTACAACTGTACGGAAGCCGGCAGTAGTCGATGATGCTTCGCAGCGTCTTGTGAGATAGGATGTGGTTTATAGGGCCCGTTTGGGGGCGCGCGGGCAAATCTGGATCAACCAAACGAGGCGAGACTTGGCTGGCTGGCTGGGGGCACTCGCGTGAGACCTCTGTCGTAGACCAGGACTGAACTGCTGGTCCGTGGCAGAGAGTGAGGACGATGTTCGAGGGGGAAGAGATCGATGGGGGTTTCGGCGGCGTGTGCCTGATCATAAGGTACCGATGACGCTCAGATCAATCTTTCGATAGAATGGGGGGAAAGTGACAGATCTTGCCATGTTCAGATGAACGTCGCAGCAGCGTGCAGGTCACAGCGAGACCGAGAATGTACGAAATTATATATACAGCCGGAGCAGGCCCGCCTTGAAAGGCACATCCATAACGCAAATCACCAGTGTGGCAGAAGGCTGCAGCGGAGAGCAAGGTAGGTAAGGTCGCAGTAAGGCTTGGAAAACAGACAAGGGGGAGGGGCGGACGCCGGGGGCAGGCGCAGGTCAGGGTCAGGCTTAGGCGGGGGAGGCGATGTGTTCGACTGGGCCTTGGAAGAATCTCTGGCCGCTGCTGTTGTGCGCTGCTGCTGTACGGAGTAGCCTGTGACGCGAAATGCGAACAGAGTGCATGAAGATAGCCCGCTCGCAGTGCGTTCTGGGCATGTCGTGCCACAATTGGAGCACCGCCTGCCGCTGTGATACAACGCACTCAACTGCTGTTTGAAGCAGCGAGCAACAATTTACCAAGGCTGCACCTACCAGCAGCCTGGGTCTGCTTGATGCTTGAGGACCTGCGGCCCACCAATCGAGCTTAGCGGACAGGAGCCCAATCCACATTGCCAGTGGAGGATGGACATGGACGGCAGCACGGGCAACGCAAGGAAGCGATGGGCGTTTCCATCTGTCTATCAAGCACTGCCAACCCTGGGTTCCTGAACCTGGACCAGACCCCGCAGAGATTGAGTGATGTTGCATTCATGGCCGGTTGCACTCGGCGAGGGGGCTGCCGGCGTCCAACGTCTCCACATCCGTCGTATTTTACTTTTTTTCAGCAGTTCTGGGCTCTCGTCAATTTTGGTTTGTGGTGCGCCAGGGGTGTGCCGTGTCGAGAAGGAGGGGTTGAAGATCCAGGGTCGATAGGTTGACGTCGATATTACCCTTGGATCGTATCAGATACTGTTTGGGCGTCGTGATTCGAGGACCGAAAACAGACTGTACCAGCCCGGTACAACGGGAACTACTGTACTTTCTGGGTGAGAGCAGGACTGACGTGGGGAAATCGTGGGGGTTTGATCGATGCCTCGAATTCGCGGCCATGATACTTACATCCGTCCTCTGACCGACCGGATGGCGCGTTCCAATGGGACAGTGTCGGTAGCAGAGGGAATTCGCTGCTGACCTGATACTTTTGTATTCTGGGCGGAACCGGCGGCAGATGGACGCAATTTTGCATGACGCCAGGCGCAATGCAGCGAGTGCATACCAAAAGGTTCCAGTGCAGGGAGCTCCGCAGTGCCGGCTTGGGTGGGAAGTGGGCTGCGAGCAGTGAGTAGTGAGCGTGAGCAGTGACTGAGGGGGTGAGCTGGGCAACCTCCAGGAGGGAGCGGCATTGCCCAGGTGTGGTGTTGCTGCTGGTCCATACAGTACGACCCTCTCGGAGTGGCGAGTGCTGTACTAGACCCCGCCCCTGGCTGAGCACGTTTAAGGCTTCCCGTCGAACACTAGAAGCCCCTTGACATGCTCGCTTTGCCATGGTATCCAAGTAGTGTTTGATTTTCTTTGAAAGTGACCAAAGTAGATGCCAAGCAAGAGTGCTAGCACAACGGGAAGGGCAGCGAGGGGTGCCCTGCCGTCGATGCCGATCACTGTCTCTCAGTCACTACATGATACGAGAGAACCGGTCCCCTGCTGGAGCCGCATTCGCTCAGCACTGTTCGCTGTTTCCCAATATCTAACACAAAGATGATTCCTGACAGGTGTATGCTGGCGGCACAGCGCTGCTCTCCATGGATGTGGCGCTTGTTGGTCCCAAATGCCGGATCCGATTCCCCTATTCTAAGTTCGAGGAGAACCCGGTTGGGCTTTCTTAGCGAGGTCTGAGTGGACATTGAACTGCTTTAATCCTCTTATTATAATTCCATTTTGCCGAGATATTGTCAGCTACCCAAATGACAAGTGTTTAAGTTGAGGATAGCTTCATGTACAAATTTGATGCGGCTTCTTTCCGTCTTTCTTCGAAGGGGTTTGCCTCTTATCTGCCCTTATCCATTCATCGGTGGGCGTACAGCTGCGGGTCGCACAACATGGATAAAAGGTATCTCGGGGCCATCAAGATCTTCCCCGGGCCAATGAAGCAACAGGACAAGGCCACCAAAGATGCAGTTCGTCGTCGAGACTTGTCCCGTTTTGTTCCTTAGTACAGTCCGTGATGAGGAGTCACTTCTCACAAATTGACAACGGGCAATAGATCTCGCGGATCTACCCGTTGCCAAGACACGATGTCCTACCTCAGAGACAAGTACTGGCCTAAACCACAGACCAGAACATAATTCCTAGAGTGCTCCGGTATTCAAAAGATAGTGGTGCTGCGTTGCGGCTCTTGGTGCGTCTTAACTTGGCTACTTCCAACCCCACAAACTGTTCGAGCCGATGCAGTGTCGGCAGTGAGAAAAGCAACGAAAGGCAGGGGCTTCAGGAGGACCAGCCCCGTCTCGTCTTGCTACACAAGGTAGTCAAGTCTTCCCCAAAGTAGTGCGCTGCATGATGAGGCTTGCTGTCAGCATCAGAACTCGTATATCCGTGTCTCTCCTTTGCGCTCCCGACTTGAAATTTGAGACTGCTACGAAAGTTTACCTACTTGATTCATGTTTGCGCCCGGGATGAGGACTTCGTGTGGCAGGAGTAGCGAGCGTAGTTGTGCCCAATAGATGCGTTTGGCCGCGCAATTCCCAGTTTCCTATTATCTAATTTAGTAATACTGGACCACCGGGTATACCGGATATTAATTTAGTCCTTAATTAAGCTTAATAATTCTTCTATTATAACTTAGTAACTTTAGTATTTCTTAGAAAAGTAATAAATATAAAACTAAAGATTTAATAATTTAAAAAGGGGGGGTTTTTTTATAAAAAAAACCTATAATTATAAAATAAGAATATTATATCTTATAAAAGTCTTACTAATTACAAGCTAATAAAATAATAAAAGTATTTTTTTTATATACTTAAATTAAGACTTTATAATAATTATTTTTAAAAATAAGATTTTACTTCTTAAAAATTGTAAAGAATAAATTTTATTTAGCTCTATTATAACATTTTGTATTAAGAGGCTTATATAAATGCTTAAGTAAGCAGACTATATTAAAACGTTCGAGTTCGCGGCTTTCTAGAATATTTTGAACCTATAAATTATATTAATAAACTAGTTGAGCCAAATGTGTAATCCCTCGAGTTTAACTAAACCATTTCAGACAAATGCCCTAGCAAGACAGAGGCTACAGTGGGTGGCCACATGTCTGTCCGATTGGGCTGTTTTACACCAAAACGCCTATATTGCCCTGGGCAGTTTTGGCCGGACAGCATTCTTATATTTACCTTAGATTCTTGGATTTAAGCCAGATTTACTAAATACACACTTCTACTTACTTAGAATTTTGCATTTTATCCCTTTTCAGGCTATAAAATCAAATAATACTGAGCACTTTTATAACTTCGCGGATTTACTATGTAAATAAGCGAGAAAATCGAGAAAATCAAAAAGTGAAAATTAATAAGTTATATTATACATAGAGATAAACCTCAAAGAGACCTATATTTGAGTATATGTAATAAGAAGTAATTATTGATCGTGGGTTAAAAGTATTATTATTTTAATTTAAGAAGGCGCTAGATTTTTGAAAAATTAAAGGAGGCGTTTTGGCCGTTTTTGGTGTGATTTTCGCGAGTCGGACAGACATGTGGCCACTCACTGTATCCCGGATGTCGCTGATAAATCTTCTGCTGTCTTTGCATACGCCAGTTCAAGGCGTGGTGTCTCAGTCCTTGGGATTTTACCCTTTTCAGCTTCGTAGAAGCAAGCCATTTGCCCATCATTTTCTCAAGCCTCAAGCAGTATTGAAAAAAAAATCTACCTGGGACCAGTATCGTGTGACATCTCAAGCCACCAGTCGTGCCATCCTTCAAGGCTTGACTCTCAATCTTGGGGACGGTTCGTGGGGTGGTGGGGTACATGAGCCATGTGGCAGATGGTCTGGAGCTGTCCTTTTCGTTGGCAAAAGAACATGGATCAGCAACTGCCTTAAATTATCTTCTCATGTGGCCCTGGGCTGTGATGACGTATCTCCGGATGAAGAAGCTGGCCCTTCGGGTCAATGATGCAGGGGAGCTGGATGCCTGCAAAAGATTTTGCTTCTCGCGGCTCTTGATGCAGATCTGGAGCGATTCGTTCAAAGTGAGCGTTGTCACAGTAACTCAGGAGGACGGCGAAGCGGTTCCTTCTCAGCCCTAGCGCAGTACGCCAGACGCAGTTTTCCTTCGCAATGCGAACCCTTACTCAATATTTCGCGAACACCCCCTCACAAGATCCAAAGATCTCCTCATCCACCCCAAGGACGTCCCAAAATATCCAGCATCAATCACGCCACCCCTTTTCATCCAACACGAGGAAACCCAACGAATCCTCCCCAACCATCCGTTACACAAACTCAGACCACCCTGGACCTGGTACCCAATGACGACCCTACTTTCCTTGCACGCACATATCTTGGAACAGTCCACTCACCCATAGCGCGGAGTCGGAAGCTTCCACCCACGTCGTACGACACGATCGAAGGACCCTTTCACATGCAGACTAGATATCTCGACAGTGCCTTGGCTGTCCAGCACATCTGCATCCCGTCTTCCTCACCGGATCTTCGTCTCGCCTCCATTTGACGAAGCTTCCCTCTATTTGAAATGAAGTTTCCCGGATCGAAATCCAAAACACACTTTCCAGCTACTGCATATCCAGCACAGATTTACATCCGGTGATCCACTCCTATCCCAGGGCCAAATGAGCTATTTCTTCTAGGCGCCAATTAGACTCCAGGTTCCCGTAAGCCGGAATATATCAGCAAGGACAACACGAGTTCATATGCATGACAGTGCATGCAACATGTGGCACAGTCTTCTCGAAGGTCTTCACCTCCCCCATCTTACCTAGTAGCCGACCTCACGAGCATCACCAGGCCCTTCCGTCCCTTGACAAATCTTTGAGCTCCCGCGACCTCTGTACGGGGAAAGCATTCGGCCTCCCTCGAAGTCACACCCCTCCTCCCACCATGCACATCCATTTTTCCTCATTCGCCTCACGGCCACCTACCCCCTGACCAACACCGCACTACGGAGTTCTCCAGATCACCAGCTCAAAAACAGTTGGCCTCAATGACATCATAACTTACTCAAGCACAACCAGAAACAGTCCGGTCTAGAATCCAGAAACTTGCTTCTGTTGTGTCCATCACCCCGGCTCCTCCCAATCGGCTTCCAAACCTTGCAAACTCAATCGAGCACGCCCAGATTCAATCTGTGTAACCCATGGCTGTTGCCGAAGTGCCGGGATACCCAGCATGTTCAATCACCCTCGTATATTCCCCGCCATGAAACCAAGCCTCCTCCCCTCCTTCCATCAGCCATCTACTCTCTTCCACTTTCACATACCAACTCAACGCCTTTCACTTCCTAGCCTCTACCCCCCGGACCTTGAAATCCTAGTACGCCGGTAATATATTTCCCTGCTCAGTGAATCCGGCAACCATATCTCAATCATCCTTGTTCCTTTCCTGGGTTCTAAATTGTCTTCTCCTATGCACAGCCACACCAAAGGCACAGCATCCAGCATCCAAACAATACCCCGCTATCTTTCTCACCCCTCCTAACTCATTTCCCCGTCTCAAGAGCACCCCCGGCTCTCGCCTGTCCCCGTTAAGCTTCCATCCAAAGCCCTTCTTCGTTCGTATCCAGTTATGAATCGAAGCTCATGCCCATCTAATTCATCTCATCTCAAAAGAACGCCAAACGACCCCCTTTACAAAGTACAACAACACCACTCTCAGCACCACATACACCGTGGGACCCCAACTCAAGCCCACCAAAGTGAAAGGCAATCCTCTCTCTCTCACACAAGCAGGAGCTTCTCAAGCCGCATTTCAAAGAGCCATGGCAGTGACATGAAGCACTCAATTTCTATTTTCATTCACCAAACAAGTCCTTATCTATCTACAACTTTTCTTTCCATTCACGCAAGACTACATCCACATCATAATCACTTAACACCATCAACCAACCCCGCCTCCCGAACCAGCTTATAAAACAAGCCCTTCCTCTCAACCAACGCCTTGGGACTGTCAAACTCCACCACCCTGCCCTGCTCCAACACGACGATCCGATCCGAATCCAGTATCGTATTAATCCTGTGCGCAATCGTGATGATGGTTCTCTTTGAGAATAAGGGAGAGCGGAGCGTGTTCTGCAGAAGGGCGTCCGTCTCGACGTCAACGGCGGCGGTGGCTTCGTCCAGGACGAGGATGTTGGAGGGGGCTAGCAGGGCGCGGGCGAGACTGACGAGTTGACGTTGGCCTTGGGAGAGATTGGATCCGCTGTGGTAAGGGAAGTGGTTAGTTTTGTGTGAGGTAAGGGAATGGAATGCAATGATATGCTGCGTATGGGCATGAATGAAGCTAAGTGAGACTGAAAGGAGATAGGTAGGGATCGGAGGCGGAGGGGGTTATATATGCATGTGAACGTGAACTTGCAGCGTCGAGCTACGACGTTGCATGGCATCGGAGACGTGGTGAGAGGTGATGGGGCTGATATGGAAGGTGGCAAAGAATGGGTGATGAGGGAGTGGGAACACGAACCCTTCTTGGATCTTAGTCTCGAGGCCACCGTCCATGCTGGCGACGTGATCTTTCAACCTGGCATGTTCTGCGAAGAGTGGCATTCATTAGCAAGGATCCTATGTACGACACGCCGCTTGCAGGATCTGATCGCTCAGATACCACAACGCCACATCACACATCTCACCAGCGGAGGAAAGCAAACTTACCGAGTACGCTCCACAGTTCTGTATCGTCGTGGACATGTCCTGGATCCAGGTTATCCCTGATCGTGCCTTCGAACAGAGCCGCATCCTGTGGGATGATGGCTAGTCGGCGCCGCAAATCCAGCAGCCCAATCGTCGAGGTGTTCAACGCATCAATGCTTATATTGCCCTCACTTGGCTCAATGATCCGGAACAGAGCAAGGGTCAGAGAGCTCTTCCCCGCTCCGGTGCGACCAACAACGCCAATCTTCTCGTGAGGCTTGATATCCAGATTAATGCCCTTGAGAACGAGATCCAAGCCTTCACGATATCTGGTGCTGTAGTTGTTGAAGTTCACTGCGCCAGACGCAGGCCAACTGATTGGTGGTCGATTCCTGTGGATTACTTCGGGAGCTTCGCTTGGCAGGCGTGCATATTCCAGAACCCGTTCCACAGAGACGATATTCGTCTCGACTTCAACCGTTTGACGAACGATCCAGTTCAGTGATTGGGTGATCTGAAGGGCATACGACATGGCCAGGCCCACCAGCCCAGCAGAGAGCCCACTTCCTGTGGACACTGAGATGATGGCGAACCCAGCGGCGCTGAGGATAATGATCGAACCAAGAAACTCGAGTCGTACGGCAAGCCATCTAATCGAGATGTCAGCAACGGCGAAATGCTCGCCAAACTGCAACGCTGCGAAACATACCTGTTTGCGTTTATGGAGGGGAAATACGCCCGAAGATTTGCATCAACTCGCCATTCGTTTTCCTTCGCAAAACGGGCCTGCTGTCGGTACGCCCGAATCGTCGTGATGCCTCCGAGCGACTCCTGGAAATGTGCATAAATGGGACTCCGGCTCACGCTGTCGAGTCGTTTTAGTTCCCGAGATGTGCGTAGATAGTATCGCTGGACCCAGTAGTAGACGCCCGCCAAGGGGACAATCAACGCGATGAAGACCGGGGTTGATGTCGAGATGACGGCCAGCGTGAATATTGCCCGCGCGCTGTTGACGAATAGCATGTTGAACGTCCTTGCAAGGACCTAATCTTGGTCAATATGGAACCAGCAGCTTGGTAACACAGATCCAACTTACTTCGTCGACGCGGTAAATATCGCTATTGGTTGATTGGTGTTAGTAAAAACAGTGTCAAGGATGATTCGGGTTGTTCAAGTTCCACAGCATGCCGGCCAACAAATCCGGCGCCATTTAGGGAAGCTGGCTGCAAGATGGCCGGGTCTTAGGCCCGATGCTTGACTCGACCCTGCACGCTCGGCCATCCCCCACACTTGATCGCTGGACCCAGCAGCTGAAAAGGAAGGGGTCACAGCCACGGCGGAATCCAGACCCAAGGGTCCGAAACAAGCCTTGGGAACTTTTTAAGATGTTGGGACATTAAGACATAGAAAATATAGGAGCACGAACCTTGAGAATCTGTTCAGGATTCGCCCCGCGGGAGTGCTACAAACACGGTCAGTCGCACTCTGACTCAGGATCGGTTCAACTCACGTTTCGAAGAAGCTCATCGGAGACCTGAAAATAGCAAAAGCCATCCTCTCATGGAGCTTTCTGGACGCCTGTGCCGGGACACCAATTTAGCTTCCGTTCCGTAGTCGCATTTGCTTGATGCACCGCTCTGGTTGCACTTACCTCGATGGAACAGAAGATCCAAAGGATCAAAGTCTGGACGACGACGAGGGACGCGGACCCGATGCCGAATGCAAAGTAGATCCCAATGTACTTGCCGACATTCGGATTCTTGCCTTCCTCGCCGTTGGCTTCGGCCCATTGCTTCAACCAAACGCTGCCCCCTGCGTACAATCAGTATCTGAGACATGTTGCATGGTGTGTATTTTGGGGCGGTCCGCGGGAGAGATCCCTGAGAAAAAAGAAAGTCGAGATCGAGGTAGCTTACCGATTTGAGCCGTTTGTCCACCGATCAACATGAGACCATATATCATTACAGCGAACAGATTGCTGGTCTTTGCATACTCGAGGTACACTAATGCAAGTAGTCAGCCATCAAACATCTGATCGATGCACCGGGTACCGGGTTCTCCTTACCATCCCACTTGACCTTTCCCTGTTCGGAAAACTCCTTGCTTTGTTTTGACCGGGATGACGGCTCCTCCTCATCTCGAAGTTTGCCTCGAGGTCCCTTGAAGCTGGCTGTGCTTGCACGTCGCAGAGTTGTCGTGCTGCCTTTACGTTTCTTGACTCCATACCCTGAAGATCTGATGGGTTGCAACTGTGTCAAACGTTCTTGAGCCTCTTCCATTTCGTCCTCTTTCTCGGCGTCATCCAGCTGCTCAGGCTCGATGATGGTTGATGAGTTGCTTGAACTGGCTTCCGATTCTAGTGGAGACTCCTGATTTCCAGCGGTCTTGATCAGGCTAGAAATTTCTCCTTTCATCGCCATGAGCTGGCTGTAAGTCCCTCGCTCGATGATCTTGCCCTCGCGAATCATGCAGATATAATCTGCCTCCATCAAGACGGGAATTGAGTTGGTGGCCAATACTCTTGTTTTACCGTTCAACAATCCTTTGGGTCCAAACACATTGTCAATCAAGTGTCGTCCGACATGTTGATCAACAGCAGACAAGCAGTCGTCAAGTAAGTAGATGTCAGCTCTGGCATACACAGCTCTCGCAAGTGTCAATCGAGCTTTCTGACCTCCACTGAGCGAGATACCGCGCTCTCCAACTTCTGTCTCATCGCCATCTGGCAGTTGTGCAAAGTCCTCGAGCAAGGCACACGCCTTCACTGTCTGCTCATAGAACATCGAGTCATATCGATGACCGAAGAGAATATTATCCTTCACACTCGCGTTCATGACCCAAGGCTGTTGAGCAACGTATGCCGTGGCTCCATGAATGACGACCTGTCCCTTGACCTTCCACAAGTCCCCAAGAATGGCTTGGAGAAAGGACGACTTTCCAGCTCCCACTCTCCCAACAATGCAGGTAAGCTCGCCCTTCGCGGCAGTGAAGTTGATATCTTCAAGTGCATTGCGGTTCGCATATCTATCCCAAGAGAAAGTTCCATCCTTCACGGAAATCGATTCATCGCCTTGCTCGTCAACGGCACCTCTCAGAATGACAGCATCTGGTTGCAGCTCTTCAGCAGTGAAGAATGCGGTCAAGCGGCCAACCGCCACGGAAGCTTCGATGATGGACGTGATGACCATAGGCAGGATTGCCAAGGGAAACGTCAGAAGGTTGAATAGTGTCAAAGCTGGGAAGACAATGTCGGTCGTCAATGGGGTGTCGCTTGTCAAGACGAAGACAGTGAAGGTAGAGCAGGAGACTAGGAAAGGGGTCGTTGACCAGGTGAAATTGGCAACAGACTGAGCAGCCCCAATTTTTCGGAGAGTCTTCAGTTCCAAGTCATTTCGTACGTAGTTGAGCTTTTGCATGAAAGCACTGCCCCAGGCGTACAATTTGATACTCTTCATGTTGTTGATAATCTCCGCGATGAGTCTTGTACGTGAATCCTATTCGATAGTTAGTTGTTGTTTGCCACAATATGAAGCTTTGAGAATGCAATGTGATCTATGAATCAGTCCCTTTCCTGTGACTGAATTTTGGACTTGCAACAATGCTGCTCTCTTCCCCAGCGAGGACTAAATGGTTGCAATTGAGCTTCCCAAAAATGAGAAGCGCCAAAAGAGGTAACAAGAGAAAAGATCAATCCAAATTTGATCACACATACCTTATTCTTCATCTGCTTCTTCTGCAACGTCTTCATCAATCTCGCAATCAACCCATTAATCGGAATCATCAGAATCATCGCCCCAACACCAGCCAACATGCTCAGTCCAACCAGCTGATACAGACTCAGCATACAAAGCACAATCTGATACGGGGCGCTCCACAGCTGCTGACCGTACTGCGTCAGATCTTGCAACCGCTGTGTATCAACCGCCATATAATTAACAATATCGCCCGTACTCTTGCTCGCTCTACCTTCATTGGAAAGCTTCAGACTCTTTCCATAAATGGCGGAAGTCAGAGCGGTCTTGATCCGCATCCCTGTCTCGAAGGCACGCTGGAAATATTGGTGTAGGGCCATGGTTTGGCCTACTGAGACAGCGAACATTGCCAGTGCGATGGCGGCGCCTTTGATGACTGGCTGCGCTTCTTCGCCTTTATTGTATGAAGTGACGAACTTGATGAGCAGACGGAGAAGCTGCGGCTGTACGAAAGCCAGAGTGTCAGAGACGGTTTTGAAAAGAGCGCCTCTAAAGTACGGGCCGCTGAAAGCTCTGAAAATCGCCATCCAGAGACTGGGATGTTTCCTATTTTCCAGCTCGTGGTCCCAGGCCTTTTGGAAGGCGTCTCCTGTTGATTTAGTGGTGTCCCTTTTGGCCAAGTTCCAGAGGTCGTCTTCGATGAGGTATTTCTTGTAGCCATGCCGCATCATAGGCGTCATCCAGCTGAATGTCAGGATCGAGAACACGGTGGCGTATTCGACGGGACATTCATCCTCATCTTCCAGAGCCTGATACGCACTCTTCTTCTTTGGTACCAACCACTCGAGCCCAAACTCTACCCACGCCAGCGCAAAACCTACACAATAGGCCACGAAGAATGGCAAATGGATGGCATATATCTGTTGGCTGATCAAGCTACGTAGCTTCACTGACCATGCAATAAGCAAGAACAGCCAGTAGAACAGCACAACCCCGTTCGGATTCCTTAACCGCGTATGCTCCAGCCACTGAATCGCGAATATAACGCCCAGCGACAAGACCGTTAGCACGCTCGTCCAGAACCGGAAATCGCCCGCCCACACTTCAGGGTAGTTCAGTATTTGGAAGACGAGCTGGAGGACCACCGCTGCCGCAATCGCTACAATTATCGCCTGCCCTTTCATCAGCAACCTATTTTCATTCCTTCCCTTCCCATTCATTCCCTGTTCGAACTAGAAAAAAGGGAAGAGAAAGGCTGGAATGAGGAGAGACCTACATGTTTACACCAAAAACACCAATCCCTCTCGACCACCGCCCTCGTTTTCCGCCGCACTAACCACCACACCGCAACAGCCCCGAACAGAATCCCATACACGGCCACAGTGCTGACCCAAACATCCATAAAGCAAGGCGTGAAATCATATCGTTCCTTGCTCAACGGCCCCCATCCTTCGGCGTTGCCGCATAACGGCTGTCCGTCCTCCTTCACCGACGATAGATACCCATATCCTAACTGCTGTATCGTGCTTCGGAAGCCGGAGAAGGAACCTGTGGAGAGCAGTGGTGGAGGGCGGGCTGCGGTGTCGGAGGAGGAGGAAGAGTTGGAGAAGGCGGCGCTGAGGATATGCTGCTGCATTGTCTCGATCCCAACTGAAGGACCCTCGCAGAGGAGCGAAGGAGATGCCGGGTTATGGAGAGAGGAGAAGGTGGGGAGTCGTGGTGAGGATGGGTGAGGTGAGAAGAAGGCTCGAAGTGTAAACGTTGATCAACGAATAGTTGCGTCGGGTTTAAGCTAAGCTTTCGCCGATACGATGCAGGCCAGGCTCCCTTTCTCCACTGACGCGCAGCTGCTTTGTCACTCAGTTCATGCCGTCGAGCCCCTAAATTCTGGTACCCAGTCACGGATTGTGCATTTCATAGTTTGGTCTACAATGCAATTGCAGTCATTACCCAAACGCTCTCTTCTTTTACGAAGCTTTATTTTAGTGTTTGAGCAAATGCCATGGCATCATGATCGGACCCCTCCAAGCTCAATAATCCCAGCTGTGAGCAAGAACCCTGATTGGCCCTACGTCACTCGTCAACGGCCTCCCCTGTCCTGCTCCAGAAATCTAGATTTCAGAGCAAAGGAAGAGGCAGAGGTACCGTGACTTCGACTCGATATTGCCATGCCTTCCATCCAACTTCTGTACTCCCCGAGCCAAAACTTTGTACTACAGGAAGAGTAAGGTCCGAAGATGTACCTACCCAGCCTTGCATGCCATCCGAGCTGCCTTGTCGTGTGACAAGCTTCACATGAAGCTGCAGTAGGCCTCAGAGCGTTGAGATCGTGCATAATGCACTGTTCAAAACCTTTACCTTTTTGGTTGAGAATCGGATCGCGTCATGAGGGGAAGCAGGATACTTTAGTGGAATTTCTTGATTTGCTTAATTGCTCCCTCCGTATCAGACACCGAGAACAATCTTCGTGAAAAGCGCCAGAAGCATGTGAAAGGAGCCCCCCAATGTTTTAGTTCTATGACTCTCGTTGTCATCAAACATCCGTCCCTTGCCTTTCTGGTGCCAGTAGTAAAAAAAAGAGAAAGTAATGTAGAAAACATCACAAAGCGCCGTAGCAGCAGTTGGCAATGCCTTAATGGATCCACCACCGGTTGGGGAAAAGAAGTAGAAGCAAAAAAAAGGTCGATACATGAAGAGGCAGCGACAGGCGAAATCGTCAATCGTGTGCAGGGTATCATCCTATCGTAACCCACCCAGATCCTGCATTGTGAAGGGCCGCCCACTGATCGAAAGAGATGTAACTTTTTCTAATTGTCTCCAGTAGATGCACCATCATCCTTCTTCGGGGCCAAACCAGCACTCTGGCAAGTCTTCTTCCATGTCTCGACTTCTCGCCATGCTCGCTCACACTCGGCCTTCAACTTATCATTGCTGGCACTGAGTTCGGCAATGGCTTGCTCAGTGAGAAGCTTCTCGAGGGTCCACTTTTCAATGTTTTGGGTCTCGTTCTCCTTAAGTTGGGTGATGAACTGAACAGCGCGTTGTAGAATCGAGCCCTTGTTCTTCTCACAACCGGGGACGATCTTGGCTAACTCGTTGATACCCTCGTTGATGGTCTCTCGGCGGCGTCGCTCAACTAGATCCTTCGTTAGCTTTCGTGTGCAAATCCTTCCACCTTATCTCTCACTCACCCTCCTTGTGGTTGTCCTTTCGGACCTTGTGCCATTCATCGGATCCAACAGCTGGCTTGTTACCAGAGCCTCTACCAGATGGTGTCGAGTTCTCCATGAAGCTATCTTGTTGTTGACTGTTGTCCATGAAGGAAGACTCTGGGTTGCGATCGGAATCGGAGCCTTGCGTAGCGAAGGAGACATCTGTCGGTTGAGGAACGGTCATGGTAGGGTAGATACCGGCCAACGCAGCAGCAGCGGTCGAAGCATGCTCGGCAGAGCCGTTATGGTTATCAAGGTGACCATGGTGGAGGGAGTTGTAATCTTGTAGGGCCTCGACACCGCCGTCCTGCTGATCCTTATTGCCAGTGGGGGAAACGCGCTTGGTACCACGTCTCATGTCATCAGCTGATTCAGAGTCGCGCTTTCGCTTCTGGCCAGGACCCTCTGTAATGCTGTCTCCACGCATAGCGTTCGCAACCTCCTGCAAGCCTGAATGTTCGAGATCCATGTCTGACATCGATAACTCGTGACGCGCCTTGCAATATGATTCGTAGGAGGTGGGCGATTAGGGTTCCGGGAGGCGCAGATGACCTCGAGGGGTTGGTGGTTAGATTTTAAGGCTGAAGCTGTTCTTCGCAGTGGAAGATGACGTGTTCTACCGAGGTTTGCACAGGTACAACGAGTAGAAGTACTGCGCTCCTGAAGCAATGGGAGTGTCTTGGGGATTCGCGCCGATAGAGGTTCTCGAAACGCTCTGCTGCAGTAGTTCGCTCAACAGGTACTGTCGCGACGAACGTTTTTGTGGCCTTTAAAGTCGCACCTACAAGGTCAGCACGTGTCATTGCAGTTGAGGTCGCACGTAGCAATTGAATTGCTCATGTGCTGACAGGAGATGAGATGTTCAGTGACTTGGGGGCGCTGGGATGCGATGCGCTCGACAGGTCATTGTAGCGACGCGCTGGCGAAGTACAGTACAGAGCTCGCTCTACTGGAGCTTCCGGCGCGGCTTGCAAACAGAGACATTGTTTGCAGCACAGCGCAAATGCCTGAGCTGCCTGCACAGCGTGAGGTGACAGTGAAGGGAGGGAGCAGTTCGGTGTTTGCGACCCGGTGACAGGAGCGCGACGCGCACTGGGTTTGGACCAACAGTACGGCCAGGCGCGGTGATGTCCGGGTATTGGAGCACCTAACGAGGGATCGTGACCTCTTTCAGGTCGCGTGGAAAGGGAGCCACGGCAACTTGGCCCTGAATGGTTGCACGAGAAGGGCGAGGGTAGGAGTGGGGAGTGGGAAGAGACATATGGAAGAAGGCGGCAGCGGCAGCAGCAGCAGTAGCAGCAGCGCAAAGCGACTTGGATGAATGGGACTTGGAGGTTTGATCTGATATGGGGGAATGGGTAACGTGAGGAGATGCGGCACATACCTGGCTGGCTGTCGCTTCCGAGTATCACGACCGACTATGCGCCGCGGAGACGACTTGTTGATAAGTGCGGTCGCAACGCGCCGAACTTGTGTCGCGGGTCTGTAAGGGCGATCTCAATGATGAGAATAATCCTGCTCGAAGGCGATGGATGAATTGGCTCGATGGCCGCGGGGCGGGTTGTTGTATGGTTGATGGGGGGGTTTTTGGGGGAAGTCAGCAGACACAAACGTGACTGAGGATCACGAGCACCTTCGCGATCACGAGCCGCTGAGGATGCGCGCGAATTGGTGGACGGCAGCCGAATCAAAGCGGGAGTGTGGAGGGGGGATTGAAGTGATTGCAGAAGAGGATGAGACAGGCCGGACACCCTCTTGCGCGCAAGCAGGTCGATCTGTGTGTGGGTGCAGGGAGAGGAGAGAGATATCGAAGTGGAGGGGATTCCAGGAGAGATGAAATATTCACGTGCGGAGTTATGCTCTGCACACCTGACAATCGGCCTGCCTGCGCCTTCCCGTTTCGGGCGGTAGCGTGTGGGCTGCTCGGGCAAATTGAGGGTGCGGTGCGGCGGGAGGACCGCAACCGCAGCAAAGGAGGACCTGCCGTGGTTCGGCACAGGGAAGGGAAGGTGAAGCAACAAGGTCAATGGGATATATACGTATGCAAAGGTGAATGGGGAGTCACTGCCATTTGCTGATAGTAAAGTCTACCTATTTATCTATCTAGACTTCTGGTAGATTTTCTGTATGCCGGGTACATCCACGACAGCAAAGAATGAGTAGTGCACACAATCTACTCGGCCCGCAGGAGCTCAGGAAGAATACGGATGCTCTGCAGCCCGCCGTAATGATGTAGTGGACCAGATGTCGGAGGCGAAGCTCCACGATAGCAGATGTGTGAAGAAGCATGAACAACTTTGACTGAATTTCTTCTACGAACCCATTTAATCACTGTGGCTGCTAAGCTCCCCAAAGTCACACGTAAACTTCTACCATTCAAGCAGAGCTCCTTCCCGGCCCCCAAGACATACAGTAGTCCAATACTCCGCCAGTTCACACGTCCAGTATCAAACCACCACCCTTCGTCGCATGCTGCCTCCCCCTTCCACAGCAAAATGGCGGACCACATAACCTCCAAGCTAAACCCCGAAACACATCTCATCCTCGTTAGCTCTTTGCCCCCCTCTTCCTCCCTCAAACTAACCCTCTCCCAGGACCAACCCCTCCTCCGCCTCCCCTTCGAGCTGCTCCGCAAGAACTTCAAAGTCGCCCACTTCAACGTGGAAAAAGAATCGACCGCCGTCAAGATCACCCTGAAAGAAACTGCCACCACCTCTCTAACCAACAATGCCTCGCCCGACGAAGTGCTCAAATCCGTCGACTCGATGCTGGCACGAATGCGGGGTCTAAAACGCAAGCTGAACGCATGCTCGGAGGAAGAAAATCGTTTACACCAGCAATCACAGAGTCGGATAAAGTATTTGGGGGAGTTGTATGGCATGCAGAGTCTGGATGATGTGAAGTATGAGGAGTGGAGCAGGACGCGGTTGGATCGGTTGTTGGTGGATTATCTGTTAAGGAATGGGTATAACGAGAGTGCGCAGGCGCTGGCGAAGGAGAAGGGCATCGAGGATTTGGTGGATGTGGAGACTTTTGTGCAGATGAGTCGGATACGGGAGAGTTTGCAGAAAGGGGAGGTCAAGGAAGCGTTGGCGTGGTGTGCGGAGAATAAGAAGGATTTGAGGAGGATGGAGGTATGTCCCTTTATACGATATTCCAGATTTGAATGCTGATAAAAAACAGAGTAATCTTGAATTCATGCTCAGATTCCAGCAATATATCGAGCTGGTACGGACGCAAGATCAGAACAAACTCCTCGAATCGATAGCACATGCCAAGAAGTTCCTCATCCCGTTCCGAGACAGCTACCCAAAAGAAGTCCAACAAGCATGCGGTCTCCTCGCTTTCCCCCCTAGTACAGGAGCAGAAGCATATAGCGTACGTCCTCTAGCTATTCTTCCCAGCACAATCTAACTTGCTTCAGGAACTCTACAGCCAAAGCCGCTGGGGCACTCTCTCAACCCTTTTCATGCAAACGCACAACAACCTTCTCTCTCTCCCCTCCGTCCCTCTCTTACATATCGCGTTATCCGCCGGTCTCTCAGCCCTCAAGACACCATCCTGCCACTCCTCACATAACACAGTCTCAACATCCATCTCACCGACATCTTCGTCCTCACTCACTACGTCCGTCTGCCCAATCTGCTCTACGGAGCTGAATGACCTGGCGAGAAATGTGCCGTATGCACACCACACCAAGAGCCACGTAGAGAGCGACTTGGTGCTATTACCTAATGGCTGCGTGTATGGACTGCAGAGGTTGGAGGAGTATAGTCGGAAAGCAGGCCTGGATCCTGGTTTGGTCAAGGATTTGAGGAATGGGGAGGTATTTGAAGTGGAGCGGGTGAAGAAAGTTTATATCTCATAGACTGAGATTGTACTAATCAATGAACATAACGAAGAAATGCAAAATTCTACTTCAGGGGAAGTGCCCACTCCCGACTCTCCGAGAAGTTTATTGTGCTGTTCTTGGCGGTATTTCTGAGCACAATTAACGTGGCGGAGCAGTTGGGCCATCGTTCAATACGCTCAATCAAGCATTGCACCAGTCTATCATCCACTTCGACCACGACCTCCAAACTTATGTGGCTCGCAGTCCCCGGCTCCCCTACGTTCCTGAAAGTTGTTCTCACGACAAGTCAGAAGTCAACTCTGCATAAAATTTCACATAAGATGGCCTCACCAACCCAAAGAAGTCTCTTGTTCCTTTCTCGTTGTTAGACAGCCTGCCTTTGTCAATAGTCTTCATGTTTCGGCGAAATACTTTAAACAATCAGACTAATATAGATGCTTCTCGTCCTGTACTTTTGCCTCCTTATTGTGAAAGTAGGCAGTGTGGTCAAGTCTAAACTAGCCCGTGTGATTGAGGCTCATGCTTGGTGATGCTTCTGCCTTCAACTGTAGCCTCGACGCCGTTATCGTGAATTGAGCAGGGTTCAGGCTAATCCGATCACTTGTTGTGCTTTTCCTTCCTGCTTGCTGGTGACTTGTGCTTAGTAGCCTTTGAAGTCGTCATTGATAGTGTGGCTTCCCCTTTGCTTGGAGTTCAATTTATCAACGCTTTTCATGGCATTCTTGTCTTCATTGCCTCTCTCTACACAAGTCGAAAAGTACTCACATATTCAAGAGCCATCTCATTCGATTCGAACTGCCTAAAGAACGGCAATCCATCTTCATCCGATATCCTACAACTGTGAAGGAAAAAGCCATTGTCAATGACCCTCGACTGCCATCCTTCCTCTCACCTCTTCCATATTGAAGCTATCCTCTTCCACTGCTTCATCCTCCCCTCTCTTCACCAGTCGTCTCGTCTCTCATCTCCAACAATAAAACAAAGCCCTCATTTGCTGCGACAAGCCGAAAGCCGGTGAAGCTGTCCATGAAGAACAGAATCTGTTGCTAATTCAGCAGAATAGTCTGTGAGACGTTAATAAATACTGTACTTTCGCCAACGTATGGGACAGTGAATCACCTTGCTTGACAGTTACGAACATGGCACCTTTTTCTCTCAAATTTCAAAACACCCAATATTCTCGTAGCACTTTCAAAATTACTAATGACTTCACCTACTTCTCGTGAGGCAATGAAATGGAATTTCCCTCCGACTATCGAGGTAAATAGCTCGATAGTTAGCTATCCGTGCCAAGGCCGCCCCGAGCTAAACCCCCCCTAAACAACTCGGTTCCCCAGTACCGAGAACGGTTGCGGGACCTGGCAGCAGCGAACCCCTTTTGGGGAGAAATGTATGACGATCATCAATGCTGGAAATGACTATTTGTTTATGGGGAAAGTTGTCCTAGTGGTATATACCTCTCAATCTCCCCCGCTTCCACGTCTCTTTCTTGCCTTCATTTCTTCATTTCTGACTCTTAGTTTTCGTCATAGGTATCTAGTTCTTAGTCATGCGTCCCGAGGTTCTCTTCGCTCTCAGCGCCATCTACCTGGCCACCATCAATGCAGCACCAAGCGTGAGCCCCGAAGAGCGCTCGGCGAGTTGGTATACCAGCCAGGTGACGGGTTCTACTCACGGCGGCAATGGACAATGCATCGAGAAGATAGTTGGCATTCATGCATCTGCCATGAATACGATGCTGAAGTTTGATCTTCCCGCCAATCAATCCCAGGTTACTGAGACTATTGTTGAGTTTTTGCGTAAGTCATCAGACCTCCTACTCCCGATGATAGCAAGAGGTCTGCAGGAAAGAGGAGTGAATAAACACTGACGAACACCAAAGAGGTCAACGCCACCCTCCCCTCCCAAGTAACGGGCCCCACCCAAAACATCTCAGGAACTTATCCCATCTCCACCAAGCTCTGCTGGCCCGCCACCACCTCCTCCCCATCCAACACCACCATCCAACTCCTCACCCACGGCGTCGGCTTCGACAAGTCGTACTGGGACTTCTACTCCCCCACCTACTCGTACCAAAACACCGCCGCAAAAGCAGGCTACACAACCCTCTCCTACGACCGTCTCGGCGTCGGAAAGTCAGACCATCCAGATCCAATCCAGGTCGTTCAGGCACCGCTCGAAATCGAAATCGCGCACCAGCTTATCCAGAGCTTGCGCAACGGAGGCGACTTCGGCTCTGCCTCCTTCTCGAAAGTAATCGGAGTCGGGCATTCTCTTGGGTCGGAGCTCACAAACGCCGTCACGTCAAAGTATCCCGAGGATGTCGATGCTGCGGTTTTGACGGGGTTCAGCGTCGATACTGCCGGACAAAGCAACTTCTTCTCCGGCCTCGATCTGGTGATCGCAAGAGAGAATCAACCGCTCCGCTTCCCGGAATTGAATAACGGGTATCTGGTCTCGCAATCCATCGTCTCGAATCAGTTTGGCTTTTTCCGCGCGCCGAACTTCGATCCTCTTGTCCTTGAAGCGGCCGAGGCTTCTAAGCAAACGTTCACAATTGGGGAGCTGTTTACGAATAGTATGTTTGTGGGGAAGGCGGGGGAATTTAGGGGGCCTATTGATGTGGTGGATGGCGAGAATGACCTTCCTTTTTGCCAGTCGAATTGCCTTGTACCTGAAAACAAAGCGGAAGCCGTGAAGGAAGCGCTCTACCCAAACGCAAACAGCTCAAGTATGAGCTATATTGCGAAGGGAGTGGGGCATGGACTGAATTTGCATTATGTTGCTGGGGAGGCGTATCAGCAGATCTTTGACTTCTTGGGGAGTAATGGATTCTAATAATCGACGATGAAGGGTGAGGGATGTGGTTGATGATGGGTGGGGAGGAGAGGAATTTGGCTCGTACATAGTACAAAGTTGATGTACATAATGAATCTTCCTTTCTTCTTCCATGTATAAATGATAAAACCGTATGGCACAGCTTCGGCTTCATTTCAAGACAGTAAACACAATCTTGCTGGGCTGGATGTGTTGCACACCACGGAACTGCTACCCAAAAGACGCACACCTAAATCACCCGAAGGTCGGGTGGCTAATCTTCTATTCGTGGTATAGAACGCTTTCATCTCATCGAGATTCGTTGCATGACGCACACAATCGTCCAAACATCAGATGGTTGGTAATCTTTTCATCTCAATGCTTTCTTTCATAGGATGCTTTGAGTCGGTGTGCAACGAAACGATACTCTCTGATTTCGTCCCATCTGTTCAGACTAATCATTATTCCACTTGGATGGCAGAGGATACGCCGTCTAAAGGTGGGATGTGCAACCAATACATGCCACTCAATCGTTCGAATTCTTCTGAAAGTCGGCGACAAACTGTCCTGTTGTATGTTCTTTCTAGAAGGAAATCGAAGACTGAAGCTAGTAACTCGTAGATCATAACCAATTTGCAGCACACCCTTAATTCAGAGACATCTGCTGAAGCTATGTACTAGCAAATGCTTGTTTCCTCTAGCTTAATATCTTAGAATCTCTCTATCCTAAGTCTCTAAAGCAAGTGAAGGAAGTTGTAGTAAATTGCAGCCAAGTCATATCAGGGAGTATTCTATAGCTTTGGATATTTAAGGCTAGGTCTTTGGATATTAGCTCATACCTTGTGAATGATAGCGACCTTATAGCTGCCCTGAATCACAGCCAGCTGTTCTTGCCTACCAATATCCTGTAAATACCAACTTATACGTAAAGCCCTTTAATGCACATCCTAGTCTTTATAACCCCTAGTGTGTAAAAGAACTACTCATACTTACACTACTCATAAATATTCATGATTAGCGTTAGTAGAATATGAGTAGCGTGATAATCTAACAATTAGAGTAGAGTAGAGTATATACTTATGAGTATTTATGAGTACGAAGATCGCAGCATAAAGTGACGAGAATACAGGGCATTTGGCCTCGGCCTGCATTATAGCGTGTGTTTCTAGGGCCGGTCCGCTATAAGACCCTGTATTTATAGGCGGGATGCCCTATAAACCCACTATGAGACATTCGCAGGCGATCCTCAGGGCGTTTGCTGCTAGCCGAGTAACAACGCACTCTAGACGCTATAAGGACAACCATATTGGGGCTTATTAGCAAGCGATCCCCTGTAAGTACAAGGGATATGCCCACAAAAGGTGTGGCACCCCTTGTCTAGGCTTATAGCGTGCTATTTAGAGCAATAGCCTACGATTATAGGGCCCTTTAGTGGACTGGGTAGCCTGAAAAAGGTGCTGTAGTGGACTTTCAGAAGAAATGCCCTGTATTCCCGACACTTTATGCCGCGATCTTTACACTCATGAATACTCGTCACGTGACTACAGTAAATCAAGGTTTACTTAATCATTTTTAAATAACTAAGGTATCTATTAAGCAGCCCTAGTAAAGTTAAGCTAGGGCTTATATAAGGCTAACTAAATACTAATTTTCTATAATAATACACTAATTCTTCTTAGAATCTTGTTTCTTCTTCTTCTTCTTTTTAACTTCTTTTAATTCGTCTTTGTCACGGGTACGGCATTCAGGGCTTGGAAAGCAAGGTAGAAGGTCCCTTATGAAGACGATTCAAAGCTAAAGAAAGGAAGACTAGAATACAGGAGGTTGCGAGGGCATAAGTGCACTCTATAATGCGCTAGTCCGCATTGGGGCTTAGCGTTCTAAATTTCTTATACGTATTCCATATGCTACGCGGCCGCACCACGTGCGTGTCTATCAGGTGACCAGAACGTCGAAACCTGAACCGTAACAATTTAGTTTTAATTAAGGATTCTTAAGACATTTTCGAATATATTTAATATAAACGAGTATATTTATAATAGAAAATATATTAATAGGTGCGATAATTGAGTTTTATATTAATTAAAGTATAAATAAGAAATAAAATATTGCAGTAAATGCGGGTATATATAATATAATTGAGATGTCCCGAGCTAAAGGCTCGGGTGCTCGGTAAACTAAGTGAATGTAAAGTCACGTGACACCTGCACGTGACACCAAAAATCAAGGAAAATAGTATATTTTTATAGAAAGTTCTAATATTCTAAGAACTTCTTAATTATTCCTCTTAATTATAAAGAATCACCTTATTTCGGAGATTCTAGGCCCTTGATTTTTAATTCTTATTAATAGAATTACTATTATTACTAAGTGCTTAAGTCGAGGCCATTCTAGAAATGACGTCGAGCTTCGGTGCTAAAGGCGATGCCACTGCCTAATTGGGTAGCGAGGTTGCGCTATAGCGGGAGCTTTGCCTAATAAGGCTAGTTTGTCACGTGCTATATCACGTGCATACCACTCATCCTACTCATAGATATTCGTAATTGGCTTGATTAGAATATAAGTAGAGTAGGAGTAGGACCCACTACTCTACTCTGCTATTAACCCCAAAATGATTTGAACAATAACTTGTTGCCACAGACCCTTTGATCAACGTTCTAGTCTTTACAACCCCAAAACCCTTTGAAACAGACCCTTTGATCAACGTTCTAGTCTTTACAACCCCAAAACCCTTTGAAATAATGCCCAATTCACAGACGTCCCTTGATTCACAGCCCAGTCACCACGCCTATAAAAAACCCTCTTCGCTCCCGAGAATGAACTCTCCTCCATCCATCAAACATCTTTTCCCTCAAGCAAAAAAAGATAAGGCAAAGACTTCGAAGCACTCTATCGAAGACAAACATATCCTCGAGTATCTTCTGTCAAACTTCAGCTACTTCGAGCTCTCTTCAAGACTAAGAAGGCTCTCGGATTGAGCACAACTATACACGAGTACCAACGGATTTCCCCAAAGAGTGAAAGACAAGCTTACCTTCCAGCATCTTGGTTGAAGGTTTGGTTCTTTCGAGGCTTCTCCAAGACTAGCGAGTCTCTTCACGAGCGTCCACCATCTCCTCAAAGATCTCAATCCCACCGCCTCTGCCTTGAGCATACCAAAACCCATCTATATGTGCGATTATAACGAAATTCTCCACACCTGCGGCTGCCACTCCACTTGGCACAGATATAGCAATTGTGCACTCTTCAACAACAATGTAGATTGCGGTCCGGGGAATAACAGATATGACTTACCAAAGGGAGCTTCGGGAAGAAGATGTGATAATTGCGTTAACAAGGGCCAAATGGAGTTACGGAACGGCAAGAGGATTGGGGGAGGCGGGGGCAAGGGGGGCGGCGGGCGGAAGTCGGGGACGCTTGGGTGATCGGGGTGTGGGCCTCGTGGTTGAGTGTAGGTTGCAGATTATAAGAGCATATTGGTGGATTGAGAATTTTGCTTGTCTGAGTACAACGGGAATCTTTAAGGGGACTGTATTTCTTGACAAGGTTACTATCGCTGGAGTTTTGCATGGTTTTTGCATGGTTTTTGCCTTACAAGGACATTCTCTTTGCATTTTTGTTTTCGGAAATGGAGGTGTGTTGGATTCATGGTTTGGAAAAGCGCTTTTAGAGATATGTCGAGTACACATCGCTATATTGGACTTTATCTTTGCTGTTTTGGTACACAGTCATGTATGGCTGAGAATTGAAATGGTGGGTTTGGAAAAGTGTTTTTGCGGATACCGCTTGTACATACTCATGTGTTGGACTTCTGACTATTAATAAAAGCTCGTTGGTTTTGCATAAATCGTTATCAGTGTGTGTGTGATACTTGACTGAACTGTGTAACCTGTGTAACTTTGATACATAAAGGGTTAGGTGGGAGTCCAGAGCCCCTCATAGTTAGAGAACAAAGAGAAAACTTCCACTGCTGATCGTGAAAGGTGCGTAAGCCCCAGCAGCTTGAGTAAAAATGTGCATATCAAAGGTGAACAAATTGGCATAGAGAAGACGCAGAAGCAGTAAAGAACAGCCTTGCTGTGGGTGGGGTCAACAAAGCCTCTGGAAACTTTTCCGTATCGTGAGCTATCTGGTTTATTCCACGAGCAGACACTTTGTGAGTAGACTGCTCTCTGTTTTACCAATTCGTGCTTCATTATCAGAGAAGGGTATATACTTCGCACTCTTGCCTCATCCCATTGGTCAAAAACATCAGCTCCCACCTCCAAACCTCAAACAGGCAACCCCCTAGCCCTCCTCTCATCCTCCTCCTTCTTCTGTTGTACCCTGGCCAAGAACTCCTGCCTCGCCTTGTAACTCGCCTTACTCTTCCCAGCAGCATCCAACTCATCCTTAATGCCTTCCTTATCCACAAAGCCCGCCCAATCCATCGCGCTCTTCTCCACCGTATTCAGCTTCTTCCCCTTATCCCTGCCCAACTCACTTAGCTTAACATCACTCTCCTTCCTCTCCCCGAAATGCAGATCATATCTCTTTGGCCAGCCTTCTAGGGGCACAGGCTCAAATATAGAACGTCGGGCTTTCTTTACCAGGCGTTTGGGTTTGGTGAATGGCGAGGGTTCTTCTTCTGCTGGAGGGGCGGGAGGCGCGTTTTCGGGGAGGGAGGCAAGATACAGCTTTGCTTCGGCGGAATTTCTTGCTACGAGCTTTTGTTCAGTGTGAACTTTCCCGGCAAATGTGTATGTTCGCTTTATCATTATCATCGAATCAGGGCCATCGTTCAAGGTACTCGGGGACCTTGTATCCTTCCTAGATTCTTGCGCGAGCGAGTTGCGTTTCGTGGTCGGGTTTAGAGGTGATTTGAGGGGTGGTGCTTCTATGGAGGCCACAGGCTCGGAAACTTGTGGAAGAGGTTTCCCAGATATCATGGCGTTCCAGACTGCATCGACATCGACTGTTGCGGCCGTTGTGTCTACTAACTTCTTCTTTTTCTCGACACTCCTATATCCCAACCATCATTAGCATTCATTCCAGTTGGTGGACCCCAAAGATTTAATTCAGGAGAGAAGAATAAAATGTACTCCACAGCCCTCATGCTCCTCGTTTTCACGAAACCTCCCTCACCACCTTCATCTTCCAGCTCTACCGCCCGGCTCTTCTTCCCCTTCTTCCTCTTCGGTGCTTCATACTCCTTTATAACCGCCTCATCCCCAGAGTTCTCAAATCCTACATCCTCTGCCTCTTCCTCGTCACCCCTCTTCCGCTTCTTATTCTTGGGCTTTGCTTGCGCTTTCGAGGTCGGTTCGTCGGCCTCTGATTCCGAGTCGGAGGATTCCACTTCTGGAGCGGGTGCGGTATCGGGCGCGAAGTCGGAATCTTCTTCAGAAGCGTAGTCTGAGTCCGAGGGAACGATTTCTGGCGGCATGATGAGGGGTTGTGGTTGTGGGATGGAGTGAGGTTGTGATGTTGACTTTTGGTGGCGCGAGAAAAGACGAGGTTCGCGACGGGGCGAGGCTGACAAACCATAAATACGAGGCTGTAGCCATGAAAGGGGTAAGAGCAGGGGTTAGCGACCCCACCTTTCTACTATCTGCCTGAATTTTTACCTTTCTCATCCAACTTTGGAGAGCATCAGTTCTCAAGAAAATTCCGAAAAGTGTCTATCTTCGGAATTGATATCTTCGCAAACACCGATTACAATGCTTGGGTTCTCAATCAGCTCTGGTAAGTTTCAACTCCATCATTGCCTACACTGTATGTGTTAATCAAGACTTGTAGCTAAATCAAAATCTCTCAGGAACCGCAGAACCCGTAATTCTGCCCGCAACGAAGACACCGACATTACTGCACGTTGCCTTTTGGATACAATGTACTTGTTCTTCAACCACAGTTGTCAAGTCCCTTGCATAGTCTCCGTCGATAACATCAAAAAAAACCCCCGATGCTTTCTTGGCTTCGGTGGATTTGAGAAGGGCCAGAAGGTGTTTAACAATTATTTGCCTGCGCCTGCTTTAGGTGTTTGGAGCAAAGTTCAAAGGCAGGAAATGCTGGGAGAAATGTTGGATGACCGTGCAAGTGCAAGAGGTGCCAGTCGTGACCATTGAAACTCGGGCGATCTTGTTAGAATGAACAAAATTGCTGCATATTTTCTCACACCATTCTGAGTAGAGGGTCGTACAAAAATGACTTTGTCCTAGTTGTCGGCCTCACGTTGAGGCCGATAATTATCTGTTTTACCATTCTTTGCGGAAGGGAGAAATATCATTTTTCTCAACCAACTTGTTCATTTTCTAGTTACCGTAACAAAATTGGTGGCGGTGTTCTTCGAGAAGGTAAAGCAACGCTGTGGCTGATTGGACGCAGTGTCTCAGTTGACAACCTCAAAGGAAGCCTTGCGAGAATGATCAAGACGAGCTCACGATCAACCAATGATTATCAGAGAACCCGCACCTGCTGGTGAGCGGTAATGGCAGATCCTTTCTCCATCGTCGGCCTCGTCGGCGTGACTCTCAAGAGCATTTTACAAGTCAAGGGGCTCATCGACACCGTCCAGCGCTCGCCCCGCTCGATCGAAGCCCTCGGAGACGAACTCTCGACTATCGCAGGCCTCCTTCGTGAATTAGGATACCTGGCAGATAGCCCGGATGAGCTCAAATTGAACCGCATTGTGCGCGAGCCGCTGGCGAACTGCGAAAAGATATCCAAGCAGATCGAAAAATTGATACAGCCGTATGTCAAAACATCAGGTGGAATCACTAAGTGGGGCAGGTTTGCGTTTGGGTTTAAAGAGAGTGATGTGCTGTTGTTGCAGAGGGATATGTCTGCTTGCAAGCAGAATTTAACTCTTGCTATAACCAGCGCTGACCTGTAAGTTTGTGTCTCTTAAGTTCATTTGCTATTAGAGTCAAGATGCTGAGATCAAAGCGAATAGGATCACTACCCGAAAGGTTGTACGTGGAATGAGGAGGGACCAGAAACACTTTGGAATCCCCTCTTCCTCCATCGCGCAATCAGATACAGATGAGAGGAAGCATGAGCGGATCAAAGAGTGGATGGTCGAGACGGAAACCATCGTGGAAGAAGAGGAGGAGGAGGAGGAGGAGGAGGAGCCATTAGATACTGCAGGAGGAAGTATTCAGCAAACTGAGCCCAGCAGATCGAGACGCCAGCAGGGCGAAAACTCGATTGAATTATCTGAGTCGAGTCACTCAGGAAGGCCATCGCCGAACCTCTCGCCCATCTCCAACAGTTCCATCCCTGATGGAAGTGAGGTCAATGATGCTCACGGCAACGTGTATTTTCCGGGGGAGAGGGACGCGATTGCGCTGTGTGCATTCAATGGGAAGCGGTCTGGATATTTGAGATTTAAGAAGGGTGATCTTATTACGGTGACGAAAAAGACATCTTCTACCAAAGATTGGTGGAAAGGCATCATCGCAGGCACCTCCGGCGCCCGAAGCGGTACCTTCCCTGCCAGCTACGTGGAAATGCGTACTTCTAGTGGTGTAAGTTGAAATTGATGTCAAACTCAATCAAAGCTCAACAGTTCCCAGATAAATCCTCAGCCTTCAGCGAAGGGCAGTCAAATGCCTCCCAGAAAGCTCAAAGAAGCCATACCCCGAAAAGGACGCACTATGAACCCACCGAGCAAGAATATAACTGTCCATATTTCTTACTGGGGTTGTTGGGACTGCCTTGAATTCGAGGGGAAAGATACCATCGCTAAGGTGAGGACTACGTTTGTTCTTCGAGCAGGATTTATGGACGATGAAAAACCACTTTCTTGGAACGGAATCATTCTGGACGATAAGTCAACACTTGGTCAGTATGGTATTAAAAATGGAGACGTAATCGATGTTCGTTGGGCTCGGGGGTGGAAGAAAAACTTGATGCTCGATTCTAATCGGAGGCTGGGAAGCACCCTAATATAAGTACAGAAAATCCACTGGTCTCCCAGCCCCCTTAGCTGCTTTGGGCACTCTAAGCTTGGGCACCTTTCAAAACTCGGTGTAACTTTTGTTTTTAATTCTTGTAGGAGCAATGAGTGGCTAAGACTTCGTTGCTCAGCGGCACGAAGTCGGTTGAAGCAAGGGAAATGGAACTGTCCCCGTTTCCTGTCCTTATTCTTGAGCGAAATAGAGATCCAATAGCGATGTGGGGAATCATACGTACAAATACGTACACTCAACGAGTGGAAGGTCGACAACAAAATTCTTGCTGCGCGTCAAGGAAGGACATGCACTGGAGGTATAGCAATCCTGCATGTTGAATCTATCTATTTCCCCAACATCCTCCATCCCACAATTCCTTGTCCCTCTTCTACAATACAGAGCGTTATCAACCCCACTTCGCAGCCAAAGCACCACACCGCTCCTTCGTTACCCCAACTACACTCTCATGCCTCAACTTTATTGGCCAAGCAGTCCTACTCGCATCCGTCCACCCTCCATTTATCAATCCCGCTCCATCTGCACTTTTAAAACTACTAGTGAACGGCCAATACCCATCGGACCCATAATAATCCATAATCAGGACGACCTTGGAGGGTCGGTGTTATCTTTATATCTGATGCCTTCGGAGTCAGCTGGAGTCTTGCTGGGAAGACTGAGGGGAGTCTAAATTAGAGTTCGACTTGAGGATAGGAGTGAGCACCTCGTGGGCCAGGTTCCCTCTTCAGGCTTTTCCGGGTATGGCTGGACATATACGCTTCACTCACACCGGCACAAGAGCAGATGGAGATTGACCTACGCATAAGGCCCCTCCACCGCGCTTCTCACAAACGCATCTTTCCCTCCTGGTCTCGTCCAACTTCCAAATAATCCATTAGTAGATACTTCCATGAAGACGTTAGATGCGGATTCGTTCTTCATGGAGCGCACGAAAGTCGAGGCGGAGAGCGGCAAGATGCAGAGGTCGATTATCGAGGTTGGCGCGTAGGAGATGAGGGTTTGGGGCGTGGAGAAGGTGAGAAGGTCCGGGGTGTAGGCGTAGCGGATTTGCTCGGGGCCTGTGGCGCTTGTGTGTGCGGTGTCGGAGGGGGAGTAGAATTTAAATGCCCAGTGGACTAAGTATTGCCCTTTCGCAGGGTACCAAATGGCGCCCGGAGCCCAGACCATGCCTGCGTTGCCTTCTACTTTCACCAAACGGTAGGTTCCCCAAGTTATTAGGTCTGTGGACTCCCAGATGTGGATACTCTGGCTGTCTTTTCGTTGCGAGGCGTCCCACGTTGTCCTCCCAATATCCAAATCCGTCCCAATTATATATCATTTCTTCCCCCCTTCCGTCCCATTGCCACTCACGATACTCGGGTCCCGAACTCCTTTCGTCCCGCCTGTTGGCGGTAAGATTGGAGACCCTTTATTTAGGGCTCTGACAGCGAGCGGGTTGCTGCCATCGGACAGGTAGAAGTAGACGTTTGGCGCGTCGCCGAGGAAAAAGACCCCGATTGGGATAGATCAGCCAATGAAACGCGGAAGCCGCTGGGGACGAGGAAGGAGAGAGTAGAAAGAGGTGAGGGAAGAGATAATTGGGGGAAGGGGAAGGCGGAGGATGGCATAGGGCAAGGCTTACGATAGCCCGCAAGGCTGGTGTTCGCAACAAACGCGGGATCGGTGCTGTCAACAGACTGGGAGGGAAACGCGCTATATGCTGTGCTAGCTACCAGGATAGCAGCCGCAAGATGTGAGAATGGAAGTCGCAATTTCATAATGGACGTGGAGGAGGTCATAGAATGGAAGATAGGAACGGAAAGTGTGGCAATGGAATTACATCTTGTGGAATTTGGAGCAGCGAGAGGTGCAGGGAAATAGAGTATTCTATGCCATGGTCCCAGACATGGAGAAAACAAATGCCGTTTACCATTGTTTCTGGCTCATGGGGAAATGCTTTCTTGTGTTTCTCCTTTTGGTAGAGAAGCTAGATATGGATGGAGAGAGATGATCGGATCTTTGCCTGCAGGGAAAGGAAGGGGTCCGATGCGATGCGGTGCGGCTTCACTTGATCGCTGCATGGGAAGCCATGGCTTCTATTTAAAGAGCGCGAGAGGGTCAAAGGGTGGAATAAAAATTTGATAAATGCTGTGTAAGGAGAGAGGGGTGTTTATATTTCCTTACCCATGGAGTGTAGGGTCGGCACACGCCGAAAGGATTGCCCCTGAATGAGGGCTCGCCAAGAATTTGTGAAATTTGTTCGGCGAACTTGAATTTGAACTTGAATTTCAGCGGTGAACACTTGCATCCCTGATCCTTCTAATCTTCGGGATTGTTTCACCTGTGCTCTCATCACATGCAGACCTGGGGAATGATAGGGCCTCGTCTCACGATACATTTCCTGTCAATGTACGAAGGAAAGTGGGAGCTTTGAACCTTTTCGGCACGGGTAGGGCAGAGGGACCGAATGCCAATTGAGATCAGCAACACCAAATCTTGCCCGCATAGCGGGCGTGGGATGTCATGACAAGGCCCGAAAACGCAGACAGGGGATAGGGGTCCGATGCTTCTGAGTAATGAGGCGTGCTGGGGAGTGGTGGGTTCGCCTCGTATTTGATAGCGAGAATATCTGGGGTAGTAAAGTTGCAGCCTACACCTATCGGTTCCCCCTAAGTAGCAGCCGTTTTGGACGAGGCGGTAACGGCGGCGGTAATTTGACTACTTGACTACTTTTTATTGGTCTTTAGTGCGGGGTAGAAATTGTAAGGAGATTCGTGCAGCTGTGCGCTCTCTGAGAGGAGAGCGTGCTCTGCCGTGGGCGACTGTGCTGCTGCTGCTGCCGCTGCCGCCGCAAAGTCTGCAAGAAGCAAGAGAATTTGGAAGGAGGTGGGGATGATGAGGGGTAAACAACAAGATACGAGCCGGGCCCCGGGGCAGCGAAGACGCCATCTTGAAAGGATGAATGCATTGAATGGTCTAACAGGCGGCGCTGATTGGACAGCTCTAGATCTGGAGTGAGATCGCCAAGCCGTAATGAGGTGCTGTGCCAGGCCGGTTTAGCTTCGAGTCCGTGTGGAAACTTTTGCGAAAGTTTGACCTCTCGCAGCGAAGCATCGCGAACTCTGTTCTGCACAGATGGGGAGCCGCTGGTTTGGGCGCAGCGGCGAGAAGTGGCTTTGGCTCAGCTGCACATGCAAAGATGATGTACTGTACGTTAATCTCGAGACACATTCTGCCTGCGAAGTTTTTTTCTGTGAAGAACGCATGATTGTGGGTTTCGTAGACCACAGCATATGACGTGTCGTGATGAGAGACATGTATAAAGAAGCACAGGGCAGTTTGGTGGAGGGGGCTGAAAGTTGTGCATTTGTTGCTGGCAGATTTTCTGAACCCGGAACTCTTTTTGGCAGGTCGACATTTGAGATGAGAACCCCTACACTGAGAGTCTGAAGAGGAAGATAAGATTGACCGATCTTGCTCTGAAAGAGAGTTCATCGTTTCACCTTTATCATCAACCATGCTCTATCCCTGCTGCTTCTGGAAACCCTCACAGAAGAGATGGACGCGAGGGACACGAAAAGTCTGGAGCACCTCCACAAGGGCGGGCCTTGTCAGATCTCGTGCTACTGATGCGGCTCGCTGTTCGAGGGACCACACCTCTGGGTTGAAGGATTGGCATCCGGTGGTATGACTGCTGGTAGTGGCGAGGTGGTGTGCTGTGGTGGGGGTAATCATCTGAAAAGAACTTTCAGAAGAGCCTCGCATAATGCCGCGGTTATCTAATACGAGATCATGAGGTACCTTTCGAGAAGCGTTTGTGCAACGAGTCCGAGTGTGCGGGATGTAAGTGACGGGCGGCTCCTATTCCTCCCATTCAACGATTACGAAGGCCGGAGTAGCTTCTCTACATCCAATTCATTTCTTGACTTCTCCAATGATAGATTAAAACTCGACTCCGTACGGGCACATCGTTGATCCCATGCCCCTCCAAGTTAGCAATAAAAGTTGATTATTCGATAGCGCTTGTTGTATTAATGTGTGAGGGCCGCCTGAATTGACAAATGTCACCAACGGGGTGATCCCGGCCCCTTGGAGTATTTCATGCATGGCGCTGGGTTGGTCCCCAGAGAGAAAGCAAGCAGCCCACGTCTTGCAGTATGCAACAAGAGCAGCCATTCGCAATGGAGAAAGCATCCTCGACTGCGAGAGCTCTTGCGATTATTCTCCTGCAGTCTAGAACAAGCACATGAAATTCCGGATACTCGTTGAGACGCTGAGCAGCAGCCTCTCGGTTTTGGTTGCAGTGTCCCGCGTACGCCATCATCAAGTCAGCAATCACGCTGAATGGAGATGTCGAATTTGTGGACCCTTGGGCCGTCTGGAGGTTTGCTGGCAGCTGATTTGACACATACACGCGTCTTGCTGGCTCAATCGTTTCAGAAGTGGACGCCCTCCACTGAAATGCACACCTTCGTGGATGCGTCTCCATACGTCGGTAAGCTGCTGAAGTCGACTTCCCTTCCGACATGGGCGCCGGTGGATGCAGAATACCAGGCTTCGCATGCGGCCAATGCATTGTTGTCCCTCGCCAGTGCGTGCGTCTCAGACGGGAGATCCATGACAGGAATGGGGGATCGGGAAAATTGAAGATCTATCAGACGAATGCGAGAGCGACTCGCAGCCCGGAATAATACGTGGACAGCTCGCTGTACAACGAGATTCGATATCAGGAACCCCATCTCCAGGGAAGGCAAAGAGCAACGTTGTACCTCGCCTTGGCTCCCAAGATTCTCTGCCCCGTCCCCTTCATTGTGCGTCTCCGGACCTGATTCCGTGGTGAGCTCCCCTGACAGGCGCATTCGGTGAACCGGGAAGTGTCATAGTGGCCGACTATTTTAGACACGGCGAAGAAGAATTTAACAGGCAAGGAGAAATCTGCAGATTGAAGATGTAAACTCGTCGACGCCATGCCCGGAGCATAGAAGTGACCGCCACAAAAAGAACTCTTGCTACTTACTGTGTGATGCTGGACAGACGCCTTCACGGATTTTTTACTCTTCGCGCCTTGAAATGACATGCCTGTGCAGTGATGGCACTAAATATTAGCGTCCCACGCTCAGCCGCTAAGCCCCTTCCGGGCGCTGCAGCAATACGGAGCAGCCCAGGGACACAGACGCAGACGCCGACGCTCAGATTCCTTCAACTTTGGGCCAAAACCATCTTCTCTCTCGCTCAACCACCGGCTCAGTGTCCATCGTCGCGAGCTGTTGAGGACACCGCCTTCAACCCGCTCCGCACACCTCCGACCTCTTCTTCTCCTTCTGTCTTGTCGTTGTTGTCCTTCTTTTCCCCCCTGTCCGATCGCCCAATTTGCCACGAAATCATTCCCGTCTCGTTCTCACGTCTCTCGCTTCTCCTGAAATTCGACTGCCGACGAATCCGGGCAAAGGGGGCTTGTTTCAACACCCATTATCTCGTGAGGTTGGCAGACTCTCTTCGAGATCTTTCGATCCTTTGCTCATCGTCCTTGTCGTGACAGATTCAGGATCTGCGAGACCAGAGCTCATGGTAAAAGTGTGTTCTGCCTGACGCAGCGAGCTCAACACCACCCCTGGCCGCCGGCGTCCTCCTTCGATTCGGTCCTTGTATCAACCGTTAACTCGCGTTGATTTCATCTTACCTTCTTCGTAATACTTGCACCTTCTCTGGCACATTTCATTGAAGGTTCGTAATACGAGTTCCATCAGCTGATCCTTTCACGCGCCTGTGATGACTTTCATCGTTAAAATCAACATCACGTCGGGAAATCTCAGCACCCTGCACAATCAGCCACAACATTCACTGACTTTGTAATCGTTGCAGATTTCTTCAATTCTCCTTCCTCTGTCAAGTTCACTTCTCGAAAACGAATGAACCGGTAATCACCCGACATCAAAAGCTTTCAGCTTGTCGACACCAGGAGATTCGAGGCACAGGATGGCTGCCCTCGTTCAATCATACCCACAACAGTCCAGTACCGTCACAATGCTTCAAACACGGCCGTCTTCTGCCTCTGGCATCCTCCAGACCGGCCCGCAGACTCAGTCTCACCACCCATACCCTTCAAGCCAGCACATGCAGCGAAATAGCTTCCACGGCATGAACACTGGTAGCATGGGTATGTCAAGCTATCGAGGACAGACGGTTGCACCTATTGCTCCCTATGCATTCACCAGCACACCCAATCTTGCTCTGCCTGGTCAGCGAACACAGGGCCCTCACCTTCGACAAGATCTGAGAACCTCCTCTGCTCCCAGCATTCCGACTTTCGAGTCTGGGTATGGTAGCAATAGGTCACGCTATCCTCCAAAGCCTTCGGTGTCTACAATTTCTTCCTCTTCTTCCGACCTCTCTTCATTGAGCCACAAGTCTGGAAGTAGAGATGATTCTGCAATTGTGGGAACTGCACGTGTTGTTTCAGGCACTGCCAGACCTCACTCTACAATCATCACTTCTTCCCACACCCTTTCGCCTCCAACTATATCCACGCCCGTCAAGCCTTCCCCAGATCGATACCGTCGACCAAACAATCGTCGGTCTGAGTCTGCAGAACAACCTGCCCAAGCTCAAACCTCAACATCCACTGCCTCTATACCGAATGTTATTCAATTCTATGGCAACCATGCCCACCAGCCTACACCAATTCAGTCGAGCCAGAGTCTCAACAACTTTCAGGTACCGCAATTCTCTCGCTCACCTGCTGGCTATACTCCTGGTGTGGCGGCCGATGACATGGTTTTGAGCCGGCATACTGCTCAGGACCCTGCCAAGAGATATCGCCGTCGAAGTATCCACACCATCGACGCTGGTGACTTAGGTGGGCCCATGTCGACAGGTTTATTGCAGCAGGGATCCCGACAGGTTAGCAGCGCGAATGGTAGAATTGATCAGCATCCTCTTCGGAGCTCACCCGTTGTGGGAATTCGGCCGGTTTCCTCACACGGACGCAATGGCAGCACAGAGAGTGTGAGCTCTGCTCGCACGGGCAGTGGCCACCATTCACGACCGAGTTCGGTATGTATTTCCTTGCTATTCTTCACCGCATTCACGCAATACACAGATTATCCCTCACCATTTAGCCTACTTTGGGGACCATCTCGCTAATCCACTAATGATTTCAGGCCGCCAAGCGAGATGCAAGCCTATCAATGCCACTAAACCCCGCCCCAACTCTATCTTCATCCTCAGCAGCCTCGAGCCCATCCACCGAACAGACTTCAATCCGACAAGATGTGCCACGACTTGTAAACATTCCACCGCGCGCTTCATCTACCGATGCCGCGAAGCGAATTACCAATCCGTCCCCTTTGTCCAAGCCGATGACAATGAGTCCCGAGCCCCCATCCGCCTCTAAGGACTCGTTCGCATCGGCCGTGAATGCTGCCCTCCAACAGCCATCAAAGCCCACCTATGCGCAGGTTGCTAATGGCTCTAACTCTGGCAGCCCTGCTGCGAAGCAGCTTGCGGCCTTGAATGACAAAGAGGGCAAGAAGAGCAAGACATCGCGTCTACGACGAGCCTTCTCATTCGGCAGCGCTGCAGAACTCCGACGAGCGTCAGCAGAGAATAGTGCCGCGAACAATGCCGCAGATCGTTCGAAGATGCGAAAGGAAAAATATCAGGATGAGCAGGAAGCTGAGCAGGCTCGAATCGCTGAACAGCAGGAGGCGGGCGGTATCGGATCGGGCATTTATTCAGGGCAAGGCAATTTCTTCACTGGGTCGACCGATAACCTTTCTATTTCTTCCACTGCGTCCTCTGCCTCGATTATGATTCGGAAGATGGGCAAAGGAATGAAGAAATCGACTCGATCTCTTGTTGGATTATTCCGGCCCAAATCTGTTATTGGCGTCCCTGCGGCAGACTCTGCTCTCCCCCAAGCCAGTCAGGCTCAGGTTTCAATGGTGACTGTGGAAGCTGAACGGGAGAAGGTTAATGTTAATGTGAACCCCCACGATCAGGCTGGTGGTGGTACGGGATTCCCGAGGCTGGAGCGGAATTCGCTTGATGCAGCGAATGTTAATGTCACTGAACGCCTGGGCAGCTCGAGCACCGAGAACTCGGCTGCCAGAAGAAGCATTGTTGGAGGAGAGAAGGAGCGTGCTGAGGTTCTTGCTGCAGTCAAGAAAGGCATCTTGAAGCGTAAGTGAAGTGTGTCCGAGTGCAGAATCAATTCTAACAGATGCAAGGCTCTGGTACCGACTCCGGCAACAACTCTCCTACCATCCGACCTTCAGATAATAAAACGCCAAACTTTCAATTACCACACATTCCACAAGTCAATGACTCTCCCAACTCCTCAGCACCTAGCACACCAAACGACGAGCAACAAGGTCATCGACGAACTGGTTCCGTAACACTTGGGGGAGAAGACTACTTTATGTCTGCGCTGCGGTTCCGTGGTGATTCAAAGAGCGTTCCGGGCACACCTCAAGGCTCCGTCGGCAAACGAAGTGCTACATTCAGCCCGAGAATCCAATTCCATGATACCTGGCCGAGTGGAGAGTATGATCGTCGGGGTGAAATTGCAACTTGCAATCGCCTGACGCCAATGCTTGCCCAGCAGATCAAAGAGGAGCTCAACACATTCAAGATGGTATGTTTGCCGAATACTAAATATACATTCCGAGACTAACTTTCTGTAGGAAATGGAAGTCCACGAGAATTCCAAGATATACACACATTTCTTCTAACGACACACGGTTATGGCTGCTCTACAGTCCACGAGAACAAACACAGTCCTCTCGCACAGCGGCATACAAAAAGTTGCCATGCACAAATTCAGAATTCAACGGCGTTACTAGGTTCGCATTACATGGTGTAAAGGAGTCACATCTGAGCGATGAGCGATTTGGTCCAACGTTGTGTTCTTTCATTAGACAGGCGTTGGCCGTCTTTTTCTACGAGCATCTGGAATACTGGAAAGACAATGATGGGGACGGATCATTGATTGAGATGTTGACGGCGAGATATACTGCTGCAAAGCTTTCCAATAATTTTGGGAGGAAAGGGAATGCTGCTGCCAGGCCGGGGTGAAAATTCGATTTTCTGCTCGGGAGACAACAGAAGCCCGACAGCCTCTCTAAAAGTTTCTATCTTGTTCGTTTCTTCGTCTCGTCCGATTTTATCTTGGACGGTGGAGGTGTCATTGATGCATTTTCGTCGAAAATCTGATGCGCTCGTTTTTTCGGTGAAGGGGGGTTGGGTTGGTGTTCTCCTCTTACATCGTATCGTATGTATTTGAGCGTCTGTCTGAGAAAGGGGAATGGGCATAGTTTGCGTAATCAATGATACTCTTCGTCTATAGAGAAAGGCTGTCTGGCTGTATCTGTGACTGAATCTTTGGATAGTGAGGCATCCAAAAGACTTGGATCTCGCCTTGAAGGCTTTCCTTGCAGGAGAGGTCCAAGTTTGATCTTCCAGGCCACCCAAAAGGCCTAAGAGGGTGCATGAACATCGCCATGCACTGAAGTCGAAGATTCTTTTTCCTGGATTGTTGCGTGATTTCAAAGCCACTTACCCCTGAATCTTCCTCCTACGAACCCGAAATTCGTAGCCTTGCTTTTCAAGGCGCAGCCTCGCAGAAGAGGCGCTAAAATATTTTCGTGAACCTCACTCAATCTCATTACTTACGCACAACACCACGAACATCATTCTCCCTCTAGACGATTCTGGCTGTACTTCTACCCCACGTAAGGCTGTGGGCTGGGACCCGGCGATCAGCCATCTGCGGCATACGAAGCATAATGACCATCTCCAACGACGGACCTGCCTCGATGGCAGCGCCATCTTCAGAGCCCCAACCGTCGACGACAACGAGCAATTCCGCTCCATCCGCATCTTCAGCCCCGAAGAAATTACATGGACGTGCATTCTACGAAAGCATCGGGAGCCCGAAGTTTGTCTTGGCTCCAATGGTCGACCAATCTGAATTCGTTCGTCGGCACCTCTCCTCTCATTGTCTGGTACATTGACTGACAGGATACAGGCCTGGCGCATGCTAACCCGCTCCTTCATGCCGCCGTCCTCCCCCAAAGACCTACTAGCATATACCCCCATGCTACACGCCCGAATGTTCACCGAGACGCCCAAATTCCGCGACGCCCACTTCCAACCGCTCCGCACATCGCTCACCTCACACCCTTCTCCAACGTCCCTTGCCCCTCCCACAGACCTCTACCTAGACGGCAACCCCTCCACCGATCGCCCCCTCTTCGCGCAATTCTGCGCTAACAACCCCGACGAGCTGCTAAATGCAGCAAAGTATGTCGCCCCGTTCGTGGACGCCGTGGATTTGAACCTGGGGTGTCCGCAAGGCATTGCCCGGAAGGGGAAATATGGAGCTTTTTTGCAGGAAGACCAAGAGTTGATCTTCTCTCTCATCAACAAACTACACCTCGAGCTCTCCATACCGGTAACGGCGAAAATCAGGATTTTAGACACGAAGGAGAAGACGCTGGAGTATGCGAGGAATGTGTTGAGGGCTGGAGCGTCTATATTGACGGTGCATGGCAGGACGAGGGAGATGAAGGGGCACAAGACGGGGTTGGCGGATTGGAGTGTTTTGAGGTACTTGAGGGAGCAGTTGGGGAGGGAAGTGGTGATTTTTGCGAATGGGAATATTTTGCGGAAGGAGGATATTAGCAGGTGTTTGGAGGTGACGGGCGCGGATGGCGTGATGAGCGCGGAGGGGAATTTGTATGATCCTGCTATCTTTGCTGAGCCCCCGGAGGTGGGACAAGACGGGAGAGAATACTGGCGTGGAAGCGATGGGAAGGGGGGCTGGAGGATGGATGCTGTTTTCCGACGATACATGGACATCTTATATAAACATGTCCTCGAAACTCCAGCTCCCGTCCGGAAGCCTCTTTACTTACCATCCGACCCGGAAATCCTGGAGAAGGAGGAAAGGGCGGTGGTGATGGAGGAAGAGGAGGAAGGCCCGCCGAAAAAGAAACGCAAAAGAGGCGGCAACGAGAAAACTTCGAATCCAAATCTCCTCGCTATGCAGCCGCATCTGTTCCACCTCTTGCGTCCTTTAGTTTCAAAACACCACAATGTGCGGGATGCGCTCGCCCGCTGTCGGGCTGGCGATATCCAGGCCTTTGAAAATGTGCTGCAGTTAGTTGAGGCAGCTGTGAAAGGGGGGTTGAGGGAGTATGAGGAGACGGAGGGGAGGAGCTGGGAGGAGGAGTGTGGGCGGGATGAACGGCTGAAAGCTGCAAAGGAGAAAGAGGACCAGGCGACGGTGAAGGTCGACGTGAATGGAAAGGGTGTGAATAGGAAGGGGGATGGGAAGGGAGGGGAGAAAGTGGAAATGGATGAGTCCTCTATCGAGACAGTGCGTGCTTGTAAGAGGCCGTGGTGGATTGTTCAGCCTTATGTTAGACCGCTTCCCAAGGAGGCGCTGGCGAAGGGGAGTCTTACGCTGAGTAAGAAGGAGAGGGCTGCCTTGGAAGCTGCTGCTATAACCACAGCAAAGGAAGAAACGAAAGACGAGAAGGTTGGATCAAGTAGGCATGTGGAGGCCCTGGAGAAAGTTAATGAGGGGAAGGAGGGAGTTGAGGTCCCGAAGGAGGCGCTTGTTTGTGGCTGAGATGTTGAGATGTCGGGGGTAAAGATGTGTGAATATAGAGGGAAGTCGATATCAGAGTGGTCAAGAGCTGATCCATTCTACTAGAGACATCGGGACATTTCAAAGGAAATGACAGATATGTTTGAAAGACCTCGTCTCTTGATCTTCTTTCGTCTTCGTGCACTTATTTCTTTCTCTTTAGTTTTAGTTTAAGGAGCAGTTCAGCAACCCCTTTTGCTTCAACGTACGCTTAGTGGCCATCTAATCTTCCTGTTTCAATCATCAAGTCCTGGGAGTTGGAGAAGAGTGTAGAGGGGAATGGATAGAGAAAGACTTGTAGGGCCTGGAGATTATCCATTCTGCGAAAGAGTTAGGGACACTACGAAGAAGAGAGCGATCCTTGTCTCAAGAGGCTTTTTTTTTATGTGCTTTACTGTACTACTCTCCCTCTGCTTCTGACCATGGCTCTCAGACCACTTAAGCAACCCATTTTGCCTGAATCTACGCCTAGTGGCGATGCCCTTCAGCGTATGGTCCATCGAACGTAGCATACCCCATCCCAATCCTGCTCTTCTGACGTTCAAAACTTGCTGTCTGTTGTACACCATACTGTGTAAACAATGGGTGAATTTGAGCGATTTAAATCCCCATCTGCTACTACAAATTGTCTGACGTCCAGCCCACTATTTGCTATCCTGCAAAGCCCCAGCCAAACGGCAGAGATAAATATCGAGTACTGGTTCGCTTTTGGTTGTTGAGAATTCCCTCGGCTTCATACATTGAGTTCTCGTACTGCTGATCCTTATATCGTCGTACTGCTCTGCCGTGCATTGATTGAGCTTCTAGGCTGATTCATGTTGGGTTGGAAAGAATTGTACTTGCGTAGAGAGCGAAGAATCAGGAAGTCATTGCGAATCTCCAAGTCCGAGAGGAAGAGATGTAAACTTGAGGTGACGGCTGTAATTGGCTGGTTTCTTCAAGCAAGTCCCAGTTGAGTCTAATCCAGACTCTATCAAAGCTGATTCCCATCTCCGAGTGGAATCATTTGAAGATCTTGGGCGTATATGCAAAGCTTGTACGGCGTGCTCCACACACTCGCTTCCGGTGCGCAAGTCGATTCTACAGAGTCTATCTAATTCGGAGAGCGGCTTCGTGATCTAGGCGTGTTTCTTGGCGACCGGGGGTTGATAGACCTAGGAATCTTCGAAGCATGTGCCCAATGAGGTACAAGATGATCAGTAACATCACACTGCTTGATATGGCCCAACCCGCAATACTGATGAATATGACCCAAGTGAAAGCAGGCGCCGGCTTCAACTCCTTTCCCATGTATTTTAGACAATCTTCTCCGAGTGGAAGGTCCAGATCCTATGCGAACATTGTTAGCCAATCATACCCTCACTTCGTGCTTTCGTCTTAGGCATACCTGTTTCGTCTTGCATATATCAAGGAAGCCTGAAGTCGCAAACCAACTGTTCAGTTTCAGCCCGTAGTTCAAGACGTACGCCCAAGCGGAGTAGTATGACAGCATCCACGAGAACAACACGAATCTGTCGATATACGAGATTGCCTTCGCGCTGATCCGGTCTTCTATAATCTCTCTTGTTCTTCCAAATATCCCGTGTCTATCTAGTCGGTGTAACGGCCCCCAAAAGACACTGGAGCCAAGCCGTGATAGAAACCAGAATACAACAGCTATAGAAGCGCCATAGATGAGAAGCATAATGTACATAGCCCTTAGAGAGGATAATTGTTGCGCTTGTAATCTTGTATTTAGGAATGTTTCGTTGAACCTTCCCGTGAGCGAAGGCTCAACGTTCCTAGTAACCAGGGCAGATGTTGAATTATTCACAACAGGTGAATTCACCATCCACCTGTCAATATCGGGTGGAGCTTTGGGAGTCATCGTCAAATATTTGAGGCAGTCTGGGCCGAGGGGTAGATTCTGGGTCTATGCACCTATGTCAGAGCGGCACAAAACAGATGTTGTTGCGAGGTCCGTACCCTTCTATTAGCACAAATCGACAGAAAGCCATATGCTGTGTTTTGCCTAGAATCAGTCTCCTGAAGTTGTAATCCGCGTGTAGCAGCATGCGCGCCTTGAAATGCTGGAAACAGACTGATGAGTTGATAGAGCGACGCTATGGTACCGAAAGCTAACATCGCTTTGAGTGTACGGCGAGCAATCTTGTTGCTCTTGATGTCCCGCACCTTTAAGCGTATTCGATCCGTAGTCGATTCGCGGGGAATGCTCCGTATAGCTGCTGTACCAAACTGGGCATTCTCCAGATCAAACAAGTCGGAGAATGATGGCCTAGGCTGGGAGTCCTCCCCGGGCACAGAGGTTCTGCTGGGCGCTGGAGGGTCTATTGAAATTGGTTCTCTCGCTGGTAACAAGGCTGCAAGTTCTATTCCCGTTTCTGCTGTTTGGGTCTGTGCTGCAGCCATCACCTGCATGTCCCTGGAATTCCAGGCATAGGTCGGCACTACATCAACGAGGTTAGGGCAAGAAGGGTATTGGAAGAGAAGTTCGATGGGAGTCGGGAATTTGGGCAAGGCTGTTTTACTTATTCAGTGCAGCTGGTTACAGAGTTCCTAAGGCGTGCACGCGGGCGCCAGTCTTGCGAGTGGCTAGGGTTTAGCTGCCTTGGAGGCAGTGCATTTGAGATTTCTTGTTGGTTGGCTGTTATGATCCAATGAGTGGTGGTGGCTGAGCACAAACGCAGAGCCTCGCTGCGTCGTTTCACTTCGATCGCGATGCCTCCCGCTCACGTACACCAATATCTCCTTGCTTTCAAACGATTTGCCAAATTTCAAATGCATTGTCTCTGTCTGATTGGCTGATTGACCAGATAACAACAAAGAAAGCCCCTTACAGATCACGAACTGGAACAACAGTATTGTTCCTAAGATCACTACCAAAGAAAAATCTCTTGTTCTATCCCAGCCTTGAACAATGCAAACCCCTTGTGATTCTTGGTTCAAAGAAAAATCTCATTGTCCCTCAGAGCCGTTTCCGCAAGAACAGACCTCTACACTAATCTATAGATTACTATCTCAGGTCTACAGTCTGCTCTTCTTCCCTATTCACAAATCCATACTTACCTCACAACCCGATCTACCGAACTATCTACGCAAAGTACTCTTTGCACCAACTATCAATCCACAGCCGAAATGTCTACCCACTCGAGACAAGACTTCGACGAGAACGAAGAATTGGACAAAATCCTCCAAGATCTTAACATCTCAGGCAACATTAGCCTTCGCATAACCATCAAGTCAGAAACAAAAGCAGAAGCAAAAGCCAGTGAGCAAAAACTCATCGAAGAGACCGAAGAATGGAATGAAATCCTCCAAGACCTTGACATCGCCAGAGAAAGCCAACAGCGTCATCTGGAAGACCAGATTGCCCAAATCTTAATCTTGGACCAACAAAGACAGATCATTCTGGACAAGTTTACGCGTTTGGAGGAAGATCAACAGAGCGCGGAGGAAGAGGACGACCCGAAGCGCATCGAGGAAAATGGGAGACGGACCATGCAGACCATCATGATGCTGCAGGCAACCTATGCTTTCGATCACCGAAATGCCTTCTTCAGCCAATTCGAAGAGACTGAGAATCTAAGAAGCTTGCAGCAGATCAAGGAAAGACTCCCGAATTCTGAGCATGAACGGAATGGGGGTTTGGAGGAGGATTGGGCGTTCGCCGAGTGCCAAAAGGAGGAAGAGATCGGCGAGACGGCGAGTGAAATCGATTTCATGGGATTTGAATCCGAGGATGGCGGTGCCCCCATCGCCGTGGTCACGAAATGCGATATCCAGGACTGCCAGAAATGCGAGGCAGATCGAGCGAATATCAGGTTGGAGAGTCTTGACTCTTCCACGCACTTCGATGGCGGCGCCATCATCCCGGTGATCACTGAGTGTCATGATACTGACTGCAAGGAAGATTCGGCAGCACGATCGAACATTGAGAAGGTAGGCGATGATTCTTCATCCGATTCTTCAACCGATTCCGATGGGGGCGTCCTGCTGTCTCCCTTCAGTGACTCCGAGACCAAGAACGCCAAAGACCGCCATACACACAATATGAAGACGCTCATGACCCTCGGTCTCGATGCCGCTGAACGCCACCTCTCTCAGGTCTATTAAAATTAAATATGCGAAAGGCTTGACCGTAACATGTTCGGGGTAGCAAAGGGCAAGAAACAGAAATCATCACGTCTTGACATCGGCTGGGATATCCGCGCAGAGAGAGGCGGAGACATGAGACATCACCGTGGACGAGACTCCAGACCAAGAAGATGAAATTCGTGGCAAGTTTCACGAGTTTTGTGATTCGAGAGAGGAACCAGCAAGGTGGGTATTTTGAATATTTTCCTCTGGTGATCTCGCTTTCCTTTGTCAAACTGCAAAATTAATCTGGAGAAATAGAGACCACTAGACCACGAATTGTAATATCCATAACCCAAAAATAAATCTACTATCTTTTCTTGACTGTGACGTGAGATGCAAACTTGCTAATGAAAAGTATAAATGGGAGCGTGCGATGTTTTTGGAGTTGAAAAGGGGCTCGCTTAGCTCAAGCGAACTCACACGAACTCGGTCCAAAATCATCAGTTGGTAATTTTGATATTTGTTACTTTCTGCAGCAATTTCATTTGCAAACGCTGGTTTTACTTTCCGAATTTTTCAATTTCGCTTTCACTTTCGACTTGCATCGCCGAGTCCGAAAGATCTTGGTCCGGATTTCGTGCCGCCCTCAGTTGCCTCGTTTCCAAGAGCTTGAAAGCGTGGCTGCTAGACGCCCAATACAGCATCAAATAAGCTCAAAGTCCTGCAACCTAGCCTTTTCCTCATCTAGACCTTTCATCGCTTTACCATACATAATTCCCCCCAGGTATATATCCCCAATTACCAAATAGCAAGCATCCACAGGCCTGAGCACAATCGGAGCCGGACAACCAAAGAATACACACACCACATCACCCTTTCTCACACGTCTCGGATATGCCGTCTCGCCGATATATCCCTTCTCCGTCAACACAACAGATCTCTGCGCCAAGGGCAACTGTCTAAACGATTGAAGCACTCGCCGATTCGACCAAGAAAACTGAGAGTCCACGATCTGCGGGTACTTTGGTGGGGAATCGCGAAATCCGAACATTCTTTGCCTCCTAGAGTTAGCCGGCGTCATGCATAACGTATGCCAAAAGTTCCGCCTCGCTGTGCGCTCGGATTCATAAGCGCCCTTGGCGATGAGCATCCCGACGATTTCTTCACACTTTTGCTTGAACATTGCCGATGGCTGAATCGGCCCGGGTGCCACAGGATAGCCTTCTTCTTCTTCCGAGACGACCACGTCGATTCGATCCCATGAAAACCCCCTGACGGTGATCTTCGATGGATCGTCAAACTTGACGATACAAGGCGTCGCTCCAGCAGCACTGAATCCCGTTGGCTCATGCTCCGGAGCGCAGGGGTCGCCATTGATGAAGCTACGCTGGCCCCGAACAGTCCAGTCGGGAGTCCAGCTTCTGTTCACGAGCTTGCCAGTCTCTGAACAAGAGCCAAGGATGTCGAGCCGACCTGTTGCAACAACAACGGCTTTCACCACGCTCGAATAGACATCTTGGATTGAGGCACCGTAATCTATCTTCAAGAGTAAGGGTTCATAGGTATAACGGACAAGCTCTGGCTCTCCCATCATTTGCTCCACAATCCCAAGTACTGCGAAGACTTTGTCTCTAGGGTCGATCGCAAGCGAATGACGATTGGTTCCAAGCCAGAAAAGCAGATTTGCCGTAACAGTTCGGGAATACCGGTCCTCAAGCCATTTCCACCGAGTTTTCTCCGGGCCGGTAGCATTACGGTTCGCGCCATTTCTCGTCTCGTAAAGTTGTTTGAACCTCGCGGTGTTCGAGAGACGGGCGGCGACTGGATGGTGCCGCTCCATAACCAAAGCGTATAGCTGGTCGTGTCGAGATGCAACCATAGCCATAGCTATATTAGATGTATATTTCCTCCCGCACTGATAGACAGTCTTGTAATCACCACCCAGAGAAGACTCCTGGAGAACCCATGTACGTGTAAACCACGGCCGGCCCAGCAGGCCGTCAACGGACGCTAGGATTATGTGGAGAAATGGCGAGTCAAGGATGACTTTTGCCCAAGCCCTGAAAGCCGAGCCGCCTTCATCCCAGTTTTCGTCGTAGACTACGAAGTAGTTGAGGAAGTCCATGGCAAGATCACTCTGTTCGTCTTCCGAGCCAAACCAGACAAGCAGCCTCTTGCACCTGCTGTAGATGCTGCACATAAGCCTTATCTGTTGATTCCGCTCTGAAAAGTCTTCCTGGTTGATACAGATAGCATCGATCCAGAGCCGTCGAGGAGTCCCAGGAGGCGCACCTTGCTCCAAGACCTCTTCTATTACTAAATATCCCGGATCTTTCGAGACTGGTTTCGACACCGGAAAGACTGGTATTGGTTTTAATTCGTTCGACGCACCGTGACTGGCGTGACGGAATTCCCGAAGCGCAGCTTCGAGATTGGGCCTAACATGGATATTGCCCCTCAATCCAAATCCTACGTTCGGCCGGTTCTGGTCCCCATGTGTATGAAACAGCTTCGTAGTCGCCAAAGTCGCTGGCAAGTACATGTAAGAGTCTGCACCATATCGGTTGCCTCCTTGAGCCAGGAAACAGCTCGATGATTCGAATTTCGCCTTCCTTGAGAGGCTTATATTTGAACTTCCAGAGCATTCTGCGATGATTTCTCCGGGGAAGTCTCGATGAGTGTGAGATCTCAGCGAGGAGAATGCTCGAGGTCCAAGAGGTCATTCAGCTCGAGCTCGGGTGGCTTACTTTTCAGCCACAAGAAACGGGAGGTTATTTATAGATCATCATGCTCCTTGAGGCTTTTCAATAAAAAGCAATTTGATGAATTTGAGTAAATAAGGCAGCTAATGAAACTTTGTGCTCTACTACATATTCGTTAAACTTCCTCGAGTCACTTCTACGTGAAACTACGATCCACTCACCTCAGATCCATCGAGACCAGTGGCAAGTCGCTCGCTGTCTCTTTACCCATTCAGATTTCACCTCCACCTGAATTGACCGTTCTTGGCAAATAGTTTCCCATAAACATTTGGTGCACATCGCTTTAGTGGTGCTGTGGCCGCAACAACAACCTAGCCGTCTGCTCCAAGATGTCGAGCAATGGTGTACCGGGAGTATATTCGAAAAATTACGGCGATCAAAGCTAAGGGTCTAGAAACGAGTGCGACAATGGCAAAAGCCCAAGCTTTACTCTCGACAGCCACTCCGCTGCGGAGCTCGCTGTGGAGGGTGCCGATCTCTGCTTTCATCAGAACGATGTATAGGCTAGAAAGAGTATTACATGCACTGTAGTTCAGTGAGGTTGCATTTGCCTTGAATGTAGACTGGGTAGGAGGATTGTAGAGTGACGTTGGAGCATGACGATAAAAGATCGGTGAGCAAGGTTGGTCATGAATACAGGGCCGTTGTAAAACATCCGTACTATATTAGGTCAGTGATGTGGAAAGCCTCTGAAAGCAAAACTCACGCCACATGAAGGGGCCCGTGCCAGAATCTCGGTGAGATTAAGGTTTGAAGCTGCACCCGCAATGACTATAAAGAAGCGAATAGTCAAGAAGCAAAATCCCGAATACATGGTGGTCCGATATTGAGCGAAACAAGAAGCAGGTAATGGAGGTCCAAAAACGTGGGGAGGACAGGGAAAGGATATTTAATCCATGGGATCGAAACTTTATACCAAGGAGAGAAAACAGACACGAACGGACCTCTGAGGGATCCGTTCTCGACTACAAGACGTTTGAAGCCGAACATGTGGCGGTCTCCTGCAAGATTAGGTTGCACACAAACAGCACTAAGAAAACATTCCGAACGAACGTGAGGAGAACCCTGGCCAGGAAGATCCATCTTGGATCTCCGCAATGGCGCATTTTCGCCGAGCAGTGCTTGTACAGCGCAGAGAAGCACATTGAGGAGAAGCTCGAAGTCTAAGATTCTGAGGGGCCTGAGCGGCTCGCGGGTCTGCTCGATCCCACCTCGAATCTGCACTCTCTCGCGGAACCTTTCCACTACGATCTTGTTGCGAGATACCCGGGGTATATATCTGATGTCCCAATCGGATATAAGTGAGACTGTTCATCTGAAGAGGGATGATGATGGAATGAGGATTGAACGAGGTGCTCCCGCCAGGACGTGGGTGGGGCAAACTCGGAGCCCGGCAGCGCTTTGATCGCTGCAAGAACAGCGATGGTGGTTCCTTGACCTCGGCGAACAGGTGGGAAGGTGCTGCATGATGGGGAAATGCGCCACAAGAGGGGGGAAGAGTACGTAGAAATGATTGAGTTGGGTCACCCAATGTGGAAGACTTGATGTTGGAAAAGGGAAAGAACTACCGGCTTCGAGCGTGGACTCCGAAGTGGAATATTGAACCTGGAATGGTTGCATTCGAATGTCCCTTCTGTCTGCGGAACAAGAAGCCACCAGAAGATAATTTTCATTCCCACTTGGGACTCGAAATAGTGCCATGAGCTTTACGACTCGGTGGGTTGGTATGGATCGTTAGAGAGATCCAGGACAGCTTGTAAAGTTCTCCCATTGAACGCCCCTTGGGTTAATTACCAATGATAACAAGTGCCGAGTCTACCGGTACTGTACATGACTTCTTTCAAATCTCCTCAGACAGCTTCGATCGCTCTCTGTTCCATCCCATCTATGCCTTCTCTTCAGCTTTACTCAACATCATCGGATGTTCCCTGCTGAGATCCTTCAAGACATGGTGGGGCTACCCTTCCTCTCCCTCTCAAACATCTGCTTCTGCCCCGCAAAAGAGCTATACGCCACCGACCCAAGCACCAAAATCTCCAGTGGTATCATCATGACCATCAAGTATATCGCAGCCGTCGTCTCTCTGCAGAGAACATCCCAGTGTGGCTTCACATTCATCGTAACGGGCGACCATTGGCAGGACCAGCTGTGCAGTGTGTAGGTAGTGCTTGAAGCGTTGACTCCGTAGAAGAAGGATGTTGCGACGAGACCGGCGATGAGGCAGATGGTTGGGCCGACGAAGCCAATTGAGCGGTGGATGAATGGGGCTTTGCGGACCTATTTGGGATAAATATTAGGATTGTACTGAGTTGAGAAGAGGGGAGTTACAGCTGAGACTTTGCTCACGATCAACGAGCTGGCGCTGGTGAGAACGATGACTGAACCGCAGGTGACCAATGCCACGGACGGCCGCATGTTGAAGTCCGCGGGCCAGAGCGGGAGTAGATATGAATGATCCCCGGGCAGAGATGTGGTGTTGTAGACGGCGAGGGCATCAGCAGCCGTGACCACGATGGTGATCGCTGCGAGCAGGGCGAGAATCGTCAGCCCAATACCAGCAGACTCGACTACGCGAGCCATCCTGTTGCTCTTCTGATGAGTGAGAGTAGGAGCGTCAAAACTGGAGGTTTCGGCCACGACTTCAGACTTGGTTTCCGACATCGTACTGATATGTATTATAGAGGCTTCTTGTCAAAGGACCGATGGAAATTAAAACACGTGAAAAGACTGGATCAACCTGTCGAAAATATTCTCAGAACAAAAGAAGTGAGGAAACGAAACAATACAAGTACTTCTTGTATCTTACTTTAGACGCTGCACATAGACATAAATAGGAAATAGGCTACTTCTGTACTCCGCAGGTCGTTGGGTTTGGATCCCTGCTGGAGATATTCGCCCAGCGCGCTTCGATGGGACTGTGTCAGATCTATTTCCCCTTCTCGCTCAGAGGCTTAAGGTAGCGTATTAGCGACGCGCCCATGTGGTCTCTGGTCCAGTGAGATATCTGCATCGTGATGTGGGGAGGCGGGAGCGTCCGGATTGGAAACTTGGCGATGCTCGCTTCGAGTTGCGACAGCGGGTTGATTGGCTATGGTATTTTTGGCTGGCGCTTCATTGCATAGACCCTTGGCGGCAGTGAAACCGCCGCGCGGGCAGAGACGACCAGCCCTTCGCCGCATTTTGCACGTCGTCAGCAGGAGAGTGTTGCAAAATACCTCCTTCCTCTATCATCAATCTTGGGAATATGCGATTGTTTATCTTCAGGCGGACCGCGCAGAGTGGGATGGTTTCAGACGTTACGGTAGGATCGACGCGAGAGGATCGCTGATGGAGATCAGGAGGTGCTCGTCTACACCTTCGGGTGAGATTGCATGCCTTCAAGACGTTGTTTGTTTGAAGTCGATATAAGAAGAGAATTGGGGTCTGAAATTTCGGATATGCGGGTTGAGCCATGTCACGTGACGCTACCCTTTTCTCCAAAGAACCCCCAACTTGTTTATCTAATTCTCGCCTAATGTTCCTTTCTGTTGCTTTGATACAGAGATCTCGGGAGTCCAATAGTTTCTCCCTCTAGTGAGGTCATGCCGTTGACACTGCATATTTCAACCTCGCTCCAAGTTGCCCGTCTGAATACGAGCAGATGTGCAGGCGAATGAAGTCGATGACGTCGTAATTGAATGTCAATGCGGAAGTTGTGAGATAGGGGAGCAAGTAAGGTCTTCTCTCAAGGTCGGCAAGAGTTTTAGATGTGCTTTTCACATGCAGGAGAAGCTCTTATTTTCCAGAAGGCTGAGCGTGTTGTGCAGAGGACAGTTTCTGAGCTGTTTCTTTCGTTTTCCGCAGCCGAAATTTTAAGAATCAGAACTGGATTCCGTACAGTCATGAAGCCTAAGTGGCCGCTTCTGAAATGCTGCCCAGGTATCACGTCCCTGGGCTGAAGACCTGGTCTGGTAAACAGCTCTTTTTGGGTGTGTATGTAACGTCTAAAGGGAGAAAAGAAGAGAGGAGCGGGGAGCTCGAGCTAAGTACAGGGTGCCACGCTAGGGCCAGGTCATGTGACGCTGACGTCACAACAGACCTCGACCCCTGCAAGAAAGAGGACTCTCGCGAGGGACAGAAAAAGCGGCACTCATTTGCAGTGTCCCACAACAAGTCAAAATTTCACAGGCTGCCCTCCCTGCTTCTCAGAATATTCCCTCCACTTGTCGTACACATAGGGACTACCATCTTCGAATGTCTCCGAAGTTCAAGTACAACTACATCCTTGCCAACCGCGTTCGAGGGATATTAAACCCCCCGTCTATTCCAATCCATGACAAATCAATAGCCTCAGAGAATATTGTGACAACTTCCTTCTCGTTAATTTTGTCGATAATGGTTAGGTTGTCAAATGTGATGGGTTGACTCAATCTGACTGCAAGCCCCGTACGCACCAAACGGATCTCTTGCTTCGTGAAGTCACATTCTTTGTAAAGCATTGAGAAAGGGTCTGTCTATTCTCTTAACGATGATGATTATGAGAGCACGGAGAAGAGGCTTGATCTTGAAAGACTCGACTTGCTGGCCACTAATGAAGCGATGGTCTCTGCTGTCGTTCCCGTTTCTCTTGACAGAGCCCGTACGATTGAAGGCTTCAGCGGCCTCAATTGCCGCTTGGTGAATGCTGAGAATTTGTTGGGTTGTAATTTGCGCATCCTTCATGCCAGCGAGCTTTACGAAGAACCAAGCAAATCTGATTTCGAGCCAGTGAAGGTATCCCTGCGCGTTGGGTCGAGATTCAACGAGCGCTCGAAGATGAAGTTGAACATTGGGCCAAAGCCGTAGTGTAAGTCGCCTTGCAGTAAACTGCCGTGCACATATTGCAAAATCCTGGATATGTTCCATGCTCAGGAGCCCTCCCAATTGGGTAGAACCAAGTTGTGGATCTAAAAAGGGGAATAGGATCGCGTGCAAGGGGATAAGGACCAAAATATATCTGAAAATTTCGATCTCGGAAGGGTTCCTCTCTTTGTTTTCGAAGTTGGTTGATGATCGCGGCGTTGTTTCTTCGATGATCTTCGACAAGAGCTCTTCCTCCGCCCCCACCGGAAATTGATTGTTCTGATGAAGACGAGGACATTGAGGCTGAATGCTCCGAAGAAGAAGAGGGCAATAATGATTCTGAGGAAGAGCTAGACGATGATGGGGCCGTGGAAATGGGCCCCGCAGAACACGGAGACGAGGATGTAGATATAGACATGAGCGATGAAGCAGCACCACCGGAACCAGCGGATCCAGAGGTTAATTTCACCGCACTGCAGGCTCGGATGCGAGCAGAAGTCGAAGAAGCAGCGGCAAAAAAGGTTCAAGAAGCCCAAGCTGCTGCTGTAATGAGTCAGGTAGCGCCTGTACCACCTTTTACCCGTACTTTTAAACGTAGAAAGAATCGGTGATATCCGTAGACTTGGACACGCAGAAATAGTTTAATAGAAGCACTTTCGTTCATTTAGAAAGGTTGCGTGATGTACCTTGATCACTTGAAATCAAGGTTGCCTCACATTGTCCTGCTTGCTGCTGTACAGCCAGGGTTGGAAAATTTGGTAACCACAGGACATAACAACAGAGAATGTCCAGAGCCTCTTGCAAACATCTCCACTCTGCAAATATAACTGTAAACTTTCCCTCAACTCTCGAAGCAAAGAAAAGTTGTGTGTGAAATCTTCCTCACGCGCCGAGGCTCCAGGGATCACCACCCCGGTCAAAGATCGTCATCGTCATCATTCCACAGCCCGCAAAAACATCAACACCCAACTCCAGCCATCCTTGCGCATCCTTTCTGCGCAAACAACACCATAATGGCGGAGGCATCCCCGCCCGCGAATCCCCTAAGACGCGTCCTAACGGGTGAAGAGAGCGCACAATTACGAAGACGACCACCTACGAATCGCTTCTCAACTATGGTTACGGGCGATGATGGTGCCGCCCCTACGCCTGGTGTAAGACGGCGCTCAACAACTGCGAATTTGGAAGATGGAGCTACAAGAGGGGAAGGTGTGGGAGGTGTGAGGAGACGCGGCTCGAATTTCTCGGATTATAGTTTGAGGGAGGCGAGGAGGAGTTTCCAGTCAAGTACTGATGATTTGCTGCTTCCGAAGGCTAAGCGTGAGCGAGGCGAGGGGGGAATGGGAGCAGGAGGGGAGGAGGGAGGGAGTGCGTGGCATTCTGCGCCGTTGGCTTTTGCACTTCTGCCGGCGGTGGGGGGAATGCTGTTTACGAATGGGAGTAGCATTATTACTGATGTGATGCTATTGGGCCTTGCGGCGATTTTCCTGAATTGGAGTGTGAGGATTCCTTGGTGAGTTCTAAGTCTATTTTCGAAGTCAGAAGGCAGATGGGAAGGAAGAGGCTAATTGGGATTTCTATTGTAGGGATTGGTATCATTCGGCACAAGCTATAAGGAAGAACGAGGAGTATGATGGCGATACGATGGTTATGGAGGAGAGCGAGGATGAGAATGCGTTGAGCTTCTCGACTGCTACGCTCGAGGAAGTGCCGGAGGAGGAGATTGCTGGACAAACAACGACACAGACGCATACGCAAACGCAGACAACTACTAATAAGCCAATTCGACGCCTGCCTGCACACGAAGCGGCGACGAATGAACTTTATACACATGAGGTGCTGGCGTTGCTGAGTTGCTTCCTGTTTCCTGTCTTCGGGGCGTACTTGCTGCATACGATTCGATCGCAATTGACACGACCTTCCGAAGGCCTGGTTTCGAACTACAATTTGACGATATTCCTGCTGGCGAGCGAATTGAGGCCTATGGCGCATCTGGTGAAGCTTATACAATCGAGGACGTTACATTTACAAAGGGTGGTTAACTCGAATCCATACGATAGCATAAAAGGGAAAGGGTTGGGAGAGGGAGGGGATCTTGTTAGGAGGTTAGAGGACCTGGAAGCTCGAGCTTCGATTGCAGAAACCCCTGCGAATTCTGACCCTACGTTGAGCGGGAAACAGTCATCTGTCCTGACAACGGAGGTGAGGAGGACGTTACAGCCGGATCTTGATGCGTTGAATCGGGCGGTGCGACGATATGAGAAGAGAGCAACGTTGCAGGCGTTCCAGACAGAGTCGAGATTGCATGAGTTGGAGGCGCGGTTGAATGATGCTATTTCTCTTGCTGCTGCTGCGGCGAATAATGGACAGAGGCAGAGGGGCTTTACGGGGATTGTTGTCGAGTGGGCGGCCACGACGATTGTGCTTCCTGTGCAAGCATTCGGGGCTCTTGCTGCTCTTCCTTTCAAGGCCATGATGGCGGTTCTCAGCTATGGGAGGACGAAAGTTGTCGGGCATCCACCGGCAGCTGATAGAGGGAAGAAGACGATTAATGGTCGGTATCTTTCCAATGGGAGAGGGGAGAGGGTGCCAGGCAGACCGATCAAGAAGATACCGACATCGAATACTTAATGCAGAACGAGTAGGAGGGCCACGACGGGGACGATAACAAAAATTTATTTCTCTAAAACGACGTGGAGGAATTCTGGGATTAGCGATGGAGTCCAGCGACATGATTTTCGGAAGGCCAGTGGGTTAGAAGGAATACGGGAATACCCCAGGTCGCGGGGTATATACGGGTGTTCCCCCTGTATCACTAATTAATCCACCGCAGTAATTGGACGAATCTGTTCCTGCATGTCGGGCCAAGAGGATGCCGTCGAAAAGCATGTTGTACAAGTATGTGGCGCATGGTCTCCGAGCGAGGATGTCAGCTCCTTCCCACTCTCTACTTTGGACGAGACGAGCAATGCCGAATGAGTTGCCGGGTACGAGGACGGCTCGCATGGCGCGAACCCCGCCATGCGGGAAGTACCTTCACCCGACCCCGACTTCCTTCTTTCATAAAGTCTCCGTGAGCCACGGATTGCCTCTCTTTTCTTTCCCTTGGATCAACTGTATAGAAAAAAATTGCAAGTGAAAGTGCAAGTGCAAGTGCAGGTCCTCCAAAGCTCCAAACAATGCCTCTAACCTCAGACATCACCCTAAACGCGGGGAAATTCGACCCCGCAGCTGCCTCTGAACAATCGAAACGTCTCAACGACCGCTTGATCGAGTTTATTGAGAAGGGTCCAAAATGGTACGAGGTCCGTCTGTAATCTCTTCCCGGCTACCCTGAAGCTTCAATTACTCATGTTGGTGAAATGCCAGGTGGGAGCTGCAAAGTATCGAGAAATGCGATTGAAGGGCGAGACAGCATTCCCTGCCCCGAAAGTCCTACCCGATGCGATTGATATCAAGATCCGAAGTCGCGATGCTGGGAGAGGTATCCCTTGCCGATTGATGTATCCGAAGGCGAGAACGACGGCAGAGGAGAGGAAGAAGTGCCTGGGAGTCATTATCCACTTCCATGGTGGTGGCTGGGTTGTAAGGCACAAATATTGAGGAGACAGTGGCTGGGTGTCCGCTGATGTGTACAGATTGGAGATGAGAAGTCCCAGGATCCTCTTTTATCCTTTTACGCCGACATGGCGGATGCCGCTGTTATTTCAGTGGGATATCGCCTTGCGCCTGAGGATCCATTCCCGCGAGGACCGGAGGACTGCTATGATGCCGGTGTGTCTTGACGTTTGGGAGCCTGGGACGTCCTTAGCTGACCTGATACAGCCGAATACCTATTCAAAACTTCGGAGGCTGAGTTTGGAGGACCAGTGAGATTCATCGGCGGAGAGGTACGTCTAGATTTTGTTTGACATGTCCAGATTTGTGAGATGATGATCCATCAAAGTTAAGGGATTTTACTGATGGAGCATCCTGCCCCTTTGGGGTAGATGATCTTTTGATTGTCAAGTTAACTACTTCTGATAGCTATCCCATTTCCCTATCTCTTACGATGCACGACTGACCTAGTTACTGACGACCTATTCCAAATAGTCTGCCGGTGCCCACCTATCCGTGGTGACAGCATACCACCTTCTCACCACCCATCCGACGTTCAATCTCTCCGGCCTCCTCCTCCACTTCGGCTGCTACGACCTTTGCAATGGGTTCCCTTCAAGCATAAATTTCAGTCGGCCCCTCATCCTCAATAGAGAGATGATCAGCCATTTTGTGAACGCCTTCGTGCCAAACATGACGCCCGAGCAGAAGATACATCCTTCCGTCTCTCCCTATTATGAAAATCTCGAAAAGTACCGAGGCAGACTTCCCCCTGCGTTGTTCACCTGCGGTACTGAGGATCCGTTGCTCGATGACTCGGTCGTGATGGCCACGAAATGGTTGATGGCCGGTGGTTACGCCATCCTGAAGATCTATCCGGGAGCCCCTCACGGGTTCACTGGGTTCCCGGACATGCTTGACGAGGCGGGCCAGGCCCTGGATGATACTAAGACCTTTATTCAGGAACAGTTGGAAAAACCTTGATTTGAATCAGAGACTGACTGAGTCTGGCAGACAATATTCTGCCCATCATATCATGATGAAATCGATCCTGATGCTGCCCTAGAGTGTGATGTCACGTGATACTATACACATGGTACCCAAGTTGAGCCAAATCGAATGCTATGTACAACGGCACACCTTCCAATCGCAAGACAAGCCGGACTTAGCGATGTAGATGGACAATATGGCGAATGTGGCATCTCGCTATCAGGTTTCTCTCTGGTTGGCTAATCCGACAGGTTGCATTCCCGCCTGCACGTTCTTTATACCGCCCCACCCCATATCACGCCAATAACCTCGGAAATCTCAGAGCCCCGTGCCACTGCCGTATTTGCTGTCCCATAAACACGGTCACTGTTAACGCTTATGCAAGGCAAAGCTGAAGTCCGTCTTGTGGCTATCATGTAACTTTCACCTTTGCTGCTCAGTCTTCCAGGAGCTCGAAGACGGCAGCGACCAACTCCAATTGATGCTCAGCGTTTCCTGCAAGTTTTCTGTTTCCTCAATAGTGTCAAGTCTTCTTTGTTGATCCCGTCATCCTCGCTCTGAACTGTTTGTGGCTGACAAGCTTTCTTGATTACACGACTCGCTTCGGTGTTTAGAGTGAGGTTTGGAAATAGGGGCGGCGCCCGGGCCACAACACCAAGAGCCTTCGATACAACTTCCTCAATACCAATCCTCAATAGCTATCACAACCTAGGACATCAATTCCAACTTGCCGTCAAATCTATTCTGCGTTCGCTTGTTCGTCATTCACTATAATCGCCTTTTGAAGTTCGAAGCAGTGCCCTCGCCCTAATCATGTGCCGCAAGCGACAGTTGACAATGGGTAAATTTCGAGCGACTCCGACAATACTAAAGCGCCTACTCCGAGCTACTAAAGTCGACACATGTGGACATCTTTGTCCCAGTGGAAAAATTTTCCTTCCTTCCTCTTTACCTTCTTTCTACGTCTTGGTCCTCCCCACAACCACATCCTCGACTTGCGTCCTGCGTTGCACATAGAGTTCTTGCTCTTAGCAACGTTCTCCTGACTTATTGCCATCCACTTTTGCTCACAGATCTTCACACAAACGCTTTGATCTCACGTCGACTTCACATTGCCAGATCGCTGCAGCCTTCAAGATGGCGGACGTGGCGGACGTGGCAGACGTGGTCGACATCATGCCAGACTTGGTAAACCATGCCAGCAGGATATTCATGTGTTTGTTCTGCTTTCTGGGGATTATTCTACCTCTGCCAACTTTCCGTACCTACTACAATGGCAGAGGTGCTCTCACCTTCTCTGGCTGCAACATGATCGCGCTCAACTGCCTCCTCTGCCTTCAATACCTTATCAATGCTATTATTTGGCCCACCCAGGACATCAACAATTGGTGGGATGGCACGGGACTTTGCGACATACAGGCTCCTCTTAAGTACCCCTTCACTCTGTCTCTGGCATTGTCACTCTGGCGCTTCCTGAACGCTCTTGCAAATGCAGTCAGCGGTCAGCGTCAATTCGGACTATCGAACGCTGAGCAGCGAAGACAATTATTGAAGGAGGCACTGTACTGCTGGCTCGTTCCGCTGGTCCAGATCCCTCTTAGCTACCTCGTCCGGAAAGGTCGCTTTGCGGTAGTCCCGGTAATGGGCTGCGGGGACCTCTTAGATGATTCCTGGCTCAAGTTCTTGATCATCACGGTCTGGTGTCCCCTCGTAATGCTTCTGACTTCCTATTCAGCCGGTAAGTTTTCCAGTCCCACGCCTTTTCTCCAAGAACGCGAAATGTGTCTATTATATGAATTGTGAGCTGACCGTTTTGTCTCAAGTTCGTGTTGTCGTCCGTGTCCTCAAGCACCGTCGAGATATCAGCGGTATCCTAGTCAGTAACGGATCGAAAATTCGAGATCGAATGTTCCTCAGAATGGTCACCATTTCAATTGTGGTGTTGCTAAGTTACATCCCCGTCCAAGGCGCCTTTTTCCTCAACGCAATATCCTCGGGCGTCACGCGCTATAGTTTGTTCGACAACTACTCCGACGGTTGGAATCAACCAGACAAGGTAACCCTAGCTGATTACGGCGGCCAGATGAGTCAATACATTGGTTGGACTTCCGCGGCCTGGAACCTCGTGTTCTTTCTTTTCTTTGGTTTTCAACGCGAGTCAGTTATCGAAACTCGTAAGATGCTCGCCACATTGGGATTTGGCAAATTCTGGCCGTCTCTTACCCGACCTCTTCAACCTAGGTGCGGTACTGCTTCCTCGAACAGAACCCTGCTACAAAGCAACCGTCTCACAAGTTGGATGTTTGATCCTGTCACTTTACGGTTCGACCCTTTCGGTAATTTGTTGACTTGGCTCGCAACCAGCCCAAGACTGGACAAGTGGGCAGCTGGCACTCCTGGCAAGTTTATGCAATGGGCCGAAGGAGCTATGGCTTCTACGTCGAAGTGGTTCCGACGTTGCTTGCAATGGAATTGGTCTAGCCGCCGATCTATCAGCAATAACCAAGCTACGACTGTCGTTGGCGAAGGCCTCGAGTTGTAAGTCTCCTCATACCATATGTTCTCTTGACAGCAACTAACCAAAAACCCTATTAGAGCCGGAAAGAATGCTTCTCAAACCACCTTTGATTCTGCCACTACCGCCGATTTCTCTTTTTATGGCTCAACCAGCACGCTGTTTAACGGCCGGTTCCTATATCCCACCTCCTCTGCCGGCTCCACTAGTTCAATTACTTCGTCGCCGCTCCGGAATGAGGTGAGACATGGGGATATACTCGAACAGACGTCGACGCAACCAACGAATACTGCTTTCCGTCGTGTTGGCCCTACTGGTCTGTTCTCCACCTTCTTCCGTACTCAGCCCAACTTGCCAGCGAATCCCTTCTCTCGTCGATCAACAGCCAATCGAACAGTTGCACCACTTCCGAATGAATTCAGCATCCCCCGTGAACAGAGCTTCCATAGTTTCAAATCACAGTCGTCAGCATGGTTATATCCTCGTCCAGACCTTGTCGCTACCCGTTTCTGGACTGGCAATGCATCTGAGACTGTCTGTGCCACTCCCGCTTTTTCGAACTCTGGTACTTCGTTCGCTGGTCCCTCTTCTTCCCCTGGATACTTTGCTTACGCTTCTTCTGTTACTACTGAGCCGGCCATCCCACTTGGTATTCCGTCTTCTTCAACTTCCGACGCTGCTTCCGATTTTGCTTCCGCCACTCGCGCTGCCCCTTTCGACACTCGTCATCCGTCCATTGAGCTCGACGACTTCGTCGGATCCGAAGCTCACGCCTTTGGCCCTGAGCACTCTGGTGATGACTATGATGCTGATGACTTTACCGCTTCTGGCTCAGGCTGGAAGGGTAAGGGAAAGGCAAGCGATGCTTGATCTCCACTTGGCTGATTTCTGGATCTCACAACTGGCATTTGGTTGTTGCGCGTGAGACTGGATATCAACGCTTCTGCATCTTCGACCCCACCACCACCTGTACCATTTCGATTTTTCTTCATTGTTGGAGTCGTTCGGATACCATTCTCTGCAATGCAGTATTCGAAATCCGCCTACTGCGAAGCGCCCTTCGAGCGACAAATCGATTTCCTTGTTTCCTTTTTTCTCGACCTTCCGATCCGATCACGACATTGTGGGACTGTGGCAGAGATGATGATGACCTGCTACCGTCGCGAACTCCTGGTACATTCAATGGTTGGAGAGTTTTATGGTGGCTTTCTGAGGAAGATGCGTGTAATTAATGAATAAATAAAAGTCTGCATGACGATTCTTGAGAGTGCTGCGTGATTTCGTTCAACTCTGTACTGCCTCTATTCACGAGTTGTAGATACCAAACGCATCAGTGCTGTTCAAGTAATCTACTTGACATGTATCCCCATACTCCTCAACCGTCTCCGCCCTGCCAGCCAACCATCCCATCAAGTCTCCTGCAGAGCAGCTCTATCCAGGCCCATCACTGCACCCATAAAGACTTTGCGGACTATCGCTAACTAGCACCCTCCAATATTCCAGACTCTCATACCCAAAACTATCACGGCTCATCTCCTCGATCACTACATTCGTCAGAAATTGCAAAACATTCGAGCCCTTCCATGCTCTTCTGTGATTTATGGTATTAAGTGGCATTGTGCCGTTGATATTATTAGCGCCAGAGAAAGCGCTGTTATTAAAAAGCCCCAGGGCAGGGCGGGAGTTCGCGGTGCGTGAAAGAGATATACAGATCTTGATCGCTGCTTGCGTTTGACGAGGAATTCTGGGAGCTAGAATGGGTATTGAAGGTGGCGTTTGCACAAGGGAAGGCGATGGTCCCGGAGGTGGGGGAGCCGTACCCTGTGTTGTAGTGGCATTGAATGTCGTTTGTGTATTCTAAGCCGAGCCATTCGTTAGGCGTGAGCAGGGAGAGAAAGCAGAATGGCGAGCTACCGCAGAGGAGGGAGATAGCGTAGGTGTCTGTTAGTGTGGAGTTGTAGGATGGGGCGGAGGCGTAGAAGCGTGCTATCACTTGCTTGGTATATATATATTCAAAAATTCCTATACGTAAATCAGTGCCTGGTCTCTGTTTGAGAGAGAGAGAGAGAGAGAGGGTATTTACCATGGACTGGTCACTCCCAGCAGAAGCGCTATATGCAGGACAGCACTCATACGGCGTCAATTAATTGACACCCTCTTCCCCCCCTCCGAGATCTGCAAAACCTGCATATCTGACTTATCATCCGTAAGTCCAGCCGCCAAGCTCTTCGCACTCTTAACCGCCCTTTTCGCAATTGACGTCCAGATATTCTTCGGTGTTCTCAATCCCTGATATTGCTGCTCAATATCCACACCCAGTTTTGTAGCCTCCAGCTTCCCGGGTCTTGTCTACATCCCCTGCTCCGCAATTGATCGGATCCGTCCATGTCAAGAGGAAGGAGAGGGCGGGGATATAAGACGAGTCAATGGTTGTGTTCGAAAGTTTTTGGACGAAAGGTGAGATGTAGGTTTCGTAGTCGAAGTCGTTGGCGTAGACGGCGGCGTGGCGGATGAGGTAGGCTGCACGCGTTATATTCCAGCCTTGGGGAGGGGAGGGTTTGGGTGGGGGATCGAACGCGTCGAAGAAAGGGGCAACGCCGGCGAGGTGTTCGAGGGGGTTGAAGTGGTAGGAGTCACGGGAGAGGGAAATAGTATTTACTGTGAGGAGTGCAATAGAGAAGAGAGGAAAGGAGGAATATATAGCGAAAGGTTTATTTACACGACTGTTTATAAATACCTGAACATTTTTGCACATCAAAGTTGTTACAACTGTGGTTGGTTAAGGCACAAAGTGGTCTTGTATGGATGAAGCCTAGAGCTTGAAGCCGTCCAAAGCATGTTGTCAGCTAAGCAGGGCCAAAAGCAGCCGCACGTGATATGGTCAACCCTCGGACTGAGTTAGAAGGATTGGTTAGATGGCAGAACTAAGATATACTTCTACTTTGGCATTGTTGGCATGTCGATCAAACTGGGTCCAGTACAGATGGTTGTGGAGTGAGTTGTATTTAGTCAAAACTGTTCTTGTTGCCAAGACTCGGTTAACCCCTTTTCGCCCCTGACGCCCTTCGAGGCATCGATGAGGACATGTTTCAATCTTAGCAAGCCAACACGCAAACCTGTGATCAATAAGGTAGTAAGTAGTAATTAAGGAGCCTGCAAAGAAATTTTCCTTTCACATAACTTTTATACAAGGTCAACCAGCCGCTCAACCGCTTCGCTAAACCCTTTCTCAATGTCCTTGCCAAAAAGCCTCTCCTATGCCGACTCTCTCGAAACGATTTTTGTCCACACTTCTCACAAAAAGAACCCAAAATGCAGTGGAATGGATATCAAAGCTTCCTAGACTATATCCGAAAGGGATATCGTGAATTTGGAAGACATGTAAGGGGTGGCTGATTTGCCACTCACGAAAGGCATCATCTTCTTGAAATTCCGGATGCTCGAATGAGGCCTAACCGATTGGTTTAGTTAGAGCTATGGGCGAGCAAACCCTACACTAGTGATTTTGTCGGGGTTTTGAGCGTTAGCTAGTTGCTGATGCTACGATATCCTGGTCCACTATTCTAGCAAACCTATCATCACACTTAATAGATTGAAGTCGGCACTTGATAACCATTTTAACTGCAGAAATACCCAAACTAAAGATTATTGATTACTTGCTATGTTGTTCCTCAAATGCTGAGGATATTAGCACACAGTACAGTTCACTATTGCCCTGCCAAGAAGGACCTACTAGATGTCGAGAGCTGACGTGTCCTTGGTTGTCCGCAGTACGCAAACGAATTACCTCGCAGAGCAAGCTCAATTTGTGCTTTCTGGGGCCCATCTGTCCCCTGTCATAAGTGATGCCCAGGACCAAGTTGGGAAACCTGTAACTCTTGATCCGCAGAAGCCCGGGAGGCAATTTTGTTCCCAGAGCAGACCATGGAATATCTCCCACAACCAAATACCAGCAACGCAGCTGCCGCTAAAGTTGATATGCGTGGAGTCCCATTGAGCTAACGACATCTGTGGCCGCATATCTAAGTACCATTCGGTAGCTTCTTGACTTTTGATAGGTTGACCTGCGTGGTAAGGACATATTTAATTGCTTCCAAGATCTCGGATGCCACTCTTGATATAGCAACAACTCGATCCTTGGTCTTATTCGGCGTTGTGCCTGAGTAAACAGATACAAGATTATACCAGAGCTCCCACACACCAAGAATGGACGACTTATTAAAGCTAATCGACCTCTTCAGCATCGACTCTGGAGGCGTCTCCTTCAGTTTTCGTCTGGAATCTATATTTTCGAGTTTGTCATCAGAAACTTTCCCGGATCGACACTGCATGAGTAGCCCAAAAGGCGTAGCACAGAGGATACCGCGGCTGAGAGCCCATTCCTGGAATACCCACGCTCGTGTGAGCAGCTCGCTGTTGGAGACAGTGTCCCGATAGTTGTGGAATACACTGTCTTTGAGAATTGGATAAATGCAGAAGTGGCCGAAGCTACGGCTACCAGGGCCAGGGTTCGGGTGAAATGGGAGTTGTGCTATGGGGGTCTCGCTGGGTGAGCCCCGATCGGGAAACAAGCTAAGCCCCTCGCCGCAGTTCACTGCCACAATAGTCAGAGTAGCTCCTTGCTAGTAGCCCGATATCTTCAGAGCCTCTATTTCCAAGTCTCCCCCCTCATCGCCCGTTATTTGGGGTATCGATTAGTAATATTATTTGGGGGGGAAGGGGGTGTCGATTAGGGGTGTCGACCTTAAGAGAGCCTGAAAATTTAGCGATTAAGCACCTGGAACTTTTGCCTCGTGCGCAATAATTATCTAGGCTCTCTTATACTCCAAAACTAAAGCAAGCTCTTATATATAAATTTCCTTATAACTAATAAGAAATCTGATTCGAGAGAAAGGCTTAAGCATATATAAATAATGAATTAGGCATTATTAAAACTCTAAAATTTATTAATACTCCTACTCGATACTTGGGGGGGGGGGAGGGGGCAGGCGGGGGGAAATGCCGAGCGCTAAGCCAAAAAAAGATTTTGCCATCGACACCGGGGGGTCGTTTTAGTTTTTCCCCGGCGGTGGGGCAAGCCTTCGCCTCGCTACCAGTCACCGGGCTACAAACTATTAAAGCCCTTTCAAAATGTTGTAGGGTTTGGTACGTCTTTCTTCTTCAGAGCCTCAGACTTCTACATCAAGAGAATACATCGATCCATAGCGCGCGCCTGATCTAGCTTTGATAAGGAAACATTCCGGCATGGAAGATACGGAGAGCATATTTTGTAGGCTCCTGAGCGCAAAACAGGCTGGGAACGAGTCCAGGAACGACAAGATATCCTCACAAGCCATGTCTCCATTGTCCCGCAATGAAATTGTCCAAATACCGGCGAATGGAACATCCGGGTTTACGTATGACCCGCTGGATGAATCGGTGGATAGTATTCGACTTCTATCATTTGAAGAAGGCTACGATGGTCATGACATTATACGATGCAACCTGGTTCACAAGACGTTTCGGGAAAGGCCTGTATATTTTGCTCTTTCGTATACCTGGGGGCAAGCGACGGATAAGACACTTACGGTCTTCGTCAATGGGAAGACTTTCAATGTCCGTGAGAATCTATTCAGTGCGTTGAAAACTATCGCCTCACCATTATTCCCTCACGACGACAAGGATCAGCCATGCACGTTGCTCTGGATCGATGCAATTTGCATAAATCAACAGGACCCTCTTGAACGAAGTAAGCAAGTTAACATTATGGATTTTGTCTATACTCGAGCTTCGTATGTTCTGGTCTGGCTTGCATCTGAGGTACCAACCGGGACTCCGAATGTTCGCTTCGACAACAAACACGAACAATCATGGTCTGGCGACGACGTCAAGAAGTTTTGCATATGGGTCTCGTCCAATCCCTATTGGAAAAGGCTCTGGGTTATCCAAGAATTCGTACTCGCAGCGGGCTTGAAAATTTGTATTGGGAATAATATATGGACCTTCGAAAAGTTTTTGAGCCTAATGGGCATTAGGGTTATATTCGACTTTACCCTGCAGGAGAAGAGGGTAGAGAGTCTCAGACGAGTATACCAATTCAATGGACAGTACGAGTACATCGTACAGCTGGTTAGAGAAAGGTTCGAACGGCACAAGCGGTCGAGTCGACTTGAGTCCGTGCTGAAAAAGTTCCAGTATGCACAGTGCCAAGACCGGCGAGACAAGATTTTTGGCTTCCTTGGCATTGCTAACGATTGCCACGATGGCTCTCTCCAAGCCGACTATACCAAGCCAATGTCCGAAGTCTTTGCTGACGTTCTTTGCCATTTCTGTCGATCGGGCAACCTTCAAAGCAGTGTGCTAAATGCTGTGGACATCCAAACGCGCCTAATCCAACATAGCCGATTCATCGGCAAGTTGGTCGGAGGAGACAACTGGGCGACCTTGGCTAGTGGAGGCAATAGCAAATATGAGATTCAAGTCAGAGGGGCTCACTGTGGGGAAATTCTTCACATAGGCCCAACCTACGAAGACATGGTTTCTTCCGCAGCTGCCAACAAAAATTGGACTGCCAGTTTCGATACACACTACCAAAATCCAGGAAGTAGTGAGAGGATAAGGATAGCAAACCAGAAGTATGTATCTGTTATGATCAAAGATATGGATCAGGAGAGGCTCGCAAGAGTTCAAGCATTCCGCTTACAGCCTTGCTATGCACGAATCTTTCGAGAGTGGCCAAGCCTGTTTACTAGCAACAAAGACAACTGGACCTATCGAGAAAGACGTTCTAGCGGTTGTACAACACCTTGCAGCAATATTTCGAAACCCCTGCCGAAACCAAAAATGTTTCTCGGTAGTGATCTTGTCTTAGGTTTGGCACCTGGAGAAGCTCAAGTAGGAGATGTCATCTGCCGCTTTGTGAACACGGATATCACTGCACTCCTCCGAAAGGAAGGCTATTTTGGGTCTTATCGACTCATTGGCAGGATCGAAGTAAATCACATTCCGTTGCTAGAAAATCTGGGACCAGTGGGATATATGGATATACCGAATGTCAACGCCTGGTTAAACTACGGTGGTCTACCTAATGGCACGCATTTCATACTTAAGTTGGATCTGGAAACGCTTGTGCTCTTGATAAGATAAAGCAGCCCTTCTCACCTTCCTAATAAAAACAGATCTCGTGTAGGGGAGGATTCAGGTTAAACAACCAGCTGTTATTGCTATTGCTTTCTTTCCTGTGAGTGCAGCATAATATGGGTCGTCGTAGGGGTTCGCAAGGCTCAATTCTCAATCACTCTAACCTGCCTGTCTAAATAATTCCATTATTGCACTTCGGCTGAAAATTCAAAATTCAAAATTCTCCATTCGTACCAGCCCTGGAAAGACGCAAGGTTTTGGCATACCAGACTTCTTCACGGTCATATTGAAATTTCGGGAATGCATACGGATCAACTGCTTAGCTAGATGATTAGGCAAATAGCAGCACATTGAAGCAACCGCCCTAAAGCCGACCCACAGTGTCTACCGACTGTCTCTCTTAATATTGTATTGCATTTGCAATGCTGAGACCATCAGTAGTCATCCCAAGAGCCGCCTTGCCGACTCCTAAAGCAACCAAGGAAGCACTACCGGTTTCAGGGGCTGCAGATATGCCAGCGATACTTATTATGCCAGTAAGTATACCTGCAGCCCTAGTAGTAATCCCCAAGTTCGAAATAGTATATGCGGCCGAGGGCGGGGCTGGTGCAAAGTCACTTTAAAAGAAGTTGATCTTGGACCAAGTAGTATGGTCTAGGCTAATATATAACACAATGGCCGCACTTTGAGGGTATTTGGCGTCTCCGTATAGCACTAGGAGCCCGTTCTGGCTCCTCTGAATCCTTCTCGCCAGGAGTTGACGCTCTCGATAGCCGCCCGACCGGAGATGAGCATATACAGGTAAGACGGGCGAGTAGAGGCGAGGCGATGGAGTACGCACAAGATGGCTGGTGAGGACTAGTGAGGATTAGCGTAATATAATAATAAAAACACTAGCACACAAAAACGCAAATGGCGATCTCGTTATACCTGTCGTTAATACTTTTTTTCGATTGGCTAGACATAATAAGCAATATTGGCGACGATATGGTTGAGAAAACTTTAGCTCTCGCTAACGTTCTTACTATGGGTCGGTACCGGTCCCGTAGAGACAAGCTAGGGGCGGTAATTGGGGCGGTAATTGGGGCGCTGATTGGGGCGCTGATTGGGGCGTTTCTCCATGAGTTCACCCAGATAGCATAAGATGGCCCGGTCCATCCGAGATTAATGGAATATATGTACTTTAATCTTGATAATTCGTGACAAGAGTTTGAAGTATGGAGCGAGAAGAGAATTATATATGCTTTAATGTTGATGTCGAACAGGTGTCTTTTCTTGAGCGACTCTGGAACTTTCGGCGTTGCTCTGGAGTTTGCGCTTAAAGGAGATATCTTAAGCATTGCCTTTGGGTGCTTGACCCCACTTGTTCTCCGATCTTGTAAAAGCTACTACACGATAGTTGGGAATGCGTGTGTTCACGGCTTTATGCACAGTGAGACGATTAAACTTCTTGAGAAAGGGGAGTTGAAAGTCGAGCAATTCGAGGTCCACTGAAAACGTGAATGGGACGCAGGAAGCGAACCTGAAGGCGAATCCAAATACCAAGACTTTACTTACCCTTCTCACGACTGTGTGTGACAGAGGAAAAGTGATAAGGAGAGCGTCTTGAGTGGCCTGCATGACTCCAAGAAAGGAGGGTGTCACCTTGCTGAAGGTGGCTTTCTTCCCAAGGTGCTGTATGATGTAGAAATTTGGTGACTCGACCTCTCTAAAGCCAGCCTTATATTCTTCTCTCATCATTTGTACACGCATCCAACACTCCGAACGAGAATGCGAATTCCGTACCAGTCAGGGAGAACAATTGCTTCTTTCTTATATCTAGCCTTCCACCGAATGAAGTCTCCCGTGCCAGCCAGGCTAACCATCGCTTCTCCTCAATGTGTCTATGTCCCGAATATGTGGTCGTCTCGCCTGATCGAATTCGCTTTTCCAACTTCCTTCGAAGGACTAACCCTTCTTAATAGCCCACACAATAGCCCCTCCAACTCCGAAGACAGATACAAAAACTAATTCACAGTGAGTCTATGACTTGGAGAAATGGAAAACAGAAGGACTGATCCGGACCGGACGATAACTTACCAACTAGAAATGCCTCCACTATCGAGTGTCCCGGCACGCCTCGTTGGAATATAACGCTCGCCTCGGCCAGCCCCTGGATGATTCGTGGATCGAGAGCGGGCATTTCTAAAACAACAATAATGTTTTGGCAAAGTCTTGATAGAAAGAGAGAGAGAGAGAGAGAGTGGAAGCAGAAACCGTCCTGCAGTCTGCGGTTTCCGTAATGACTGGAGAAGTTGAGCTGCTGTGAACGAGGGAGGAGTAGTTCTAATGGTTTACATCAAGCATTTGAATGTTTCATTGTCGCTTAACCAGCCAATTCCCCATGGGCCTTCTGTCTGGGCACGAGATACTCGGTACTGTAACTGTTTGAGCCCGGGCAATGTTTCGTCTTGGCGACCGCTTTCTGCACCAGAAATCGGCCCATGCCCCAACATATCATTCGATTTTAGTTTCATCACGAAATCGCAACCAACGTGAATACATTTTCAGTAGCAGAACGTTGCATTCTGTGCCGAGGCTGTGTCGGGCATGGCACGACCAAGGAGCGCCGCTGATGTCTAAAACTCAAAGTGATTTGCTCCTCGAGATTAAATACCAACCACAGAGGTCGCGATGCGGCCCTCAACAGACACAAATCAACACAAAAATTTATTTACTATTTTGTCCTTGTCTCAACCAGTCATTTGGTGCTGTGACCGAGCATTCTTGCACTACATCAACTTCTCTTAATTTGCAAACTAGATCCGGACACCTAACGCCATTCAGTGCATCCCGCATTATTTTCTCCAGCCCAACTACACTCCATCTTTCTCCACCCATCCACTCAACACTCACAACCCCTGCTTAATCTTCAACCTCACAATACTATCCCTCTCCCAAAGTAACCGTCCCACAACCCCCGCCGGACCAGCTAACATGCCCCACCCCACAACCTTAACCCCCAACTTCCTCCACTCCCTCCTCCCCTCTTCACCACCACCCCTTCTCTTCTCCCCTGTAAGCAGCTCCCGATAAATAGGCAAACTCGTATTCGGATCCACAATCGCCTTTTCCGTCGTCGCGTTGCGGTAAAGCAACACTGCCCAGAGGATGAATGCCGAGGATGCGATGTAGATATCGTATTGCAGGAATGTCTGGACTCCTTGTGCCAGCCCTGAGGCTTTTTGGTTCGGGAATGGCAACTGAGGGATGAAAATGGTAGATGGTGTTTGGTTTAGGAGAGTGAGGAAGGGAGAGGATGTGAATGGATCAAGAGGGGAAAGCGATGGGAGCAGAGTGGCAGGGAAGAGTGCAAGGACGAGGACTGGCAGGTGTGTTAGAGTGCAGAGTGTGAGTACGAAGCGGTAGATGTGCTTTGTGTTGTGGAGGTAGGATGTCCCGAGCGGTGTTGGTGGGCGGGAATGCGGGTCTATGGGGAAGAAATAGAGAGTCAGGCGGTTGGTGGTAGAATGGACGATGCGGTGGATTAGAACGGTAAGGAGCGGGAATGCTTGCCAGAGAGCGAGGAGGCGTTGGTGTGTTTCTGGCGTGAAGAATTCGGGCGAGGGGAGAGCCATGAGGATGGAGGGGAGCAGGTAGCTGAGTGTTATTGAGATGGGCAGGATTTTTAAGTCGAGGGAGGAGACTAGAAGCACACTGCTGGCATGTGCTCCGGGGAAGGGCTTCGAGACTGGTGAGGTGAGGAGGTGGGCGAAGAGCCAGAGGGGTGCGGTGATGGTGAGGGTGACGTTCTGCATGATGAGGCCGACGAGTCCGATACTGTTGTCATCAGTCTCCATTTGTCTTATCAAAGCCATCAGAATGTAACTCACAAGCTAACAGCCTTCCCCTTATTCCCCATCCTCATACTCTCCATTACCATCAGCGTCCACACTGCACCAAACTGCCCAAGTCCCCAGATGGCAAATAGGTTCAGCGCAGGATTCTTGACATCTACCACAGGCGCAAAGAATGCAACCAGAACAGCTAACTGGCGATCCAAAGCTTTGAGGCCCGTATACTGCATCAAGAGTGGGTCTTCCGTCCCAGGAAATCTCGGATTATCGTGACCAAGGAGCGCGATCAGGGTGTCGAACGTGCCATTGCTCGCTCCCAGTGACCAAGTCCCATATCCTCCGAGGAGTGATATTAGCGGTAGAAGCGTTAAGACGATTGTGCGGAATGAGAGTCGCCACCATGCTACCGGTGTGTAGCCCGTAAGATACGTCGTCGAGCTCGTCGACGAAATTTTAGAAACGCCGGACGCGACGGAGGAAACGACAGACTGGCTGATGTGTTAGCTTTCTTTATCCCACCACAAAATTATACATACCTGAAGACCCATCGCGAAAGCAAAAGAATGGAACAGAGAAACGACGGACAGTACATGTAGCCAGCAGGCGTGAAAAGGTCTCGTGAAGGAAATAAGGTCAAACCTCAGCACTCAAAGGAAGGAAGACAGATGACAACAGCTGAACGGATCATAAAATGAAAAACATTTCCTTACCTCCGTGTCGGGGCCTGATTCATCTGAGTCCATATTTACATATTTGTTTGCTTGAATTGGGAAAGGGAAGTGAAGTGTCGTTGCTAGAAATGTGAAATTAGGCGAGCCGAGGCTCGAGCACAGGGATTGGATGAAACTCAACAAGCAAGGGATATTGGCTGGTGATTGAGGACAAGCAACAGGAAAGGGAAATGAAATAATTGACCTGTACCTATTTAAAGTAGCTGCACCATTATGATTGCTTTTCTTGATCTGAGGTAGATCACGTGCTTCACATCGTACGAGCTTGATGAAAAATTGGGGGGCTAAAGAGCGTCACAGAGAGATTAAGCAGGGGTTGTGAGTTATTGGAAAGGGGCTGGATGTGGCGAGAGAGTGGGGTTGTGCTTGGATGACGAGAAGAAGTGAGGAAAGCGCATTGAGTGGCGTTAGAAACCAAACTAGTTTACAAATTGAGAGGAGTTGCTGTATGGATTATTAGACTCATTCTCCTTCATAACAGCATCGAAGTAGATCTTCGTTGCAAAATTTAATTATCAGTTGCCACTAAGGTTCTCTGGTGGCTTTATGTATAGAGAGAGGTTAAAAAGTTATGCGCTAGAGAAGCACTGCAATTTTAGCATGGACCAACTACTCGTTCTTTAAGTGGCTTATATCACTAAATCGATATTTGCACTGCTCACGACTTCCGAACTTTCGAACCATCGCTAATATTTCTGCAGGAAAATTAGGCTCCCCTGATTCGTCGGCTACTAGAAGCAAGAAGTGTTCACACCACTAGGATTATCGAATCACATCTGACGTGGGTCGCAATGCCGGTAAAACTTCGTGCTCTCTGACGGAGAGTCCGCCTGCAGATATAGGCACTACATTTCTAGCGTTCATAAAGACATTTAACCACCAACCATTTAAAAGCTTGCTAGCCCCTCTCTCTTGGCGCTTTGTGCTGTCGGGTACTCTTGTAACTGCAGCTTTCTTAGGTAGCTACTTATTGAAGGCGCCCTGAGCGGGCTTCAACAAGATGAGAGAGCTCACATCATCCCGTGAAATAAAGTCATGATTGCAGGCCTCAAAATGGATATTACTGCGAAATCCTCCTAGGGAAGCCGAATCTTCATTGTCCTGCACGTGACGCATGTAAGAGACACAAACTGTTTGGACTGAGTGTACGCTGGTACACTGGATGTATATATAGAGTGCTTACCCCGCGTGAGCTGGAAAATCAAGCCGTCAACCTCCAAAACATTGCAACACAAACCCGCTCCGTCCGCGTTCAAGGTACAGACCAGGTTATATCATCAACAAAAACCCAAGCGTGAAATTCCTTTCCGGGAATCTACTTACACAGAAGACTGTGTCGTGCCATCATCTCCCAAGATTAAGAATTGCTCATGCAGCTTCGTGTTTCCATGTATTTACGGGTGGGAAAGAAACCTTAAGATATCCACAAAGCTTGACAGCAGCGAAAAATGTGGTAACAAAACCAGACTCGACAAACCAGTCTGGAGTAGGGCGATCTGCGAACAACTTTTCACTTGATGTGGACTTGACAACAGAAAACTCATTGACAACAATGGGAAAAGAATTAGTAGGTTGGTTTGGGAATGATGACGGAAAGTCCTGATCGGGGAAGTGATAAAGGAGGGGAAGCCATATTGGTGGGAAGCAAGATGGGTGGTGGAGGAGGATGGAGGATGGCGGTAATATTTACAAGGGCTCCATCACGGCTAATATATACATCCAAAATTTCTTACTCCGACCACTCCCCTCTAGCTTACCCTGGACTGGTCTTTCCCGGCAACCACAACCCAACCCATCTCAGCTTTCTTCTGTCCGGCCCATCCACAGAGTATAAAAATGAAAATTTCATTTTTTATGCAATTCCGAACCAAGCAAGATCCATCGACTCATGAATCGGAACCGTATGCCCAACTCCCTGGGCCGAGTACCCCACCAATTTGGATCCATCGCCATAGACGATTTGTGTGTAAGCTGGCTGTGGGGTGTTGGTGACGTTCTTGGTGAAAGTGAGGCCGAGGACGTTGGACCACTCCTTCAGCTGCTCGGCGAGATTGGGGTAGTCGAGGGTGGTGTCTGCTGTGCCGTGGAAGCTGTGAAGCAATTACAGTCAGATAAGATAGGGAGTGGAGGGAGGTGGGGGAAGAGCTTACATTTGCATCTTAGGATACATGCCTTTGAAGCCAGGGTAGTAGCTTCGGACGAGATCGCCCCACGCCTGGGCAGTCTTGATGTTGGTTCCACTGGAACATGCGCCGTTCCATCCAGGAGTAGCCATGCCGGCCGTGGCACCCGGGACGAAGAAACATCCGTCAGGAACACCGGAGTAGACTGAACCGGCCTTGATGACGTCTGGGTAGGCGCCTGCAAGCACGTTGGTCATCATGGCTCCCGAGCTGGATCCAGTAGCATAGACTCTGGCTGCGTCTCCTCCATAGTTCTTGACTGCGTAATCGACCATGTTGATGATGGTTTGGCTGTCGCCGCCCCCGCCGTGGGTCAGGGAGGCAGTCGATGCGACATCCCAGCAGCCTCCAGATGAAGGCGAGTTTGGGTAGATGACGATGAAGCCGTGTGTGTCTGCAAGACTTGCATAGTTGCTCCCAGCGAAGTACCTTTGGGCGGTTCCGCTGCAGTAGTGGATAGCCAAAATAATAGGTGCGGGTTTGAGCTGCGTGGTTGGGATATAAACATACATGCCAGCCTTCGTTGGTCCAGCATTGAAGTCAGTGACTTGCTTCAATGAGGAGCCGAGGGCGTTAGCAACACCAGCCAGAGCGGCAGATGCGACGATAATCAAAAAGAAAAGCATAATGGCGGTATACAGATAAATCTAGGGATAGCTGTGAACGAGGAGGAGGCTACACAATGAGAAGCCCTCCATTTGGGGAGCTTCTTCAGATTATATAAAGCTTGGCCAAAAGCCCCACGGTGCAATACCAGCCTAAAAATGAGACATATCAGAAGCACCAGCTCAGTGCCATTTGTCCGTGGCTGTCAGGCTCATGACCGAAATGGCTTTCAAACACAATGGATGATGGTTCAGGATACTTTAGCAGAAACAATTTGCCGAGATCTAGCGTTGCGAACGGAGCGTAATTATTCCAGTCCCGTGGGGTGTTCAACACTTTAACCATCATCGATCAACCTATGAAAGACATGAAACGAAGCAAAGTGTGGGGTTGTTTATATGAAGCAAAGTGAAATTGCGGGGTAGCCGGGGTCGTTGGCGATGCTCGGGGCGAGCGTGCCTGTTTATATTTGCCAAAAGGCCAGGCGAAAAGGAGGAAGCTCTGGGAGACAGGAGAACGACACGCAAACAAGCAGTCCATACATCTTGCAGTAATATCCAAGAATCGCTTGCGGCAACTGCAGACCGAGAAGATACGATTGGGTCCCCACAAGCCCTCCACTCTACTTTCCAGGCGGTTTGACCAACAGATGAACCAAGTTTCAGAAAGGGGAGATAGCGGAAAGAAGTACAGTATACAATTAGCCTGCATATTGCAGAGCCCCATAGCGTGAACTGTCACTTGACCGTCCACTATGCCAACAATCTACATGGCAGATTGAAACATGGATGTAGCGTTTCTGGAAGGGAACGGATGGGCCTAGGAGATACAAGTACTACAACGAACAGTGGCCACCGGACGTCAGACCTTGAGTGTTATATGTCCGCCTGATAATGCGGCTATTTTTTTTGAGTAGCTGAGTTGTCTATATCGAAGGAGTGGGGCGAGGATCAAGGCCGCAGTTTCTTTGCGTGTTGGTGAAGGATGGGAGAATACACGAGCGAGAGCATATAACACCGTATGATTGCCTTCAAGATCAAGTTGCAGTACCAGTAGGTCTTCTTTGCGTCCGAGGAAGAGTGACGTGAGCTTTAAACAAGCGTCGGCCGTCGGCTTGATGATGCAGGAGTCAGGACGTGAAAATAGACTTCGAGACCCAGGCATGATCCCGGACCAATGTAAGATTACTCGCAGTCAGCAAACCATGATTCGCACCGTCTTGAAGGTGTTGCTTCGAACCCCCTGGACCAAGAATAGCTGCAGATGCCAAAGTCCGTCGAGGCACATCGAGGTCTTTGTCGTGTGTGAAGGTTATTGGCACCGTCCAGCCTTGGTCCATTCAGTCAAAGCCACCGCCTGTGGTCGTGCAGGATCATCAGCACTCAGCCGTACAGTAGCAGATCCCCTTCGCCACCCTGCAGCAAACCGAGCTTCGCTGTCGCACGGTCTTGAGTATGCTGGTGATATCGTGGAATCTCCCTGGATCTCACAAAGTGGAAACTTGACGTGCAGAGGAGCAATGTGTTCGGGATTTGCCAGACACCACGACTGCCCAGAGAAGCTTCAGCAGCTGCTTAAATATTGGGTGGCGCCGGGATCGTCAGCAATCGTGTCGGATTCGATCCTTCGCCGGGCTTGCAGCGGCTTGCATCAAGCTTGCGCGCTCACTAACGACGAAGGCGAAGCATCCTGTGCGCCTTCCATGATTCCATCCCGACTCTCTCGACTTGGAACAGCGGCGGGGAGCTGAAGAACGCCCCTTCCTCTGGGAGATGGTGTGTGGCTCTTCGAGGTTCGCGCTGCAAAAGGTATTTCGAGGAGGATGGCGTGTTCTTCTCTCACATTTCTCCAACTCACTTCACTTTGCACAAGATATCCCCCTTCACCTTGCTAATCGCTACAAGCATTCTTGCGACATTCACCTATTGGAGCCTCGCCCTGCGTACATAAACTTTACGACAACGTCGGCGCCATTTTCGCTAGCAATACGAACAGCTCAACCCTGCAGCCCCTCGTGTCTGCTTGCTTTTCCCCTTTTCCCGTCAAATATTCACTTAACTCTCGACAATTGCGGACACCACATCGAGATCTGCTGGTCGTACGACGACCGAAATGCCAGGCTCGGTTCGGACAATCGACACAACCTCTCAAAGATACGACCCTGAGAAGTCCTTACCATCCTCCCCAGAACAGCATCTTCCAGATCCGATAAAGAAGAGAGAGCTCCTCATAGAACTACCACCTTCGCCTGCCGACAGCGATATCGCGATGCGTCACGCAAGCCCGAGGGGGGGAAGCCCGTCAATTACAACAAGCACGTCGGCAACTACGAGGGAGGAGCAACGGATTACTCGAAATATCGACCGTGGCACACCTGGCGACCAGGCAATATTCTCAGATGCGAAGACTCCCGAGCAGAAGCAGATAGCAAAGAGGAAGAGTCAATACTATCAGGATGTATTTTCAGCCCGAGAGTCCAACAGTTCAGCTCGTGAACGGGTCCTCAAGGAATCCCCAATTTTGGCAGATGTGAGAACCAATGTCATTGTATGTTCCCTCGACTCTTATACTTTGTATCTCTGCTAACAATATCTAGATCTCCGATGAGTACACTTTTATTACCGACCTGTCTTACCACCTCTCTACTCGATACCAAAGACCCGAGAATTCTATCGTTGTCACGGTGGCACATTCTTGCTGTATGCTCTTCGGAGGCAACTTCGATCCTGCGTATACCCTTACCATAACCGCCGTAAACTCTCAACTCCAACCTGCCACGAACAAGCGGAATGCAACTTTGCTGGCAAAGGCCATGGAAGAAAGCCTGGGAGTTGCTTCGAATCGAGGAGTGGTTAAGTTCTTGGCTATGTCGGAGGACAACCTGGCGACGGATGGCAAGACTATCACCGGCGAAATCGAGGAGCTGGAGAAGGAAAATGCTGAGAACAACTCGAGTCTACAAAGAAGTTTATCTAAAAGCACGGCGAAGAGCAAGCGGAGACACAGCATGAGGTCCTTGCGAACCTCCAAGAACACTCTCCCAACACACAACGAACACTCCTCTCCCACACCCCCAATGAGCGCTCGCTCGCGCGAGACCCCGCCACTGCCTGCGATCCCGAGCGAGAAGAGTCCTATGGACAAGAGGGCCGAGAAAGCGCAGAAAATGGGACGGAGAAAGAGCTTTATTGCTACGATATTTGGCAAGGCAGGATAATGGCTCAAGTTCATGGTGTATTGGAGGCGATGGACACGTGAGATAGACGACGACGACGACCTGCATTTTGATTTTGCTTCCTTGCACAGCGCGGCGTTAGGGAGCGATTCTACATGCACATTGGGATTGGATAGAGCATGGCATGTCTTTTATGACAAGGTAGTAGATTACGTATAATGTCCTCTCAGATCAGATGGCTCAGGCCCCATCTTAATAGAAGTTCTTCGGACTTCCACTGCACACATCTCGCTTCTCGATTGTGATGCCTTTGTGAAATTACTGTATAACGTGATCGAGGCTTGAGGCTTCAAATACGTGTGACTTGCATCATGCAAGATCTGGTACTGTAACCGGCCTCGGATGATCTCCTGCTGTAGTCTCCCGTTGAAAATGAGATCTGTTAGAGTACAGACTCGATACCATAGATTTCGTGCATAATCTTGTCGATACCCACGAAACCCCCACTGAAGCCTGGACCAAGGTTGACCGCTCTCTCCTCGGTACCCACAATATTAACTATCGAGTCGTTAGACGAATTATTGTTCCTGTGAAGTATAAGACGAATGCTCCCCCATAGAGCACCCAACGTATACATTCGAGACGAAATATGATAATAAGTGGTCCCCTGTGGATGGAGAGCGGGGTTTTCGCCTGTTCCCAGCGACATCAACGCCCCGCGAAAATTCGCGGCAAGGCTATGCAAACCGCAAAACTGAACCACAACTCATCTTTCCCAATCAAAACCTTCACCGCTCCATCCCAACTCCCATCCATCCACCAACCATCACATTCCCCATTCGCAATACTCGCAATTGGCTCCCTAGGCTCGAACAATTGCGATACCGTTGGGCCTGCAAGCATCACTCTGGGCCGGTAGGTGACAGCTCACCCCAGTACCCCGCGATAAGGGGCAACGCAGAGAACAAAGAGAGGAGCTAATGATTCGCACAGGCTGGGAGAGGCGTAGATATCAAATCAAGTAAGAAAGAAAGAGTCGAGTGAGGATGGCCCGAACTCTGACCAGACGCAAATTGCAGACCATGCTAAGAATCGTCCAGCTCCTTCAAAAGCGTGACCAGCCAATCCCGGGATTTACAGTCACTAGCACGATGGAGGTACGTGACCATTATTCTACTTCCAGAACAGAGATCGTCATTCATTTCTACATCTGAATTTGGAGATGGAGGATGGACTTGAGGTTTGCCAGGGGGTCGACATCGAGGACATCCGCATTCCACAGATTTGATCTGGCGGGAGCACAGCATCCCCGGCCAGGAACGGCAGATCGAAATCCTAGACCCTTCTTGCAGTTCCCTCTTTCCAGAAAACGCATGGACGGTGATCCTCTACTGTGCATCGAAGAGAGAGACCTGTATCACCAAGACTCTCTGCTTGATTCGAGATGGATCAGAGTCACCCGAGAGCGCGGAGCCAGTCATTACTGTCCGACGCTGAGTCACTGTACCGACGTCAGTTCAGCGCATGAGCATCGTGTTTTCTGGCCCGCATGTTTCCAGCTGGCGGTATATATCGTCTGGTGAGTGTCAGTCGAGCTACAGAATGGCTGGCATGGAGAGAGGTGCTGGCCTGCGCGTCGCCGAACGACCGAATATCATATTCATGTACCCGACCCCGAGTCCTCGAGATCGGTCGTCAACCGAGACTTTTCACGGACCGACGAGGGTCGCGCAAACAAATCACAAGGAGATTGCCTGTTTCTGTCTCCAAGCTTTGAGGCACGGTGTGGGGGATTTCTGTGCTATCAGCCTTGCGTTTGGCTATCAAAACACCCCACAGTCTCAACCCGTCACTTTCGTGACACGCACAGTTGCGTCAAACATCTACATCTTGCTCCACTACGCGGGTTCCTTGCTTCTTTCGCTACTTGCTACCAACATCATGCCTCTTCTTGAGACCGGCCGTAGGAGGATCAAGCTGGATCGCAGCTACAATGGTCCTCCACGTCAAGGCCCCGTCCGTCATATCAGTCCAGTTCAGCTTACTCTTGAACGTATTCACGAACAGAATCGAGCCAATGTCCAAAGGATTGACCCTGCGAGGGCCCCTGCGCCTGCTCCAGGTGCCGCCGCGAGAGGCAAGCCGAGATTGCTATTGATGGGTCAGCGAAGGTGAGCTTTGCAACCCTTGATATCATGGCGTCACTGACAAGATGCAGAAGCGGAAAGTCGTCCATCTCGAGTGTTGTATTCCATAAGATGCCCCCAAATGAGACACTGTTCCTCGAGTCTACGGCTCGGATCCAGAAGGATTCGATGCAGTGAGCCTCCCAGCCCCTTTTTGTAAGACACATGCTGACAACTCCAGCTCTTTCATGGATTTCCAGGTCTGGGACTTCCCCGGCCAAGTTGACTGGGCAGACCCATCCTTCGACCTCGACGCCATCTTCGGCGAAATTGGAGCCCTGATCTGGGTCATCGACGCCCAAGACGAGTACCTCGAAGCCATCAACCGCCTCAACAGCACCATCCTGAACCTGCAGCCTACCTACCCAAACATCAACATCGAAGTCTTCATCCACAAAGTTGACGGCCTGTCGGACGACTACAAGCTCGACATCCAGCGCGACGTTACGCAGCGTATCCAAGACGAGCTCTCGGATCATGGCGTCGAGAACGCCCCCATCAACTTCCACCTCACCTCCATATACAACCACTCCATCTTCGAAGCCTTCTCCAAAGTCATCCAGAAACTCATCCCGCACCTGCCGTACCTGGAAGCCCTGCTCAATAACTGCTGCCAGAAATCCGGCTTCGAGAAAGCGTATCTCTTCGACGTCCTCTCTAAGATCTACATTGCCACCGATTCCTCCCCCGTCGATATGCCGTCCTATGAGATCTGCAGCGATTACATCGACGTCATTGTCGACATCTCAGAGATATATGGCTGGAATCGCCCGGATGAGTATATCGAGCGTCTTGAAGGCCCGCCGTGGAATAAGAAGCTTGAGCATCAGGTTGCGTGCAAGGATGCGGAGAGCTGCATTGTGCTCACGGATGGTAGGAGACCGATTCTGTTGCGGGAGGTTAATAAGTATCTTGCGCTCGTGGCGGTCGTGAAGGAGGGTGCGTATACTAAGATGCCGGATATTATTGAGAATATTAATGCTACGGTGGGAGGTTTGCTTCAGATTTTCGAGATCACTAGGAGAAGACAGAGGGCTTAAGGGCGAGAGGATATGGTGGGGGTTTGGGATTCGGCGTGGGAAACCATTGAAGACGAGTGGGCATGATACCAGACTGGCGTTATTGGTGTTATTTTGTTTTCCTTTTCTTTACAAAAGTCGTTGATAGAGAAGCCTCCGCCAGGACATCCGGACGGAGCGATCATTGAGAAAATAACTTTGAATGAATGATTTTCAAGTATTCAGAGCCCCTTGCGCCCAGTGGTGATCTATAAATTAGGGCCATATGTCTTCAACACGTCAAAGTCCAGGAGATCAAGATGATACCATGGCGTTATGTGCGGGGGGGTTTTTTTCTTGGGGGAGGGGGGGCTTCGCTGCCGGAGTTTCTGGCTGAAAAATTTGAGGCGTTGTCACTGCCAGCAGGTCGATTGTCGGTATGTTGGTACTGCAACCTGAAGAGCGAACCCAAGTGAGGGTTGGGATGAGATGACAGCAAAATAGAGATTGACAACAAACCCTTCTCATTTCCGGCATCCCACGACCGGGTCCAGACAAATTTGAAGAAACGCCTCCTTCAAACGATTCTCCGGAGTCTTGAGAACAGAGAGTTGAATTTGGCGTGGCATTAGAGGTAGAACACGAAAGTCTGGGGAAGGGGTAGGTGGATCAATTACTAGACGCTAAGTTGAACGTTGAATTTGAAAGCAGGACGGGGAGGGCGGGAGGGCCAGCGGGAGGAAGAGTGGAAGTACGGGTACGTTGGGGACATTGAGGATGATATCGGTGGTAAGGAGGGATGACAGCAAGCTAGGAGTTGACAACAAGAGTTATCTCATCTCACTCTTCCCCGCCATGGACCTGGTGTCTGCTGAGGAAGGTATTACTTAAATTGTTGGTTTAGTTGCTTTAGCTGGAAATTTGTGTTAATATTCACGTGTTACGCTTTACATACACGCAATGTTGGATGATCTCTTCTCCCTTTTGTGTTAGTATTCATTAGTATGGAGGGAAGGGAGGGGTATTTACAGGTAAGTCATTGGTGGTGGGCTAGATACGTCAGTTTGTAAGAGAGAGTTCGATTTCGACATGGACGACTTGCTAAAAAGTTCGGAAATTTGTTTGCAGGTGTGTTTCTTCCTTCCCCAATGCTCTCCTCCCACTTTTCCGTCGGCTTTGTTTTTGCAATTAGAAATATAAAAGAAGAGTCGAACCTAGAAGAGGTCATTATTTGCTACTCCGAAGAAGAAGATGAGTCGGCTGGGGAAGCTCATGACGGCAACTTCGGTGTTAATTTCTATATCTCTTGCCAGGTGCTGAATGTTAGGGTCATGGAAAGAACCAGGGAGGCGGAAAAGAAGGTTAGAAGGGCGGGGTCGGCGCTGGCTAAGGGAAGGAAATGACAGCAAGCCAGAAGTTGACAAGAATAATCTCCCTTTGTCCCGCTTACCACCAGGTTGAAGCAACTTCGGATAAAATGCTTGTTTTGGTAACGTGCGTTTCGCTGGAAGTCGTTGGCCGGAATAGCGTATTGGATTTGGGGTTGCTTTCCCGATACCAATTTCTTCATATCTTGGTTTTGCTGCTCGATAATATCAAGGCGTTTTTGAAGCTGTTTATATTGTTGTCTGGCTTGGTGTTCTGCTGCGTATACCTTGGCTTGGAAGTCGCTCATTGTATTATTTGTTCCTCGAAGGGGGACTGCTGCTGCGAGTGTAGAGTCTAGGCCGTCGTAAACTTCATCTCCCCGTTGTTCGATGGATTTGGGGCCGGAAAGTTGGTGTCGCGTTCAAGTATTGCACGTAGATGCATCCCAACCCTCATTTCATACCTCGACTGTCTACCTACCTTCTTGGTGCTCTTTATTTTGTGATTTAGGAGTGAGTATTTATGATCTTTTCGTTGATAGTTGCAAGCCGCAACTTTTGTTGAAAGGGTGGGTTTACCATCGGTCGATGACTGATTCTAAATCAATGCTGTGGTACGGCCTTCCGTAACAGCCCCTTAAACTCGCTAAGAATTGCAGCGATAAGGGCTCGCTTCAGGGAAGGCAGGACAACAATTGGGGGCCGAAATAGCGGGGTATCTGTGAGAATGTTGACGAATGCCCTGACTTCAAAGCCCCGAGTCCTTCGGAATAAATGTAATCAATTAACTAGCATGCTCATAACCTGCGGTATCAAATTTAATAGAATTTGCATAGCTTGAAATTCTTACGGTTTGTCTGGTATTGGGGTGTTTTGACTTGGGCCCCGCGCAGCCATTCATACGACCTTGCGAAGAAAAGGGAGTTCGTTTGAGATTTGTGAAAGATTTAGAAGATGAGTTCGAGGAGTATAATGATGAGAAGGAAGTACTCATCGATGTGGCATAGTTAGTAGAGGGGATAACATGCGGCTGCGATGGCACAACTTTGAGGCAGGCTGAAGAGCCAGATCCTTTGGTGAAGTTCGTATGGGAGATGGGAGATGGGTGAGGGTTCGGGATATCATTCTCGATCAGATATGCGCACGATCGGTTAATTCTTTCAAGCAGAATGTTAGAGTTTTTGAAATTCTCCAGAAAGAGAGGTAGGGCTACTTGGATTATAGGGCAATTCAGCGAGTCACATTCCGCGAGGCAGCTCATCAGATTAACCACCAGCACTTCAAAGCATCTCAACAACTACTTCAATTTTTGCTATTAAATCAATTGAAACTTGGTAGATTCTTTCAAAATTATCTCTTTTACTGAAGGTATGTAATTTTGATCACCAAGCCAGGAGAAACTCTGAAGTGTCGGAGTGAGCTGTGCGTTGTTCTTTGCAACTCTACCCCGCTATTCGGCCCCCAACACTACCCTACTATCGAGAGGAGCTCGTAGCAAGTTCCTGTGGAGAGAGATCAGGGGGAACATTTGCTAAAACTAGGGAGCGATATGCCCAAAGTTCGAAGTCTGTTTCTATTCGAACGATTTGCTTTAGACTCCTGATGAATATTTGAGTGCTAGAATTCTGAAAAGAGCCTCTAGAGCACCAAACGAGTGAATTTCACTGCCAACATTTTCAACTTCTCTTACAATCCATCGACTGGTTTCAATGTACCACTCCATTTGTGGATCCATTAATGGCAGTGATCACCCCGTTTGAGCCATTCAAATTAGTCAGGTCCTTGCCAGAACACTTTCCATTTTCGACCAACTGACTGGCAAAGTTTTTATTGCTCGGTACATCAATACTTGGATTAGTCACAAAGAAATCGGTCGGTTTTAGCTGAATTTGGTGAATCTCGACTGGCCTATTTAAATCATTGTTAGTGGATATTTAGCATGACCCTCGATCGTGGGAAGAAAAATATGAAGAGAAATAAAGATTGAAAGGCTGAAAGCTCACATAACAGGCCAATCCTCGACCCTCGGATTGTGTGTGAGCCCAAAAACCGACCAGACAACCACATCCTCGTTCTCAACATCGTCTCCTCGGTCCACCATATCCTGAACGCCACCAACCTCTCCTTGACTCTGAAAGGGGTAAGCTCCAGCAGCCCATAACTCTCCATCCTTATATTTTGTGACCCAGACATGGTGTTGAGCATAAAGCGCTCGCTTTGCTTGGAGAGATCTTTGGTCCGCGAGTAGCAGCTGGGTTGGTGGTGGCACAAGCTTGTAGCCCACAGGTTTCATACTGATGGGGTTCAGCTTAGAGGGGTTAACAATCTTGAAGATACGATTTCTGAGGGGCGCTGCATCAGCCCACTGTGACCGAGTGATAGGGGTCTGCACGACGCGGTAGAAATTGCCCATGGGATTTGTTTTGCTGTTCATGGGTTCTGCAACAGACTCTTCTTGGATGACGGTATTTGCATGGCCATCGATGGCAGGATCTATGCGCACTGCGAATATGTGCTGGTGGTTCTGTGCGAGAACTCCCGGGTTCACGACGTTGCCGTACTCGCTGGCCTTGCCGGCATCAATATTGACACATGACACAATTCCGGTGGCCCGGACTTCGATATCAAGCTCGCCGGAAAGGTTGAGCTTGTACGCAAAGATGTACTCGTAGTTGGCCAGGGTGAGAATAAATTGTACAACGAGCTCACGGTTGCGAGTGACGACCGCACGGCCAGTGCGCCAGTTTGTGTGCTTCCACCCGATGCCGTTGTCCTGTTCATGAAGACAAATGACATTTGGTTGAACCTTGACAGCTCCATCCTTGCCAACTGTGACGGCATCGAAGTACTGCAGGAAGGCGATGGTGTTAGCAACCAGTCAGATCAACTTGAGCAGGATGATGTTGAGTTACCTTGATCGCGCCTAAGCAGTCACAGCCTAGTGATAAGTTATTCGCGCACATGCCAGCTCCGCCTTCACCAAAGTCGAAAGCCTGCTTGCGATGGAATGGGGCACGAGGATCTGCGTATGGTACCGTCTAAATTTCCGTCAGATAAAATTCTTCACGGGAAGGACACGAGGAGCTCACCATCTCACTGATTGAAAGGCGATAGAAGACATCCCAATTATCGTATTGGACATCGTGAATGACAACCCCTTCTCTGGCCGTAAATGAAACACGAAATCGCCACTTTTGCCACTCAACTAAGGATCCGTCTGAGACCTTGAATGAAGGTCCATCTGGCTGAACTACACTCAGCTCCTTGAGATCTTTGCGAACTCCACCCTCGATTAACTCTGGCACATATTCCGCAGTAGTGCAGTGAGCTAGCGGATGGTTCATTGAGTCGCGAGCAGATGCGGTCAAAGGGTCGCCCTTTCCACCAGTAGCCAGTTTCTCGATTCTGACAAGCTCTCGCTTGTAGTAGTCAACCACTGGAATCATCGGGATAGGGAATGAGTAGAAGTTGGAGTCTGGATTGTTTCCATTGCGAGTGTCCCTTACGTAGACAAGGTCTTGGAAATAGCGGCCTGGCTCGTCGCCGACTTCGAGGCTTCCATATGGCCAAGGCTCGATAATGGCTTCCATATGAGATGGAAGATTGAGCTCTTTGATGGCAGATTTAAAGACCGCGGAAGCTTCGCAGACTTCAATCAAAGTATCGAACTCTCCGCTAAAATTCCAAGTTAACAACGGCCTCACTTTACTCTAAAAAATTATCTTACAGTGTTAGACTGGGACAGAATTCCTTGCCCACCACGATATTTTCTACCATCTTCCCTTGTTCTAGGTCAACCAATGATTCGTGATACTGAATCGCCCTATCTGCAGCAATTATATCGTAGTGGCATTCAGCCATTCGTGGAGGCCTCGACGTCATCTGGTAGAGTTGACCATCATGCTCAATTTGAAGGAACGGCACGAGATCTTTCTTGCATGGTTCTTTCAAATCCACTTGACGAAACTCAATGACGTGATCTGGGTGACGGGCCAGCACGATATCGCGAGCTTTTTCCGTCTCTTCAACGGAGAGCATCTGTAGGGGGTGAGGAGTTGGAGACATGTTTGCAAATTTTATGAGTAAGAAAATTTTTGTGAGTGAGATCAATAGAAAAGACAATTGTAGTGATAGCATTCAACAAAAATCTAGAAACAGATATAAGTGGAAAGATGTATGCTAAGGCTTGAAGTAGTCCACAATCGTCCGCGGCTAGTTTGCCGGATGAGGAAGTCGTAAGCGGTACCTCACCATGGGAGAGGTTCATGCACTCTACCGTTGACAACACCCACGGTAATATTATGTAACATAAACATCAAATGATTGCAAAGCAGGAAGAATTCTTTGATGAAGTTCTAGCAGTCTTGTTGTTTGATGTTGGTCCTAGCGCATAGCCCAAGGAAGAAATCCCAGCGCCACCCCACTTTCGACCTACCCACAGCAGAGCATATTTGCGGCGCTCCTGATTGGTGGACTACAGATCCAAACCGTTACTATCTCTTCAGATCTCGTTTCAGTACGGGTTTTGCATTGTAGGTCGTCTCCCTTTCCAATCAGCTCCTCGAAAAACCTGGCTGCTTCGGGGTGGTGTCCGACTCATCGAAGAGAACCTACCCATGGTGGGGATGTACCCCGGAACAGCTGTTGCAATGATAAAAAAAATAGAACAAGCTTTTTGAGAATTGCTGAGCTCTGGCCAGAGCTGGCAGAGTAGTCAAATGCTTCATGGACATAGGCCTAGAGCAAGCGAAGTAGGACGAAATGCGCCGAGTTGCTATTTTTTTTTTAAAGCCAATTCCCATTTTCTGTCTAATCCCGTTCCATCACTACTTCCAAATGGCTAAGCATTACCCCTCAAAGACATCCAACAACCCTGTTGCATATCTCAATGGCAGAGTCTACACTGTGGACAAGTCGCAACCATTGGCTTCCGGCTTTATTCTTCCAACCGCAGGCACTTTCGAAGTTGTCGGCACAACTGATGAGATCCTGAGCATTGCAAAAGTGAGGGGCCTTGTGACTTACGATCTCAGACAACAATTCATCATGCCTGATATGTACGATGAGCATACGCACCTTCTCTCTGCTGGAGAGAAAAGGCAATTGCAGACTGGTATCGGTGGCGAAACAAACGAACACAGTCTTGGGATCACTTTAAAAGATCGTCACTGTCTTTACAAGTTTTCAAAAGTCGTAGGAGACTGGATATTTGGAAATTACTACCCTTCCGAGATGTTTACTGATGGAAAGCCAGAAATATCTCTGTGAACAATTTCCAGATACCCCGGTGCTAGTGCGAGATACCTCCCTTCACAAAGTCCTACTTAACACTGAGGGCCTCAAAAGAATTGGAGTTATTCCCGAAGCTGAGAGGACAGTTCCACCTCCAAGAGGTGTGGATGTCAGAAGAGTAGACGGGATGATGACAGAGGAGCTGATGGAAGCAGGTCCAGGAGATGCATGGTTGAAGTTACCAGTTTGGCCCTTGCCAAGAATCAAGAAGTCGACCATATATGGAATCAACTCTTGTCACAAATTTGGGATCGCCTTGATACAAGAAGCCTCCGCTAACACCGTTTATTTACACGGTCTCCGCGAGCTGGAGGAAGAGAACAAGCTTAAGCTTGACATCAATACCCACATTATGTGCGGGAACAAATTTTTCCCATGTGAGAGTTTGGGAAGTCTAAAGTCCCTGCTGGATGTCGCAGAAGATTTCAAAAGCAAACATGTTGATACTCGATTTGTCAAGTTCTGGCTTGATGGACCACGGGTCGAACCAGGCCCGACACATTGCACGCTCAATGGGGAGGGAGAACCTGATCCTAAAATACCATTTTTTATGGCGAGACCGTTCTTGCTCATGTCACCAAGTACGATTCAAGGGGAATGACATGAAAATGCATGTGGCGGGCGAGGATAGTGTGAGACAAGCTTTGAATATATACGAAAGAGTCAGGAGAGGTAATCATAATGGCCCAAGGCATGAAATAGTTTATTTCAATGCTATTCATAAAGGTCAATTCATTCCGATTACTTCTTGGGGGGAAAATCAAGCTTGCGAAGCCCGGGATTGGCAAACGCTTTGTGTCTGAACACCTTAATTTAGCAAACTACTAAAATTCACAACACTGAAAATTCTATGTAAATAGAAGAAGCTCAGACTAAGCCTTACCCAAAATGAAGGTGTAGCGCCGACTCGGGGAGAAGGAGGGTGTTGAAGGCCTGATCACGTGCATAAGGCGGCTCGGTAGAAAAGGGGTCAGGGGCTCGCTAAGCTAATCTGAGCCAGCGATCTCATCCTGCACACCTGCCTTACCTTAAGGATTCTGAAATGGATTAGTGAGCGATCTCGTATACCAAAGCTTAATCGAGTTAGGCGCTAACCTTATCAATGGCTCGAATCAGTCTCAAAACGATTGTTTCGCAGCAGAGGAAGTGGCCAATCAAATCACTCAGAACTGGTGTCGAGATCGGGGTTAGCTTCTCTATCCCGCCCTTCTCCACTCCCTACTTACCACCAGCTTGCCCAGATAACCGAATGCAGGGATATCGAGAATTGCATGTATACCATGGATCCAGAACACGAAAAGCATCATGAATGTTAATTGTGGCCGAGGAGGAATTGCCGAACTTGTAATGATACTCCAAGCTGCCTTGTGAATAAAGGGTTGGAGGCATGAGTAATTTATTGGCATTTTCTGTTCGTTCATCTTGCGAGGCTTTCGATGTACCCTCTTAACCAATCTTTGCAACCGTGAGGACTGATATCGTGTTTCGACCAGAACTCGAGGCAGGTCTTTCCTTCTGGACTACACATTTCTGAATCTTCGGTCCTTCGATCCATTTGAGGTGCGGGACGATATCGCTCCCTGGGCAGCTGAGTCCTTTTTTTAAAGCAATTCCTGCATTTTGGCTTTTTTGATCGTATTTTATATGCCGTTTCTTGCATGTCTTGCAGCCTGCAGAGCGTCAGATTCTCAACATTCGACTGCTTGAGCTAATTGAGGTCATACCAGGACGAGTTTTGCAAGGCCGGGGTGGCAGCTAAACCGGACGCGAGATACCGAACGCGGGGAAAGTCTAATGTTGAAGAATTTGTAACTGATAGGTAAAAAACTGAATGAGACCGTGTTGTTGATTTTCGAAATAAGCCTGAGACAGTAAACGTTTTTATGTAGTGTGCAATTGAATGGGAGTGAAGATCTTTAATACATCTCGATACTGCATCTCCGGGGACCAGCTAGAATCAATAGTGGGGCTTCTTATCTTCAACCCACCCTTCCGGTTGTTGCATTGATTCGTTCAACTCTCGACTTCACAAGACGAAAGCAGCTAAATTTCGGATTCCTGTCTGGAAATCTGCCAGATGACAGCCAGCCGGGGGAGGAGCGATGTAGTTGAAGAATTTGTTGCGATTGACACAGAAAACAGCGGAGGGCTTCCACTAAACTGACTTCCGAGCCACACATCTCCCACTCCGGCATGGCACAACAAACTACAGGCCACCAATGCAAGGCTACAAGGGCGAGGTTGAGTGAAGGTGCCACCAAGTCCACACCACATTCAACTAGCTTAAAATCATCTTGCTTCTCCTCTTAGATTGTGCACAAGGAGTCGGAACTTAGTCAGATCCCACTGCAGATCCTTCCTGCCCTTGAACATAAACAATGACTCTGTCCGGCTCTCCCTTCGACCGAAACAGCCACCTCATTCATATCCTTGCAGAATCCATCAAAAAGGTCCTGTTTTGCACCATCCAAACTGATATCTATTATCACGTCCTTCATACTTGGAAAGGCGTGTGTCCAGTCGATGTACCAATTATAGAGCCGAAGAGCTGCGCGAAATTGACACCATTTGCAAAATCTCACGCTCACCATAAGATATTGGAATTTGCTGAGATCGGCCTTGGAGACATTTAGAAGTGCCTCGTTTCAGTGGATCAATTCCATGTAAGGGTCGACGCCCGGGTCCCTGGCCGTCGTGCAAAGTGTCCATCGTGATACAGACTTCGTCAATCTCAAAATTAAGAGATGATGTCCCGGAATCGTTAAAGCCCGCCGCTTTTGATAAAACCGCATCGCAACCGCTCGAGACCCGCGATTAACTTGGAGAGCAACCGGATTACTGCTGCGCTGGATATCTGGTCCTGGGCCAGCATTGCTGGCGTAAGTCGTGTTAAGGCGCGAATCTTGGGCCACAGGTGAGGCGGGAAAGAAAGGTGCGCTCCCAGATCATCTCCCGCAGTTCAAGAGGAAGCTTAGGGAACGGGTGAAAGGTTTTGGTTGCCATTGTGCGTGCAGTAGGAATATTTGCGGATGAAAGGGCTCGATGGGTTCTGAAAAATTCAGTGTGTACTCGGTTCCTGACAAGTGTCGAACCGTCCAACCCTAAGCGCTAAGGGCGAGTTTCATCCGCAATCCTAAGATCGCGGCGCAAGAGAGTTCGGTCCAATAACCAAACTAATTTTCTAGGTATCTCGCGAGACTAGAGGTTGGCACCAAAATCCGAGACAACATCGGTCGGACCAATGATGGATGGGCTAGTTCTCGTTTCCTGCCACCACTTGTATCCGCCATGTTGGGGCATCATAGACTGCTTCATTACTTGCCCTAGCCCGCAGCATGTGGTCCATAATCATTGTCAAACGCACTCTTAACATCCTGTTCGTTGACACGTCCAGTTCCTGCATTCGAGGAGCCATGACATCCATGATGTCCAGAGCATCGTCCTGCCAAATCTCAATCGTTATCGCTTTCAAAGAATCGAAGTTCAAGACACAGCCAAGAAATGCCTCCCCAGCTATCCGGACGAAGTTGAAGGGAGAGGAGGACGCATATGACCAAGGGAACGCAAGTGTGATATTTTTGATCCTCCGGCGGTCTGCAAATGGTATGTTGAACTCCTCTTCGCGGCGTGCGCCTGCAGGTCTGCGCCAGTCGGGGAACAACAAAGTTCCGGCGAAATAGAAGTCGTCGAGCTCGAAATTGAAATATTTCCCATATCGACAATTGTAGTGTTCGCGCCTCTCGTAGAATTGCTTGGCGATAACTCGAGATTCTCGATTGACCTGAAGCATCACGGGGTCCTTTTTCTGTGAAGAATGTAGGCATCGAGGATTCTGCTGTCCCTTCCTGAGGAGCTTTGGGCGACGTCTAGCCGGACCAGGGAGCGCAAGCTCCCAAATTGTATCTCGCAGCTCAGCAGGCAATTCGGAGAATCGGGGGAAGATGGTAGCTGCCATTGTGCAGACTATGGAGCATTCGGGGGAGTGTATAAGGCCGTTGAGCTGGTGCTGCGTTCGATGAGCGATTGACCACGCAAGTAAAGGAAATATTTGAGGACTTACTAGTCTTCCATATTAAAATCGGGCGAGTGCTGCTCCATTGAGCGAAGCCGTTGTCTTGTGAGGGTGATGGGAGGTGTGGTGTCGTTGTTCATGACGTAGGAGACAACCTTGTTGAAAGAGATCTCTGTGATCCTCGATGCTGACAAATACGCAGCATCCGCTGTAGCGCGAATAACTCGGACCAGCAGGAAAAGTGACTGTCTTCGCAGGCCTGGAATCCTCTCTTAACCAAGCCTCAATAATGTATGTGAACACCGATTGGCGTGGACATCAATGCCTCTGCATATGCATACGTCCTTAAAAAGTCACATGGAGACTGCATATTGTGGCTTGAGACATAACCTTTAACTTTACCCCACCCCTTTGCCCAAGATTCCACAGACTCCCCAACCTAGGTAACCTTGTGAGCCAAATTCAATCGTCTTTTGGAGTGGACAAGAGATCTCTAAATTCTTTATAATCTGCTATTGAAGAGTGACAATGGCTTCCCTCCACATCACGTGGCATTTTGCACCCGAACATGTCCCAACTTTCTACGAAGCCTTACGTCCGCTCCATGAAAAGCTCGTACAAGAGAAAGAATGCTTGTATTTCAATGTCTATGATATTATGCAGCAGCCCGGCGTTGTGCGCCTGGTAGAGATCTGGGATTGTGATATGAAGTGGATGGCTGAGGTATGGGCTCGAAGCGGGGATGAGGAGCCGAGGTTGATGATGGTACAGGTCCAATCGAAGAAAGACTATTACGCGCCTTTCTTTGAGGCAACAAAAAAGATTTCGTTGCAGCCGCAGAACATTGAGTTTATGAAGGGGGTGGGCGAATTTCGATTTATGAGGTTGTAAAGGGTTGAGATGCAGTCTTCTTCATTTCCAATCCGGGAGCGCGACTCTTCTCTCGACTGTTAAGCAAGCATCACCAGTGGATAATGATGACCACTTAACATTGCAATCTCTCTTATAAGCTCTCGCAGTTAGAGTGAAGATGATGAATAAGGCAACATGAATGCTAAATAATATCTTACAAACGGGAACCCAAACGGACAATCCCCTTCCCACTTAACTCAAACAGTCAGTCCAAAAGCAAAAATCTCGAAAGTATGCACAGAAAATATATCTACCCTAGCTTATAACCCACAAAACGGATGTGATGAATGTATATGCAGATGCAGATGAATCACCATAACAATCTCATGAATCTCATCAAACAGAATGGAAAATGAGCATGCCCAACTGAAGTCTACACCACCTAGAAAGACATGAGCTTGCTCTTCACGCAAATTGCCTTCGCCAAGGTTTCAATTGAGCCGCTAGATAGAAGCTCCAGGACTTGAAGATTGGCCTCGAACTCTCGGGTGATATAGTTGCGGACTTCGATGGCAACCAGCGAGTCAAGAGCGTAGTTCGACAATGAGCGAATGACGCCCATGTCTTCTTTCTCAAGCATGAGAACCGAAGGTAGCTTGTTGAGCAATCCATTGCAGACCACCTCTTGGGCTTCTTCCGGGGACTTGGCAGCCTTGAGCGCAGCACGGTACGAGATAGCAACATCCTGGCCAGCCGAGTTCTCTGCAGCGAGAGCCTCGGCTGCAACCCGCAGGTGCTTGAACTTCGCATCCTGGGTCCAGAATGGCGGACTGGGCGTGATACGCATGCCAGTGATCGTGTGGTTATTTCAGGCGTTTTGTCATCCCGATTGATACCTTCCAACAATCCTGCTCGATTGGTATCGCTGTCCCTCAAAGCATGTTCCAGAGGCTTGGTACATAGGAATAGTTTCAGTGTCATGGAACAACTGGGGCTCGTACTCTTAAAGGAACCTCCAATGAAAACGCCGACTTCATTCCCGACGATTTCGCGCTTCGGTATACCAGCACTACCAAGTGCCTCAAACGTACACTCGAGTAACAGACGCTGCTGAGGGTCCATCGAAGTTGCTTCTTGAGCAGTAAGACTGAAAAACGGTGCATCGAACAAACCGAGATCCTCCTTCAGGAAATTTCCTCCAACAGCATTAAATCAACTCCTCTTTCCCGGATTAGGGTGATGGAAACTGGCACTCTCGAATCTCTCCTTTGGAATCTCGGACCACCCATTACGAGCGCGAGAGCACAGCTCCCAGAACTCGTCCGGAGTGGTGACATTTCCTGGCAGGCGGCATGACATGCCCACAATGGCGATAGGCATTTGCTTTGGCATTTCAGACGATGCGTATCCGGTGATGTAGCCATTGGTGAAGCCGTGTGTGTAGCCGGTCGTGTAGAGATTTGGGTCGCCACCTATGTGCCCGTTGGTGTTTGCTACATTGTTAAGATGCCCATTTGTGCGAGCAGCTTCGTAGCCGTTCATAGTGCCATTGGCAGCTCCAGCCCTAGCTCCAGCTCCAGCTCCATTAGTACTCTCGTCCGCCGCGGACCAGCTCGTTGCTGAAGGAGACATGGCGTTTTTGTTATCACCGCGACTCAACGATGATGCAGAAATTCCCAAGTCGAATCTCAAATCCAACACTGTGGAGGATATCGGTTATATACACCTTACTCAATAGGTAAGCTCGGTGCGCCACTTCGCCCCAATTCCGGTCATGCTCTATCGATACAGTGGGTGGCCACATGTCTGTCCGATTGGGCTGTTTTACACCAAAACGCCTATATTGCCCTGGGCAGTTTTGGCCGGACAGCGTTCTTATATTTACCTTAGATTCTTGGATTTAAGCCAGATTTACTAAATACACACTTCTACTTACTTAGAATTTTGCATTTTATCCCTTTTCAGGCTATAAAATCAAATAATACTGAGCACTTTTATAACTTCGCGGATTTACTATGTAAATAAGCGAGAAAATCGAGAAAATCAAAAAGTGAAAATTAATAAGTTATATTATACATAGAGATAAACCTCAAAGAGACCTATATTTGAGTATATGTAATAAGAAGTAATTATTGATCGTGGGTTAAAAGTATTATTATTTTAATTTAAGAAGGCGCTAGATTTTTGAAAAATTAAAGGAGGCGTTTTGGCCGTTTTTGGTGTGATTTTCGCGAGTCGGACAGACATGTGGCCACTCACTGTAGTTCAGACGAACGTCTCACTCAGAGGTTCCAGTAGTAAATTCTCTTGGCCCCTCTATTCCGATTAATTTGGTCGGATGAAACGGATAATGCAAGAGATTAGAGAGTCTATATGCAATGTCAATCTTAAACGCAGACTGTGCTGCAGCCGCTGAAGAGCAGTCATGAAAGGTGGCGTTTGACGCATGTAAAGCGCAAAATCCCATGTTGATTAATTGCCGTCCGGCCATCTTACCAGAGCAACCCTGACATTTGCCGAGAGGAGTATTCTCGGCAGATGTTCCCGGTGCGTCCTGACGGGTGGAGGGTTTTCTAGGTTTCCTAGATTCCCGGGGATAGATTATATACTCGCATGGGTGAAGGAGAAACCGCTAAAAAGTGCCGATAAGGGGGTAAATGACGATGGAAACAAAAAGAGTGGAGTTACACACGAACTGTAGGCAATTCAATTAAGAAAGTAAGTAGAAGGAAACGAGGTAGATGCCTATCGAGGAAGGTGTGGTGGACGTAAGGGTTGTGGCACGTGACCAGCTTTTCTTTCCTCCAAACAAGCCAAAAGCTCTGCTTCAGAGGTTATCCGGGAAAACGGGCTTTGGAATGCTTCTATAAGACAGCCTCTAGAACCTGGTTTTCGAGAATCTATTGAAAGCGCACGGAAGATTTGCCCATGTCTTAGAGGGTTCTCATCTTGATGCTCAAAAATGGTGTCAGCCAGCTACCTTATGGCGACCAGGATCAAAGGTACTCCCCAAGTCACTTTTTGGTAACATATCGGCGCTTCAGAGTCTCCTGGGCGAGGCTTATTTCCCGGTCGAAGTACTCTGTACAGCAGCAAATTGCTCGTGATTTGCCGCGAAAGCTTCGTGGTGTTGAGTGTCTTGTGAAACCCACGAACAGAGCGAGTCGCAGAAAAGGGTTATATTGACATGGATGTGGACGGTGGCGCTGACAGGTACAAAGGACTGCCCCTTATTGCTGGCAAGGTTCAGCCATGGCTAGAGTCCGGGGAGAGCTCCGTTTTCACTTGTCGTCTACGAAGGAGAGGTGATGTGTGGTAAGAATAGAGTTTTGGTGGGCGCTGGCACTATTCTCAATATAGGTTAGGGCTGCGGATGGACTGTCCCTGAAAGCGGGCCCCTGTACATGGCCATCCTTGCGGTGTTAGGCACTCACTGGTTGCGAAGGGTGTCTTACCTCTCGCCCTATAAAAACCCCGCCCCCACGGCAGTGGCCCCCGGAGGGCTAGCGGAGCGTTATACAGGTATTCTCTTAGACTTATTAGCCTTAAAAAAAGTAAATTCGCTGAGAAACAAACGCCAAGCCCAATTTTGTGCCGTTTATATTATTTCCTAAATCGTTTTATAAAAAATTTGAAACTCACTCTAGCTTCTTTAATTATGTACGTATAGATTATAATAGGTCACAATTAATAGTTATTGCATATTTGTTAAGTAAAGTAGGAGACTTTAGGTTTGCCGATGCCTGAAAACATCGCTAAAAACACGGAGTTTTGAGGCCGGGCTCGTAAAGTGGTTTGTGTGCCCACTGTGTGGAGAACCAGTCGTATGACATTACCGACCGATGTGTAACAACATGATTCAAACTTTCCTCAAATAAAATACAGTAACTCCATCAGCATGATTTTTGGAAACAACCGGTAGATTAATATTGTTTATATAGTAATATGTGGAAACTTCCTCGATTTCAGGGGAAGCTCGCCTAATTGAGCGGCACTTCACCCGCTAGATTAATACCAGGGTCCATATCGCGATTCAAAAGATTCGCCCATATAATGTGATTTGACGGACATGAATAGCCCTACTCACTCCTTCTTCCGATCTCAGCTATCGTCTGAAGTGGATTCATCCGAAAGATTAAGTTATCGGAGCTTAGAAATAGCTTGGACGAAGGCGTCTTAATTCTTCGCCATCTGCTCTTCAATCGGTTCCATCACCGTGTTTGTTCTGTATGTTGGAGATCCTGTGTAACTGATCATGGCGAAAGTTGCGGAAGATGAAGGTCCGATATCCGACTGGTCCAGACCACCAGGGCCAGCTAACACAAGTTCGCTTTTTATGAGTATGCCTGTGCTCGGAGGGACAGAGAACAACCATGCCTCAGTAGAAAATGAGACGACGATCGAGAATCAAGTCAGCAAGATAGAGGCCAAAGTTGACACACCGCCCTCGCCGGCGTCGACGACAAATCCTTGGTCCACTTCAGCAACTCTGCCAGTTTTATCAGAGATTGGCACTCACGATCAATCCGAGTTAGCAGCTGCTGGTGAAGAACAATGCACTTCCCCAACTCCGTGGTCAACTTCAGCAACTTTACCAGTCTCGCCAGAAGGCGGCCATCATGGAGATGAAGCTCCGACATGGGCTGAAGCTACGACCGCCGCCCCAGTCTCAGAAAAGAAGAAATTTAGCCAAGCAGAGTATCAAGTAGCTTTCAGAGATTTCTTAACATACTCGTCATGGGGTGATAAATTACTTCTTTTTGCTGCTTGCTTCGCTTCAATTTGCGCTGGAGTCACACTCCCGCTTATAAATGTTGTCTTTGGTATGTTACTTCACTTGGACAGCAGTTGAGGTGCTGATGTTCGAAGTACTCCTTCCGGTAGATAGAGGTAATATGCTAATAGTGTCAGTATATCCCGCAGTTGACTTGAAGATCCCTTGAACTTACAAATGAGACAGTATTTGCAGACCATCCGAGTGCGAAGTAGCTGATACCCACACCAGCTGCCAGGACAGCATACATCAGACACCACCAGTTGGTCCACCATTGCATAAACCACCAGTATCCATAGAAATTGAATACCGATATGAGTTCAGTAAACAAAAATGCTTGGAGAGGGAAAGCAGCTTCGATTTAATCAGTAATGAGACCACCTTTTGTCAAGCACAACTTCATCGCCTCACTTCCAGAAGGTTATGACACAGCGGTCGGCACCAAAGGTGCCGCCTTTTCTGGTGGCCAAAAGCAGATACTTGCTATTGCTAGAGCGTTGATTAGGAACCCAAGAGTTCCGCTACTGGATCAAGCGGCTTCCAATCTTGATTCGGAGACGGAAAGGTCGGTGCAAGCTGTTTTCGAGAGGACCGGGAGGGGTAGGGCGATGCTTGTCGTTGCGCATAGGCTAGCTACGGTACAGAATGCTGATGTCATCTTCGTCACCGGTGATAGAAAAGTATTTGAGACAGGAAATCTGTTACGGCCTGGACAAGCTGTGGAAGTGGAAATGTGTGTGTATTAGTGTAAATATGTATGAATGATGGTGCCTTAATGGCGGTGAAGAAGCTATATATATGCCTGTGCGCAGCACGTGACAAAATCATTCTTCGTTGTTGAGGAAAAGGGGCATTTATTATCAAATAGTAAGCTCCTCCCAGTTGATCTTTTCCATGTACACACTAACATTCCTGACAGTGTCAATCGCAAGCTCTAGATAGGGAGGATACCTGGAAAGCTATTGATTAGGCTATTCTTAACTTGTAAATAATTTCTTCTCTTATGTTTTATGAGTAGTGAAATAGGCTTGGGCCTTTTTTCAATTCCGGCTCAAAGGCACACCACACTTCCACTCTCAACACAAAGTTTCTCAGTTCCTGTGTTATTTTCTGATGCCCACCAGCATCTAGGCATTTCCTAGATTGATATAATTACACTTTTGACTGAAAAATAAGTGTTGAGACATGCCGCAGTGGAGGATCCTGGGTGATGATGCTTTGCGGGGTATTTTGGGGGCCGAAATACATAGCGGGGTACTGTCCATTCAACCATTGTCCTCCATTCGAGCGAACTCAGTCGCAAGACCCAGAGGAATTGCCCCCCTACATAATATTAACACTCTTTTCTAGATACAATTGATTACCCAATAGCCTTTAATTGTGTCCATCCGAGTCTCCTTGTTTGGAACTAATTTGTTGTGTAGTACTTTGAAGTGTTTGGGCTGAAATATTGACGATCGGTTAAATGCTGCGACTGCCCTGGATGATATAGAGATCATCCCAAATGAAATTTTACTGCCAGCATCCCACTGATCTCATCACATATCTGGTCTATTGAAGGCAGGAAAATCTCTCAAACTTTGGACATGGTTAAGAGCGATATTCAAAGTTATAATATCTAATCGATAGCTTGAGAAGAAAAGATAGACCCAATAGTTTTTCCATCAATGAAGGAGAGACGAATCGATAGGCTTCTTTGCCCTCGCACCAGACAATAAGAGCAATTTAATCATCAGACAATCCGACCTGTCATATGCTGCTTGTAGTGCATTTCCATGAATCCCTCCTTGAATGTTTACATCTGCACCGTGGTCGAGCAAGAACAATGCGATGATTTTATGCCCTCGTGCAATAGCAGCTTGAAGTGCGGTGCAGTATACTCCTCCTTTCGCATCAACATCAGCACTTGCTGCAACCAGCAATTTGGTTAATTCCTCTAACCCAAGCATTGCAGCAATATGGAGAGCAGTACCACACTCAGGATTATCAACCTTGACGTTTGCACCTCTGGAGAGAAGTAATCTTGCCACACCAGGGTGGTTCCCTTGCAATGCCAGGACGAGTGGAGTGCCCCACGGGTCAAGATGAGCGTCTACATCTGCACCTCTATCGAGCAGCTCTTTAACAATTATTTCCACACCTAGGAAACTTGCTGTTTGTAGCCCATTGCCTGCAATTCCCTTCAGGTTTTGGAGGGAAGCGCAGTGCTCGATGAGGACGCGGGTTGTACTGAGGTCGCCTGCCGAAATTGCAATCATGAGTGGGCTGCTTCCACCGAAAATGCCTTGAGCATTAACATCTGCTCCATGACCAAGTAAGAGCTTTACAATCGCGGGTTCTCCATTCGCGGCAGCGTGGCGTAGGGCGCTTCCCAAAAAGCCATGACCTGTTTCCAATTCTGCACCACCCTCTAACAGTAATTGTACCACTTTTGTCCAATTGCTAAGTTGAGCATCAAGCCTTTGTTTATCTGGGGTAATTGCGTAATGGAGGGCAGCGGTGAGACAACTTTTGTCGATTAAACCACTCACGTTGTTACGGAGTGACCAGGTGACGACTTCGGGGTCCCTGAACAATGCGCCCTGTTTGAGCGCGAATCCAGGGTCGATTTCAGATGATTTCAACAGTTGCCTTGATAACTGTTTATGCTCGAAGTCCAATGAGACTGTGAGAGCCTGGTGAGTTGCCCGTTGCCTCTCCATATCTGGAACCTTTGACAGAACCAACTCGACAGCCCCTAAATCTCCCAAGGCTGCTGATTGATCAATTGCGTCAAACAGGTTATATGAATGACCATTTTCCATAGATTGCAGAAGTAAGGATGCAACACCTGTTCGGCTGTTTCTCAGAGCAACAGCTAATGCTTGCGGTTTGCTGATTCCAACCTCAAGAAAGTCTTTAACAGCTACCGAATCGCCTCGCTCCACTGAAAGCATGAAATCCTGTTCCTTCTTAGCTTTTTCGATCCCCCGGAGTCGCCCTGTCAGCCATTTGGCTAAATTTTGATGACCACCTGCTTCTGCCTGCTTAATAGCTCCTTTGAGCGCTTTGAACGGGATCTCGACATCTGCTTCGAAATTGGTAGGTTCCAAAAGTATCTCCGATATGCCTTGGTGTCCATGCAAGGCTGCGAATTCCAGTGCAGTTTTCCCACTATTACCCGCCCCGACCCATTTATTCTTCGTGTTCTTTAAGACGACATGGAAAAGTTGAATATCTCCAGTGATAGCGGCTTCGTGTATTGGAAAAGTCTGTTTAGGACCTTCGGTGTCGTTCCACTTTCTCATATCTAACAGGGCACAGCTTGTATTCATGTCTCGTAGATTTATGGCCCGATTCAACAACCTTTCTGGGTTCTTCCCACGTTCTAGCAACCTAATTTTGTGCGCAACTATATCTCCAATGGAGAATGTCTTCGGTTTAGTGGGTGGTGGGCCCGCAATGGATGTCCCTTTGGGTGCTATCTCCGTTGGTAGATTGAATGAAGGCTTGCTCTCGCAGGTTTTCTTCTGCCCCGATTCCTTTGCGATGGCAATTTCTTCACTCAGTTTAAACCGCAACATATCTTTATTCGGAGTTCCTTCTTGAGGAGGGGAAGCAGGATCAACTTGGGCTGACTGTGAGGATGGATTAGACCTAAAATATTTTTAATCAACAGAGGTGGGAATGGAGAATCTAGCAGACCTGTAAAAGGAACGATTCAGCCTTTCTCATAGCCAGGTGAAGAGATAGGCCCACAGCATGGATACAGAGGCAAATGCAGATTCCGACAAGTAGAAGTGGGCGATATAGGATGTGCTGTCGCAACTTTTGTATGTATGCTTGGACTATCTCTTCTACCAAGCATACTTGAAGTAGGAGTTCATCCAGCAAAGCCTTGTCGGAAGCTATAATTGATAGGATTAGTCCTCTGATTCTATTTTCAAGGCCACCATTAAGTTTTTGTTACCATTCCTCTCCAACTGGCCGTGATGGTGGCAGGGAATATCCATAATAAAGTTAAAGAATCTAATTCTGACTCCCAGAACGAAGAGCGATCTGGTTTTCTGATGTGGAAATCCCAAAAAAAAATCGAAGCGCCGAAAAGCGAGAGGGTGAGGTTACTGTACCTGTTGAAACTCTGGCCACTCGGCTCGGCATTGATACCTGAGGTATCGATACTGGATTGATATCGGACCGGTATCGAATCGAATCGAATGAATCAAAAACCCCCTGCGATTTAAATGCCTTATTATCTTCTATTTTGAAAGAGATTTTTTCTATATAAGCTATTTATGTACATAACCTATTATAAATAAAGGATTTTAAGCTTTAAATTTATAAAATTATTAATAAACTCTTAATATAATAATATCTCTTCGTATTCGGACTATTAGCCTCGTACTCGGAGATTCGCTTATTGCCCAAATATTAGTAAGCTTAAGAACACCAAAAATTAGGTACTATAAGTAAAACTTCTTATAAAAGGTTTAAAAAAGGTCTAAATTATAAAGAATACTCTAGATAATAGAGTAATATACTTTTCTTTTAATATCCAAGCCTTTAGGTTAGTTTTATTAATAGTAAAGAGTATTTGGGGTCCGAGAATCGCTTAGGTATCAATACCAGCGATACCTTATCAATACCGTATCAATACCATCGATACTGGATCGTTGCCGAGCCTGTCCAAGGGCCAGGTCGGCCAACGAATGGATGAGAGCCAACATAAATTTACCGGGGGCCTTGACCACTGAAACGAAAGGCCAACAGGTGCCCACTACAGAAATAGATCATTCAAATGTGTTCCAAATTGCCGAGCGGGTACATAGAAGGGATCACCAACCAACCGCCCAAATCACTCAACCGCGCAAGCAAAATTTTGAAATTTTTTTAAAGGGCTCAGAAAATTCAGAAAATCTGTGAAATGACCAAAGCGAGGTCGTACATCACGAATATTAACTTATTTTCTTCATTTTGGGATGTGGTTGTGGTGTGGTTATAGTAAAACTACTTTTTGGGCGGTTGGCTGGTGAACCCTTCTAATCATTGTGTTCGCTCGTTGTGCTATGAGTTAGAGCAGTCATAAGCAAGTTGGATATCTTTTGCATCGCAGTTTCCTCGTGCAGGTGACAGCTTTGAATACTCCGCAAAGTCCCGCCATCTACCAACCCCGGAGCGCATCCATGGGGGACTACTTTTGCTGACAGCAGCTTTGAAGATAGTTTGGATGCAGTTAAACGCCAAGCTCGGGATTATCACCACGGCTGGGGTTCTCGTTGGCCACAAGTTTTGCCGCTAGCAACAATGGATTTGGGTGTTTTATATGCTGCCACTTTCTCCATTCCTTTCTGGAAAATTGTTTCTCAATAGTTTCTTCTTTCCGAGCGGAGTTTCATGCACAAGGGAAACGTGTCATCTCAGGATTGCTTTCGATACAACTTAAATACCTATCATAAAACCATGAACAAGGAGGAAAAGATTGGCCGTTATCATGATACCACACCCTATTCATCCCTCTTATATCCATCAATCGGAAACCAGGCTGCTGGAAGCATCGCTATCATCATCGCTCGAATCCTCATCATCAGAGAAGACATCGTGCACGGTATCGGTAGCATTGGTTAACTTCCCAAGCAATTCTCCAAGATTAAGCTTCGCGTTCTCCTCCTCCTTATCAAAATCAATCTCAAGCCCTAAGTCCTCAGGCTCATCCTCGATATCTGAGTCTGAAGCCAAGAAGCTGGAGTCATCTGACTTGTTCCCAGCCATCCAGCTGAGGACTCCGCGGGCAGGTTGGCTCGGACCCGATGGCGGCCTAACCAAGTTGACGATGACGGGAGGCCCACCGGGAGGCCCACCGGGAGGCACACCGGGACCAAGAGGGGGAACCGCGAGCCCAGCAGCTCTTTGAGGAGCCTGAGGAGGTGGCCCTCCTGGCCAGTCACGAGGTGGAGCTGGTGGAGGATTTTGTGGTGCAGGCGGAGGACCAGGTCTTTTGTTGAAATGACTGGGAGGCGGAGGCGTTGGAAACGGCCACATATGCTGCGAGATCTCACTTCCCGGTTTGACCGACTGGTCATAGAGATTTGGCAGGATGATCTTTCCCTCTTCGTCGATGAGATCGTAATGGCCTTCCTTAACATGAGGCCCTAAGCCTTCGACATGCAAAAAGGCTTGATCGATGAGGCGTTTCATGAGCTATTGTGGATTAGTCAGCATGAAGCCATGCACGAAGCAAAGGAAACTTACCGGAAATGTACGAGCTTGCTCGTATGGGAAGGTGTACTTGCGACCCACTGCATCCTTGAAATGAATTGGTTCCACGGGAGCACCAACCAAGAAGAATAGCATAATTCTTTCGGCTCCATATTCTTTGTTTAGACCAACAGCGACGCAAGTCCTCTCTCGTGAGTCCAGCTTCTTCGCTTCAAGGACTGCTTGGCTGATACGTTTGTGATGCTGCGACCCGAGTGCAGTGTACTGGTCCCAAGGCAGACATTGCTTTCTCATTCGTCTCAGACCTTGAGTCAGGTTCTGATGGCCGAATGGGACTTTGAGTATCCCTTGCGAGTTCTCGGGAATAATGAATGCTTCGAGTGTCTGGCTTTCCCAGTCACTGGAGAGCTTGTTGCCTTGGCCAAACATCCCTGTAAGCCAGGCCGGGAAGAAACTCTGCCTGTTCTCGAATTCGGGAATAGCGGAAACAGCTGCTGGCTTGTCTGCAGATTTTTCCGCTTCGGCTCCATCTGCCATGGGCTTGTCATCCGTCGTAGTGGATGGTTCGCCATTTGGCTCCTGAGGCTTTACGGGTGCTGGTTCAACCGGCTTTGCTTCTTCAACATCAACCTTCGTGGTAGCATCTTTCAAATCAGCAGCCCCTCTCTCACTCTGCAGGTCTGGTACCATGGTATTACTTCTCGTGCTACAAGCAGCAGGTGGCGGAGGCGGCATGGTGGAGCAGAGTGGTTCATCGCTGCAGAAAATTAGTACTTATTTGCTATGGATTCTGTCGTTCCAGGACTTACTTGTTTTCTTTGACCGGCTGGGTTAGTGGCTCCTTGGGTCTTGCTGGGGGATCGTGTTCTTCAATCACAACCACCTCGTCGACTGAGGGAAATGGGGGAACCTTATTCGTCTCTGGCACTGATGGCCTGAAAGGTATGGACGAAGGCCCCTCGTTTGCAAATCCACAGCTAAATCCAGCTGGTCCTGGATTTGGCATTGGAGGTGGGACGTAATCAGGGATAGAAACGACGCTTGCAGTATATGGAGAGTCGAATTCGAATGGCTTGACCCGGTATTTGGTGGAAAGCTTCTCAAAATATCTCATCTCTCGTCGTCTAAGCCGATGGGCCATAACTCTCAAAGCTAGCTCTTCAGTGAAACTTCCTGGAGCTCTGGTCGGAATCCTAGAACGTTCAGAATAGCCTTTGAGAACTAGGAAGAGCCTCTCACCCTAGTTGGACTTTTGCGAGTTCAGCAAGCTGAAGATTGAGCAAGACCTTCATCTTTATCCATCGCATCTGCTCATCAATCCTCTTGATCCGAGGACTCAGCCATGCCCACCTCAGGTCCCGGAACAAGCTCGATGGCTTCAACACAGGTAAGTCCCCGAAATCGACTGCTGACTTCCCCTTGTTGGCTGTTGTCCCAGCTTTGGAGACGATAATGACAACAGTTTTGTACATCTTTTCACACTGCGCTGCCACGTTCTCGATCTCTTGGACACCTTCATCCTTCAGCACTTTGGTCGAGGTGTCTGGAGTAGCTCTGTCACTCTCAACGACATGTTGAAGTTGCATCAATGCTGCTGCTGTAGCACTTATGTCGGCTGAGAGGTCATAGAGCTTCTCTTTTGAGCCTGAATACCCTTCGGCGTAGATTTCCAAGCTCGTAGAGAGTTGAAGGCCGTAAGCGACTATGCTCACGATTGAGCTGGGTGGCCTTGGAGCATCCGCCATTGCTGTAAAGTTTTATGGCGATGTGTGGAAAAGATCAGCGAGGGGATCGAAACTCGTCAGGAGGGAAGGATTCAGCAGCGTTCTTTCCCAACTCTGGCCCAACAAGAATGCGCCATTAGCGCATGCATGCAGGCGCAATTACTTGAGCCACGTTGAGCCATTCATTCTGATCGCGATAACACCATTATGCATGCACAGTCTTAGCCTAAACTTATGATAGGTGGTCGGTGTCACACAGGATTTTTCAACAACCCAAGGGACAAGGGCTGGATGTTACCGCCCCCAAAGCAGCGTGCACGTGACCCGGATTTGGATGCCGGTAATGCCGAAGCTGACTTCTGAAGCTTTCGGGTTACGAATCATTAGAGATCAGAAATTGGTTGAAAGACCACATGATGAGAGTTGGTGCCCCTTAGCCTATTTTTAAAACATTTCTGCCCACACATTCGCAATCCTCTGACACCTTATATTGGAGGCGTGAGCTGCGCTGAAAATCAATAACTCGCTGTTTTTGATTGCAAATGTGGGACCAAATTGGACACATTCTGATTCTTGACCAGCCCTAGATATTCCGGGCTTGTTTGAAAAACAAGCGCGACAGCCCTGACGTGTTCAGGTTGTTTCTGAACCCCCTCGCTTGAGGCGGTTTGGCTGCATGGCGAGAAAGGCGAAGAAATGGGGGGCTAACGCAGGAGCCATGGATTGGCACGGGGTCAGAACTCTAAGGAGGCGCATCTAGCTTTGTCTAGATGAGATTGTATTCTGAGCGACACCCATTTCGACTCACGTAAATAAAACGTTAGCCTTTGTGCAGCAACACAAGTATGTGGTGGCGCCCCTTGCGGCCGCACTGACTAAATGCTTTCATTGATTACCTCGAAGGGGCACACAGGGGCACGGCACCGTCTCGAACATCAAGCCGACCTAAAGTGTAAAAGGACCATAAAAGAACGCAACTTGACCTCCATATCAAATTCATAAGTCTCAAATCATCCGACCCAAGATGTCTTCAGCGAAAGAGGAAAGTATTAAATCCGTTATTGACCCCGCGACGGGCGAGTTCAAGAGACCTGCAGCTCAATTCCGGAATTTCATCTCCTCCGAACCTGGTGCCGAGTTTCCACCAGAGAAGGGGAGATATCATCTCTATGTATCTTATGCTTGTCCCTGGGGTAGGTTGCATGTGCACTTCTACTGGGATTGGCGGCTAACAATTGATCACAGCCCATAGAACTTTGATCGTACAAAAACTCAAAGGGCTAGAGGATATTATTAGCTTTACCTCTGTGCATTGGTATATGGATTTGGGTGGCGTCAGTATGCTTGTACGCTGCTGTCCCGCGATTTCTCTAATAGGAGCTAGGCTGGCGTTTCGTAACTCTTGACGAGAATCTTCCAGGAGAGAATGTTGTTCCTGATCCTATCAACGGCGTCCAAAACATTCGCGAACTTTACTTACTGGCGGATCCAAACTATTCGGGTCGATTTTCAGTCCCCGTGCTGTGGGACAAGAAGCTCAAGACGATTGTCAACAATGAGTCAAGTGAAATCATACGGATGCTCAATACGGAGTTTGATGGCTTACTTGGCGAGGAGTTTAGAGGTGTCAATATTGTTCCACAGGGACTCAGAGAGAAGATTGATGAAACGAATGCGTGGATTTATGTAAGTCACATGCTCGATACTTTGAAGACCGCGTGGTGTGTAATGGACTGCAATGCTGACTGAGGGTAGGATGATCTTAATAACGGCGTTTAGTAAGTGAAAAGAAGACACCCCCTTAGTTATGAGAAAGCCGCTGACAGAGGGACCAAAGTAAATCAGGAATTGCAAAGTGAGTGTTGCAAAGTCCTGAAAGTCAGGAAGCTCCCTACTGAACTAAACCTAGAACGCAAGAAGCATATGAGAAGGCTGTCACTGCAGTCTTCAATTCTCTGGATCGCATTGAAGATCTTTTGCAGCACACATCAGAGCCATACCTTCTAGGCTCCCAACTCACAGAAGTCGATGTTCGCCTTTACCCCACAATCGTACGCTTCGACATAGTCTATGTCACGGTAAGCTTTCCCATTTCAGGGGAGGCTCTAGCTTTTCCACTGACAACTTTTTGTGAACAGTTGTTCAAAACAAACCTGAAGACGATCAGAGATGGATATCCGAATATCCATCGATGGCTGCAACATCTTTACTGGGACATCCCAGCTTTCAACGAGACGACAAACGTTGAGCATATCAAGAAGCACTATTTCAAGAGTCTTACTCCGATAAACCCAGATGTGAGTCAACTACTTTATGTCCGCCTTCCGTAACAGAAGGATTGCTGATTAATGGTTAGGGAAATGTGCCGCTAGGTCCGTTGCCGGACATCCGCGAGAAGTAGCTGGACGAGTGCTTGTATGTACAGCCAATATGAAATGGCCTATATTACTTTAACCTAGTGTGTCAATTTTCTTTCTTGTTTAGTGTTAATCTTGAGGAAAACGCACTTGAACTTCCCACTCTTGAATTCCTCGCCGCACTGTTGGATGCACACACCGCCTGGATATCTTCTACCGTCAGTGACGCGTTCACTAATTTAACTTTCGCTCTTAAGTCCCACTCTAAGCAAGGCTCCGAGCGGGTATTCCACCACTTGCCCTGGACAAGACTTCCAAGTCCCTAAACTCACTTTCCAGCTCCCAGCCACTCGGGAGCGAGGCTCAACTACACGGTCCCACATCCGTTCGCTACTTCCATTCTCAGAGATCCACACCGTGTTCAAATTTGACTTCATAACTAGTGCCTTGAAGAAAAACGTACCCATATCACGGCACCGGGAACATCTTCCCGCTCTAGCCTGACCGTGATTTCAATATTTCTCTTTGAATCTTAGTTTGAAACACTTGAGACTTCAAGCCAAAAGAAGTGGGATGCCTTCGACGACCATTGAAGATTGATCCGGTGTTGACTTGATCTGTGCATCTACTTGGTCCAATGGAATATGTATGGTTGTAATGATACTAATGTATCTTTTGTCATTCCAAATATGCGCCAGAAAACAGAGGGCAAAAGAACAAAAAGGCAAAAACATACAACAGTAGGTATTCGCTGATGGTCACCCACTCAACTACTAATCTACCGATTTGCAGCTTATGTAAGGGAGAGCGGACGGGATCCCCAGCTTTCTGCAATCTATGGTCGTATGTGACGGAAACTTGCTTATAGTAACTTATATCGAGCTCCATGCTGGGAGCTTGGTCCGCAACAATAGGCAGCGCCCCTTTTCGTGAGATTAAGCGAGGTCACGATCCTTACCTCAGGGCATCGAAACAACCTTTAGACTATGATCGAATATTAGATGTGGGAGAAAAGGGATCTAGTTGTCTCTGTTCTTGGTGCATTTGGGAGTTGGGAAGGGTTTTTATCTAAAAAACCACATGCGTCACGTGACGATATACCCAAAGAAATACTCCGTACGTCCTCATCTTGAGACTCTAAATAAAAACACTCCATCTTCCCCATAACAATTTCTCCAATTTCATAATGGTTGGTACTATGCCGCGTTGGTAAGGACCACTTTGTGCGGGGAATGATAAGGGTCAAAAATGGGATGGCCCGGCCCGTCCACCATTGAGACACTTCACTATGCATGACACACAATCAAGATCGACAAAGACGATAAGCAAAAAAGAAAATGCCACTCGAATTCCCCGCAAAGCCGTGAGATTTTGTTTCGTAAAGTGGCTAATCTTTTGACAGCTGCGAGTGTTCGATCAAAGATGCTTGCATTGGCGGAGAGTGAGACCAGCCGTCCCACTCGCCTCATTCGGGACTGCAGAAATTGAGCTGCATCCTCCGCGAGCACGCTAGTGAGGAACGGGTTTCGAACCCGTCCTGCACGGTTCTGCTCAACACTACTGGCCAACTTGGTTCGCCTCTGCGCCTGGGTGGATTAGAGGTGTTGTCGGCAATCGGAGGGTCTGGACTCTGCAGCAGGAGCGGTAGAATTGGCGAACACTTCCTATTCGTAAGACGTCTCACAAGTTTGAACCCCCTCCCCCCACGCGGCACCTATCAACAAGATATTTCCACCTGCAAGCCATGACTGCAGCACATCGTTCCCAGACCCCTGGAGCCCGCACAAGCTTCACTCCACACGGGAGCCAATTGACGGCTGCCCTGGCCGTTCCTTGATCCATGCCCGGCATACAGTCCGGGAATACTTCCCTTTCCAACTATCGGGCGAATCTCGCGAGCCGTGGAGCTTCAAAATACCACAAACAGCTCCCGGTGTCAAATTGTCTTTTGTCCCGCTTTCAAGGGACGACATCGGCTCGTGGAAGTCGGCCAGGGAAGGTGCAAGTCCCGCTCTTTCTTCAGTAGCTCCGTTCGCGCTCTTATCACTCACAGCGTCTTGTCCCACCGTGGTTCGAGAATTCCGTCATCCAACAGCTTCAAAACTTTAAATCTTTTCTTTGGAGAAACTGAACCGCCGGCAGCACTTCACCATGGCGGAAGCACCACAAGTCGCGCTTGCGGATGGCATTGAGGTATCCGACAAGCCTGTGCTGCATTCATCCACAAGTGATGTCTCGAAGACGAAGTACAGCCTCGACGGTGTTGACGACGGGGAAGCCGGTGACGATATCTACGACCAAGCAAATCCGTCGCGGCCAGGATTTACAAGGTCGGATCAGAAGGATATGTGGCGGATGGGAAAAGTTCAAGAGTTCAAGGTTCGTGATACTGCGCTGGAAGAAATTTCGGCATTTTGCCTGTTAAACATAGCTAACCACTCAAACCTACAGCGAAACTATCGCCCTCTCTCAGCGCTGAGTTTTGCGACTGTTCTGGCTGCTGTGTGGGAGTACCTCTTGATGTAAGCTAAAAACAAATTAAAAAAACTGCTCCCATCTTGGCCAGATGCTTACGTTAGGCCAGGGCGAATACTCAAGGGCTGGAAAATGGTGGATTGGCTGGTCTGTTTTGGGCCTACGTATGGAATTTCATCGGATTCAGTTTCGTTGTTCTGTCTTTGGCTGAAATGTCATCGATGTCCGTACAGTGAACTCCTCCTACTCCCTGAATTCGTCTGATATTGAGCAGGGCACCCACAACTGGAGGCCAATATCATTGGGTTTCCGAATTCGCGCCTCCTAAACACCAAAAGTTTCTCAGTTATATCACAGGTAGGCTCTCTTATCTACAGCTTTCTCAAAGCTAACATATTCCAGGCTGGATGTCAACTTTGTCATGGCAAGCAGGAAATGCTTCCGGGTCCTTCCTCACAGGAACGATTGTCCAGGCACTTCTCGTAGTCAACTACCCAAACTACCAACCCACAGCTTGGCAAGGAACCCTGTTCGTCTTCGCCATGGTATTGGTCCTCTTCATCGTGAACATTTGGGGTGCACCAGTCTGGGCATTGATCCAGAACGGCTTGATGGTCTTGCACATCTTGTTTTTCCTGGTCGTCATAATCGTGCTTTGGGTCATGGCCCCTCATCAGAGTGCGAAGGCAGTGTTCACAGAATTTTCCAATGAGGGTGGTTGGTCTTCAATGGGCCTCAGCATCTTGGTTGGACAGATAACGGCAATTTATTCGCTGCTGGGTATGTGCTCACTGTCTCTCCTGTGTGATTTTCTGACAGCTACCAGGTTGCGACGCAACTGCCCACATCGCCGAAGAGGTCAGAGACGCTGGTCGATATGTCCCAATTTCCATTTTCTGGAGTTATATCGCCAATGGAGTCATGGCCATCATCTTCCTTGTCACCTACCTTTTCTCTATCGAGAGTGTCGACGATGCACTCAGTGATCCAACTGGATACCCTTTCATCTACGTCTTCAGGAATGCGATGTCCAACCAGGGGGTTACCGCACTTACCATCATTGTCCTCCTCATCGTTATTGCAGCAAACATCTCATGGAACGCCTCGACAGCTCGTCAAACCTTCGCATTTGCAAGAGACAGCGGCCTCCCCTTCTCCAAGTGGATAGGGCATGTGAGCACCACGAAGCAACTCCCTGTAAACTCTATTATCCTCACCTGCGTAATTACCTGCCTCCTCTCCCTCATAAACATCGGCTCCTCCACAGCTTTCAACGCCATCATTTCCGTCCAAATCGTCGCAATCATGCTAACGTACTGCATCTCTATGTGCTGCGTTCTCTATCGCCGCGTTGCGCACCCCGAGCTCATTCCAAAAGCACGCTGGAGCCTCGGTCGCTGGGGAGTGGCTGTCAACCTGATCGGCATTGTCTACGTCACGTTCATCTTCTTTTGGTCCTTCTGGCCGCAACAGGTACCAGTCACGGCGCAGAACTTCAACTGGGCTGTTGTGCTTTTTATGGGTACGCTGATCATATCTCTGATCATGTATGTTGTTCAGGGAAGATATGTGTACAAGGGCCCAGTCACAATCATCAAGGCTGCGAGGGTGGAATAAATTTCTGAGTTGGATCTGGGTTTGATTCGTGAGAGAACTTTGCTTGGTGGGGGTGGCTGTCTCCATGGCTAACGAGGGTGATAAGCTATTCGTTCACATCTTTGGTTTAATTGGGAATAGAATCCGCTCTAAATTGCTCTAAATCACTTCCTCTGATCATTGCGGAAAATAAGTCACAGTGAGATGGCTTGTAGGGTATTTAAAAGGATGGATTTTGCGGTCCTAAACTCCATTCATTCGTAAGTACCTCAGTACAAGGGCCCGCATCTCTATCTATCATCACTTAAACTAATGTCCCAACCATCTACCTATGTCACAAATATCCCTACAAAAACCTGAATCCTTTCTTTCTTTCCCGAGCCCAAACCCCACCAAAACACCTAAACCAAAACGCAAAAATTTAAATCCCTCTCATCTATCCATTGATCAGCCTTCATCCGCCTCCCTCGACCTTCGACCATAATCCACGCTCCACTCCACCCCCTTCTTAATAATCATGCGTCTCGAGTTTCCACTCTCGATACTCCGCCTACTCTCCCCCTCTTCCCTACTACTCCTCTCCCCATCCCTCTCCTTAAACTCGACTCGCGCTTCATAGCTAATCTGCTCCGGGCGCAGCTTGCCCAATCCCGAGCTCAGTATACTCGCTCCACCCCCTTTCTTGCCTCCACTATACACCTGCACTCCCCCTCTACTCGTCTCCTTAACTTCCGGACTTGAATTCGAGACCGCGGTCGAGACCACGGATTTCGATGATTTTGCTGCGGATTTTGTGGAGACGGCAACGGAAGCAAGTTCGTGTGTGTAAGCTTCAGAAGTGCCGTAGTGTGGGTACCAGTTTTGACTCTGAATGGGCGCGTCGTACGCGGCCATGAAGTTCTTGAGGCAGGGCACGATGGAGGCCATGATCGCATAGCCGATCTCGATTTGGGTTATGGAGGTGGACTCGGGGGCTCCGCGGAGGGTTGGGTTTGAGGAGGTGAGGGCCAGGAAGAGGAAGTGTAATCGTAGACCAGCTATTGCTATGACACTGATGTCTAATATTAAAATAGTAATCTGGGTAAGAGTGAGGAAGGACTCACGGAAGTCGACAGCCAAAAGAGGTTACTACGATAGTCTTTGACTTTAGAGACATCTGGATCCCCCATATTAGGTACAAGGAAATGGAGAAGAGCGCCGCTTCGGTCAGGATATCGAGGGCAGCAATGAACTGCCAGCGTGCGAACAAGTTACCGCACATGTCTGCCGTGGTGTCAAGCCATGGATTGGCGGGGTGGCAGCGTATAGCTATCAGGAGGATAGAGATCACAGCCCATGCTATGATCATGGCAATCGTGCTCCATATTGCTATTGAATGCCCTTTTCCTGGCGTCAAGCGTAGGAAGAGAAAAGAGGTCGAGAGTTTGGTGAAGAAGAGGGTTATAATGTACAGGATGTCGGAGCAGTAGGCTGCTTTTTGGATCAGGATCAACTTGTCTGGGTTGATCAGGTCGACGGACTTTCCAAGGCCGCGGTCGATTTGGAAGAATACTCCTGCGGATTGGAGGATGGCGAATACCTAGAGGCAAATCAGTCAAGTCCCTGTTGATAGAAGTCTGACTTGCTGTGGCAAAGAGAAAGGCATAGTCGTCTGATTTGTATGCACTGAATTTATTCCGTACGTAAACTCGAATGGGAAACGAGACCAGTATGAGACTTAGTGCAAAGGCAGAGAGGATCGCGACCAATCCGCCTACATCTGTACTGCTGATCTGCTCCAACGGTGCTGTGATCCCAGAAGGCAAGGCTGTTGACGCAGCCGTCGACGCAGCCGCCGAAGCAGCCGTGGAGGACACAGCAGAAGCCAGGGCGAAGATATTCTAACTTGTATTCCGTGCTCTCGACAAGTCAGAATCAGAAGGTATGATGCCAGCTGCGGGGAGGTTCCGAAATTGCTGTCAACAAGTACATTGGTGCTGGTACCTTTTGTGTGGGTCGTTTAGTTTATATCAGATCGATCGAGGCTTCATCTTCAGGTACAGAGATAAAGAAAGGCTCCCTTCTCTCCTAATTGAGCAGGTCCCTTCTGAAGCCCCTCGGTGAAATACTGAACCTCCGAACTGGCGCAGATAGCAAGTTGGCACCCGGCGCAGCGGTTGGCGTTCTCGTTGGCTTCCTGCACGGCATGAAGACGCAGACGATCATCGATCGTAAACCAGCCAGCATGAAATAATCACAGAGTTGGGCACTGCGCTGGCTTTGCTTGTAAATGGAAAGCGTGCATGTGCTGTGGCTGGGAGCAAGTCTTTGGCAATAAGCTAGGGGTCTCCCGCAGTGGTGGCGCTCGTGGGCAAGATAAAACAGGGTTGGTCACCCCCACATTCTATCGCTAACAGAACGCCAATCTCGAGACCAGCCGTGTGCTGTGGAACTAGAAGATCCATTGGTTCGAGCGGACGCATGCATCTCGCTGGTGGAAATATCCCGGAACGAAGGACCAACCAGAGGTCCCCAGGGGAATGGAAAAGGGGGGAAGCGGAAATATGTTCTTCTTTTGCTGAAGAGGTGAGACTCGGAAAATAGATAATGCCCTTGTACTTGTACTCGGACGCTGAGTGGCTGCATTGTTGCATGATGTTATCCATGGCTTTTGCTGGCGAAGGAATTGCTTTTTTTTGCTTCGGCACGGCGCCGAGAGAGGCCGCACCATTTGAAGAGATAAGAAAGATCCAGCCACCCGGGTGCACGGGTGCAAAAACAAAGCTTCAAAGGCGATGTTTCAGCCACTAAGGGATATTTTTTTCTTGTTGTACTAAGGGCTGAGAGGCCAAGATAGGGCTGTTGGAATTCAGACTTCAGTTCCGGGCACTACTAGCCCTCCCCCTAAATAATTGCTAGCACGTATGTTTTGGGTATAGGTGCGGGTAGGAATCCAGGGTGTTTGACCGGTGAGAAAGTGTCTTCAAGCTGGCTGGGAGCCACTCCCAGGGCAGAAAGAATTCGGGAATCTTCTACATGCACCCTTGATTTGATACATAGACTAATCTTTGCCCTGTGAAACATGGCTGATTAGGCCCTGAAGCACTTAAAATCGTGCCTCATTGAAAACTGGGGCGGTGGAGGCCGCTAGCAATTATTTAGGGGGTGATGGTATCGAGTTTTCGATGACGACTGCATCCTTTGAATCAGCCTTTGCGTCCTCACACGACACGCAAGTATTCTGTGCCTCAAAACAATGCTAACTACATAGTATCAAGGTGGCTTTCGTGGCATCAAGTTTCCGAGTTCTAGCAAAAGAAGTGGCTATCACATGGGGTTTGAGTTCTTTTTGGTTCGTTAGTAGGAAGGATCGAGGAGTTCATTGCGGGGCGAAGGCTTCCATTGACATGAAATCTGGGGTTTAGAAAAGGGGTTTGACAGACCGAACCAACTTTCTCCCGAACAACAAGTCAGCCCCTTCCACAGTTTCCGTCTCTCTCCCCCAACCTAAGTAGTTCGTTCTATCCCATTGGGTTATGTCACCAAAAGACCTGCGAAGGATGGATGAGACAATTCCTACGCAGTAGACTTGGACACCTATCCTCTTAAATTCACACCAGAAACTGATCTACTCACCTCGAAACTAGACAAAGAAAGCTGGTTGAAGCTTAAGCGATACGAACGCGTCCCCGGTAAGCGAGCAATTTTCAGGAGTCGCTCCACCACTTGTAACACAAACAAACTCTAAATCGGGTCCCGTGAAACGGACTCCATTCGACCTAGCTACTTGAACGAGATTTGGTAATGACTGAGAGCTCACAAGTTTGCCAAAAAGCAACTCAAGCAGCAGAAAACCGGCCGTATCGTCGTCAAGCCATCCTGCCACGCCTGCTACCTCCAGAAAGCCCAAACGCTTTACAAATCTCCAGCCCACTCACTCACAATATCCGGCTTCCCATCCTCCACCAACCCGCCATTAACTACCATCTGCCCACCTCCACTTCCCCTCTTAAGTCCCGCCACCCTACGCGCAACCTCATTCGCCTCAAAAAGACTAACCAGCCTTCTCTTCCTCCCTTCCCCACCGCCCTCAACCAGCTCCTCATCCTTACTCTGACAAACCTCCCAAGTCCGCTTCTTGCTCTCCTCCTCTTCCTTCTTCACAAACGAAGACGCGGCACGATTAACAACGGAATTATAATCATGTTGATTGGGACGATATTGATTGAAGTGATTTCCGTTCGAAATGTTAGGTGGAGACTGGACTTGTGACGCGATGTAGATCTCGCGGGACATTTCGAGGGGCGTGCGGCCGGTGCTGTTTTCGCGGTGGAGGAGGGAGGAGTTGAGGGTTAGGAGGAAGAATGTTATGGTTGTGAGGGCTTGTTTGACGGCCTGAAGAAGTGTCTTTGTTAATTTTCGCGCAATATTGAACAGGACGGCAAGGCTTGAAGGAGACTTACGACGTGCAGAGGCAAATCTCCCTCTCCATTAATCATCTCGAGTTCCTCGCCCGAAGAATAGCTCGTCAACACCTCGACGACATCAGCTTTCTTGTAATCCCCACCATTCTTGGCCATCCAGTATGCTAGGGGCGTCAATGCACCTGGGGCTTGGGAACAACGCTCGAGAAGCATCTCCTTGAGCGCCGCTTTGTCAAAGAGCTCGAGAAGTTGTTTGAGCTCTTTTGCATCTTTCTCATCGTTCCTGGCGGTTTGGTAGCCTTGATCGACAAGCATGCTGTGCGCCATGTTTCGTCCTGCCTTGTCCCGCGAACGTTGGTTGGCGCCGACGGAGATGAGGTAGGAGACAACGTCTTCGCGATGCATGTGTGCGGCGAGATGGAGCGGTGTCCAGCCTTCTGATGACTTTTGCTCGAGACAATCTGGAACCACGGACACGAGGTGCTTGATCAGAGCAAGGTATTCAGGGTGCTCTTTCTCCTTACCTGGATTGTATAAGATAGCGCAGTGAAGAGTCAACTCGGCTATATATTGTCAGAGATGTTCCGCAGTTAGGAGAACGAACTTACACTTCATGGCCAACCAGGAGCCTATCGTCTTATCGAAGCCCTTTCCAGCTTCCTCCAAAGTCTTAATTCGCTTGTCATGCTTGTTGCTCTCAGCGAATTCCTTGTAGCGTCGCATCGGTGCATCACTCATGAACCATTCCACTGCGTCGATCGACCCAAGCTTTGCAGCCTGCAGAAGAGGTGGGGTCTTCTCCTCGACAACTCTCTGATAGCCACCAGGAGCTTGTGCCCAATCAGCACGTTTCTTTCCTCCAACGCTTAGTCCTTGATAGTATCTCGGCTTGGTCTTGATCTCAACTCCGCTCGTCGCAATGAGCTCATTCAGAGGGATTCCTACACCAGTTGCCTTATTGTTGTTAGCATTTGAAGCCTTCTTGAGGAAGCACTTACCTTGATCATCTCGGCCAACATGGCAGTCCGTCCAAGCTTGACTGCAGCGTAGAAGACGGCGCTGCTCACAGTGTAGCATGTCTGATCATCCTCATCCTCAGCCAAAAGAGCCTTTTGTTCTCCTCCAATTTCGATGATGAACTTCAGCAAGTCCATATCCTCGTCCTCAACCGCATGCTGCAGCAGAGTGATTTCTCCCCCATGGTTTGACTTTTTCGAGTCGAGGAATCTCTGGGCCCGGCAAGGCCATTCGATCATGGATAGAGGCAAAACGTCGCTCTTGACCATATTCGAGACTTCGCCTAAATTGTCAACTGTGAATTTGTCGTTGACTAATTCGGAGAAGATGGGGAGGCCTGGTTCTCGTCAGCAAGTTTAAACACCAATAAATAAATGAGAAATCGAAAATAGTTTACCATTGGAATTTTCATCCTCATTATCTTCATAATCTTCATCATCACTATCAGCGGTAGTGCGAAACCGCTGTTTAGTGCTCAACCCGTCATCCTTGTGATACTGCGTAGCACAAATCTCCACAATCTTTTTCGCCAGCTCACGATGGCCGCGAAGAACAGCAATTGAGAAAGGGCTGAAGCCACTGCCATCCTGAACAGCGATTTTGAGAGGCGAGTTGAGTGGCATGTCGTCGTCGTCAAGGGACCATTTCCCAAGTGTCAAAGACTTGATTCTTTCGAGGTCATTGTCCCATGCTGCTTCGAAGAGCTTGACGTAGCCCTCACTCTTGGTATCGTTCAAATCAGGCACTCGGAATCGAAGTTTCGTCTCGTAAAAGGTCGGCTTTGGCTCTGGATACACCTGCTGCTTGGCTTCCTCGCGCTTCGGAATGTCTGGATAGAGCTCAGCGAAAGTCTTGCCTCCAGCTTCGATCAATGTCATCTCGGCGTGCTCGAGCTCCTTGATCAGCTTGGAAATTGCTGCTTTCTTCTCCTCCAGACCTTCCTCAGCCTCTGGTGGGGTGTAGTCCTCGTGTGCCTTCCATTCCCTCTTATTCGCGTACTTTGTGTGCCGGAAGTCTCTCTGCGCGGTCCAGTGTGCGTAGGTACCGAGGGTCAGGCCATCCGTATAATAGGATTCATCTCGGAGCTTCTCTGGCTTCCTGGGGCGGTAGTGTACCAACTGGTTGATAGAAAAGTAGTTCCGTTTCGACTTCGGCTCCTCACTGGAAGGTTCCTTCCACTCTCCAAGAAGTTGGAGCTTCTTTTGAATGATGTCCAAAAGCGACTCGGTGACAGTATACCTTGCATTTTCAGGATTCTGGACGACACTATATGCAGAACGCTCTAGAGTCAAAGGATCGGCACCGTGTGCAAGGAGGTCCTCGATAGTTTTGCCCATTTCCTTGCCAGCAGCGGAGATGATAGGCTGGATGACATTGCTATTAAACTGCTTCTTGATATCCTCTGGACCTAGGAAATGTCAGCATGTTTCGAATTATGAAAACCTGCAGAGGTAGTCTCCGAAAGATTAGATTCTAGGAATGCTTACTTTGGGTTCTCGCCCATGTGTTCTTGTTAAGATAGGTCTTGACCCAGCTGTCATGCGAAATTTCGGGCTTGGCACCGATCGAGAGGAGCTTCGAAACCATGTTTTCATGTCCCATTGAGATGGCTGACGTTAAGGGTGTATCACCCTGATTGCCCCAGGGCGGTGTAGTCATCCAGTTGAGAACACTGCGCGCAACCGGCCGATCATTGGTAAGGAGCAGGTCCAGAATTTCATGATTGTCTTGAGCAACGATGTAGTGAAGGACCGATGTGTGGTTCATATCCGCTTGAGAGGAAGTGGCGCCGAGGTCCAGAAGAAGCTTCACGACTGCCTTTGCATTCTCGGTGGGAAGGGCCATGGCCAACAGGATCGTCATGATGGCTCCTCGTGCATTCTTTGTGCCTGGCTCGAGAAGCCTATATTGAGGTCAGTCGCAGCACCATTTGAAGTCGACATAAATGCTTACTTGACTGGAAGTAGGACATCTGCACCATACTCTGACACGAGCAGTTCGATGATGTCGAGATGTGCATTGAGAATAGCAAGATGCAGGGGTGAGAGACCATAGTCCCATGCAATCACATCGACCTCAAGAATGTCAGGTTCCTCGGCGGAGTCGTCGGGAACGCCGTCCTGGAACTGTCAGAAAATTTGAAATATTGGGTAATAGACAAACTCACATCTTGATTCTCCTTCTCCTTGTCAACCTTTACGAAAGAGCCCATGGTCATGGAGTCAGATTCCTCGCTCTCGAGCGTGAGGTCAGATGCTTCAGACTCAGCATCACTTCCCTCATCATCAGCTTTAGCATCGGTCTTGGCTTGCTTAGCATGATTTCGAGCAGCTCGTCGAGCCTCGACCTTATCCTCCTCCTCTTCATTTGCCAAGCTCCTGTCCATGAGCGCCTTGACCATCTCCTTGCTTCCGCGAGCAGCGGCGAGGTGCAGGGCGGTTCGCCCATCGACCAAGCGTGCAATCAATCTCGCACCGCAATCGATCAAGCATTGGACAATTTGAGGCGTGGATGTCATGACTGCAAGATGGAGAGGAGTTCTGCCAGTGTAGTCTCGTCGATTGACATCAACCCCTTCCTGGGAACACCAATCCTCGACATGCTCAAGATCACCGTCGACTATGGCTTGACAAAGTCTTGCAGTGTCGCCAACATAGGCCATCGTGGTCCATTCATCATCGGTGATGGGATTGAAGCTTCCGATTTCTTGTCGTCCAGGGTCATCCATGATGAATTTTAGTGGGCCAGAAATGTAGACTTTGCTCTCTTCCTCAGCGACTTCAATTTCTTCATCGGACTTGGGAACTGGGCAGTAACCGCAACAGTCTTGAAGGATTTCCTCGGCCGTGCCGAAGAAGCATGGGTGTCTGTGAAGGTGGACTTTGCGGTCTTCGGGTTTGTTCCATTCTGCATTGAGAAGCAGATCCTTGGCGTACAAGAGGCGATTGATTCTATGTGCGTGGTACTTTGGACCTAGAAAGATCAGTATCAAGCTATTTAATCAGGGCAAAAGACTCACCATAAGGAACGGTCATTGTGTGGTATGATGCGACTTCCTCATGATCAACCCATTCGGCAACATCGTCTTCTTCCTGATCCTTGATATTACCACCCATCTTGCGGTAATAATTTCGATGCAAAGCGGGTCGACCTCTCTCAGCACGACGCTGATCCATATAATTATCTCGATCTTGTGTCTTGGGAAGCTTCTCTAGGATAAGCAATCTTGCAAGGCCTTGAGTGCGGCCGAATGAACGCTCGAAGATCGTTGGATCAATCCTGGTGCGGTCCAATAGGGGCCAGTGAACTTCGAATCCACGACGACTGTACTTGGAGAGACGATTTTCATATGACGGTGAACGTCGAGTGAGATCAATCGTGTTGCATTGAGTGACGAAAGCAGCCAGAGCTCGAGGGGCAGCATAAACCTGGCTGCCATCATACGCCAAGCATGCACAATCGACATCGAAACCGGTGATGATTTGGGAAATAGAGTCGTAAAGACGTAGAACAATCTGAACATGACGTGTTGGATATTGGGAGGCGATAGTGATGGCGTTCTTGGTTCTGATCGTGGTGGTCTCGTGGAGAATGCTGTCCTTGATATTTCTTTCGATTTGCTTGATCTTCTCAAGACCTTCTTCCTCATTGAGTCCGTAGAGAAACAAGTCGACATCGCTTGCTGGTGCCAGGTGCTCGTGGTAATACTCTCTCATGCTTCTCTTACTTCCGGCCCACTTCTCAGGGACAGGCAGAAGTGCTGTGGTAACTGAGCTCCCAGCGGCTACAACATTGTTCCAGTCGAGGTCTGACAATGAGGATTCTGAGAACAGGTTGAAGTTCTGCTGGAAGTCCTTGAAGGAAGCGACGACAGCCGGTGCATTATCTGGCTTGCGAGCTTCGTCTTTCAACTCCATGATATATCTTGACCTCTCATCATCGGACTCGGAATCCAAGGATCGACCCCGAATCTTGAGGGACTGTTCATTTTTATTGTCGAAAATGGGGATCAAATTGATTTTGCCATCCTTGAGAGCCTCATGAGTCGGCTGCCGGGCGTAAGCCTTGCGGAGTTGGGCCTCAAAATCTTTGTATGGCTCGAGAAGTTTGCCGATCGGGGTGTCTGGATGTGTTACGAGATCGGGGATGAATTCCTTGACTGACCATACAGAAGGATCTGGGAGCTCAATTGGGTCCTTGCATTCCGCGAGAGGAGCCATCTTTGTGGTTGAGAGATGGGTAATGAAAGTGCTTAAACGCGTTCGAATTGGATTGTCGTCGAGGAACCAAATGAATGCAAGAAATAGATGAGAATGCGAGTATGAAATGGAATTTGCATGAGCTGATGATGTCCTGCTTTGACGGTCAAGGATGCGCTAATCTCGATTGCAGGAAGGTCGAGACGGATGAAGGTAAAGACAGCAAAGAGAAGGGAGAGCCCGAGTCTTTAAATTGATGTCCTCCTTCGGGTGGCTGGAACACGGCCTAGTCAACGCGAACCTGTCGCCTGATCACGGGAGGAAAAGTCGTGATCTTCCAGGAACCTCGTCTATTTTTGGTGGTCTGCCTGAAGCCACGCCGTTTTAGCGGAGGTTGCCTGTACGCTAGGCCTGAAGCGAAGAACGCCACCCCCTGAGAGAGTCATGAGTTGAGATCAAGCTCAGGTATCGTTGGCAAACGTAAAGCTTTCTATGGCAAGACGGTACTGCCCCAACCTCCTCCTTACTCTGAGTCTTTCGTCAAGGATTTCCAGTAAATAGAAGTTCATCACGTGACTATCGAATTGGTGCCTCCTCTGAATGCCTGGAATTCAGTTCGCAAAGGTGAGCAACGGCTGATGACAATTCCAACGTACCAAAAGTGCCTCGAAGATTAAGCGTGATGTGCAACAGTGTTCAAGGTCGGATTCAATCAAAAGCACTAGGTTTGATTGTGTAAACTGGTGGTGCGTTGCTTAGTTGGAACTGAAAGCACAAAAAATTGGGATTCCAATTCATGTGGATCCCGGCGGGGTGACAGACTTTACAGTATTTTTAATGTTTGCTAACTTTTTGTTGGGCACATTTGAGTAACACGTAGCTCAGGGAGGAGAATGGCCAAGTACTGGCACTTCTTGGAAGGTCGTAAAACGCAGGAAGAGATTTGGGTTTGGATCTCAGAGAAGCACCCAGATCTGGAGATCCTGTTTCACGAGCAAAGCCAATACTGGAGGAGAACTCTACGTAGATGTTCGTCGTGACTAAATATGCCACCGTTGTGCAATAACATCCAATCGTTTCCGCATGGAAGTTAAGTAAATACGTTGCGTGCAGTGGAAGACGACGCGTAGTCCAGAACAAGTTGAGCCCGTATATCAGAGCTTCTCTTCTCCTTTGCTCCTGATACTGAATATTTCCTTTCCTAGTGTTCGTTGCCTTGATAAATCTGCTCAGGGGTGCATTCAATGCACTGCTCGTCGGCACGTTCATGTCGTTGAGCCTTCCACTGCTTTCGGACAGTTCACTCTCCTCCGAGAGGGAAGGAGCGAGATGCAAGAGACTAGTCACGCTATTTGCAGAAGAAGACCATCTATCTGTTTTGTATTGCCTACGCAATCAGTACATTTCTGATTCTCTAACCAGCTAATAATCAGGGCATAGCCTGAAAATTTGATTCAGCTGATTAAATGTTTTCCGAAGAATGCAGAGGCAAAGTGTGCAAAGCTGCGAGGCTCCCTTCTGACCCAGCCTTTATGTTACCACTTCTTCAAATATCCCACTAATGCCTCAAATATGACCCTTCTCGTTGCTGATAATTGACATGACTTGAAGACGAACAACAATCGGATCCACAGTTTGCCGAGAACTTCGAGTGACGTTCTTGAAGACTCGAAGATGTTCTCATGAATGATCGATAGTATTCAAAATCGAATTCCGCTGGAAGTGGCGCCAGAGTCTGCTTTGCATAAGACCGACTTCGAAGGTGCTTCCAATAACATTCTGATATGGGAGTCCGAGTGTCACCTGGCTCCGAAGCCCAGAGCTGCAAGAAAGCTCGGAATTGATTGAACTTCTCCCACGTCTTCGGATCAACCAGATCTAACAGATATCTGAACTCAGGCCACATCAGAATGTATTTCTCTGACCCCGGAAAATCCGTTCCAACAAATCTAGTGTACTGGAGGATGAATGAAGGTTCCATTTTCTGCAGTTCAAATATGTACTTCTGATTTAAACCTTCATTTGTTAGCCCATGCACGCATAATGTTGACAGCTGGGGGAAGATCATGCCTGACAGAGCTGGGTATGCTCGATCAGCATAACATCTGATAGCCATCCACGGCTCACCCGTCTCGGGGTTCCAGCCAAGTTGCGAGAAGAAACCTCGCCTAACTCGAAGCTCATGACGCATTGCGAAGGCTGATAATGAGATTGGTGCTGATGGTGTTGGCAATCGTGGGTCGTGGCCAGGAAAAGGCATGCTCTCGCCGACTGGGATAATCAACGATGCTATCTAAATAGGCAGCGAAAGAGAACTCACCGTAGTACAACCAAACGTTGGACTCCGCCAGGAACTCTTTGGTGTCTGTTGACGGCTTATCAGGCAGAGGGTAGTTCTCTGCCTGATAGAATGCCTGGCAGACTTTGTCATACGCGGCGCGAGAGGTGATTGATCTCCTCGTCGACCCTTCCCTGGATAACATGGAAAGCTTGGCCCACATCTGCTCTTTCTGACTGTTGTACGGCATCTTGAGTGATTCGATTTGCTTGGGTATCGCGATTCGAACGTTGTTGGGGTGATTGCGGAGAGTGTTTGTTGTTCGTGAAGAAAGGTCTGCGTGGAAGTCTCTGGAAGGTAGAGTTTCACCGAAAATTCTCGAGTGGTCAACTTGGTTTCACTTTCGCCCAGTTTCAATGGTTTTCAATGCTATATCACGCTCTTAGCCGGAATCTGCATTGCTGAGGCTTTGAAAAGAAGGTTTCGCTGCGCATAAAGGAAGCTGCTCAAGAAGGGATAAACACAGAGCAGAGCAAAACAAATGTTTATGATAATCATCTTTGAGAAGACTACAGCTTCAGATTTAGCTTAATTGAATTGTTCAGTCCTTTGAATCAAGTAGATCACTATTCTGAGAAGCCAAGTGTGGCTACGGATTTGGTCTTTTCTGTGAGCGCAAGACACTAAGTAGGCCTCGCGCGACGACATGGGAAGGAGACACGATGTGAAAATGGCAACACCATATTCTTATTCAACACTCTGAAACATCCCCAAACCCCGCCCTCGTAACCAAATCCTCTCTATCTCTATGTACATTAATGAAGATTTCAGCAGATGTCTATCACTTCCCCAACAAACTGCCGCAGGACAAAATTGTATGCATGCAATGCAGCAGCTTCGTTGCTGGTAAACAACGTCCAAGCTCCACCCTTCATACAAAATACCCGTTTAGTATGCCCCATCCCTTAATCCAACTATTATCTCTCATTCCTCCAACCTTTCCGTACCGTTTGTCGTTAATGATGTGTGACTGCGTCGATAGCCATGCTTTGAGGGGCGTCGAAGATGACAATCGCCGAAGTCGTTAATAATATCTATTAGTCGAAGGCAAAACCAAAGGCGAACCCCACAGGAAGAGGCGCGTTTCGGTTTGCAAAATCTCCGCCCGTAATCCAAGCCTTGTAGGCAACGTCTATCCGCGTGCGTCGTTGCCCGTCACTCCAAATCCCTGTGCTCGATACCCATTCTTCCAAGAAAGCTCGGAAGCTGTTGAATCGGGCGCGTAGTCTTGGACTATTAATGTCTGACGCGTTGTTGAATTCCGGCCAGAGGAGAGTGTAGCCTTCTTCCTTGAATCTCACGCATCGGAGAACGAAATGTTCTGTTAATCGATGCAGCTCTCTCAAGAATGTTCCCGGAGGGCCTTTGTATATTAGCTTGAGCTGTAGAGGTTGTAGCGGAGAACTTACCACACAGAGCAGGATATGCCTCCCGTGCAAAGCACTTGGTCGTAAACCACGGCTCGCTCGTCTTGGAATTCCACCCAAATTGAAGCTCATTGCTCCACTTGTGTAATATCTCCTGCTTCATGGCAGCCGCCTCAGCTTTTTGTTGGGCTGCTGAGAGGGGTCCATTTGCCAGGCTCTGATTCGGGAAATCAGAGCTCGAAGAGGTGTTTGGTAATGATAATTTTGAGAACGCGATCGCTAATGATGTAATCGCTGGATCGACTCCAGTGAAGGGCCTGCTTTTGCCGACTAGTAGGTTTAGCAATACTCTCTAGATAGCCTTGTAAGAAGGGCTTACCATAATATTCCCAAATATTGGACTCGGTCCTGAAGGCCTTAATGTCTGCCGAGGCTTCAAGAGATAGAGGGCAGTCCTCTGCTTGATAGAACGCCTTGCAAACCTTGTCGTAGGCGTCCCGACTTGCCACTGGTCTCTTAATCGGACCTCCGGCCGTAGCGAGCATGGAGAGATTAATCCACATCGGCTCAATCTGGCTTTGGTAATTCATTCTCAATGACTTAAGTGTATTTCGTCTAATGAAGGGATGAGATTGAAGTTGGTGTGAAGAGGATGCAGAGCGTGGTTGTGTGTATGGAAGAGGTTGAAGAGTTTTTCTTAGAGTTGGATTTCGCCAAATGCGCTGACGCGAGATGGTCGATTCAGATTCGCTTTTGATACAAGACAAACTTTCTACCAAGTGAGAGCCAGCAAGAATTCAATACTTGCGATCCAGTATTGGATCAGTTTAGATATGCAACCATATTATCGCAACCACCGCTCTACACCAACTAAAATTCTCCTCATTATACATCGAGAAACACAAGATGCGAACCGAAAATAATGCAATGATGGTTCCATCGATAATGGATGAGCATTAAGGAGAATTCTTCAAACATCTCGCCGATCTAGTACATGCAAACCCCTAAATCAGCCATTCCGCCATAAATAACACTTGAGATAACCGTTGAAGCTTCTAGCACCAGGCTGAAGTACAATACAAGGGAAAGCGTCGGGGAGAGCTGATTCCATGCATCACGGTGTTCGAAAAATGCTCACATCTTGTGCATGGTTGGCACCCGTTGTGATGATAACTTGCCACGCACAGATCATCCAGATCTTAAAGAGAATAATAAGTTGTCATGTGTATGAACATCGAAGAAAAATGTTGTGCAGCTGTGCGATGAGATGAGGTGGAAAGAGAAGTTGCGAGGTGATGAGGAGAAAAGGGGTTCGAAGAAAAATTTACACTCGTTTCACGTGATCGGAGATGTCTTCAGGTTTTGGACCCTACAACAGCCCAACTCCCTTCTTCTCGCAATCTCATCTTCATGTTTATAGGAAGGGCTAAATGAACATTGCCTTTGGGGGCAGAGCTGTCGACATCAATTCTGGTCAACGGGGGGTTTTCATCTTAATCTTTCTGGTCCCTCTTTTCCAACCTCACTTCTCAAGTAGTTGCTCTGTCCAGGCTTCGTCACCCCCACTGCTATCAATCTATTTCATGATATTTTCACGATCTCCAATCCCAATGCTAATGTCATTTATGAGTCGTCTCTCGGTTCTCCGCCGGGTAGTCCTGGCGAGGACAATGTCGCGCCGAACGATGATCCCTCGGGCCAGGCTTGTAACTCCGTCTCCCAACACGTCTGTAAAGAGGTATAGATAATTGGAAGGTGGCATAATTCAGGAAACGTAGAGAAATGGGCTCTGTGAAATAAAACAAAGGCGGAGCCAACGGATGGTGCCTGAAATGAGAACCGCGGGGATTGTGTCTCATCTACTAAGGTGCTAAATTCTTCAAGTCAAGGTTTGCGAGACGCCAATGAGATCCGCTGCAGGAGTCCCACATGTCCCGTAATTGAGAAGCATCTTACACCTTCGTCAAAGCGCTTTTTGTCGATAGTGCTACAAACACCACGTTCTTTTCAAGTGTTTACAACAGTTGTGCCTGGCATAGCTGACTGACCATTCGTCCAGAAGAGTTCACGAGCAGCCAGCCACACATAGCAACAGCTCAAATTCAAAATTGATCACAATGAGAACGCGTATGCAATATGAAGTTGACATTTGATTATTTTTGCTTAACACTGCCTCGCACGAGAAAAGATTTCAGGGAACCAAAGAATGAGATGGCTAAAGCGCCAAAAGGGATAAAAGGTATCACCGCATATTCCTCTTAACCCCATCTGGGGAGAAAGGAATCGGTCACATTAATTGACGCTGTGTGACTATCGAACATTACATAGTGTAATGCCATTTCTTATGCAGCCATCTCTACCGGCCTTGGAGACACTTGTCCAGTGTCCAACTCCCTTGGTGCAAATCCAGATGACGGATAGCTCTGTTTAGACGATGGGACCCCACTCCCAGCAAATGCAGATTCCCTCCACCCTTCTCGAGTCTCGTCTGAAGACGGTTGTCGAAATTGTTCTTTTGCCGAGTTAGTCCTGCGCCGGTGCAGACACCATGCTGCCAATCCACACAAAGACAAGCCAGCTATTGCCCCTACCGCGATGCCTGCAATAGCGCCATGAGAAAGACCCCCAGTTTTCTTTGCTTGATTGCTTCCGCCCGTAGATGGATTGGTAGAGTTCAATACAGTCCAAACCCCCTTCCAAGAATCTTTCCAGCTGCTCGTTGACCCGATGATAGAGTTATCAGTGGGATTTATTGATGTCGATGGATTGTCTGAAGGTGTATTTGGTCCGGGAGCTTGTGCGAGAAACCAGACACCACTTCCAACTCCAGTTGCCGTCTGCCAATTGACGCCAACGAAGGCCGCCTGCAGGAAAGTTCTTCCCAGCTCATAGCTCCCGCTTGGTCCCAGACTCGGTCTTAGTGGAAGATACTGTGTCGGCGTGTTTATGATTGGCGCGGACAAGGTCAGGTTGAGTAGTGAGAACGGAACATTAATTGTCATGTTCTGAGATATACTACCGTTCGCACGGAATGTGAAAGAGAGGAATGCGGGGGACGACACTATGACTTTGTAGTTTGGATCTGCGGTGTTCCAGAAGTATAGGCCATACTTTGCTTCATATGTCACTGGTAGATGTTTGGTAATAGCATCGCAAGTGCTTTGCGGTAGGTAAAGATACGGCACTGTTGCTTCCACTAGGACCGGAACTGAAACTCCAATAGAAGAATTGCTGGCACCTAGGAGCCCCGTTTGAGACGAAAAATTAAAGGGTGAACCGCCTTCCGCAACCTCGATGCCGATATCTAGTAGGTCAATAGGCAAGTGGTCGATAGTGTAGGGTTGACCGCTGACAGGCTGAAGAGCTCGACTCTGGTCGTATCCTCCGATATTCAAAGATCCAGGTATACCTAACGTTGTTGACCCAATGTGCATACCATATGAGATCGATGGGGTAATGCCGGCAGCGAAAAGATAACTTGGTAGAATCGTGCCATTCCAGTTCGGACTTGGAGGAAAATGGAGCCAGGTCTGATTGAAATTCGACGCACCTAAAGCCAGCTTCCCGATCTGGGCAGGATATGTTGTGCCATCTGGAAGTATGTCATTTGCGGCAGTAATAACCAGCAAGTCGAAATCGAGGATGGATCGTCGGTTTTGATTTCCTCCAACGTCATCAGTGGTCTGAATGGTAATAGTATCAAACCACCAGTACGCACTACCAGTCAATGTTGAGATTGCTCCAGTTGTTGAAGACATAGTAGTATTATCCACAAATCCAGTCTGCCCAATGTCAAACGCCGTACTCGATGAATGTGGATCGTAGAAGCCGGCGGCTTGAGCAACGCTGCACGCTCCTCCGTCCGCGCATACGGATGGTGCTATAACATTTGTCATCCAAGATCCACCGGGAAGGAGATCAACTGTCTGCGGTGGAGTTCCAATGTTTATTGTAACTGCTTACCATGGTCCATCTAGGCCGTACGATTTCGACGACCATTGAACCAGTTGTGGGATCAGGGCAGCCACAAAAGCATGTGCCCCGAACGCAAAAATAAGTAGGCTTTGCCTGGAAGGTAGGCATAACATAGTAGGGACGTCTCGATCTTGAATCGAAGGCTCTGGCGACGAGCGAGCAGGGGATTCAGGTCCTAATTGTGGGTATGCGAAATGAAGCAAGGACAAGATTTCAAGAACAAACACAGTGCCAGGAAGAGATTTTGACCTCCCAAATCACTCACAGATGAGCTGGGAGCTAGTCAAGTGTGAACCAAACCTGGGTCTTTGGGAACACCCTCCCTTTCACCGCTAGTGACAGCAATCGTGCATAATCAAGAGGTTGAAGCGATCGCTGGTTGGAAAGACAACGAATGATATCTTATCTGTGTCTCGGGGAACGGGTGGACACAGCCGCTTTATGAGGCGTTGCTTTTGTTATACTTAATCTTTTCAAAAGGAAATTTGAGCAGTGTTTAGAAACGTAGCTGAGCTGGCCTGCTTGGCGTCTCCACCTGGCCTAGTATTGCGGGGGTTTTGGAAGGTTGTTTTCTTGGCGCAGCTGGCCTTTGATGCCTGAAAATTACTTGTTTCTAAAGTATCTGGCCAGCGTAACAGGCCAATAGGGTTAATATATTTCTATATCGTTACTCAAATGTTTCTGAGGTGTTCCCAATGCGGGGGGCTCCCACCGCCCCCCAACCCATGCGACTTGGAAGCGTTCTAGAAACGTTTCTACAAGTTTATTAAGAATAAGAGCTTTCAGAAGTGAACTTGTATTTGGTGAAGTGTCTTTGAAGCGTTCCAGAAACGTTCCCAGCTGGCCTGTTTGGCCTATTGGCCTGTTACGCTGGCCAGATAACTTAGAAACAAGTGATTTTCAGGCATCCAAGGCCAGCCACGCCAAGAACACAACCTTCAAAACGCCAAGCCGGCCAGCTCAGCTGCCTGCCTAGGCTGCCTGGAAGTACTTAACGAAACGAACACGGCCAACACACATTTGGCGTTCCACTCTTTCCCCGGCCGCAGCCTGCTTCGCGCGGGACTACTAGCGGCGGCTCGGTCGACCTACCTGGCCTAGAACCTCAAATTTCGAGACGCGTGTCATAATCCCAGATGACGTCTGTCGTCCCCAAAGCTCTTTCCATCATCCGCAAGCAGACATGGGATTTCTGCTGCCGCCGGGTATCAGCCGACGATATGCTGCTTTGGGAGCCAGTACCCTAGTCGTGATATGGCTCTGGGTGGCCTTTGGTCGTGTCTACCGATTACCTGAACACATTTCTTGGAATGTCAATTCGAATCGGCCTCAATATGGGCAGTCATCGCCCGTTCCTGACGCCTTCGACCTTGCGCCCATCAACTCCGAGTCTATCAAGAGCGTCTGCGGCGATACTCGGTGGAATGAAAGCTTGGTATTCACATGTGATGAGTCCGTAGGTGGAATAGGGAACATTCGCAACTCCATCTTGAACTGTGTACGATACGCCATCTCAGCAGGTGCGGGTCTCGTTGTGCCTAGTATTGTCCTTCGGAATTCCTCGGATATCTCATATATACGGACTGGAGTGAAGACGGATATGTCCTTTATGTTCGACACTCAGCACTTCATCGAGTCGCTCCGCCTTTCTTGTCCTTCAATGCCCATTTACAATTCAATACCCAGTATCCCCAACTACGAGAAAGCTCATAATCATATACCTCTCATTCCCGAAAGTATAGTCGGATACGTTCCCAAGACAGGCCTGTCCCAGCCAGAAGAGTGGCGATCCACGTTCTACAACTGGCTGCTGCAATATCAAGACACTCCTGATACGACCCGTCCCACAATCGTCGAACTGGGCAGATCGTATCTCCAATACCCCATCTACTCGGATGGTGAAGGGTTCGCTCTATCTTTTGGTGGAATTCTGAAAATACGCTCCGACGCTCGACGATTGGCAACGAAAACTCTGACAAATCTAGCAGAGACATATTCCTTCGACGCGGATCTCAGCGCACCATTTCTACCGAACTCGTTTTTTGGAGTCCATCTTCGCACTGAAAAAGACGCAGCGGAAGGCTGGCCAGCCCCGGATTGGGTTTACTCCCGGTACGACACCCAGTCAAAGCTCTACTTAGAGCAAGCCCCCCGATCTAGCCCTGCGGTAATCTATGTTGCCTCGGGAGATCTCAACGAAGTTGCCAAATTTGCTTCGGACGCAGCAGCTCGCAACATGTCCGTCACTACGAAATTCGACCATCTCAGTGGTCAAGACTTGGAGGACTTGACAAATTTAGCGTGGGATCAGCAAGCTCTCGTAGATTTCTTGGTTATGATGAAGGGGGCGGATTTTGCAGGAATTGCCCATTCCAGTTTTGCTTGGAATATTGCGTTAAAAAGGCATCAATATGCCCAGAAGAAGGATCATTTAGATGGCCCACAGATGCTGAGTGATGAGTTGAGTCAAATGTATGGCATTCCGAGAGGATATCCAGAATATGCTGCCTGTTTGTGGCCGTAATTAGAAATGAAACTGTACTGATTAATCCCCTGTATATATAAAGAATACTGCTATAACATCCTCAAATGAACCAACCACTCATGGGGCCGGATGTGGGCGGTGTCGAAACTTCGGCCAAAACAAGGGAAAGATCAGAAAAGAAGGAGGGGTCACATGCCGTGACAAGGGAAAAATGTCGAAGCAAGAACTATTTCAACCCTCAGCAAAGTATCTACAATCCAAACTTAAAATATACTTAAATAGAAATATCCACTACTAGCCCCTAGTATTTTTAGTCTGTTAACCCCGGCTCAAGAGAGGTAAGAGTACCTTTTTACTTCTTATAACCTATTATTCATAAGTATTAAAGAAATAATATCAAAATTCATATATTTAAGAGTTTCTTGGCCTGCTTAATATCTTAGATTTCGCTTAAGTTCTTAAGGGATAATACGTAAAATTTGGGGGGCTAGCTAACTTATTAGAAAGGGCTCGATATCTAGATTCAATAATGGCTTTTAGTCATTTATAGTAAGGTTTTAAACGCTTTAAGGTATTGCGTAAGAGAAACTCACAGCAAAGCAGTGCTCAGCCTCAAGTTGAGAGCGCCAACGTGAGCAACAACGTAACCTCTCCGCTCCGGAACCTCTTTCTTGATCAACAATTCCGAGATTTCGTTTCAATGCACCTGACAAGCCTTAGAGCTCTGAAAGGAGCTCCTGGAAGTTAGCTCGGGCATTGCGAGCCCGGTCGATGCGCTGCCCGGACGATCCTATTGACCAGCTTCAAAGTCGAGAGAACATCGCCGTTATTCCATTCGATAGAAGCCATTGAGGCTAAGACTGATGATCCACTTCCACATCCGACGGAACCTCGGCGCCTACAGGCTACGGGTAAGGTTCATCGACTCGAGGGCAGTTGGATTTTTAAGCAATCGAGATGGTGAAGACAGTCCGGTACTCTAAGCTGCAAACAGCGCAAGAAATCATGATCCAGGTTGAATGAGGTAAGCATATTCACGTGACTGACTGGGCAGCGCCCATGTGACCATGCCAGTCGTCGATGATTGGTGGGCTTCAGGGGTGATCCGGAGAAATATCAATAGCAAGGTAGATGATATTGGATTCCAACATAGTTATTGGCCAGGAAATGGAGGGACGGCCGACGCAAGTGAGGGAGCCCCCGTTCAGGAGTGGAGAAAAGGGGCTTAACCGAGAAAAAGAAAGCAGAAGAGAAAGGGGCACGTAAGTCTATTACCAAGATGTTACCACAAGAATGATAAGAGCCAGAAGGACCACTTCGCTTTCTATTTCAATCCATGAAAATGCCTCGAGTCCCCTCTAGTAGGGCACATCGAGCATCTTTATCTGCGCAGTCAAGTCTCAACAGTGATGCCCCACTCCTGTGTCTCACGGCTCTTCATCTTGTTGACGAACTGCTTGAGCATGCATGTTATGACATCCAAAAGGTCTCGTCTGTAAAGCTGGAGAACTTGCAGCGCGTCTCCTTGAAGGTGTGAGAATCTGTGCAACTTCGTCTCCGCCCAAGTCTTGATCACCTTGCCCCATTTTAGGCCTACGTAGTTGAATGGACGTAGATGTCCTGGCTTTTATTTATACTGGAAGATGTATCCCTAAGATAGATGAGGAATCCAGCTAATGAAATTCATCTCCGGTGTCTGATACACACCTTCCGGGACCCTTCTCAAAGAAACAAACGACTCGATAACTAGAAAAGCACGAGCAGCTAGCGATAAACAGATGAAAGAAGAAACTCCACCTAGCCACAAATTCTTCCATATCTGACTCCAGACATCGCGACGACGAAACATTTCCAATTCCTGCCTCATTTGGTACTTCAAGTAGAGCGCCTCGAGGGAGCGGGGACCAAATATTAACCCATACATCACACCGCAAAAGAGACATACGCAAGTGAAACCAACCAAGATAAGACAAGAAACTCTCCAAAGTATCATCTCGGCCATAGTGCTGAAAATGGAAGGTGCACTGAGGCTGGGGATTAAGTGAACCCCGCCATACATGCCAGGGATACTAACTGCAGCAACGAATGTAGCCCAAAACCAACCACTGCTGGAGTCAAGACAGTCGAACAATTCGTCTAAGCCTGCCCAGTTTCTTGCGTGATGACATATCAGACGAGGGCCGGTATGCCGAATGCTGTGGTCGGAGAATGGATTTGGGCTATGATCCGAGGAGCCGAATTCCTTGTTGTTGATGAGAAATCGCTTGAGTGGTGAGTCTTCACGCAATTGAGCTACTTCGCGGAAGAATACTCCCGCTGCTTCGAGTCTGCGGAGATCGTTGTGAGATATTCCCACCCGGTAGCGTGGGTAAGGGGATTGATTGACATCTGCGAAAGGGACTGCCGCAGTGAGACCAAAACCAGTAGTCAGAGACTGGCCAGGTTCCAAGAAGAAAAGGGCCTCGAGGCCTTTGGCTGGGACAAAGGTGTTTTCTACTTTGTTTGCAGGGTAGTAGGGAACATCCAAGGGCGGCTCCAGTATGCCATGTTGTCCAACGACCCATGATTCTCTCGGTGGGAATGTGCCACGAACATAGCGAGCTCGGACGTGGGGACAACCCCTATCCAGAGGATGTGTACCAGGGATAGGAGCGTCTGACAAAACTTTCAGTGGTTGAAAGAGGTTTCCAAACCAAACAAGTGGGGGATCACGAGTTTGTGAGTAACTTAGCAGCCATTTCCTTCTCTTCGATCGCTCCTCTTCGAATCCGCTACAACCAGCCCAATCCGAGCTTGACACAATGTACCCCAACTCGTTGAACCATTCACCATGACTGAGAATGGTAGGAGATTGGACGTCGTAGGGCTTTCGGAGCCATAGCAGATACATGGCTATCGCGCAGACCACATGGATAATGGTATGGTATTCAAGAAGGCTCACAGGAAGCTCCTTGGTTTTGCGCTCAATAAAGTTTCCAATCACTTCGATAATTTGAAAGAGAACAAGGAACTTGGCCAAGAGGTCGAGTTTGCTTTTGTCTGGAATAAATTCGTGATCCAGATATTGGCCGAATCCTTTCCGTGCGAGTAGTAATAAGCCATGTGTTGTGAGTGTTGCGTGTTCCAAGGCGTTGTGGAAACCGCTGATATCAACTCCAAAACCACCCATGATAGCATAAAAGGCGTACGTCATATCAAGCTCCTGCTTTCGTGAGAGGTACCATGAGCTCTGTGAAAGTAATTAGTATCTGTCGAGGCAATGATTTGGGTACCAACCTCCGGGGCTCGCTCATCTTGTATGCATTTGAGCTCTCTGAGAAATTTCCGAGCTGCAAGCCACTGCTGGAACGCTGTGAAGACCAAGAGCTCAGGCGCCAGAAGAGCAATAATTACCCACTTTATTTTACGTCGATAAGTGACCCATTTGTCTTCCCGCACTGCTGGAATGTTGAGATGGACAGAGTTCCATACACATAAAACCAGAGTACATGCAGAATTGTAAAGAATATCAGTAGTTCCGCGTCCTGACGGACCAGATTCCCAGTTTGAGGTGAGTTGGGTATCGGTGATATTCTGAAATGGAGCTGCAATTGCCGCGCGCCGGCCAAGGAACAGAAGAACAAGCAATAATGTCAACATTTTATAGCTGGATTGACAGTGCTTTGAGAAAGAAAAAAAACGGGGATTTCCAGATCCTTCTCAAAAACAAGACCAGATCATAGAAGGGAAGTGGAGAGCAAGTTGAGAAGACGTATCATGAACAGTCCCTGAGGATATTGCGGAGCTGGGACTGGGGCCATCTTGCTATGCAACCTCACCATGCGGGTACCCGCTCAACGAACCACTTGACCTTCGGGAACAACACTTATTGTTCACAACATCGTGAAAGCCTAGCGCTTCGCCAGTGAGCTCCTAGCGATAGGCTGTCAAGGGAATGCAAGTTCCAATCTGCAGCTGACCAGGCTGTCGAGGATGTTTGCTTCGGGTGCTTGGTCATCGAACACGCCCGATAGCTGTATTACCTCGGACTGTGTCACCTCTTTCTTCGAACCCCTAAGAGGCAGAGAAACCATTAGGAGAGGCGGCCTGGTGCAGAACGCTTTCGAACGAATGGCTTGCATATTGTTAAGCGGAGAACTTTGACTCGAAGGGAGAGTGAGAAACATCCCGATATCCCTCGCTCAAAGCTGAGAATTTGAATGTACAACATTTTGAGGGCCATTTGAGTAGCGGACCTTGATGAATGTACCAGAACCTCTCCTACATTGACATTATCCGGAACTGGGTTGCACGCAGAGCAATGGCAGCAGCTCTTGCATTTACTACTCAGAAATTGCCCCTTTCCCTCCACAAGAGCAATGCATCGACGAAACAAAAACAGGATGTAATAATACAGAAGGCTCTGAGAACGAACTTCGGCCAAGCGAGCTATGATATATGAGGAACAAAGCCCAAGTAGGTGATATTAGGAGTTTGATACACATCGATAGGCACATGTCTCAAGGAAATGAAAGATTCAACGATGATAAATGCTCGAGAGGCAATGTAGACCACGCCGAAAAAACCGACTCCGAGAAGGGATAAGATTCGCCAAGGCTTATTACGCTTCCTCCAGGCGTTGTATAAAGATTGCCAATTAAGAATCAGAGCCCAGTCGCAAGTATTTGTTGGCACTTGGAGCTTCACAGAAAAGTAGTCATCAACAAGTCGATATGTGAACGTGAAAATGGGCAAATAGAGGACGACGACCACACAGGACATTCCCCATAGACTCCCTTCGAGCTTTGTAGGGAGTAGAGCTGGGTTGGCAAATTCGTGCAGAAACCCATAAGCCGTAACCGTCATAGCAAGAGCCACAAGTAACAGGAGAAGCCAAGCACCGATGCTTTCCATAAGCTGCTCAACTGTCGGCCAATTTTCCACCCGGCTGCAAATCAAACGGTCGCCAAAAGGCTGAAGAGCCTTATCTGCAAATGGCTTCAACAGTTGGACCTTTGGTATACAAGTTCCACCAGCGACGGAATCTCGAATGGCCAGCGGTTTTTTGTAAGACCCAAGTAGTTTTCGCATATATTTGGCAGCTAGTCCCAGCCTGTCGGGTCTTTTTGAGAGAGCCCAATTTGGTACTTTCCATGGCTCAGACCTATGAGCTCGGACTCATCAATTGGCCCAAAGCCAGAAGCTAAAACCTGACCACTTTCAAGGAAAAGTAGAGGTTCAATGTTCGAAACAGGAAGGTAAGTCGCGATATTGGGGTAACATAGGGCTTGTCGATCTGGTTCCGACGATTCGCATCGAGTAGTGACAAGACATCTCTCCAGCGAATTGTCGCTACTGGTAGAAGTGTTCTGACTCTGGTCACCATCGCTTATCATTTTGGGCATGTTATCGATAATTTCGTCCGAGGTTGCTGAATCCTCTATTGAACTGCCAAACCAGGCGAAGGGGGGGGGTCGGCAGAGCCCAAAATCCGGCAGGGTATTCTGTCTCGTCGCCTCGTGGGCTTCGCTGTTTCAAATCCGCTGCTTTGTGGCCATTGCGAGCTTGTGACGATAAAGGCCAACAAATCCGGTTGGTCATCCAAAGCGACAAGCGTTGGATCCTGAATATTGTAAGGCTTTCGAATCCAGAAAGCATACATCACAACAGTACCGACAATGTGAACCGCAGTATTCAACTCAAGAAGGCTGATCGTCAGGTGCGCAACCTTCGGTTCGATGACCTGGCCTAGGAATGAGAGTGCTTGGCAGCATACAAAAGCTTTGGTGAGGATATCCATCTGGCTTTTGGATGATATGGACCCGGGGTATGGTGAAACAAATTTCCCTTCCTTTGCGAGAAGCAATATGCCGTTGGGGTTGAGGGTGGCGAACTTCAATTTGTTATGCAGGTGGCCGATTTCCACGATAAAGCCTCCCATCACAGCATACATCGCATACTCCATGTCGAATTTGTCCTTTGGGAAGCCGCGAGCTAATTCCTCGCATGCCGTCAGAATTGGCACGCTTTGAAGTAGGTACTGGTTACTGACCTTGCCGTGAGAATTCTTTTCATAAAGATGCTGAAGCTCCTTGAGAAAGGACCGTGCAACTACCCATTGTTCGAAGCCTGCAAATACAACCGCTTCTGGAGCCAAGAGCGCTATCACGACCCACTTCGCCTTCCGGAGGTATTTAGTCCAATCAGACTCATCCATCGCTGGGACATTGAGATGGAGTGACTTCCAAACGCAGAGACCGAGGGTAGACAAACAACTTCCCAGAATATCCCATGTTCCCCGCCCCGAAGGAGCCGACACCCAAGTTGGTGCGGTTTCGTTGCTCGAGGAAGTATAATTTTGGAGTGGTGCCGCAGCAGTAAGGCGGGAACGAAGAAGAAACATCGAGAGAAGCAAGATCGACATTTTGGTTGCAAGGAGTGAAATGGTATGGCGGGTAAAGTAAACGACGGTGCAGGTTTGGGGATCTCGAAAGTATGGAAGGCCGAAGGAGCTTTGAGGCCTGACTGTCGTCTTGAAGATATACGAACGTGATGAACGGCGAGGCAGACCAAGGGAGCCTGATGTATGCATGTACCCGATCCACGAACCAGAGGAAGGCTACAAACAGCACAGAGGCTACACAACGTATCGAGTATCCAATTACCACACGTGCTTAACTTCAGGGGAAGAGAGCCCGCATAGACCGCCCCGGCTCGTCGCAGCTGAGAGGCTACTGACTTGTTTGCCCTCTTTCGAAACGTTTGAACTCGTTGAGTACGCAACCGTCTCCAGCCATCCGGCGTTGCAACCCCAGCATGTAACATCCCGCAACTCAGGCTCCACGGAAACAATCACCAAGTCCAGAACTCCCACTCTCTCGTCGTCCTTTCCCAACAGCGGAAGTTTCCATTTCCATTCGTACCATCCCTAGCCTCCTCGAATCTCTCAATTTCTCTTCGATATGCGGGATCCGGGGGTGTCGTATCCAGTCCCCAAAGTCCAAGTCTAGCAAGCTGCTGATCGAAATGATCACCCAATGTATCGTCCTCGTCCAGTGAGCTCGGTACAGCCCATTTAAATTTAGCACTGAAAGACGTAAGAAAGTCGGGACGTCTCCCGGTGGTATCCGATGCCAAAATCAAAGCTCTCCCTTTGATTTGCCTATCAACGGGCTCGATGGGAATCCGCTGGAATCCGGGAACGACCCACGCCACATCGCTTCCATAGAAACGAATTATCTCATCCGTATCTTTGATATCGCAGGAAGTGAGCCCAACCCTGCCGGTATGTGTTGTGAATGGCCGTATTTTTGTAGAGCGTGGCCCAGGACCAACGGCTTCACCAGAGACAGACTGACGAGGCAGTGGGGATTTGGTGAGCCACTCAACGTGGTTGAAACTTTCGAGGCGGGCGATGTCGTCTTCGCTCAGATTCAACAATGCACCCTCAAATCTTGAAGGCGATGGAATTCTGGGCCCCAGGAATTGGCTGTACCATTTAAAGAGTGGAACAAAGTCCGGCGCGGCGGAGGAATGCTTTGATCGTCGATGCCCGACTTTAAGTGGTTTCTTTATATCGGGGTACCACGTGAACTCCGGACCGACACTGGACACTCTCCCAGGAAGAGGAGTCTTGCATGCAACCTTCCCCAGGAAATTCGGAGGTACCGGTGTTGGAGAAGTAGTCCACGGCGCTGGCAAATCCAAAATTCGCTGTAGCATCTGCATCCATCGCACCAGAAATCCATCCCCAACCTCAGCCAGATACATCAACGTGAGGACCTGAAACAGATCACGAGGGGACCGAGTATAGTCAATCGTCAACCAATCCTGTTCTACAAGCTTCGCCGACCGATTCGTCAGGCGTTTCCCTGCCAGACCAACCAACGCATACACCTTGTCCCGTGGATCACAGCAAAAGGATCCATCGTACGACATAAGAAGCGTCTCTAGATTTTGAAGCCGAGCGGTCCGATGATCAATGAGTGTTGTTGCCGCATTATGACTGAGAGTATTGATTTCTTCGCTGGAAGTTGCAATTTGCTGTGCATTGTTGTCCGGCAGTCTCCTGACTTGACGGAAGAATTTTGCGAGATCTTTCCATGGCAGCTTTTCGTGCCCGCAGTAAATCATAATCTTGCGGGCTCTGAACACCTCTTGAACAATCCAAACTCTCCTCCAGTACTCTCGGCTCAGGAGATCTACAATAGGGCGTAATTCGATGGAGGAGGGCAGATCCGAAGATAGATCCAATGCTAAAGCACGGGAGCGAGGCGTTACGCTGTGTCTGATGAATGAGATTGCAACATCGCTTCCATCCTTCTCCGGGCCCAGCCACACAATCACCTCTTCTGCTTGGTTGTATAGCGTTCCCATTCTAGACACTTGCTCGTTTCTCTCGGGTATATCTTCTTGGTTGATACAAAGTGCGTCGACCCAGAGTTGGAGGGTGGCATTCTGTTGGCGAATGTGGTACAAAGCTTGCCAGAGATTCTCGCGAACCTGGATTTGAATACCATCAAGTAACAGTATCTTTGTTGGCTCTGGGGCTCCCCACGTGTAAGATAACGCTTTGTACGATGCTCGAGACTTGTTGGCGGTGGGAACATGCTGCAAAGCGCATTGTAAGGGAGATAATGCCGTGCCTGGCTTCAAATTAATGATTCGGATTTCTGACTTGCTGGCATCCAAAGGTCGATAGGGAAACGTAAACGCGGTGTCTTCTGGGTCTTTTGCTAAATCTCGTGGACCATGCACAATAGACATGTTGACCACTTTTGCATGAGATCTCGGCCGGTTTTGAGAAGTAGTAGCATTTGATAGATCCTTTAGCACTACCTTGCGCCGCTTCTCACCCACATTGCCACTGCCAGCACCAGATCTCGAGCCATGGCTCTGCTCATCAATCCATTTCCGGGCAGCTTTGATTTTCATGACTTTGAGGATTCCTTGCGGCCAGGATGCTTGACCACCTGAATCTCTAACGAAGGACGATGAGGAGCTTGCGGCGAGGAGACGACAAAGAGACGACGGATAGTGAGAACATCTCAAGTGTTATAATCAGACAGAAATAGTTCATCACTAGAAATAACGCGCCTTCCATTTCAAACCGGAGACTTTGTTGGATGTGAAGAAGTCGAGATCCACAGCTGAACCCAAAACACGGCTCGGCCCGTCGTTTCTCCGCATCTACAACTTTTCCTCGATCATCAACACCCTTTGCGCCAATCCCCACATCCGCCCCTCTTCCACTCCAATTGGCCTCAAAATGGGCAAAAACAAACGCCAAAAGCACCTCTCCCACGGGAAGAAATCAAACCCCCAAAAGTACACCCCATTGACCCGTCCTTCTGGAGTCTCAAAACCCGCTTCAAAATCATCCACCAAACCTTCGAAACCGCAAGCCCAGCACCGAAAGCCAACACTGCCCTTCTCGCCTCACGAACAGATATTACTGATAGGCGAAGGTGACCTCTCCTTCTCCTCCTCCCTAATAATCCACCACAAATGCCAGCACGTAACAGCCACGGTCTACGAGTCCTCCCACGAACTTCTATCCAAATACCCGCACGTTGAAGAGAACATAAAAGCAATTGAAGACGGAGGAGGGGCAGTGCGGTATGGCATTGACGCTATGAAGATGAGGCCGTTTACAACCGGGAAAGAGAGAGAAGGAGTCATGGATAGGATATTCTTTAACTTTCCGCATGTGGGGGGAAAGACGAAGGATGTTAATAGGCAGGTTAGGTATAACCAAGGTCCGTCCTCCTTCCCCTCTTCCCTTACCCCTCAAAACCTTGCTAATTATATGTTGTGTGAATAGAATTGCTTGTTTCGTTTTTCAACAACGCCATGCCGTCGCTGTCCCCAAAAGAGGGAAGTTCGATTGTTGTGACATTGTTTGAGGGAGAGCCTTATACGTTGTGGAATATTAGGGATTTGGGGAGGCATAGTGGGTTGGAGGTTAAGAGGAGCTGGAGGTTTCAGGCGAGTGCGTATCCGGGGTATAGGCACGCAAGGACGCTAGGGGTTGTTAAAGGAGGGGGTGGATGGAAGGGAGAGGAGAGGGCAGCGAGGAGTTATGAGTTTGTGAGGAAGGGGGAGGGGGCTGTGATGGGGAGTGGGAAGGGTAAGAGGGAGGAGAGTAGTGTGGATGAGGACGAAGGAGACGAGAGTCTACATGAAGATGATGTTGAGGAGCAAGGTGACGAGGACAAGGAAGATCACAAGAAAGAGAATGACGACGACGAGGACGAAGGCGATTGAAAGTCAGATTTTTTGGCTATGATCCACCCAAATCATCCGCTAACTCCTTACGCACAACGCCACCCGGTATAACCATCCCACCCACACTTTTGTCGGAATATCTGAGCGCCTGCAATATGGATTGCTCCAGCCAGGTATGATCCAATCGATCAAGACTCTAATAGCTGAAAGATCTCTAAACCACTATAGGTTGGAAATCCACGCCATTCATCGGCATCATACCATTGCCCATCGCCACGCCATTGCCTGCTCCAACTGAGAGAGGCAGCAACGCTTCGCCCAAACCACCTTCCGGGTGCAGAGCATACATCGGCGCTTCCATCGAATCGCCATCAAAGATCACCATATTCTGGATCGGTTGTTGACGAGCTCCAAGAACGTTAATCACGTCTTGAGCAAGCTGGCCACCAAGAACCGCCGTCACCGGAGCAATTTCACTGCCCAGATTTTGCAAGAACTTCCGAAGCACCACAGATCGCAAGGTCTCGCTCGGAAGTTTAAGATGTTCGTGCTTTTGCGTTGCAAGGACAGTGAACATCTTGAGATCGTCACTCGTGCTTGGGAGGCGTCCGTCCTGAAGTTCAAGGAACTCCCAAAGGGCCCGAAAGCACGAGAGAATGGGTGTGACCGCCTTCAATCGTCTCCTACTCTTCAAGAACTCGGCTGGCAAGATCGCAGCGTCGCTAGCCAGGAACCACGTAGAATACAACTCTCTCTTCGTAACCATTTCGAAATTCTTTCCATTCTCCTTCTTGTCCTTCACATCAATTACACTGCGTGTTCGTGTCTCCGCTTGAATAGCCGTAGCAACATTGCTCTTCTCCCTCTCAATCACATAATCATGCTGAATCAGATCCGAGAATATGAAGCCGTAGAAACCATGCACACCCGCCGCATAGAATGGCCTATGGTTGATCCTCGTCGCCGTATTGATGATATTCAATGTATCCGGCTGCAAATCCGTCGCAATCACAATATCAAACTGGCCAAAGAAATCTGGTCCCTTAGTCTTGATATCGCTCGGATCGACAACCACATTGACTCTCGGGTTCAGCTTTCTGATTTGTGGTGCAGCGGCTTCTGCTCGGTTTATGCCAATGTCTGCTTCGGAGATGAAAAATTGCGCGCCAAGATCGTTCTCGGTGACTTGCTCGTGGTCGACGATGGTGAGTGAGTGGATTCCGGCCAGGACGAGGTTCTTGGCTATCTCGTTGGCGAGAGCTTTCATGGTTATGAGGAGGATGTTGGCGTTGCGGATTTTCTCTTGGGCTTGGACACCCCATAGTCGGATTTGACGGTCGTAAAGAGCGATTTCATCTGATTGAGGTTAGATAGGACTTGCAGCAGGTCATGGGGAGCTTTACCTGCGCTGATGCCTTCTGCAGGTGGAGGGGCAACAGCCTGACCATTCGTAGCTTGTGGGACGTATTGGGGAACTGGGAGCACCATTGGGAGGACCGGGAAGTCTGTTACTGGTACATTGGGTTCCATGTTTGCCGTTGTTTTCGGTTTGTGTGGAGGGGAGAGGTTGTGAAGCTCGCGTGGGCGTGTTAAAGTTGACGGTTGCTCAAGCGGGCGAACTCATTCCCAGCGCAGAGTTGTATGCCACCCGCGGGCCAGAAGGTGACTTCTTCGCTTTCAAATATTCAATTTTGGTTGACAAGGAGAGCCCTCCCCGAACAAGCAGACGCGGCTCCAAATTTTGATCAACGCGGCTGTGCCTGAAATGGTAGAAGCCGGGTCCAGCCAATTGCACGTCATTCCCCCGCCAAACGCTGCGCTGCCCTCTAGCGAGAGACAGGTCATCTGGGCCCAACATCAACGACATTCGAATCCTCCAAATCCCTTCAAAGAAGTGTTGCTACATCTGCGCAACGAGTCTCGACTCCAACAACCCCATTTGCCCCTTGTATCATCGACGCCGTCTGCTCGTTGTCGAAGCATCGACAGGACCTCTGACGACGACCCCTCAATCGGCTTCATTGCCTCTATCCTATGCCGAGGCCGCTGTCATTAATGGTGAGTGATCCATCGCGACCTGTCAGCGAACTCTGTTCAAACACACGTAATTGATTCACGATGCAGTCTGGCAATTTTGATAGTCCGCCTGCGTCCGACTCCTACCGTGAAACCGCCGATCGAATCGTCCGCGAGATCCTCGACAATACCCAGTCGCCCGATGATATTAGTCCTTCTGGCGAATTATACAGGGCGATAGAGCGTTTCCACAGAAGAAGGGGAGGGGCAAATTATTTAAGGATGGCTTCAGATCGAGAGCAAGAGCAGCGTCGTCAGGAATCGCGGAGAGATGAATCCTCGCCACTGTTCGTGTTACCGCCACAACCTCCTCCAAACGAATCGTCGCCCAGGGAGAGAGCCATTTCGCGACTTGCTGGAATGACTGCTCGTCGTGGAAGACCTCGAATGCCGCCAAGCGATAGATGGATGGAGAGGGCTAGAGCTGTTCTTGGGGAGAGTAACAATGGCCTCGCTGATTTACAGCATGCCGGAAGACAACTAGAGCAGGCCAGCTCCAGCCTAAGAGCTCTGCTAGACGACCCAGTCCCAAATATCTCATCCCCCATTCTCGAACCAGCAGAATATTCCGGCGAGGCTGAACAAAACCGACGGACTAAGCGAAGGAAGCTCGATTCCGACAAGTTGGACTCTACCTTTGCAGGCTTCAGTTACGGCAAATACGGCCAAGTCGAACCAGGGAAGCTAAAGATGGAGATTGTTAGCTGTGATGGAGGTATATTCCAGGACCACGGTGGAAATTATGCAAATTATTCGGCGGAAAATGTTCTGAAGAGCGATTCTTCGGTATATTGTACAAAGAGTAATCGATGCAATCTCGTTCTGCGACATCAAGGAGCTACAGTGTTTTCACTTAAGGAGTTGATCATCAAAGCGCCTCACTCTGGTTATACTGCTCCGTAAGTTTTCTCCTTCATGGTTTGAAACCACCCTAACAATTTTGCAGTGTTCAAGAAGGAATGGTGTTCATTTCAATGACATCAGATGATCTATTAGCCAGAACAGCTCAATATCAAATCCAGTATTCCCCGCCTCGACCCCGAAGATCACCCTCTCAACGGTCCAACGAACTTCCACCCATAGTATCAATTCGGCACAACGATGATGGATCCATGACAGCAGCCCAAGTTCGTGCTCGACGACTTTATGACATTGGCCTGCAAGATGAAGACTGTGATTACCGCACCGCACAAATACCCTCCGATTTCACCGAAAACGCACCCCCTTTCCAAGTAACTACCGAATGCAGCGACTCCGAGAACGATGAACCATCCGCCTCTCGCCGTCGATCCCTACATCGTGTTATGGGCCTTCGATTCGAAGATTCGGACAGTAGTGGCGAGGAAGATAGCAACGAGCATACCGGTCCCTGGCATGACGACTATCTCTTGGGCATTGGTCGAAGTCGTTTACGACGTCGCGAGACAGCGAGTAATATCACATTAGCAGAAGCCGCTGAGGCATCACAAATCGCTACACAAGAGGCAGTGAGAGCTGTTGGCGGCGAGTTGATGGCTCCGCATGCGAGATTCTTCATCGAGAGAGACAAGAGCAAGTGTACTGTAAAATTCGACCCACCTGTCAGCGGACGCTTTATCTTGCTGAAGATGTGGAGCCCGCATCATAGCGCTTCGAGCAATATCGATATCCAGAGTGTAGTGGCGAAGGGGTATGCGGGGCCGAGGTATTTCCCTGCTGTCCAGATGAGGTGATGGAAGGTTGAAGCTAGGTACGAAATTGCCCTCTTGGAATGAGAGCGGGGGAGGGAGGGATGTTATGGTTTTTGTAACCAATGAGCATTAGATACCTCGTCTAATAGAAACGCGGTGATTACAGCTAACTCTTAGCGGAGTGTGTTCCAGATTTTTCCTCGGGCCAATATTAATTTCCCGGTTGCACCTCAAGCGAGTAGCTCCGTCGACTTTCCCGTGATGCAGTGGCTTTCTCTTTGTGAAAAAGATTCCTAAGAATAGCAGATTAACGAGCCCTCCCATTGAGCCTGCCTAAGCATACTCCGAACGTGCTGCTTTCCTTTGTCCTCTTGTTCCTAGGATGAGACATTCCTTTGTCCGTGCATATCGCAGAACAATAGCATTGTACAACGTGGACTTCCAAGTAACCATCATCGTCTTTTCTGTGAAGAATGACGCCGAACAATAAATGCTGCTGTTCATAAATAACATCGATCCCACGACGTAGCTCTATCATTCGATCCGCATTCTGTGTCTCTGCCAGCGCCTTTCGTCCTCAATATTGTCCAACGTTTTGGCCAAAATCGAAACCTCTCATGGCGCCTACACAACCGACATTCTCCGCTAAATTTCTCGCCGAGTTCGGGTATTTTAGGAATACCCGAAATAAGGAAGGTATGGAAATTTTTCTTTACTCACACCTGCAAGGCGTGCTGCCGAGAAAGCTGAGAAAGCCCAATGATAAGATTGCATTTGCGTTTGACATCGACGGGGTGCTTGTACTGAGGCCATTAGCGGGCTAGCGGACAAATCCGAGAAGCGAAAAGTGATTTTCTGATTTTCTGATTTTCGCGCCCACACCCCCCCCCCACCACACCTTACCAAAAAAAAAAAGTACAGCATATACACCTTATTCTCGACTACTTCTAACCCCCCCTTAGCTTGCATAGTCTATAAGGCAAATCCCATAGATTATAAGGCATATCTCTATCTCCCTTACTTTCTATATCCTTTATACTACCTATATTACTCAAATTATCTATATCTCCTTTATTCTCTTTTTCTCTAATATCCTTACTTTCCTCTACTATAATCTTCTTCCCTATTACCTTCTAATCTTATATCTATTTTTATATTTACTTTCTATATCTTATAAATAATTAAGGCTTTAGTATAAAAAGTTTTATAGATATAAAGTAAGGCTTTCTAGATTTAGTAAAATTAGTATTAAGTTAATAGAAAATATAGATTTTATTATTATTATTATATTTATAATTTATATAAGTATTATTAAATTTGCCTTTTATAACTATATAGTATTTAAAAGGGCTCCTTAGTCTTTTCTTATTACTATAAGTAATATAAGCTTAAGAGAATTCGGTTCTATAAATATATATTAAGCTTGCCTCTAGATTTATCTTGCCTTTCTCTAATCTTTTTAGTTCTTTACTCTAGTATAGCTCTATCTTTCTAATTTTAGCCTTATTATTAATTTACTTTATTATTTTAGTAATATTATTAGATAATATAAGAAAATTAAAGTATTATTATAAAGAAAAAAAAGAAAATTATATATAAAGAGAAAATTAAGAAATAAAGAAGTTTATTAGTTAAATATATTAATAAAAAAAAATATTATAAACTAAGTCTAGATTATTAGAAAATATATTATAAATATTATTTTTTTACTTATTTATAGCTTTATTATCTTTTCTATTACTTTTACTTTTATTAGAGCTATTATCTAAAGTTATATTTAATATATTTTTAATAAAAAAAAGCTTTAATAATAGTATTATATATTAAAATTAAAATTATTTTCGAAAAGAGATTAAGATTAAGGTTAAGGCTAAGATTAAAGCTAGTATAGCTATATCTTTATTATTTATCTTTAGAATATAAAAATATATATTTAATATAATTATTTAAATCTAAATAAATTTATAATAAATAATACCTAAAAATAGAAATATTAGTACTTAATAGCCCTAGATTAAATATATTTAAATATTAAAAAAATTATAATTTTAGGTATTATAGTTATAAAAATAAAGATATAAATATTTTTTCTTTTATTAATTTATAAAAGCTAAAATATATTAATAATAATTAAATTATATTTAATTTATATAATTAGCTAATTTATTTTATTAATTATAAATAATTCGAGATAATTTAAATTTCTTTAAATCTCTATATATAGCTTATTATATAAACTTCTATATTTTTATATTTAGTAATACTATAATTATAATTTTTAAATAAGAAAAATTCCCTTATTCTAGTATATATAATTATATTTATTTCTTATTTTTCGAATATATAATTATTAAATTAGAAAGACTTAAGAATTTTAAATAATATTTTTTTCTAAGAAATATATATCCTTAATAAATAATAAAAGTAAATATAGAATTATATAATAATATAATTATCTTATACTAGTAATTTTATTTTCTATAAAACTATAATTCTATTTTATTTTTATTTTAAAACCTTTATTCTTCTTTTATATTTTTTCGATTTTACTATTAATACTAAAAGCTTTTGCCTTTTACTAATACCTTTTCTATTAATATCTTTATTAATATCTTTATTAATATTTTTATTAATACTAAAAACTAGTATCTAATTATTTTATAACTTTTTTCTTTTTTTTCTTATTTCTTTTTACTTCTTTTTCTTATTTATTTTTTTTATTTTTTATTTTTTAATACTTTTTCTATTAATACTAAGAACTAATATTTAATTATCTTATAACTTTCCTTTTCTTTTCCGAACTTCTTTTTCTTTAATACTTCTACTAATAATACTAAAAGCTAGTATCTAATTACTATTTCCGAATTACTTTTATTTAGAACTCCTATATTATAAGTCTTTAATTTATTTATTTCTTAGAAAGCTAAATTTTAGATTTCTTTTTTCTTTTTCTAATATTTCCTTTTTTCTTTTTCTAATATCTCTTATATTTTTAGGTTCTTTAAAAATATTCTTTTTCGAATTTCTAAAAAAGAAACTAATTCCTATTTAGATTTCTCTAAACTTTAATATCTCTTCTTTTCCTTTAATATTTATAAAAGCCTTTAGGCTATTACTAAATATTTCTATTCTTTATCTTAGAATATATACTAATTTATTTTTATAGGAAATAGCCTTTTTCTCTCTAATTTCAATTTCTTTAATATATATTTCTTATCTTTAGGCTATTTAGATATTTCTTTATTTACTTTTATAAAATATATACTAATTTACTTTTTAGTTTCTCTTATCTTATTTTTCCTTTAATATTATTATATATATATCTAGTTAGTACTAGTTCTTATAACCTATAATTAGGCTTTCTATTTATTAAATATCCGGATATTTTATTTTACTTTTATTTTATATATTTTATTTTATATATTTTATTTTTCTTTTATTATAGATTAGAATTTAAATAGTATTTATCTTAAGTACTTATACTCTCAGGTATATAAGACTTTTATAGATTTTTCGGGATTATAAACTAGCTTATTTTAGTTTAGAAAAGCTTTCTTAAAAGTATTTTAAGAATTATAGTATTTACTATAATTTCTTCTAAAAATTAATATAATATAGGTATTTCTAGTTTATTCTTTCTTTATAAAATAAACTACTATCCTAAATTTATATAAAAGTCCTAATTATTTCTTAAGTTAAAGTATAAGTATTTCTTATTTCTATTAAATTAGATATAAAGAATAATAGATATCTTTAGGCTAGACTATAATACTAGTTAAGTACTAAGATTTCCTATATCTATCTTATAAATTTATAATTCGAGATATATTATATTTAATAGGGCTTCTATATCTAATTACTTTATATTATAATAAAATATCTTAATATTATAGTTAGAGAAATTTTATTTTATAATCTTATTTATTATTTATAGATTTTCTAGCTAATAAGTCTTAGCTAATAGCTAAGAAACTTATTAGCTACTTTATTTAAAGCCTCTAAAAATAGGAAATTATCTTAATAAAAACTTAGTATTAAAAATAGGTTTAACTAATTAATTTAAATAAAGAGTTTATAATAAAAGTCTTTATATATAGGTAATTTTATATAATAAACTTAAGTTTTTATTTCTGGTTATATAAATAAGTTATATAAAAAACTTTTTCTGGCTTATTAAAATAGTTTCTATTTCTAGTTATATAAATTATAATATATAATAAACTTAAACTTTTTTTAAATTATTTTTAGAAAAATTAGTAAGCTTTTCTAAATAAATTTATTAAAGCCTTAGTTTTTAAAAGTATTAGTCTAGCCTTTTTACTTTTTCCTTAGATAATAGTTTGGCTTTTAGAAATTATATATAAATATTAGAATAAATAAGGAAATATATTATATATATTTTCTAGATAAATTAAAATAGAATTTATAGAATTCCTATAATATTTTTATTAAATCTATAGTACTAGCTAGTAAAGACTTTAATAATCTTAATAAGACTTAAATTATAAGCCCGGCCCTTAGATTTCTTACTTAACTTAAAGATTAAGTAATCTATAATAGGTTACTTATTATAAAATATATTATACTTTTTTCCTAAAAAGTACTAAATACTAGTAATAGTCCGGAAGCCCTAAAGCCCTTAAGACTCTTTATAAGTTTTAGGCTTTAGGGCTTTTCTATAACTAGCTAATTATATAGAATTATATAATTATATAAATCTAATATTAATATAAAGTAATTAGTAACTTTATATATAGATATAATATAGTTTTTAATATAACTAGTCTAATATATTATATATTTATATATAAATACCTATAATTTTATTATTATAATATAATATATTCTTAATATAAAAATTCCTTTATAATTCTAGACTTTTAAGAGCTTTCTTTATACTAAAAGTAAAGTATATAATACTATTTAAATATTAAACTCAAAAGGCAAAGAATTATAAAGACTCTAATAATTATAAGACTTTATAAACTTAAATAGATTTAAATATTATAAAAGTATTAAATTTAGTAACCTAATTTTTAAATTATATAAGAACTAATTAAAAAGCATTATTTTAAAGTATTAATTATAAATTCCAAATATATATATATATTTATAAGGAAATAAGACCTAAAATAGTACTAAGCTAATTATAAGATATAGGAAAAAGTATATTAAATATTAGACTTATTTTTTCTTAATTATCTTAACCTTAGTAAATATTTATATATAATTTATTAAACCTTATATAATGGGTTTACTTAGGAAAAGTAAGATTAATTAGCCTAGGAAATTTAATAATAGTTAGACTTCTATCTAAAGTAATAGGTAAAGTACTAGTAATAGCCTAGATATTTTAGGTTTTACTTATAAAGCTAAAAATATTATATTCATTA